CTCCTCCTCCCCAAAAATCCCCCTCTCAAACCGACTCCCCAACAACTCCGCCACAATCCCCTCGCTAAACTCCGGATGCCCCTGCACCGTCACCAGCCTGCCCTCCTGATACATACCTTGGACCTGACACCTCTCACTCGACCCCAACAACTCCACCCCCGCCGGGACCGCGGCCACGATGTCGCGGTGCATTTGGTGGACCGCGAGGGTATTCCCTTCGAGGCCGAGGATTTCCTGGCCTTTCGGGGTGAGGTTGACATCGACAACGCTCACTTCCCAGCCTACATCGCTGCGTCCGACCTCCGCCCCCAGCGCCCGCCCGACGATCTGATGCCCGAAACACACACCCACGACTTTCACCCTGCCCCCCTCCAACGCCTTCCGGGTAAATTCGACCAATTTCAGAATCCACGGATCGTCATCATACGCGTTCCAGCGGCTACCCGTGAGGAGCACCGCGTCGATGTCTTCGACTTTGGGGTAGATTTCCGCGTTGACGACGTCGTATTTCGTGATGTCGAGGTCCGGAGAGGGAGAGTTGTTATGGTTTTCTTGACGGTAGAGGTCCGAGCCGTTGGTGAGCAGTTCGGTGAAGAGGTTTCCGTAGGTGCCGTATTTTTCTTTGGTGTGTCCGATGGGGGTGTCGCATTCGAGGATGGCGAGGCGGATGGGTGGGGGGTTGTTGCTGCCCATTTTTTGGGGTGTTGGTCACGTTGGAACTTCGTTCTTGGGGGGGGGGGGATGATTCTTTCTGTGACGTTTCCAGAGGAATTTGGATGATCGTGAATGCGATAGTCTCGCGAACGTCGAAGATGAAGATGAAAAAGTCACGCGACACACCCAAAAGTCTAGTGACAATAGGATGATATAGATGATAAAAGTAAAAGATAAGTCCACCAAATTCAAGTCCAATCCCCAGGTCAACAACCTGGAAGAGATAGGGCGGGCAACGGCAAAGCAGTCACAGTGGAGTTGGAGTTGGCCACCGCACCGACCGAGCCGAAAGGAAGGAAGAAAAAGTCCCGAAGATTGGCCCCTGCACCAGCACCACTGGAACCACACGCCGAAGAAATTTCGAGACCGTCGATTTCAGCGCGCAACAGTCTTAAGTCCCTCATCAATTACTTGTTGGAATGAGAAAAGTCCTCGAGGGGTTTGAAAATTTCTAAATAAATTGCTTTCTTGTTCATGATTTCCTAATACGCCTCCTTGAAGAAGAAGAAGAGAAGTTTCGCTTCCGAGACGACCATCGACATCAAACAACAACAGCAGCGAAGAGCAAAGAAAAGACCTTCCCTTCTCCTTATCCCAATCCCTGCCTCGAGGACGGAGACAAAACGATGTTCCCTCAATCCCACAGGACGACGACCATACTCGCACACGCCTCATTCAGCTAAAATAATCTCGACCCCCAAAAACGCCATTCATCATAACATCCATCGGCCATCCCCATCAAAAGGGACGACTCTCCATCATTCATCGCAAAGCAAGCAAGCAAAAACATCATAAAATCGTAGAAATCATCACACAGCCCAAGATCATCAACAGGGCGGACGGCCAGGAATTCGACCTCTTTCCCACATACGTCCAGCGTCGTTCCAACATTCGTCGACTGGTCGTACAACAGCAGCAGCAGGAACCACCTCTTCAGACCGCCAAAAATTCGTCCAAGAGAAAGATGATGAGGTCCTATCCCTGCCTCGAATACGGCTTATTCATAGCCGCGACCTCACGGGCAATGGTAGCCCACTCCAGTTCCCGACGCAACGGCTTTCCACGCTTCTGGCATTGGAATTCCTCCCACTTGAGGAGCTCGTACCTAACATCTCACATGTCAGCATCGACTTGTCGTGACGGGACGAAATGTACAGCTTCCTGCAGGATCCGACTTACGAGAACCTCAGATGGGGTTGAATAATCACGTTCAACCGCCGCGCGCGGACGAAGCAGTATGCTCGAGGGAACGACAAGCCCAGCTCGTTCATCACCTCGGCGATGCATATCGTCGCGGACCGCGAGACGCCGACTCGACAGTGGACCAGCGTGGCCGTGCCCTTCCTGCGGCCGTTTTCTGGATGAGTGATGCAAGTCAGCGACGAACAGCTCATCACTTTCTCACCTAATCCGAAAGGATCGGGGAATGCATTAATGCCGGAGAGGAGCGCGAAAACTCACCAATAAACTCCAGACACTTGCCGAATTCCTCTGTCAGAGGATCGACGCCATTATCTTGCACCTTGTCCACGAACAGCAGATTCTCTTTCGGCCACCGCTCCATCGTCTCCGTCGGCCAAGTCACGGGCTCTCCCACGCTGAGGATCTGGCCGATTCCGAGCTCCTCCAGTAAGCTGGGGTTGTTGGCGTGTCCAAGGTTTCCGAGATACATGTACGGCAGGATGCGGCTTGGAAGCGAGCCGTCCATTTTGTCCAGCCAGTCTGGAGGTGTTGGGCAGAGTTGCCTGATGTCTCCAGAGTGGTTTGGTGATGCCTGTAGGAGACGTGGTTGTATCGCGCGGAGCAGGTGGACATCTGAACCGTACGCGAAGAAGTTGCGACCCTTTTCGCGGTGTAACTGAAGCCACGCATCGTGGACTGGCACGCAATTGGCGTACATGTAGTATGCCAGTGCCAGAAGCGAGGACTCGGTGTATCCGTCTGTGCAGTGAATGAGTATCTTCCTGCCAGAGTCGGTCCCTGAGCTGCTGTGCATGAAACTGTCACCATCCGCGTCCAACGGTGGTGTGAGAGAAAGCTTGCTGTCTCGTCGCTTGTTCAATTCGGCGCTCGCACTGTTGGCCTGCTTGTACATCCACTCGCAGGTCGCCAGAAGGCCGTCAACTTCAGCCTGAGACCAAGTGGGTGGCATGATCGCTCCTGAGCCTGGGAATTCGAGTTGATGGACGACATTTTCATCGACATCTCGTCTCTCCAGCTGCTCTTCTAAGAATTTGAACGCCTTGGAGTCCGGAATCTGTGCAATATCGTTGCACTCGATCAAAAGATCAAACTCAGGTTGGTTGTCGTTACAGCAAAGCCCTCCATTGGGGCCCAGTTGTAGGTTGGGATCCGGTGTTGGACCCAGCCAGATGTTTGGTGCTATTTCGCTGGGCGCAGACATGGAGCACATTTCCAATCGCTCCCAGTGGAAGAAGTCCATGACTTTGCCAGTCATGCAGCCTTCCGAATCTAATTGTATTAAATCGGGGTGATCACACTCAACAACGGTGTAGTCATCTGCGAAGAAAGGTGAGTAGTTATTTCAAATCACAAGGGTAGAATCACTTACCGGACAGGACGAACGTATTAAAAAGCCGACCGGGCGTGGTCAAAGACTCCGTGTTCTTCTGCCACGCCGCCTGTGCTCTGGATATCCTCTTGGCCAGTTTGACCACCTCTTCCCGCGGCGTCTGATGATCGCCATACACGACAATATCGCTCACGGTCGCCATCTTACACGCCTGGATCTGGAAGTTCCTCACACTGAATCCATCTCTGGGGTCCGAGTCGAGGAACTCCGGCTCTTCGACTTGCTTGTTCCTGGCTTGCTGCAGTGGCCGCAGGATCTCTTCGTGCGCAATGGCACCTTTGATCCGGCTGTGCGAGAGATCGCTCCCTGCTTTGACGACGGTGATTCCGCGAATGCATTTCGGGGTTCGACAGAGAGATTTCTTGCGGGCGATGAAGAAGGCGAGTTGCAGCTGGTTCTCCGCGTGCAAGCCGTGAAGCCACGGGAAGACTTGCTTGGGGGACGGCAGCGGTTGGGATGCGAGAAAGTCGAGCGATTGCGCTAGTTTGTCTGCGTTGATTGAATACACGGGCGGATCGTTGAAGACTCTCTCGAAGCCATTGGGCGGGTAGGTCAACGAGGTCGTCTCGATCAGATGTGTGGGAGACGGCGGCGATGCGGGCGGGGTATCGAGCTGACGCGACGCTGGGCGCGGACCAGGCGAACAGAATGGTAGGTGTTTGTTGGGGATGGGCGCGGGCGTGCCTCTCTGCGAGGTGTTTATTGAGAGTTGTGGAGGAGGCGTGGCAGCGCGGTCTGGTAGCGGTGCGGGTCTCTGGAGTATGGCGGCCATGTCATGAGCCGCAGCGGGGCAGGTCGCTTCCAGTGGTCTACGACAATGGCGCAACAAGTCGAGCGCAGGAGGAGGAGGACGGAAGGTGTGAGTGAGTGCGTGAGGCTCAATTGATTGCCAGGTCCGCGACTCGTGGGGATCGCCGTGCGTGGGAGTGGAGTGGAAGAAGTGGTGGAGTGTTTGGAGATGGTGGTTGGCGGTGGTGGGGGGTCGTAATCAATCGCTCACACAATTTCAAACAGAGGAATGCGACCCCAGCAATATACGACACACACGAAGAGGAAGCGGCTCGACGACGATAGCGGGAGCGCGGAGGGAGAAATGGGTCGCGTGGTGTGCGTGAACAGCAGATTGTGCAAAAGACGACGGCCGCACGACGACGACCGACAACGATACCAGCGCAAGCACACAGCAGCAGCAGCAGCACAGTAGTGAGGATTCCTCCCGGGCATGCGAGCAGGCTCAGAGGCTAGAGCAGCCTTCCCTGGCCCCGGAGCCGCCATCCACGCAACTCTGCCACGCCACCGGCCAATCACACCACCGCTTTGCTTGCACCCATGGCCCCAGCTTGAAGGTTTCCGGAGGGATCTGCATTCACTTCGAAACACCAACGTTGCCAACCGTCAGCCTCTGATAAAAGACACCTCTCTCGTCAAAACAGATGAATGAATGAATAAAACCCCTCGGGCGCTTGTTGAAGTACAGCATGCGTGCATGCATGCATCGAAGGGAAACCGACGACTGCTTCCCTCTACGCCACATCCCAAGCATCCATCGTACCACCCAACTGCTGACCCGCCTCACCACCAAACGAGGCGCACACGATCCAGTAGTAACTATTTTCAACCCAAAATCCAATTAAATGCCAGCTCCAGCTACCGCAAGAGAGAAAAAGGTCCCCTCCCAGCAAGCAGCTCAATCAAAAACCCTCTCATCGTTGGGCTGCGATTCTCACGACCCCGGCAGCTATCGGCGATGCCTGCACATCTCCTACAGGCATCATGCTCAGTGCTCACTACTGGAACCGTTTCGACGTGCAGCAGGTCTTCCAGGTTCGTACTTGCCCCTCACCTCACCTTCACCCACAGCAGCCGATTCTCGAACCTCCCTCGCCTACCGCACTACCGCTGGACTTGTTTGCATTCCTGCGAACGACACTGCCCGCGCCATGTTGTGCGACCCCAACTCTTCGACGACGAGTGACAGAACTACCGGCAGTTTCATCCCCACGCAAGATGATGATGATGATGAACAGAGCAGAACCCTTGTCACCATCAACCGTCACCTCCCAATCAACACTAAGACTTACCCCTCCACCCCCAATCCCAAAACCTCGCGTCGTGTGCTCTGCTGCTGCTGGAATCCTTTGCGGCGGCGACGTGCGGCTCGATCCCCACGCCCCTCTGCTTAGCGGCCTCGCATTGCGTATATCGTGGCACTTCACCTCCCCTCACCACCCAATCGAAGGGGTCGAAATATTGATCGAATCTTTCTCACATCGGTGATCTCTTTTGATTAATTAACACGCTTCTGCTCTGCGTCTGGGGTTTGGATGCGTTGTTTTTCTTTTTTGTTCTTTGGCTCGATTTAGATGGGTTGGAGGTACGTCTCTTTTTGACCTTTGTACTTTTGTATAGGTACGATCGTGATCAAATCGAATAGCAGGATCAGAATATCATAATCGATGCAATTATTTTTGCCACGAATGAAAGATGAGGTCAATCAAGCAAACAACTCGTTGGTAGTAGACTCGCGTTTTCAGAGCAACAGATACCCATGATGAATGCTAGCCCGTTTCAATGCAAACACAGCATGCACATGCAAAAAACACATACCCAAAACAAAACCCCATTCCCACCCACCCTCCCATCTCATCATCATCATCGTCATCATCGAACCTATCCCCCAACACAAACACAAACGCAATGCAAAAAACCCCAAAAAAAACATCCCTCACTCATCACGACAACTCCGCATAAACACTATGCAAATCCCCCTTCCCACTCCACACCCTCGCCCGCTCCAACATCTCCCTACCCAACCTCTCCAAATAAAAACCCCCCACCTCCGCCGGCAACTCCTCGAAAGACTTGATGATCCTCGCCACGTCCTTCCGCCCCCGCTCATAAGCCGCCAGGTCGCGGTTGCCGTACACATCTCTGCCCGCCGCGTAGCCATTCGCCAAATTGCGGAAGAAGACGTTGACGGCGACGCTCGTGGTGGGGGAGGAGGACGACGCGACGGTGTGCACCCACATGGGCGGGATGAAGAGGATGTCGCCGGGGTCGAGGAGCGCTTCGTGCGGGTGCGTGTTGGCGAGGGAGGGGTGGGTCGTGCTGGCTTCCGGGGCGAAGACGTCGATGGAGGAGCTGGAGGCGCCCGGTTCGAAGCCTAGGTGGGAGACGTCGGAGGGGGGGAAGAGGAGTATTTTCTTCCGGCCGCGTACTTGACAGAGGACGTTGGCCATCACGTCGTAGTGTAGCCACATCTGGACTTGGCCGGAGATGCGCAGGGGGGAGGAGTGTGCGTTTTGCGTCACGTATTCGAGTTCTTGTGGGAGTTCGAAGTCTGGCGCTATGCCCGGGAAGTCTTCGGCGAGGCTGGTGGGTTTGTTGTTCGGGGCGTCTTTTGATAAGGCGCGGAGGTAGACTCGCTCGCCACGGTCGACCGCGTCGAGGAAATCGCCAAAGTCCTGCGTGATGTATTGGAAGTTCTTCTTCTGGAAGTCCATCTTCTCGGATGAAGGCGAGGAGTGCACGGCGACTTTGCGGTCGTGGCCGACGGCTTCCTTGAGGTAGTTGTTCGTCCAGGAGGTGGTGCAGGGTCCGATCTTGCATTTTCGCAGGATGACGGGTCGTGCTGCTTCGACGTATTGCGGGAAGTTGACGCCGTGGGAGATTCGGATGTCTTGAATCTTGACGGGGTCGGGCATTTTCAGTGCAGGTGTGCCATTGCTGCTGGGTGATTCCACGAAGATTGTGCTTTGCTCGGCGGTGGGTTTCCCAGCTTCCAAAGTGCATTGCAATCGCCACTCCATGTCGAACTTGTCGGGCTCCATGTCGTTCAGGATGCAGCTTCTATTCCAGGTCGTACCAAAGGAGAAGCATGTCGCACCACCGCCTAGCACGAGCAGTCCGCCATCGACATCCTGTAGCGTATGGCCGATGAACAGTGGCCGTGGTCCCTGGATCGGTTGAGGTCGCAATGTCTTCAGATTCAGCACTTCGTCCTGTCGTGTGAGCATCCGTGCGCCTGTGATACCGCCGACCATCAGGATGCCCCTATTCGATCTCACCAGCTGCGCTCCGAAGCGCCCGAGAATGCACGCGTCAGCCTTGAGGAAGGCAGTCGCTCGAGTGGTCACGTTGCGGCACGTCAATGTCATGTCGTGCTCCAGACTCCAGTGCCAGAAGTCGTTCAGCACTCGGCCGGCACTGGTCATGCCACCTACCAGAACTCCTGATGTACTTTCACGCCCATCCGTGGACATGGTCGCACCGAAACGTGCTGGTGGTGTCTCTCCCACGACCTTAACTTGCTGCCATCCAGTCTCCCCGGTCCAGATCAGCCATTCGTCCAATACTCGACCATCGCTAGTTCTGCCACCGAAGACGAGCACTGTATGCGCAGGTCGAGGTTCGGTAGGTAGGACTAGCGGCACCGCACAATGTCGATACCGTCCAGAAGGCAAGTCTTGCACCCTCCTCCACTTTCCATCCAATCTCAACCACGACTCTGCACTGGCCTTGTCAGGTGACGTTCTCCCTCCTGTGAGCACACAATTCGCTGTACTCCCCAGCCGTGTCACCGCATGACACACCAGTCCCGTGCGCAAGGGCGGCCCCTGGATCGGCTGTATGGCGTCGTACCTCGAGAAGGTGTTGCAGCTGTCCAACCGTTCCTGCGTGCCCACTCCGCCATACAGTCCCACCGAATCCCCATAGGCGTCTGTCTCCGGAGGCGGTACAATATGTGCGAAGCGTCGGTAATTATGGGGCTCGAGCAGCTCGTGCGTCTGCAGGATGTCTCCCGGCCCGAAGTGGTACTGCGGCGTGTCGGGACTGCTGTTGCCGCCGCCGTTGGTGGGACTTGACGCAATGGAAGTGCCACGCGTGGAACCGGAGAAGAGGGATGCCCGCGTTGCACGGAAGGATTTGAAGTTGTAGTCTTTGCCGGGCTCCTTCTCGGCCATGAGGAGGAAGTAGTGGGAGCCGAAGAGAGCGAACTCTTCCCATTCGTCGAAAGGCTCAACGCGGTCCAGAGCTCGTCTTTCCTCTGCGCTGAGGAAACCTGGATCTGACCACAAGTCCCAGAGGGTGCGGATTTCAGTGCCTGCTTCAGGGAAGCCTGCTGCGGCGAATCGTGCCTTCATCTGCTCAAGGGTGCCTATCGCGCGGAGAGGTGTACGTAGCTTTTCAAAGTGCGAGAGCATTGTTGCTGCGAATGGGTGGTCGGCGCCGTCAGGTAGGTGTTGTTCTAGCAAACAGAACCGAACATCATCGTAAGTCGCTGCCCATTCGTATACGGCTTGAGAGGCATCTCGTTCCATGTAGGCGGTCGAGACCTCGGAAACGAAAAGGATAGCCACTCCTCCACTTCCCAGTTGTAGATGATCCTGGAGAATCTCCTGAAGTGGTATAAGGCTTGAAAGATCGCATCCTATGGCAACGTATGGGTCACTTGAAGCTAAAAGTCCACTGTCGTTGGCTGTCCTGGTTAATTTGGGCAACAAATGTCTTAGTTGCTCAGTCTTGTCGATGATGCCGACTTTGTTTTGCATCAATACCGGATAATCCACATCGACAAACGTAGTCCCTTGGCATAGCAAAGGTCGTTTGCCAAGAAAGAGGAACGGCAATGGGTCACTGTGGCGTCTATCAGTCCACGCCTCCCGCCAAAGAATCGAACCTACGTACTACCCACAGCCCAGGTTGATAACGACTTTCTTTTTGGCAGTTCGCTCTGATAGAAATCTGGAGACGGCGTGCTCGATCGCTTTCATCCGCAACCAGTAGCCTCGATTGATCAGGGGTGACCGGCGTTTGAATTTGCTCACAAAATAGCGGAAATACTCAGGCTCGCCATCGTAGTAAAGTTTCTCCACGGATCGTTTCGAGACAATGCTGGACTTGTTTGTGTCCATGATGAGTTCATCTCGCTGGTGTTTTTGAGGGTCCACGACGGTAGTCTCCTTGCTGCTCCTCACCAACATGGGTACGCTGGAACTGCGTTTAACGTTTGGACTGGACAAGCCCAGGACTTTTTCTGCTTTGAGCATCTTGTCGCTGGAGCTGTTGTTCTCATGGCCCGAGTTGAGCGAGTTGCTGTGGTCCCCGTTCTGCACTGGGGTGTCGATATTCAGCGGCAGATTCTGCTGGCGAGAAGGGAGTTCGTATTGTGTAGTCTCTAGACCCAACTGCAGAATGGGCGGCAGCGGAGAGTCGGCCTTTTCTCCTGCAGCAGCCATGGCGAGTCAGTGGCACAGGGAATCCCTGTGATATGTAGGTCAGGCAATGTGTTTTGGGGTGTTGGACGGGCGAAAAGAACTCGACGACGAAAACGCGAGATGGGGCATCGGAGGAAAATGAATCGAATCACACTCTCCGCGCTGCTGTCTTGCACGAGGACGTAGTGGGCTTCTTCGTCGGCTCTCCTCTGAGCCAGCACTGCCTTTTTCAGCTGCGTGGACAGGGATTGATACCCATACTATCTTTAGCCGGAGAAGACTGCCTGCGTGCGCTGGTGAGATTCGTTAGGCCAAATAGGCTTTGCGGTTGCGAAGCGGACCGCGCCGCCAGATGGTGGAGAAGGAAGACAGCAGTCCAAGCTCCACACTCACACGACTGCAGCGGCATGTCACAGCAAACCTAACCGTCCACACACACCACTCTCGCACCCTCACACGACTCGGACCACGCCTGGCGGATTATTGACGGCTGCCGGTCTTACGCGGGTCTTCATCTCGTCTGCGCTCCCACGGCTGTATGTAAGACGTAGGGGCACGGGGACCCGCGACAACACCTCCCGACTCCGCGAGCGACCAGCAAGCCGCCATGGCCGGGTTGAACTATGTCACCTTCAACCAGGACCACAGCTTGCTGGCTGTCGGTACGCTGCATCCATCCTACAACAGCGGCGCCTACCATGAGTACTGATTGGCAGCAGCAACCACGCGCGGTCTGCGCGTGTACACCACCGACCCGTTCGAGCTCACCAACCATTCGTTCGAGGAGGACATCTCGCTGGTCGAGCAGCTCTTCTCCACGTCCCTGGTCGCCATGATCCTCACCCCGCGATTACTCCGCATTGTCAACACCAAAGTGAGTCAAGAGGTTGTGGAAGAGGAGAATCGGGCAATCTTACAAGACTGAGTAGCGATCGCAGAAGCACTCGACAATATGCGAACTCACATTCCACGGCATGGTCGTGGCCGCCAAGATGAACAGGAAGCGCCTGGTGGTCATGCTGGAGGAGATGGTCTTCATCTACGATATTAGCAACATGAAGATGCTGCATCAACAACCGATACCCCTCAACACCGCGGGGATATGCGCTGTCTCGCCGAATTCAGAGAACAACTACCTCGCGATACCGCACTACCAAAAGACGTCCCAGAATCAGGCGGCACCATCGCACGTCCCAAAATCGGTTATAAAAGAGTCGATAAGTGGAGATGTATTGCTGTACGATCTTAACAAGATGGAGGAAGTCACTGTGATCCAGGCGCATCAGACACCAATGTCGTATATCGCCATCAACAACGACGGCACTCTCATGGCGACATCCTCTGAGAAAGGCACGGTGATCAGGATATTCTCAACACCAGACGGGAAGAAGCTGTATCAGTTCCGGAGGGGCAGCATGCCGGCGAGGATATACAGCATGAGCTTCAACGCGGCCTCAACCTTACTCTGTGTATCGTCAGCGACCGAGACAGTGCACGTTTTCAAGCTGGCGCCTCCTAGCGGGCAACACAACGGCAACGCCGCACGACCACTGTCACCTCCCTCATCACCCCGAAAGTCGTCCTTCTCCGGCCGCGACCGGAGTGAGAGTCCTTCTCTATCCGAGGATCAGGACAACGCCGATGTAGAAGGCGACCCTACCGCATTGGCGAATGCCCGGCAACCTCGACAGGCAGGCTTCATGTCTCTTGTGAGGAGGACATCGCAGAATGTCTCGTCCTCTTTCGTGAGCAGGGCAGCGGGCTACCTTCCCTCATCAGTCACCGAGATGTGGGAGCCGCAAAGAGACTTTGCATGGGTACGAGTTCCAAGGGGAGCTAATGGCCACCCTGTGCGGAGCGTTGTGGCAATGGCAAACAACACCCCTCACGTCATGGTTGCAACCAACGAAGGAGATTTCTACGTGTACAGTATCGATTTGGAAAAGGGCGGGGATGGCACGTTGGTGAAGCGGTTTGAGTGAGTGACATCGACTTTGGAGAGACGATGGTATACTGACTTTGCTCGCAGCGAGATCCACGGCCTGAAATATCGACGAAGCGGTACGGACTTTGACGAATAGGTTTACATATCCCATATCCCTTGACGATGAATGTCTGCTGGTTGAGCTGGCGGTCTCTCTGGGATGGGCTCATTTTTCTTACTGCGTTCAAGCGTCGGCGCTCGTTACGGATACCGGGACGGGAAAAACGAACGGACACGGCCATTAGCACTTTCATCTCTTGCATTTGTTGTCTTGCTGCGAGGAACGACTTCACTCATGAGGAATAACGATGGCAATGGTAGCATGAGGCACCAGAAAAAAGTTTCTCTCGTTTTCAAGTCTCGCATGAATTTGAGTGGTGTCTCTTTTTTTTTTTCAATGAATGTCTGAATCGCTTCCTCTCTCTCCCGCTCGCACGCGCACGCGCGGCGCGAATGCATGACAATGACAATGAGTTGGTCTTTGGGGTATTTTGGTGAATGTCGGATGGAATGGATGGATGGATTTTCGCAATCGCCTTCAAAATTTCCTGCTTCCTTTCGCTTCCAAAAAAGGTCCTGCCTCTCTCTCAGCTGATTCGAGCCCTTGCTTCCGTGCCTCCTCGAGCTCGCCGGCGAACTTGGAACAAATTTACGAGCAAACCGAAGCAACGCTCTCGTAACTTTTGGAGGATCCGTTGGCAGAACGGTCGGGGCTTGCGGAGGGGGAGTGGGTAGATGATGACGGGGACGTGGTTCTACCAGTCTTTCTTGACGTCGAAGGACCATTCGAAGCTCAGGTGGTCTTGGTTGTCGTCGTCGACGAATTTGGAGACGGCGTTGTAGTGGCCGCGGCCGACCATGCCTGAGGGGGCGGTGTCGGGTTCGACTGCAAATGTTTAGTCAGTGGGAGGGAGGGTTCGCTGGTGAAAGAGCAGTAAGACGTACACTTCTTCTCGTACTCAGTCTTGTCGGTCGTGTTGGGCGAGTAAGAGCCCTGTCAAACATCGTCAGCAACCACACAAATCCCTACAGACCAGACTGGAAAACATACAATCATCTCCTGCATCTTCTGCTTCACCCCCATGCGCTTCACGACCTGCACATACTTCAACCCACTCAGCACCTGATGCTGCACCTGGAAGCGCACTTTCATGCGGAACACGGCGCCCTCCTTGATCGTGAACGGGTGGTTCTTGAGGTCCTCCAGCGTGCCGGGCTGCTGCAGGTCGATGATGATGTCCGAGCGGCCTTGGACTTCGAGGCCCAGCGAGAGGATTACCACGCGGCGCTTGTCCGAGGGGTTGGCGATGGGCGTGCCGCTGCCGATGCCGAGTGACTCTTTCCACTTGCGGAGGGATTCGTCGTTTTGGTCTTGAGGGTGCGGGCGCTGTTAGTATTGTTTGGTGGAATGATGTGAGGCGGTCGATGATGGGCGGGCTTTCTTAATGGGTTTTCGAGCCTTCGAGGCTCACCCATGAAATTCTCATGGATCTGCTCATGTTCGCTGCTCTCTGCCCGCCGTTTGCTGACCTACCTAGCTGCTGATACTCATCAATCGTCTTCTTCTCACCGACCTTGAAGCCTTCCGTCTCCTCAGGCTTGAGGTCTTCCTCGTGGGGCGCGGACATGGCGGCGAAATGTCTTTGTGTGGTCGATATGAGTGGGCTGAGCGAGACCCAGGGTGGGATTGAATATTGTTGGGCGGTTTGTTTGCGAAGTGAGGTTGAGTTCTAGGTCTTGCGTTGCAGCGGTGGTGGGGCGGGGCACGGGCCTCTCGTGTTTCATGTTCCAGCTGTTGCTGCATTTCACCGCCGACGACCACCCACTTCATCGCCATCACCATCATAGGCGCGGCAAGCACGTATCGATTGGCGATAAGGATGTCAATGGCTGTGATGATTGGCGATGAGACGTCGAAGCAATGGTTGCGACTATCATTTCAGTACCATCGGAGCTCTTCTCTTGTCTCCCTGCGCGCCTCTCGAACCTCCCTGGGCCTACTTTTCTCTTATAGCCAGTTCCTCAGATCTAAGAGAATAATTCTCCTTGAGCTTACGACAGACGTTCTGCCAGGGTACGACTACCGACGCAGATAGCTACGCCAGTGCTATTCTGTCGACTTTGTGAACAGGATACGGCAAGCTGCTAGACTCACTCAGTCAATTGGAGTCTCCGTTACCAGGACGCAGATGAAATCGCCATCCTGAAGGCATAGGCTCCTGGTGTCTACCGGCAGAAGTCTGAGGTTCAGGAGTGATGATGTCGTTGCTCTCACGCGGGCCGAGGCGACAACGGTTGTACGAGAGAGGGTATCGAGGAGTGGCAAGATGGCGGGAAAAACAATAATGTTGTTAAGAAGTTGTACTAGCCATCTTGCCCCTTTTCTTATAGGCATTTCAGAACCTTAATCAAATGGTTCAAATGACAGCCAACTCCAACGGCCACCCCAGCCACCCAGATTTCAAGGTGGATATCATCATACCCAAGACTGCTCGAGCTTGCTGTATCATCGAACCCTTCCCGTCTCTCTCTTCACAGGCCACCCTTGTACTTTCAATTCAGCTGCACATCATCAGTGGCGGGCAGCTGATCATCCTCCAAGTGTTTCATTGCTTCAGATACTTCATATTGCGACCATCTACCCTTTCGGCAGATTGCGCGTAGGCCAGGCGTGTTAGCGCGAATTGAGCTCTGCTCTTCCGCCCCGTCTGCTTCTTCTCGCGCACTTCGACATATCACTGCGCACTCCCACCATCGATCATCGCGCCTGTCACGAGATCCACAAGATCGACCATGTCTCGTCCAACCCTCCCAGAACCGCGCAACCCGCTTCTCGAAGAGGAACGCGCCCCGTCGCGTAAGTGGCTTCGACACCGAGGAAGAGAAAGGCAGCGCGAAAGAGGTAGACTGACATTCGGCGCATCGCAGATGAGATCTTGGTGGAACGTCGATGCTTGGGCCAGACGGAGTTGAAGGTCAAGCCAGGTCAGGTCAACACTAGCAATGCTACGAAGTTGGAGAATCTAGGCGTCCTCGACTATGCGCACCTGCGCGTGCCTCTGCCGAAGGACCTCACGGGTAGCGGCATCTTCATGAAGGGCGCGAATCGCAAGTGGCCGGAGGCATACTTCTTGATGGTACGTATGCGCCGCGTTGCGACAATGTGAATGGACGGCTAAAAGTGATGCGCGACAGCGACGCTCAAGTGATGGATTCATCAGCGCGACGGGCATGTTCAAAGCCGCATTTCCATATTCGCAAGTGGAGGAAGAACAAGCAGAAAAGGATTACATCAAGTCGCTAAGAGAGGCGTCGAGCGAAGAGATCGCGGGCAATGTGTGGATCGACCCCGGGAAAGGTGCGTGCCAACAAACTTCACATTCCGCTTTGTTTGCTCAATCTCACATGTCTGTACGTGCACAGCCCTCGAATTAGCCGACGAGTACGGAATCAAGCTCTGGATCGCAGCGCTCCTCGACCCTGAACCGATCACGCACGGCGCTACTGATCCGAACAAATCCATCAAATCGCCCCCGCCATATGAGATAAAAGAGATGGCGAACGGTGTAGGACGATCGCCAGAGAAGCCGTCGCCGGCGAAGAGCAATGCCGGTCGTCGGTCGACTCGCGGCGCACGAAGCATGCGCTCAGAATCGCCGACGATGGAGAAGCCCAAAACAACCCCTCGCAAGATCGCGACACCACGCAAACCCCGCGGCCGTCGCGCCGCAACCCTCGAGCCTGTCAACGAGGACGGATCAGTGACCGGCGACGCAGTGAATGGCTCAAAGGAAGACACTGTGAAGATTGATATTGAAAACACCACGTTTCCAGACGAAAAAGGCGAAGAGCAGGTCGAATCAACCAAGGTCAACATCACCATGCCATCCAACCACCCAGACATGCCCATTCCGAACGACTCGGCGGAGATGCTGCAGAAGGCGAAGGAGACCGTCATGGAAGCCCGCAAGCTTGACGGCACCGCACCGCGCACGCGCAAGGGCAAGAGAAAGGCCGAAGCGATGGTTGATGAGGATGATAAGGTCGGACTCGAGGGCCCATCAATTGCACGACCGGCGAAGAGGCAGCGAGCCGCCGAAATCGAGTTGCGAAAGGAGAAGATCCGCCGTCGGGCATTGGGTGGTATCGCGGTCAGCTTGGCAATTGGGTGAGTTCATACCGATCGATATCGCATGCGTACTGAAATACTGACCACAATATAAGCTACCTCATACCAACCGTCATGACCACCTTCGGCCTGCAGTGACGAAAACACATCGCCAGGACCTCGCATCGCACAGTCTGCTCTTGCCCTCTCACACACACAATACACATTTCTTCTAACCCAGTGATACCACCACCACGTTTTCTTGGGAGTTTCGGAGCAGCGAGCGGTCTTATTTGGAAGAGTTGTCGGAGTGACAGCCGCATGGAGGGAGGGAGAAGAAAGTCAAATCCAAAGGCTTGGAGGGGGAGAGAGTTGAGAGATGGTCGTGGTTGAGTATGCTCCCCAACCGCCGAAGGGTTGAGGGGGATCTCGAGTTGTTTTTTGAAGGCGACGTAGAAAAAGAAAAGAGAAAAGAGAGAGTAATTTGTGTGATTGTTGAAGAGCTCCGATGTCGTTTCCTGTTTGCATATTGTTTCACCTTTTCGTGACATCGAACGGGCTGTCATATGCTCGGCTCGTGAAAACTCGGGTACAGGTAGGTAGAGATCTGGGCCCGAAGCGAGGAATGGCATGTGTTTCACAGCATACAACCTTGCCGATACTGTATGCATGACGAGCATGAGACGTCAGTGCGAGTACGCGCCTACGGATACGATATGACTGATGCGTGGCAAAGCGTCAGGGAAGAGAAATGGATATGGCAGCTCAATTCAATTCAGTTCCCCGTCTACATGATAGAAGAAAAGCTCTATAGAAGAGTCTCTGATCTCCTCCTCTCTGGTTTCACAATATCAAAGACGTGCCCACAACTTCCACGTCAATCTCTCCGTAATCCCGCTCCCTCCACTGCTTCAATGCCATATAATCTAGACGTTGCTCTTGATAGCAGCCTCCAGCGCCGTTGGGTTGGCGCCGACGACATCGCCAATCTTCTCGCCGTTCTTGAAGAGGAAGAAGGTGGGCATGGCGCGGACGGAGAGCTCCTGGGCGACCTCGGGGACCTCGTCGACGTCGATCTTGAAGAAGCGTGCTTCGGGGTAGGTGTCGGAGAACCTGCGCAGAGGAAAGTCATGTTAGCATCTGCTATGTTTGGGATTTGATGTGGTGGAGAGCGGTGATTACTCACTTAACGACCTGCGGCGCGATGATCTTGCAAGGACCGCACCAGGTCGCGAAGCAGTCGAGCACGACGAGCTTGTCCTTGTGCTCCTCCAGCGCCTTGTCGAACTCGGCCTTGTTGGCGAGGTTGTGGACGCCCTGCTTGCTCATGGTGGTGGTAAAGAATCGGGGGGTGTTGGCGAGGATGGGTTTGAAGTGGTGGATCGCGGGGTTGGTTATTGGTGGTGTTTGTCTGGTGAATCGCGCGGTTGTGAGTAGTGTTCGGCGGAAAGCTGCAGATGCGGAGGACATCAACTGCTGTGGGTGGGTTATATAGATGTGTGGTGGTGTATGTGTGTGTAAGAGGGAAGGGTTATTTGAGATGGTTAATAATGAAGCGATGCAAGGGAGGGATGTTTCTAGTGCAAAAGCTGCTTATGCAATGGTCATGGGTCTCGGCGTGGCCAGTGCCGACTTGGACGCTTGCAGACTGCCGGGCCGTGTGCCGAGACCGGTGTTGGTGGTGGACGGCGAGGATTGAATGGAATCGGCTGACTTTGTGAGACGTACCTGGTGGTTTGTTGATTTGTATGGTCGAAGGTTTGAAATCGTGGTTGTTGTCGAAGATAGCTGGAGGCTGAGCAATGACCTGCAATGACCGCCGCCGCATGTGCTTCGGTCGAAGTTCGACGTGGCGGCGGACAAGAATGACGCCATGTCTTGGCGCGCCCTCGCTTTGACAGGGCCCAAAACGGAACTTCTCAACGACATCTCCTGTGCTCCTGGTTGGAGACCCTATTACAACCGCGGCTTCGTTACTGATAACAGGGTGCCATGATTCCAGGAATCTATCGTACGATCAAATAACAATGAAATGGATACAGAAGTATCTTTATTGTTCTTTTCCATTTGCTATCTTGAATGTTACAAAAATGGTTACTGAAAGGTAAAAGAAAGTCCGTTCTTGGTCGCTTCTTGTTGGTCGTTCTCCAACAGAACGCCCGAGTCCAAGCTATTGAATGAAAAGCCGTGTCGTTTGTTCTGAGAGTTGTGGGGGAAGGGGGTGTTAAGGAAAGTTGCTTGCTGGTGTCATTTCTCGAATAGAATGCTACCGTCCATGCCGTCGAAATGAAAGTCGTGCCGTTTGTTCTGAGAATCCTGGGGGAAAGTGTAATAGAAGCAAGTCGCTTTTGGTTAACTTTCTCCAGCAGAATGCAAGAGTCCAGGCCGTTGAAAGAGAGTAGGTAGTGTTTGTGATGAGCCTGTGCTTGGATTGTGTGAATGGTCCGAGTGGGTTTCTCCGTTGGAATAAGGCCGTCCGAGCTATCGAGAGAGAAGTTGAGGGCTGAGTCTACACGAAGTTCTCGGGGAGCAGTGCCTCATCATCCTCAGCAGCTGCGGCCGTCGCAGCATCTCTCGACGCATGAGCACTTCTCGACGCCTGAGCACTGGCATCCGCCTTGTCGGCCGCCAGGGCAGCAGCAATTGCCGCATCCTCTGCACTCTCTTCTTCTTCTTCCCCATCCTCGTCATCATCAGAGCTCTCCTGATCGTACGTGTCGGAAAGCTCGACCGTGGCAAATATGCCGAAAACACGGTCCTGGTTCAGTCGAATGCGGTCTTGACATTCGGCAAACATCTGGCCCAAGAATTCCAAAATCTTGTCGTACTTAGGCTTGTACGCAGTGTCGAACTCCTCCGTCGTTGGCAGCTTGAGGCCATCAAGACCGCTCAAGTCTGGGAGGTTGGAAGGGGCGTTGGCGTTGCCAATGGCCTGATGATACTTGGCCCGCCAGCGACACATCTCGATGTTGGCCTCCACGGCGAAACGACTGGCCTCGTCGATTTGCAGCTGGCCGGCACGCATCTTGGTGTAAATCTTGGACTTCATCCGGTTGAAGCGCTTATCCTCTTCATCGAGCTTGTTGCGCTTCGGGGGTGGTTCCAGCCCATACCTCCGACTGAAGTCCTTCGTCTTCGTGTACCAGGCCTTGCGAATCTTGCGAAGACGGTCTTTGAGGGGTACACTGCCATAGACTGGCATCGTGCCCTTCTTCTGAATCTCGACTGCGACTTCGTTCGCAACGTGATCGAGATACATCTCGATGACATCTGGACGATCTTCGTTTGCGGTGACTTTGAGGAAGTAGTCGCCGAACTCAAAGTTGCGACCGCGGCCATCGTCGCCATGGCCCTTCTTGGGTGCCGCACCAGGGTTGGCTCTATTAGGCATCTGTGAAAGGTTAGGAATGGGAACATTATCGGGGAAGGAGAGATTGGACTGCTTACCTGGCCGGCCTTGGCGGCTTTCTTTGCCCTCTTTTGGGCCATCTTGGAACTCATGACGAACTTGTTGCGAGGAAACTTGCCTCGTGGGATGTTCGACCTATCCCCACGAAAACCTTGATAACCTCGCTGTGGAGTGGCATGACCGTCGACGAACAACCCACTGGCATTGCTGGGAGTCGAGCGACGGGTGCCAGATTGTGCTGCATTCAGGCGTTCGAGTCGCTCGTTCTCCTTCTGCTGGTAATGATTGAACTGGATCTCATCCTCCACCGTGGCCTCGTTGTTTTGCCGCTTCTCTTGGAAGGCCCTCACCATGTCACTGAATATCTTTGCTCGAGCATCATGGTCCTCGTCGTCATCGTCGTCAGCAGGCGTCACCGAGCGACCTCGCTGCTGCTTTTGAATACGACCATGGGATTCCATGTGGATCCAGCGCAGCTCTTCATCGCGACTCAGCCTGCCCTTACGATGCTTGTACTGCAGGCTCGGACGAGAGGCGGTGAAGTCAGCCGACTCGTAGCGCGTCACCGCATCAGAGAAGCTGGATGAAATTCCCACGTTGTTCGCATTTTGTGGAAGAGGCCTAGTCATCCTCGCGGCTTGCTCGTCATGAGAAGTCTGGAAGCGGTTGGCAAGTTCGCGCTGCCTGGACAATGCCCTGTCTCTGTTCGACGACCCGACGCCTGGCGAGCTCGCGTCAGAGCTCTTGCCGGAGCGCCGGTTGAGCACAGAGTTGCCCAAGTTCAACGCACGTGGAACTGGAGAAGGTCTTGGTGAGGGCCGAACGGATGCTCTGCCATTGCCCAGCTGCGATCCCAAGAGGTTTGCAATGACGTCTGGGGAATTACAATCTGTTATGCTGGTCGCGACTGAATCACATCTGGCCTGTCGAGGAGGTGGCATCGGGTTGGACTCCTGGACTTGGGGATGGTATCCGTCCAAGTTGTTGGCTGGATCAGTGGGGCCATTCTCGATGGATTGAAAGATATGAGTGGTAGGCTCGGCGTTGTCGTCCATTTCTTGGCCGAGCGTCTCATCGTCAGCTCTGGCGCCGGACATCATGAAGGTGTCGCGGCTCTGTGAGCGGCGATCGTGTTCGGACATCTCGCCTGCTGTGAAATAGTCGATGTTGTTGGATGGCAACCTGTGCGTCAAATTTCTCTTGATTGGAGGCTAGAGTGAAGGCTTAGAACAGTGAGGGTGATGGTTGTTAGGATCCGGCTTCTCGTTGCTGCTTGTGAAATCTAACCTCTTTAGCATATGCCAACAAATCAGATGAATATGACACTCACAGTCTGTGAGAAATCAACACGCCGAAGTTAGCAGCGCGAGTGGCCTCGCCGACATCTGTTGGTGAGCTTGCCAATGCTGCTTCGGTCGGAGATCGCTGGCTTGATCGCTTGGGTAGTCGTCGCCAACAGGATGTGCTAGAGTCGATGATGGCTCGTGAGGATCGGCCGAGGGTAGGTGGTTTCGTAGATGAAAGGGTAGTGTTGGGTTGGTTGACCTTGTGAAGTGAAGTGTGTTGGTTAGTGGTAGAGGTTGTTGTCGTGAAGAGCAGATGTTGTTCGAGCAAGAAATAGATAGCGCACGAACGCGCAGCGCGGAGCGCCTTAAATCGAATAAGAAGGAACGACCGCCGTCACCGCACGTGCCGCGTGGCCGAAGTGGCAGATGGTGGAGCTGAAGTGAATGACTTGTCGTGAAAAGAGGATGGAAATAGTGGGACAACGAGTAGGGGAGAGCCCCGAGGAGAATGAACGAAAATGACCAAGAAGTTGCATGGCAAGCAGCAACGCCTGTAAGATAAGGAAACACAGGAGGAGGAAGATGAGTGGAGTGTACAGTAGACGACATATCAGACGGAGAGAAACTCAACAAGTCAAGTTTCCAGCATCTCCAACTGGTTGGAAGTCTCCAGCACCGCGGAGCGTACTACTCGGGCATGGACTGTGTGCATTCCAGGGAGACGACCAGAGCTTGAGGAAATAGGACTGGGTCTCCAGTGTCTAAAAGACTGCGCGAAAAAGCGCTTTGGGGGCCCCATCGAAGCGACAGGGAACATCTCGAGCTCTACTCTGTCTTGTCTGTACTGCGAGGAAGGCAGTCAGCGCCGCCATACCTGGATTCAATAGGGGCAAGTTTCTTCCCTTTACACGATTGACTCTTTCAACCGATATCAGAAAACTGTACTTGTCCAATCGGCCATACGCTACTGATACAATTTGAGAAAATTTCCATTCTTGACTCTCGCTAGTAGCTGGGGGTATCAACCAGTGTACAAAAAGGAAAGGCCCAGTAGTGCCAGGCCAGCTATTGTCCTTGATGTGTCGGCGGTGAAGCGCACTCTCCTCCAGCAATGCAGCCAGAGAGAGTCGTACATGCAATCGACCATCGTGAAGGTGAGCCCACCCACAATAAGGGGCTTCGGGAGTAGTAAAACATTCGTAAAGAAACAGCAATCGGCGCTCAGCCAGCAACTTCACCATCAGCAGGGTAGAACCAAGCGCTCACGGCGATGATGAGATATCTGTGAGACGAGATTAGCAAGTCGTTCTACAAAAAGCGGGAGAGACGGCGGAAACACTCACGTAATCATCAGCAAAACACCCTCAAGCCAATGCGACTTTCCGTCGTTGATGAGGTAGTTGACGAGCCAGATAGAAATGACAAGCACGACGACCAAGAAGCCGTTGAAGTCGAGATCCATGACCGCAGGCGAACCAACGCCCCACCAGTTGAGCATGACCATGATGGGGAGGACCAGAAGAGCAATCTGTAGACTCGAGCCGACTGCAACTCCAATGGCGAGATCCATTTTGTCCTTGATTGCAACCGTCACAGCGGTGGCGTGCTCTGCGGCGTTTCCGACGATAGGGAGGAGGATGAGACCTGTGCGAGGGTTAGCTGGAGGTTTCTCGTGAATCGTCTAACAAAAGACTCACCAATGAACTCTTGCGAGACACTCTCCGAAATGGCAGTAATGGCCGAGACCATGTACTCAGCGCACAGAGCGATGAAGACAGTCGAAATGGCGAGGGTGACAAGAGCACCAACGACCGTGAGCTGAGGAGTCTCTTCCTCGGCTTCTTGCTCTTGGACAAGATTCTCCTGATTAATCCTCCCACCTGCAGTGGCAGCACCACTTGCAGCGCCGATCATCGCAATGCCCTTCAAAGTCTCGCCCTCTTCCTTCTTGCCGGAAGATTTCTTGGGCGATTTCTGGCTTGGCTCATTGTACATGTCGACATGTGTCCGCAGTTGGAAAATCAGATAGCAGGCGTATACCACCAGCAAGAGGACTGCAGTTCCGCGAGAGGTTGGAGCGACTCCACTGTCGTCTGGGGAGAAGATCTGGAACGCCGTGGGGATGATCAGACTGCCAATTGCCAGTGCGAGGAGGGAAGCTGCCGTCTGTGCGACTGTGATGTTGAAGTGCTGCTCAACACGGTTGATGCCTCCCAAGAAGAAACACATTCCTAGGACCAGTAGCAAGTTCGACAGCATACTCCCAATCAAGGAGGTCTGCACGATGAGGACCTTCTTCTGCGTCAAAGCGATGATACTGACAATCAACTCGACGGCATTTCCGAACGTGGCGTTGAGTAGACCGCCGAGAACTTCTCCAATGTACATGGCCAGCTCCTCAGTGGCGTACGACAGCATCGCAGCTAGAGGGATGATGGCAACAAAGTTGACCACGAAGACCGCTGTCTTGTCAACATGGCTGTATTCCAGAGCGATACCGACCGGCACCATGACCAAGAGGATGTTGATATAGGAGCCAAAGACGGCCTTGAATTGGCTCATGAACGTGATGTGGGGATATTTCTTCCTCGACTTCTTCTTCGACTCGTCCGTCTCGGCTCGGTCGACGCCATCGGCGTCCTTCTTCTTGCTGAACGGGGCGAAGAACTTCCTGCGTTTCCTCGCTTTGCCGTTCTCCCCATTCGACCCTACCGAATCTTCGATAGATCCCTGAGGCACAGGTTCGATCGAGGTATCGTTCTTCTCAGTCTCCCCGCTTGGCTTCTCAGTTTCACTGAAATCTCCTTTTTCGCTGTTCGACGGCATTCCCATCTGAGGGCCTGGTGGGTATGTACTCGACTTATCCGGTCCTCGGAATGGTCCATTCTCCTCATCTGCCTGCAGTCTTCGTTGGTCCTCGAGCGTTGACACACCGTCGCTGGACTGAATGTGCGCCAAATTGTTCTGGTTTTCCACGTCGGTGCCAACTCGGGGGCGTGTGTTCATGCGGCCAAAGGGATTGTATGTGCGTTGCGTGTCATTGCCGTCGAAGTTGTGGTACCAGGCGTCTCGCCGAGCTGCCTGCTTGATCTTGTCTAACCGCAACGAACCCGTTAGCACCATCTCGAGAAGAACATGCGACACGTGCAAGCGGTGTCCGAGAAAGAAGAAGGTACGTATACATACGCATCGTGAGTTTGATGGCTCTGACTGCGCCGACTCCTTCTCCGCTCAGGAAGCTTTGTCAATGGCTGTGTCCCTGTCGTGGAACCCAATCAGAGGTGCGGTTGGTTCCCAAACCGACGCCCGACTAAGCAAAAGCTGCTGCAGGTAGCCGAGTCGCGTGTTGGTGTGTAGTTGCAGCAAAATTGGACGCCCGGATAATGCCAAGGCGAGAGGGCTTCGAAGAGGGTGAACAGTACTGCGACAGCAGGGCGCTCTCCTTTTGACCAGAGTTCAAGTTGCAAGTGTTGCGCTCCGCGTCGATCGTGTGGCTGAGGCGCGTTTTGATCCAAGCTGATGATCTTGGGGAACCAACGGTCAGTCCACTTCTTTGTGGCGTTCAGGGACGGCGCATGCAATGCGATGTCATCGATCGAGTTGGAGAAGTCAACGTGGAGGAATAAGCAGGTCAAGAGTCTGGAAGTAGCAAGGACATCGTATGTAGGGAAGGCGCAGTGGTGAATATTATCGCCAGGAATTGCGACTTTTGCCAACAAACTGCGACCAATTTCCCTGTCGTCATGGCGTTTGAGAGGGCCAATCCAAAAGGCCAGGGCCACAACAATCTTGTTTTGGCGAAGTGCTGCATGCTCGCTCTCGCATAACTATGGCGCTACGAAAAGGCATATACGCGCGACTGGAGCGACGTCGTTCTCCTCATCACTCCGATCAGGTGTCGTACGCATCAAGCTCACGCAAGGCGGATTGGCTGTGCTGGCAAGCTTTGCCATGCCACGATGCCACGACAACAAGCCCTTGGCGAGACGAGCTGTCCGCGGACAGTTTGGCCGATGACCGACGATATACGCCGCTGGGCGATTGCGAAATGCGAAGCAATTAGGCTACCGACTACGTAGCAAAAGGAAAAGTGAACACTGCGCCTCGGAGGATGAGTAGTGGGAGGCAATAAAGGTTGGTTGGATGATTTCAATTGCATACCATATTGGCGAGGAGTGAGAACGTTGGCTTGGCAATCGTCGCAGGTAACTTTCATATTGTTGGGTTTGTATTATGATCCTGTGACTGGAATTGTTGGATCAGTTGCTGACAGAAGGCCATCATCTGCTCATCGCTCAGTGCGTCGGGAGTGTTGACTATCTCTGGGTATGCCTGGCCTGACGATGTCCCAAACAGCATCCTAAAGATGACACAAGCGTCTTTCAGGAAGTTCGTGCGTCGTCCTCGCAAGGATGCGTACACCGATGGCCAGATATCCGCAAGGTTCGTGGGTCCATTGCACAATCGAGAGTGCAGCTCTCGAAAAGGCAAGGATAGAGCGGAATGGTTCGACGGGCCGTTCACAACATCTCCACGTTTGCTCTCGATGTCGTCCAAGTCCAGCACTCCATTTGCAAACTGGAACAGCAGCCGCTTGGCACGTATTGCCTCATACAGAGTCCACAGTCGACTGTTCCAGCTCGAGTACAAGATGCTGAAGATGGCCTGTTCATACGAGCAGTCCTTTGGGAGCCGCGAGACGTCAGAGTCGACGACAAGTACCGCCGCAGCTGCGTTCGCCACCATCTGCATGGCTTGTACAGCAACCTCGCTGGTCCCGCTAGGTTGCACCTCGCGGGCTGGTATGCATAGAACATCGATCCAGACCCGGAAAGGAGAGCCCTCTGGATAGCCCAGCCTCGAGATTGCAGCAGTCGTGCAGTCTCTCAAGCTGCGGAGCTGACACTTTGGTAACTTGTTCTCTCTTCGATTGCACAGGCCATCGCTCAAAGCGTGGGATATTGCAATAATGGGGATGTTAGGCGTCCAGGCATCAAGTACGATATCTTGATCGTCGAAGCCAACGACTGGCAGGCATCCTTGCTCTATCAGGGAGAGCAATTCTCCGGACTCAGGCCCGTCGCATTCACAGGTGCAATCTGCTTGAGTATGCCATGGTCTTTCGTCGGTGTGCGCTATGTCGTTCGCAACGCATCTCGCTATGCTGCAAGTTTCATGATTCTTGCTCGTCTGTGTCCGGCCGATGGCTTGCCATGTCTTCACACCGGCTTCAGAGTAGGCCTGCCGCACACGATCTTTGATATTTGGGCACTCGTTCGTGGACTCATGGTCCAGACTGTCGTTCATTCGTTGAGCTGAGAAGGGTCGACATTGGCTTGATGATTGTTGACTTTGTGGATGATACTCTGGCGAGGACTGGAGAACTTCGAGATTGCTCACAACATAGTCAGCCACAATTCCTTGCTCGTATAAGACTTCTGGCCAGAATACATTCACTTCACCTATTCAAACTGCAGCGACGATGTAGAGGCTCATGGAAGGTGGCATTCGTCTGATGCTATCATATACTGGAGAGTTCCATCATGCCTTGCTGTCTTTGGTCAAAATGCTTGCTTTTCCTGCAACCTCCGGCCTGCTCAAATCCAGGAGAGCAGCGTTGTTCGGCCAGAGACCAAGCAACTCCTTCTGATCTTCGGTCTTTGCTTCTGCAACCAGATCGTCCAAGCCAGCCTGAGTTTTTCCCTGTAACCACTGGACCTTAGCGACCTCCCACTTGTCGTACCAAGAAACGTTACGCTTGTCCGGCAGCAATCCTCGATCCCGCATGTATTCCTCTTCGGCTTCGTTGGGCTCGAGCATCACGTATGTCGCTGTTCGACCTTGAGCACCGGCTTGACACTGGTGGACAAGCAACCAAATGCCAACCTCTTCGCGCTTCTGTACTCCAATATTGAATATTGCCCCAACGCTTGCGATTGTCATCACTGCAACGGTGCACATTTGCGTGAGCAGAGTTGCCTGGCCGATAGCAACCAGCTGTACTCCGAAAGACAACCAGGCGAGCGCTCGCAAAATCAGTAGCTTAAGCTGCTTCCAGTGCCTCAGATATAGCCTCCGTCTGCTCTTGGACATCAAGGCAGGGATGATGTTCGTCAATGAAGTGGTATTCCAAACCGGTCGCGGTTGTTTGATGTCGAGCATACTCCCAATGAGTCCTCCAGGGACATGGCAAATGGCCAATCGTCCGTCAGGGTGCACAATCAAGAGCTTCTTCCCGGATAAAGCATCCAGATCGTCGGGTGTTTTGTCCTGCTTGATCCTTTTCTTGTGGAAGTTTTGCGCCCTTGTGTCGATGTCTGCACGGTAGCTAGCGGTAATAGATGCTCGTGAAACGACTTGGATCAGCATCGAGCAGGCATTGGCCACACCATACCAGTCTGCCTGGACGCCGCTCAAAGCTACAAGACCAAAGTTTACCGCGAAGCCTAATAACATGGACACCCAAGCTCGTGTGGGCATATCGCGGGGAGTTTCTCGGACAATCCAGTGGAGTACATTATAGTCATATTCAAGGTTTGTATGAAGCCAGCGTGTGAACCAAGGTGCGAGTTCCGTAACCCAAATGCCGTCGGTCAGATTGTAAAGAGCGAATCCAGGTTCGACACTAGCAATTTGGTTGCTCGCAACTTTGAAGGCTCCAAAAAGTGGAAGATAGTCCGTGAGAGCGTTTCTTGTGAGTGAGCCAATAGCTCTTGCGACTTCGTCGGCTCCAAGGAGGGTGATTAAACCAAGGGCGTCCAGGCGGAAAGGTGCCCAAGTCAGGAAACGACTGATTGGGAAATCACTATTTGGTATCGGGGCCATGTCAATGAGGAGGAGGACGATGCTGGCTCATTTAGTTGGCCCATACATTCATGTTTCGTCTGTGTTGTTCAGCTAAGGCTGGACGTCTTTAGATCGTCAAAGCACAGGCCAGTGGGGCGTCTGCATTTGCAGGGGGCCAAGATACTTCACCTGCGTACAAGTGTCTTGACGCGTGCTCATCACAGTTTCCACTTTCCATCAAAGAGGTCAGCAAGCAACGAAGAAGGACTTCCATCGAAGACAGAGCTTCGACCCTGCTGGCCGGTTTAGCCATCCATGCTCCATTGATGTCGAAGTTGCTTCTCGGACGGTGTTATCTCGCCTTCGCGTTTTGGCCAGACATGCATCGCCTCAAGACACATTGCTGGCATCGGATTGCTCGCATATGGGCGCAAGGTAGCTCCAGTCGTATGCGATGTGTCCTTCTGAAGAAAGAAGACATCCATCTGGTAGTTCGAGAGTGAAAGGAGAAGAAAGATTGAAAGAAGAGATCCAATGCATTGGGACCCCGCGTAGGTTTGAGTACGCGGGATCAAAACCACGCCCGTGAAATGAGGCGTCTTGCCACACCGTGGACCATGAACCTCTGACTCCAATACAACACTGCCACATAAACCACCGACACACGCCCAGACGTCGTTTATGGCGAAGCTGTACACGCAAGGAACGAGGCTATGCGAGCTTCACTCAGCCAATGACAGCATGCGATGGATCAACCGAATTCACACCGGATGATCGACAAAGGAAGCAAACATAGGGGCCTTGAAAGATTGCTTGCCTGCCATAAGGTAGGTGACAAACTGCGCCCCCATCTTTGTAAGGAAACCCATGCAAGTGAAGGCGGATCCGACTGTCGAGTTCTGTAAAGGCCGGGCACAATCTCATCTCTTCAAGCTTGGGTGCTTCTTGAAAAATATGCTTCGACAAAAGGCATAAAGATGGCCAAGTCTGGCACACGGATCCCAGGAAAAGACAGCAAAATAGTCTGCAGGTCCATTCTCCCCATGGGCGACAACCAGTGACGTTGAAGTAAGCGCAAAGTCTGGCACTGTGAAGGAAGTAACGACACCATCCAGCCAACTTCACGCCAGGTAAATGCTTCACCAACTCCATCAAAACAATATATACACCTCGCTCTCCTCCTCCCCATCCCACCCCCTCTCACTGTGCATCCTCCTCCGGTATACTCCCCAGCGCACCGCCCTCCACCAACCCCGGATCCAAATTCCACAAATCCACATCCACATCCCTCTCAAGATCAAACCCACTCCAATCCGTACTCAACACATCCTCCAACGAAGAAAACGCCCCATCCCCAGCACACTCCTCCAACCACTTCGCCTCCTCCAATAACCCCTCCTCCAACATCTTCCCCAACTCAACATCCTGATTCGCCTCCACCTTCTTCGCCAACTCATCCCTCGGCCGCGGCGATCCCAAAGGCTTCTTCTTGTTCAGCCCACTCTGACAGTACGAGCACGCCGCCGGCACGACGAGGTGGTGGTTCCCGTGCACGACCGTCCAGCAGCGGCCTGTGAGGTGACCCGTGCGGCATTTTTTGATTTCGAGGAATTCGCCGTGTCCGCAGCTGCACCATATTAGTTCTTGGGTGCACATGGTGCGACGAGGGGAAAGGGAAAGGGGGAAAAGCGTGGGACCCTGAGTTGTCCTTGCTTGCATGCGCTGGACTGGGCGATGCGCGGGACTTATGGTTTGTAGTGTGGCAAAATCTGGCATCGGGGGGAGATGGGTGACTGAGCGTGATTGTGCTTTGTGAGGAGGATGTTTGGGACGGGAGAGCAAACTACGGGAGAGAAGGTTCTGCCGCGGCTATCAGCTATTCTGACATCCTCTCGTCGTCACATCAGAATGCAGAATCGCCGAGCAGGTCGTGATTCGGGAGGCGGAGGTGTTGGCGGAGTCGGGGGAGTGGGCGGTCTCAAGACTGGCATGATGCCCTTCGACTTCAAGCAGTAGGGACAGTGGCGTCCAGCGTAGATTCGCTCAACCCATCGCCGTTGGCAGAGCTCTTCATGTTCTTGGACAAGAATGCGGTTGCCGGGGTGCACACAAGCGTAGATGTATTGTTGGTCGTAGCACATGAAAGTCTGAAGTATGTCTTTCTTGCCGGACCTATCATTGTAAGGGGACTGATGCTTTAGGAATAGATTCTGACATTATCTTGATGTCTCTGGGACGAGATCTGTTTCTTTAGATGAACATGCTTACGATGCATCGGAGATCTTCAGATGCATGACCGTCTCCTCACCAACGTCCTTCACTGTGGCCATTAGTTCTTCGAAGCCAAACCCCCAGGCGCAAAAGGCGTAGGCGAACAAGAAGTCACCGTCGACGTCCCCGTATTATTATACTCGGTCTGCACACCTCCAACACAAGCCTTTTCCAACAAGTCAGCACACATCTATCTCCGTTCCAACACGAGGCTGCAAAGCCTCGAAGCAAACATACCGGGCACAGCCCACCCCAAGGCAACCACGTCGTGCTCGTCATCAACTTCTTGCACCCATGGCAATCCACACTATCCGTCGCCGTAGTCTTGTAAATCATCGTGGTGCAGCCGCTGCAGTCCACTGGCGCCGTGACGGTCAAGGTAGTCGGACATTGTTTTGAAGGCGGCTTGTAGTCTGTCTTTGTCGGAATATCGTCTGCGACCACCAGGCAGACGGCGAGGAGAGACGCGGTCGTAAGGGTGAGCTTCATGGTTGCTGCCGGGTTCTCCAAGGCCAAGAGGGATGTGGTTGATGGCAGGCTTTTAGAAGGTTGAACTCCTTGCTGGCGGATGTCTTATCTAGAACGCAAGGAGTAGTAGGTACCGTCAGCTGCTCAGCCTAGGACCTTCGTCGTCTCTACATCCGTCCCTCGAATACTATCGTGTTTCCAGAAAACGCCACTAAAAGGGTAGCATGACAAGCAGCCCATGCAACGCGAAGCACAACACGAGGTCGAATATACTTCTCGAAACACAGGGATCTCCATGATCCGGGGTCATGATTCGCAGGAATGTTGGAGGTACTACTTGGACGGTGTCGCAGTGAGACTCATTCATCTCCTTGCCAGGCCATGTTCCATGCCCGGAGTTGCGCAATCGACTCGCAATGTTTCGGTGGCCGTTAAGGGACAGGGATAGTAAGAGTCGAGGCCGGCTTCTGACGGAACGAAGTTGACGCTGGAGTCATGGCGGAATGTCGCTCTAATATAAGACTGTCCACGTGGGTAGTGAGGAGTATTTGACACTAAAAACAAGATCAGATCGTAACAGCATATGGTAAAGCCTCCCAGCGCCGCGCTATATCTGGAGATGCACACTCCTTCAACAAGAATCAATCTCCCAGCAGTATTAAAATCTATTCCCTTCTTGAATAGTGGCTCGTTCGCCCATTTCTCTCCTCCGATCCATACTAACAGGCGAACCGTCCAGCTCCACGCGATGTACTGGTACTTTGCCCGTCTTCTCATTCATAGGGTGATATCGATCCAAAAAGCTATGCAAATGCTCTTGCCCATTGGTCGTCATGGTCTGCATGCTTCCCACGTCGCTACCGTCGCGAGATACGGGTGCTGAGCGGAAAGGTGAGTGCTGGATGGTAATGGGTGGAGGAGGTCGGAAGTTGTAGCTGTCAGGCTCGATGATGGAGTCTCTCCTCCAGCCTTTTTCTCGAAGGAAGAGGAAGACCGCTGCGCAGATGGCGAAGAGGAGCGGGAGGCCCAGACCGCATCCTAGACCTGCCATTTGGGCTGCTGAGTACATTCCCTGGGGTTTGGAAGGTTCGCTCGAGGGACATGAAGTGACAGTCGTTTGCGACGCGGAGGATGCGGCGGTGCTGCTGTTGAGGACGGGCTCGATGAGCGCTCGGACTTGCGCCGGTCGTAGAACGAATGATCCGCCGCCGGACATGGTGAAGACGCCTGTACTGCTGTCGCAGGCGGAGGCATTCAGGCCACAGACGAAAGAACTCGAGCCACCGTCATCCGAACAAGGTGTGAGCGCAATGCTGCCACTCGGTGAGTCTATCCCAGTCAGCACCATCCCATACCGTTCCATTTCCATCCCAAATCTCACCTGTCTTGCAATACCCCGTGCACGCCGAACTCCCCCAAGTCTTATCCGTACAGCTCCCCCGACTTACAATCCCACCACCAAAACACAGCCCATTATCCATACAGAACGAACTCGAGCTGCAACATGACGAATCCCCATTGGTGCTGCAAGGTGTGTCGGTCGAAGGCGATCCATCGGGGTAATAGCACTGTTGCGCAGTGCCTAATGAGATCAAGAGAGTGGCAGCCGCGAGAGCCTGGCTGAGGCTGAGAGAGAATGGCATGGCCGTCGCTTTTGGCCGTGAAAGTGATTAAGTATTATATCAAAAAGATCGAGACCGTCATAAGGAAGAATATGAGAAGAGAATGAAGCCTCACACGGCGTGTTCTTCGCCAATACCACAGCAATCGCCAAATAGAATGAAAAGAGAACAAGAGAGAAGTCACAAACCTGCTCCATCGCCTCCCTCGCTGGCGTCGTCCAACACGCGCAAGTGTCTCCCTGCTATGTGCCGAGGGCGTAGCACAGCCGTCCTCGAACTGCCAGACGAAGGCATTCGAGACCAAAAGGTTCTGGTCGGCGTGCGACGCCAGGCCAGTTCAGGGGAGTTGGACACAGCAGAGTTCGCGACGTTGGTAACGCTCGATAGTCCACGCGGCATGGTTAGATGAGGGTGGCTTTCTGATTTGCTGGGCGTGCGGCGCGGGAATCTGTTTTTCGCAATGCTTTCGTGCGTCTTGCTGACGCTCGCGTGGCTGCGAAACGTGTGAACGGGGAGATGATCTTTTGATGTTTGATGAAGTGTGAAGAATCTGAAGACGGTGGAGGATCGGCAGGTGGGATGCGTTCTCAGCAGCGCTGGTGACGACCGAGGCTCTCCATGGATTTCTGTAGGCTTGCGATCTCAACGCTTCGCGAAACTTTTTGCGATGTTGTTGTTAAAGATATGGTGTGTTGGAGGGGAAGAGGATGGAACGACGAAACTTGAAAGGGGACACTCTCTCCTCTCTGCGGCACACGCCTGATATTCGGCTCGTTATCTCTCGACCTTATCTCGAACCACACCGACAATCCCCTTCCATATCTCTGATCAGCACCAGAAAGAAAGAATCGTTCACACCTGATGATTTACAATCTTCTTTTCATTCTAGTTACAATATACTGTGCCCTTTTTCCTACTCGCCCACACGCGAAAACACAACTACAACTTTTTGGTATCATCCTGCAAGAAAGACGCCCTCATCTACATATACGCGCGTTTTGGCTGGTCAGGCAGCATATATCACGCTCGTCATATTTGTTCACTTCTCACTGCGGAGTTGTATCGCCCTTCGAATTGGACATGCTGTAAGGCGCGAGGACTTTCTTCGCATTGCAAATCCGCCATCCGAGGTTCCGCACGTTGCCATCGGCTTGTACGACCTCTGGCGCAAACTCGATGCCAAACATTTGCTTGACGGCGTAGACGACTCTCTTGGCGTATTTGCCTTCTCTTTCTAGGGTTGGCCCAAACGTCTCGTCGACGCTGCGAGGGGCGACATCTGGATCGCGGTCGAAGCAGTTCTGGACGACAGGGAGAAGTGCCTGTTCGACGGCGTTGCGAATCTGGCCATTGTTCTCAAAGTCTTCCTCATCGAAGCGGTTGATCTTGATCTCGAATGGGAGGGAGATTGCCATGACGTTGTATTTGCCGTCGTGGTGGTACCGGAATTCGAAGACGCCTTGTGTCCACCAAAGCTTGTCGCCAGAGAACTCGATTTCGCCGTACAGGAAGTCCTTCTCTTCGCCATCTTTGCGCTTTGCAGCAGATACTCTTTGATCAGCGACAAAAATGCCCTTGTCGGCTTTGCTGTAATCGAAAGCGCCTGGATTTGTGGCAACCCAACGGCCATTGGTTCCGACCTTGGTCACTTCTCTGGACTGGTTATCACCCACGCGGTAGAGACCAATCCAGTCCTTCTTGCTATGGTGTAGAGGAGCGGTCCACTTGACCTTGATCGGCGAGCCGTATTCTACAACCACACGTTCGAAGCTGTCCGCGCGCTTGAGAGGCAGCTGACCGTTTTCGCCTTCACGACCGCTCTCCGAAGCCTCGCCAAATTTAAGGCCGCTGGAAGCAGCATCGATTTCGAGAGAATAGTCCTTTGGGTTGTATCCTGCCAGGTCTGGAGCAACGCGGGAGATGCTGACTCTGGCCGGAAACTGTCTGAACATCGTGGTCGAATCTTGCACAAAAGTGTTGAATCCAGCGGCGAGCTTGGGGCCAGCCTGGTCGATGAAGTCTTCGAGGTTGTCCAGAGTCTGATCGAGCATGTGGTCGACGCTTCCTGTCCACTTCTGGAGTGGTGACGGCAACGAACGCTTGATGCTCTTCGAAACTCCAGATTGTTGACGAAGGCCTTGGCGATACAGTTTCTGCATATGCGGCTTCTCAACGAACTGAATGAAGCACAGCGTAAGTGTGTGGCTGAGAAGCGCCAGGAAGAAGATTGCCTTGCTCCAGGTCATAATCGCGGCACCCCAAACACCGGCCAAACCAATGGTTCTCTCGGGGTTGTTCAGGAAACGATAAATACCTCCATAGGTAAGCTCTGGGTGCTCCTGGTCGAAGAAGAAGTCACCAAAGAACCAGCCGAATTCGCCGAGTGACTCGTAGATACTGGCAATGGTCCAGATCTGGAGTGCGATCAAGCCAAAGCCAGCGACATGGCGCAAGATAGCCATACCGTATGTCCAGTCTTCTGGGAGGCCTGCAATCGATGCATTAGTACATGCTATCAGGTTCGGGTTAGATGTTCGTTACATACCGTACATCTTCCAGGCAGCACAGATGAAGCTGGTGTAGCACATGATCATGCTGACATGGTAGATTCCCTTCCACTGGCGCCAAGCCTCTTCGGTGCTCTCACCAAACTTGACGAAGTGGCGAGTCCATGACTTCTTGTTCGACTGTCGGTCCAGGATGACGCCGATACCAATGGAGTACCAGAGCCGCCACAGTGTTGCACTGAGCACAAAGAAGGCCTGCCACCGCCAGGTCGATGGGGTGAGGAACGCCACAGTGTACATATAGATCTGCAGGAGAATGACTGAGACATCAGTGACACGGTGGAAGTCGATGTTCTGGAGCCCGATGAGGTTGTGGACCGGTGATGGCTGGCTACTGGAAGCGAGTGGAGGGTATCCATTGACATGTCCGGCACTCAACATACGGGTCGTGTACTGTGGTCGCTTTGGTGGGGAATCTGGCACTTCGTCTGATCGCTTGGGCGGTGGTGGTGCATTGTAAGTCCTGTGAAGAGGTCAGTATGTCGCTAACGGGTGTAGGCACTGGGGACTTCACCTCTCGATGTGCGGCGATTCCACAAACGCAAGGAAAGCGAGCTGTGCAGCGTGACCGATAATCGAAATGAACAGCACCTTGTAACTTGCGGCCATCATGGCAATACCATAGAATCCCACATAGCCGATCGAGTACATGGGATGAGGAGCAAGCTCGAAGACGCCATCGAAGGTCAAGTCCTGGTCAATCAAGTAGAAGAAATCACCCCAGTACCAGGCAAAGTCCTTGACAACTCTGTGAGCATCGAGCTTCACCCACAAGTTGAAGAAGACAAGAGCCCAGCCACCAACCCAGCGGGCGATGGTCATGGGCAGCTTCTCATGCTCTGGACGGCCGCCGCAAGCGAATGCGAACAAGACGAATGCGGTGAAGTCAGACATCAGGATGAGATCTACAACACGGCGAAAGACGAGCCACGTGTTGTACTCGATGGGGGCATCCTCGAACTTGTAGTCTTTGGGGATCTTGGCTTCCATTTCTCGCTTGATGAATTTGTAGAGGATGGGGTGAGAGTTTTTGCCGCTTGTGGGATTTTCGAATATGTGCGTCTTCTTGGCCCAGTTCACGAGGCGCTTGTGGTGGGACTGGTTATGGAGGAGCCATCCGATGCCAAAATTGTAGCAGAAGCGCCACCAAAGGAAGACAATGGCAAAAACGGGGACTCGGAGTTGCTTTGGCAGGAGGTACATGAGGAGGGCCTGGCCTCCCAAGGCGCCGACAATGGCAATGTCGGACAGGTTCTTTGGCTGCGTTGGGTCGAAGAGCTGTGAAACCATATCCTCTGTGTGAGGCACAGTGAATACTACACACGAGACATATCAGCGCTGCGGGTGTGGAAGAGCATGGTCGGGTTAGAGATTCGCGAGCGGCGACGGTTCAATCGGTGGTTTTCTCGACCTGCCTAAGGTATCGCTACGACGGAAGCTCGCTCTCTCGACGCCATGTCTAGGCGAGCACTGGAAGTACTCACCCGTGCCGTCCAGAGTCCGCCCATATGTCTTGCGGTCTTTTTCGTCTTTGCCCTCGGCCTGCTCTTGTTCATTCAGTGCCCTCACAGCCTGCTGGGCAGTCTCAACGGACAGTGCTTTTTGCGGCGCCTCAGGCTTGTTGGGAAGCCTCTCGCGCAGTCCACTGGCGTCGACGCCAGCCGGTTCGTTCGCGTCGGTCATTCTGGAGTCCCTTCTCGGTGTTGACATGAGGGCCAGTGGCGGGTGTGTTGAAGAAAGACGGCAGCGTCGTGGGAAAAGCGCTGCTGGGAGAGTGCGGGTTGGGGTGTGGTGGTTTAAGTGAATGCCATCATATAGCCATAGAGTTTCGACGAAGAGCGGGGCGCAATAGAAGAGGTGCGCTGCGAGGTGGAACAGCAAACGATTCTTTCACGACTCACGCACAGCAGGCGTCAATTGGTTGAAGAAGTGGCTGCGATGCTGCTCGTCATGCACGATCGAGGGCATGGCCGTTGCCGCCCCACGCCTCGATGTCATGTGCGAGAGGGTGAGTGAATAAAGTCGCGCACACTTGGGAAAGACGACTCGGCACGTCTCCTTTGTCAACTTGCCGAACAGCAGCGACATCAACGACGAGACACGCAGAACCAGCCTCTCGCGTACCATCTGTACACCGGATCATCACGATATGCGCGAATTGATGCACCATTGCGCAAAATTTTGTCCCGCAAGCTCTACTTCCAACTCTGCCAAGGCTGAGGCATATCCGGCCCTTTAACCACATCATTGACTGAGCCATTTACGACAGCTCCCAACGAACCCACTTCTCATCCTCACTCACTCAATCCCTCGTTCCCTTTCTGTGGGTGCTCTGCTGCTAGCTTTGGTCGTGCAGGACGCGGCCAAAACACTTGTTCTCCCCAAGCATCAGATGCATGCATGGAATACGACGTAACAGTACCTCGCTGCTCTCTCCAAGCGAGGCCCTTCACTTATCCAGGGCTTTCTTCTGCTTTGCTCTTGTCTACATGGCTGACTTGAAACTAATTGTCACAGCTGGACAGGAAGGGCCTTTCAGCCACTCGCTGCATGCAATCCTCGTGGATCACTACTGAAGACTCAGTACAGGCAATGCATGTCGAAATATGGCCACTCGAGGCTGGCCAGCATTCGACCGCCATACATCATCGACAGAAGCATTGCAGAAGCATTTTCATCTCCAAGCTCCTTCGTTGTCAATCAACCCAAGCAACATTGACGACCCGCTGTCATACTCGATTCTCGCAATGGGCTGTCCGTCTTATTCATTCACTTCCACCAGTCCCCGCTGAACTAGAGGTTCCACGAACCTCCACGCACTGGACAACGCCCTGGTCGTTGTCACGAAAACTCCCACGGCATCTCCCACGTCACAGGCTTCCTACCTGCGCCGAACCCAACAACGCTAACACTGCTCGAAGAGCATAGCTCCTATGGAGTAGCCAAGCGGAGACGAAGACGGGCCACCTGTACGCTACGGACTGTCCTGCGAGAAATGTGCACCTCGACGTGAAAATCATGTGGGAATCTTTTTCTCGCGTTCCTCTCGGCCTCTGGGATGGCTTGCAGCGACGGCATGTGACGGCAACACAACATCTCGACACCACCATCACGACACGAACGGACCAGTGGAAGCTTTCCACATTATCAACCAATGCTCACGACAACACAACATGACTACGATGAGGTGAAGTCCATTTAGCCTAACGCACGTGCCTCCAAATGAATGAACCGAACATGAGTTCACCGCTCGCACCAGACAATGATGGACCGAAGGAAGCACGACATTGGTGAGAATGGGCTGAGATAAGACTCATTCGTTAGTATGTAATTTATACAATCTCCTGTGTCCACACCGGACCAAAGTCCATTCCCTTCGATCCCTGGGTTCTCTCGAGTTGAACCTGCAACTCGTCTGGATGGTATCTAGATTCTCTCTATTTACAAAGCTGCTGTGAAGCATCCTTTCTTTCTAATGGTTCACCTCCCATTCATGCAAAAGAAACCCATCGCCATGCTCAGCATGATCAAATAACAATGCTGCAAAACTTTTTCCAACGTCTTTCCACCCGAAGTTTCAGTGCTCGCGGTCTTCATTCCCGACAAGAGTGTCTGCCTCTGAGGGGCTGGATCGCGGTCTCTCAGGATTGGGAACTGGTTAGGGAGTGGATATAGGCCTTGGAGCAGCCGAAATTGGTGAATGGCCAGTCTCCGGCCTCTCGACATCAGGAACTGGAACCTCCGTCCCCTTGCCTGCCAACATCGAACGAGAGATCCGAACGAAGAAGATCGAGATGATGAGTCCAGCTCCAGCAGAAACTGCAGCGTAGATGAATGCAGCCTGAAATGGCCACGAGATGTGCCTGAAGGACGCTTCTTCATAATCTGGCGAGCTAGGCGCTGGAACCACGACATCGCTCTCGGCTTTCTTGGCCACGATCTCAGATATTGACAGTGAGAATGACATGGCAAGGTTAATGAGGATGGATCCCACTGCTCCGGCCAGGCCTTGATATCGTTGCGGTGATACGGCGGTGAGGAAGACGACGGAGACCGTGTATGTCAGGTCGATGCCGATAGTCGCGCACAGCATCGACGGCATGACGAAGGCCCAGTAGTTCACCGGCAGTGGGCAGAGGGCGAGGAGAAGGGGAGCGCCGATCCACGCCAGAGCCGAGATGAAGAATAGAAGCATGACCGGTGCTCTGTGCAGGATTGCGCCAGACAATGCACAGAGGAGCAAGCCACCGATGGCTGTTGGAGTGTACCACGCGGCCAGCGTGACACCTTGGATACCGTTCGGTGTACCAGTCAGCTCTGGGCTCTGGAAGAACTGAGCGGATTCGTAAAGCCAGACACCGTACGAGGCGTAGAAGCAGAGACAGGCCATCGACAACGCCTTGACGCTCTTGGGTTTGAAGAAGTCGAAGGGCAAGAGCGCGCTGGAGTTGGTCATGTACCATCCTTCCACCCAGAACGCCACCCCAAGACATCCAAGACCGCAGATTAGAGGACCCAAGACCATGGCCGTTGACCAGCCTGACCCTGAAGTACCAGCTGCAGCGTAAGGCTCCACAGCGAGAGCATACGCCACAAGAATCAGACCAGCGGTGATGAGGAACGCACCCCACCAGTCCATCTTGAGATTCATCTTCTCCCTGTCGGTCGGATCATGCGGTACGGTAAGATACGCCGTGATAGCCGTGATGAAAGACAGGGCAGCGGCGATGTAGAAATACCAACCAGGCGCACTATCCGGCAACGCACCTGCGACGAGGAACCCAGCGAAGAAACCAACAGGAGCACAGCCTGCGTACAAGCCCAGCACGATATTCTTCCGCTTACCGCCTTCAGGGTACGTACTCCCAAGCATGGCGAACGTCGACGGAATGGAAGCCGCAATCGCGAGACCTTGCATCGCTCTCGAGACGTCGAGCAAGATACCCGCGCCAGCGAAACCCGCCAGTAACGACCAGATGCCCAACCATAGCACGCCGAACATGAACGGGAAGTATCCGCCATACATATCCGAGATGCGAGCGAAGATCAGGAGAGTCGCGCTGAGGATGAGAGAGAGCAGACTCGCCGGCCAGAACTCGCCCATGTCGCCTGGGTTGTTCCTCGCGGCGTGGCGCTTCATGATCTTGGGCAGTTCGATGGCGAAGCCGGAAATCATGTATTCTGCGAGCAGCTGGGTCATGGCGATGGTGAAGCAAAAGCCGATTTCCATGGCGATGTGCCGGAATCTGCTTTTGTGCTTCCGGGTACCGTCCTCGTTGAGAGATTGGGCTGCTGAGGCTGTATGCGGCGTCGTGGCCCCTGAGTTTGGAGGTTCGCCCATGCGCTTCATTTCCATGGTGTCGCGGTCGGAAAGGGTCTCCACTTCTGAGTGAATCGTCGGCTCGCGTTCGAGAGGACTGTCGCCATGGTCCGAGGCAGGGCTTTGGTGCTGTAAGGACTTGCGCTTCCAGTCCCGGCGCTCGTGGTGGAGGGTGATGAGGCTGTCGAGACTGGCAAGCCGAGAGAGAGAAGCACGTGGTTTCGGTCTCATGCTTCTAGAGTGCTGCGAGCTACTTCTGGAAATGGACGGCTGTTCCAAGGCTGGCAACTTCCAGGGGTCATTCGGCAGCATATGAGGCGGAATCGCAGGGATCGGAGTCTGTTCACTCGCAGCGATGTCTGGCACAGATCCCGATCTCAAAGGCGGATGACTCTGCGGTCGACGTGGTTGATTCTCCGCAGGTGATTCGAAGATGGAGTTTGCTGCGGACCCAGGCTGACTTCTACAGAAATTCCTCTCGTAGCGCAACGACGAGTGACGGGTCACTGGCGTCGGGGACCGCAACGGCGCGGGTAAGCTGGCGTCTTCGTATGCGTCGACAGAGTCTTCGCCTTGGAGTCTTGACAATGCACCTGCAATTGCTTGTGACTGCGAATAGCCAGTCGGCACACGAGTCGGTGTCGGAATCGCTGTCGTAGTCGCTGTCGTAGAGGCTATCGAAGGCCTTGGCAGGCCATGTGGCAGGTCAGGCATTTGTGAGATCTGAGACACGGGTATTGACGGTCCATGTGTTGACGATGCCATTGAGACTGGGCGTCGAGGTGGGAGATACGGTGGCGTTGAACTCCTTGACAAACGCTTGTTCTCCATTTCTGAAGCGGATTTCGGTCGTCGAGGAGGCAAGAACGGTGACTCGTTCGATGAAGATGCCATGATTGTACGTTGTCGTTCTGACCGTTCGTTCGTTTATTCGTTTGTTCGTCCGTCCGCAAAGATCTGAGATGGGAGGATCACAGTCCACATTCACCGAATTTACCGGCTCGATCAAAATCAAGGGACAAGTACGGCGGCCATGTACTGAACCCAGAAGGAAGTCTTGGCCCCAGCCCTTACAGAGCGTTGCAAGTTCAGGAGAGGGAGAAGCAGGGAGCTAGAAAGAGAAATGTTCATCCAAGGGGTTGGGAACAGAATAATCGGTCAAGGAGTACCATATGACGCACACGCACGCTGGGCACGTCTGTTCCAACGAGATGTCGGTCTTGGGGCCCTTTCTTTATATGTCGTTTGCTTGGACTGCTGGCTGCTGCGAGTAGCCGGCAAGGGTGCCTGCAGGGCCACACGAAGCGAGGGGAACAAACGCAGCATACCAGTAACACGGCTCTACGTGGAGCAAGATGGCCTGTCAAACTGGCCCGATCTGTGAGGAAAGATTTGGGGAAACGAGGAAAGACTGACCCACCTGGTGTGGGCTATTGTCCAGTTGGTACGCAAACCGCTGTCACGAGGGTATGCAGTTTGGGTCAGAGATGTTACAGATGTGCCAGCCGACAATCGAGCCCTGTGCGACGTGTCTCTCTCGAGCACGGCGTGGACCTTGTGTGCAGCAGCAGCAGCGAGCCAGCGACGCACCCAAGTGATCAAGCAGAAACGCCGTATAGGCGGCCGCCGAGAGCAGCACGGAACCGCACAAACTGGCTCTTCTCAGCAGCTATCCGTTTCAGCTTCAGACGTAAGACGGGCGGGCTGCATCTGGGAGTCTCAGCCGGCAAGCGGCGATGAAAGGACTGGGATGTCTGTACGGTGCTGCATGGGCGAGGCGGAACGTGTCTCCCGTCGAGATCAGGAACAGCGGTATAGCCAGGTCGTCGGGGCGACCAGATCTGAATTCAGAGGCATCGTAAATCGCTCCCAGTGGGGCGGGCTTGTGAATCGATCACATCCGCGTCTCGTCTCGTCTTCGCTCGTGTACGTCTATTGTATTTTGCAAAAACCGGCTCGCTTCTGTCTCAGACAAACGCTCCTGTACGGTTCGCCGCCCAACACGAGTGACAGCGGCCGGCTGTGTCACTGCCATGTTTTCACGGCCAGCTGGGGGATTCTCTGGGTCGGCTGCAGAGACGCTCAACGCCTTTGCAGTGCCATCGACAGGGGTTGCTGGCAGCTTGTTGCATCACCAGCGCAGCCAGAGTCGCACAGAGGGGAGCGGATCGCATACGGTTCATGCGACCTGGTCGATGGCCGCTCGTCTTGATCCCGGTCTGCGGGTTGGAAGAGGGCGATTCTTGGGAGCCACGCGTGTCGAAGTTGGGAAGAGAGAGTGTGAAGTGGAGTGTAGTCAAAGTGAGGCTGAGATTTCTGCAAGCCACGATGTGGTTGCGGGAAAGGGGTAGCACTCTGTGACAGCCGAGAAGTTCCGCGATGAATCTAAAGTCTGGTCGTATTTAACATATACATTCCTATCCTATCAACATTTGATTGTGCCTGTGCAAACATGGTATTTAATACAGATGCAACTCCGCCCCCTTGCGCTACTCCCTCAAGCCAAATCGTCCGCGTCACTTCTCCTTTCGGGAGCTGGTCCGACACTCGTCCTTCTCTTCTCAGATGGTGGTGCCGCGTGGCTGTCGTTCAAGTGGATGGCATTGGCTGAGTAACATCGCTTGTGCTGGTTTGGAGACTTTTCAGCGCCTACTTTGGCAGGCGAAAGTGGAGACTGGAGGTCTGCCACCGTGTCTCCCTCTGACGAAGAGGATCTCTTGCTCTGCCGAGCTGCCATTGCGGACGACTCCGCTGGTATTCCGTTGAACATGGGCGACATGACCTCGTGTGCGTACACGTGGTTTGTGTCATCGAAGGTCTCGTTCATGTCAACTCCGTGAATTGGGAATTCGTAGAAGCCGGAGTCAGCAGATGCGCTGTATGGCGAGGATTGGCGGCGCTCTCGCAACATCGAAAGATCCCAGTACTGAGGCTGTGTCTCAGAAGCTCTGCCGGCATTGGAGCTGTGGTGGAGGCTGCCGGCGAACGGCGAAGTCGAAACAGGGCTGTATGGCGTGAACAGAAACGGCGAAGGTGGCAGCTGGGATGTCCATGGGGTCATCGGAGAGTTGTAGTAAGTTCCTTGCTCGAAAGATGCGATGAGATCGTTACATTGTCGCAGAGCATCATGTAGACTGGCTTGCTTCGATTCCAGATTCGCCACCGCTCTTTTCGATAGTGCACGAGTGTATTGCCGCTTCTTCTTGTCGCTGCGTGACAGCTCCCTTTCCTCACGCTCTGCTAGTGTACGTTCCACTTTGGCAAGCTTCTTGTAGAGCTTGCTGAGCGCTTGATGCGTTTTGGCGAGCTCGACGGTGTAGTTGTGGTGTTGCTCATAGAGCAGAGGCAGTATGCTGGGTTGGAAGCCTGAGAACGACATGTTGGGTTTCGACGAGTCTGCGAACAATACTAGGCTGTTGATATGAACGGTGACAGCGCAAGAGTCCGGCTCCTCGCGCGAGGCACTATGTTCCACAGATCTGGCAGCGCGCTGAAAGTGGTTTTATTGCTTCAGTCTGCGAATCAGTTCCTTTGGAGCCGGCTCTTGTGCTTGTAGTCACTTTGAAGAAGATCAAATGAGCTTTTACTATTCTTGAAGCCCACCTGGCTGCGGTGGCTGCATGTCTTGAATGAAATCCTTTGATGCCCGGTAATTTGCTACGCCCAGAGCATGTCATGCTGCACGCGGACAAAGAACGACGCTGTGCCGTCCACGCGGGACATCTGTAGCTCGCCTGCGTCGAGAGACGATGAAGGAGTATCTGCTCAGTGCCAGGACAACATCATACGAGAGATTCAAGTTCGAGGTCCAAGTGAGATGGGAAGTCGTTCCTCGCTTGGGAGCGCTGTTCAAATTGTTTGGTCATGAAACGGCGACTTGATCTGACTGCTAGCCGTTCGAGTTCAGATTGTTACCCGTGTCGATGAACAAAGAGGTCGGCCCCTGCTTGAAGCAGATCTATGACCGGCCCGACTGGATTGCTCTGAAACATGTCTGCCAGATTGCTGGAATCCCAGAATCGAAAATGACATCCGGCTGGAAATGATTTTCGATCGGAACACGTTCCCCGAAACGACCATGCTTCCGATGATACAGGGTTGATCAGAAGAAGTGCAGCAATTGATAACGCCAGCGAGGTTGGGTATCAATATCGCAAGCGAGATGTGACCCTGCGCCTGGCGTTGAAAGCGGTAGTTGCATCAGATTCGCTGTCATATCGGGATGGTCGAAAAGACAGTCGTCAACGTGCATAGATCATGGCAGATCAGATCAGATGTTGAAGCCACCGTGTTCTGCAGGATCGAGAATTCTCCAGAGTCCATATTGCTCAGCAGCCTTGCGCACGTTGTCTACCTCATCCAGACTGACAGCCCGATTGATGTCTTGATACCTGACTTGTCGTTTTGCCCGATCATCGGCTGGCGCGTCACCCGGCTCAACAACTCCTTTTGAGATATCTTTGGCACGCCCAGCGGTGGTCCGCCGCTGTTTGCCTACGTGCGCTCTTGGGTGGTACTGTTCCATGACATGGATATATAAATCTTTGCTGACGTGTTCGGCGAGCCAACGCACAATGTTCTTGCCTTCATCCTCTTGGCCGGGCATGACGAGATGTCGAATGAGCACGCCTTGCCTGGCTATTCCATCCGGGGTGAAGCACAAGTCCCCAACCTGCCGATGCATCGCCTTGATGCTCTCCTTGGCCGTCTCTGCATAGTCGTCTGCCTTCAGAAGACGTTTGGATGTAGCAGCGTTCCAGACTTTGAAGTCAGCGAGGTAGATATCGACCAGGCCGTCCATCAGCTCGATAGATTCAAGCGAGTCGAAACTTGACGTGTTGTACACTATCGGCACTCTCAACCCGAGCTCTTTTGCGTGAAGTATGGACAAGGCGACCTGTGGAACAACGTGCTCGGGTGTGACGAGATTGATGTTGTGGACGTTTCCTACCTCTTGCAATTTCATATACCTTTCTTGACCATCAGCCACGCAGTGAAAGATGAAATACATCTCAGCCTACCATTCTGCAAGCTCCTCTGGACTCAAATGGAAGCCATTCTTCTGGTGTGCAATGTCATGGTTCTGGCAAAACACGCAGCGGAGATTGCATCCAGAGAAGAAGACGCTGCCAGAGCCGTTGTGGCCCTGTATACAAGGCTCCTCACCAAAATGAGGAGCTACAGTGTTGACGACGACGTCTGCGCCTATCAAGCATGTTCCTCTCTTCTCGAATCGATTGACACCGCACAGCCGCGGGCACAAGTTGCACTCCCGCAAGTGCGCATATGCTGCCGAGCGTTTCTTCGCCTCTTGGAGCGGTGTTAGAAGTTGATAGCGAGGGATATGGTCGTCGAGGAGGAACGGCGGCGCCAGGAAGCTTCGCGGGCGACTCTGGAGGAGCGGGCGTGCCAGATGTGGGAGGCATTTACGTCTGCCAATACGTCTCGTCGTCTGTGACAACATCGTGAGCCATCGCAGCCCGGCCTGTCAACAGTGTCGAGGAGAATGAAGCAGACTTCGAGGTGGTTGATGTTGTGGGAAACGAATGTCACATGTCTCGGCTCGGCTTTCTGTGGCGACATCGCTCCAGTCGCAGATCGCAATTAATCAGCAGACGTCAGTCTCTGTTCCACCTTCAACCACGAACACACTCATGTTCTCCAAGTTCTAACAATCAGAAACTGGGCAGAGGGTCAATAGCCGGCGAAAGACCAACTGCGAGTACTAAATCATGGCGCCTTCGCTGGAGGAACCGGTCCAGCCGGTCGACGACGCCTTGAATTCATGCACGAAGAAAGGCCCGGCATTATCAGCACCAGAGCCAGAGAACTGCGTTGGTCCACAAAGTGAACAAGCTGGAAAAGCCGATGCTTGTCAAGGCTGCCCGAATCAACAGATATGTGCCTCTGCGCCCAAAGGATCCGATCCCGACATTGGAGTCATCACTCAACGTCTTGCCGGAGTAAAGCATAAGATATTGGTACTCAGTGGCAAGGGTGGCGTTGGTAAAAGCACATTCGCGACTATGCTATCCCATGCATTCGCGAGCAACGTCGACAACATGGTTGGAATCATGGACACTGATATCTGCGGACCGAGCATACCCAAGATGATGGGTGTTGAGACTGAGACGATTCACGTTACGAGTACTGGCTGGGAGCCGGTCTGGGTCAGCGACAACCTTGGAGTCATGAGTGTACAGTTTATGCTGCCGAATCGAGACGACGCTGTCATCTGGCGAGGACCGAAGAAGAACGGACTGATCAAGCAGTTCTTGAAAGATGTCGAGTGGGGCGAGATGGACTATCTGTTTGTCGATACGCCGCCTGGAACATCAGACGAGCACCTCAGCGTCAACAGCTTCCTCAAAGAAGCTGGAATCGATGGCGCTGTTCTCGTAACAACCCCCCAGGAAGTCAGCCTGCTCGATGTCCGAAAAGAGATTGATTTCTGTCGAAAGGCTGGTATTAAGGTACTCGGTCTGGTGGAGAATATGAGTGGGTTCGTCTGCCCTAAATGTACACACCAATCGGAGATCTTCAGAGCAACCACTGGAGGCGGCCAAAAGCTCGCCAAGGAGACAGGCGTGCCTTTCCTCGGTGCTGTCCCTCTGGATCCTCGAATCGGCATGGCTTGCGACTATGGAGAGAGTTTCTTCGACAACTTTGGGGACTCGCCCGCTTGCAAAGCTCTTAAAGATGTTGTCAGACGCGTTGGCGAGGAGATAGGTGTTCCTGCAAACGAAGTACTGGGTGAAGACTGAGGCAAAGAGTACTGGATTTGATAGCAGAGCCTCGGATCGATTTCCTATGAGCTGGCCGAATTGTGTCACGTAACAGGCGACCGTCACTGTGTCTGTCTCAAGACAATGTGTGAACGCCTTCCTCTCACCGAGTGCGACCTGCCCGCCGCCTTTGACAGAACGAATCCATGGCTGCGGTACTTCGACAGGATGATTGTCAGGATCACCTTTCAGTGCAACGACGGGAACAGTCGCTTTGAGAAAATTGTGAGAAAGTGGTGCTCAGAAGCGAAATTGTTCAGACACGGCGCCCTCGTTATTGCCGATCGAGTCTGTTCGCAGAGAGGCGACTGAACAGGCCGAGTCCCGTCATCACGAGGTAGACTACATACGAGGCTTCAGGGGCGGCAATATTGGCGAAAGCCATGCATTCCCGGTCAAGGACAAATGACATTGGCAAGTCGCCCGCTGCTTCTGGCTGACGACGCTGGCCACTTTCACCACACGCAGAGTACTCATACCTTGCATGAAATCTCGCATATCGCGCAACATTCCAGTCTTGGTTCGAGACTGCGGGCCATCTTCCCACGGCATGATCATTCTTGCTCAGAAGCGAACTCGAACGACCTCCAACAAGCCTTCTCTTGCCAAGCCAATATACTATGTTGTCCTTGCTCACAGTCCAGACCAGTCCTCTTTGTCTACTCATAAACACCCGCAAGCAACAATGACTTCTGATGTGTGAAGAAGACCAAAATCCTTTCATCGCTCTACACAGCGCTTTATTCGTCTTTGCACATGAGCCTTCGCCAAGCACAGGAATAAAGAAGCCACTTCAGACTATTGACAATGCCGGCAGTATTTGGACTTCGAGGCACCCCTTTAGTCGACCGTCCCATTGCGAACGCCAGTCCCTATCCAAACTCGTTTCTTCGACCATCTTTTATTGTCAGACACAGCGCTGCGCGCGACCACGATCATTCTCCTATCACCATACATTCGTTTGGACAAGTCGTTTAATACGACTCCACATCAATCACGCAAACACCCCAAGCATTAACAGATGCTTAATCTCTTCTCGACATTCGTCGCGCTGTGCGCTTTGACGACCATCCAATCCACCAATGCAGGACTCATCAAGAAGGCGCCAATCCAGCCTATTATGGGCGGTGTAAACTTCCCTGACCCGGCAGTGATCAAGACCGGCGACGGATGGCACCTGTTCTCAACTAACGCTGTTATTGACGGCAAGTGGGTTCACATCCAAAGAGCCTTCACACCAGACTGGAAGAATTTTCAATTCAAGAAAGGGGTTGACGCATTGCCAGTACTGCCCAAGTGGGCCGACCCCTTACCACGTGTCTGGGCTCCAGACGTGGTGAGGCTCGATGATGGCTCCTTTATCATGTACTACACCGTCGCCTACAGAGCACGCCCGAACCCTCACTGTCTCTCCTACGCCACGTCCAAGAACATCAACGACCCCTTTGTCGACAACAGCGACAAACCTTGGATCTGTCCCCTTGAGGCCGGTGGCGCCATCGACATTGCCGGCTTCACGGACGAAAAGAACGGCCACAAACGCTGGGTCGTTTACAAAATCGACGGCAACGCCATTGGGCACGGAGGCGCCTGCGGAAACACCATCGCCCCTATCGTCCCAACCCCAATCCTCCTCCAGCAAGTCGCCCAGGATGGGCACACCCTCATCGGCAACCCCACCGAGATCCTCACCAACATCGCCTCGGACGGCCCCTACGTCGAAGCCCCAGCACTGACCTACCTGGGCGGCAAATATGTGCTCTTCTTCTCCTCCCAATGCTACATGGGCCCGAAATACGACATCCAATACGCCGTTGCCGACAAAATCACAGGGCCCTACAAACGCTCCGGCCGACTCCTGGGCACCGGCGACTTGGGACTGAGCGGTCCTGGTGGCTTGGATGTGGCGATCAACGGCGACCATGCTGTCTTTCATGCGTACGTGACTCAAACCCCTGGCAAGCTTGAGAAGTGTAAGAATTTCGAGCGTAAGTCTGACTGTCGTTCTAGGCACACCAAGAAGATCCGGCCGTCGTATGCGGTGACGCTTTCGATGAAGAATGGCGTTGTGAGGGTTGCTGCTGCTTGAGCGTGACGTTTGCGGCTGGAATATGAATGCCATGGTATGTTTAATGTTCTTCTGAGATGATTCCATTTTCTTGCTTTCGTTGAAATGCGTTCAAGCGAGCGTTTCTTACATTTACTCTTTACTGGCAAAACAATCTTTCTCCTTCAAGGTTTCTTCGCTTGACTTTCCCTTCCTTTCAATAAAATCATACTAACACAGACCCAGAGCGAAGGGTCACGATACCCCTATCCACCGTCTCCAACTCCTCCATCAACAACTACATTCCACATCCCACCTACTGACCCACCCGCGTGCTGAAGACATAATTCGTCGAAGTGAACTCTCCAACACTAACATTCGCCACATAATTGATGAGCGTGGGCGTCGACGAAGCGCCAAACAGCGAGAATTGCGCTCCACTGAGCACATACGCCCCCTTTTGGGTCGTCGCGGGAATGTGCACGAAGTGCGTGATGTTCTCCACGATGTTGGAGAGATCTGGTCATGCATCGTCAGTAAAGTGGGGATGCTGGGGAAGGAGGTTTGGGTGGAGTACCTGGCCCCAAGAACTTCGAGTCGCAGCAACGAGCCGAGAGCCCCTGGATGAGCGTTTGCGGCGGGGGAGAGACCGAAGGAGAAGGCCACGTCCTGGGAGGCTTGAATGTCGTTTTGAGCGATGATTTCGAGCTTGACGGTCGAATCTGGGGCGACGGTGTCAGGGGTTGCAAAGCCTACGATTCGGGCGTTGTCGAGAGCGAGCAGCGAGGCTGCGGTGGTGAGGAGGGTGGTGCGCATGTCGAGGGTTGAAGGGGTTGTGTTGGAGAGGTGGAAGCTGTTAAGTTTGACTGCGATTGTTCGGACTCAGGAGCAAGGTTAGGTACTCGAGTGGAGACGAGTGTGTTATATACCTGATCTGCGAGGTCGATTACATCGCTGCTGCTGCTATTCTTGGCGTAGAGTCGTACAAGTTCAACAGAACATTTCTATACGAGAAAAGCTTCCATGGATGATGAGCAAGACCATGTTGAAATTCATGAGTGGCAGCGATTTTTCCGTATGGCCACGCGGATGCTACTTCTCTTGTGGTTGTCGGAAGAACCGACCAGGGGTGCGAGAGGCGAATTCGACGCCTTGCGATCCCCTTGGTCGCCTTCGCAGGTCCTACGAGCTGACCGATGCTGGGAAAGAACGACCTGTGGAGGTCGACTGGGCTGTCAGAACACGAGGCAATATAAGATGATGGTGGTGAGAAGGGATGTGTCACGGTGTAAGAGTGATCAAAAGTGGCGAAAGTAAGATGGCGCTGGAAGGGGTAATCTGCAGCGCATACAAAGCAGTACTCGTGATGACTGTGTTTGTCTGTCTGGTTTTCCTGCTCTGTCTCTGGTGTACAAGTCATGGTCGTAGCCTTCATCGTTACATCTAGGATCCTGCCACTCCTCCGTCGATATCTCCGACTGGCTGCGCTGGGACCGCAAACATGGGGACCTTTCTTGGGGGATTTGATGCATCGGTGATGTGAGTAGCCAAATCACATGGGGACCCGGTGTGTCTGTGTGTTGAATGCTCGTCTCTGCTTGATGGGCGGCCGAGACTGGCGGCGTGCTTCTCAGGGGAAGCCCCCTTCACTGGTTGCGCTATCCGCAATACATTGCTGTGGTCCCCGTTGGTATTCGAGGATTGACTCGTAGCGTTGGATGTACTCGGCGGCTTGGCTGCAGGTTGAGTCGACTGTGGCAGGGCAAAGTCATGTGCATTTGATGGACCAGTTGGAATGGGTACGGCCTCCGTTGAAGGGGCCTTGAAGCCTTCGTTCAGGACGGGTTCGATGGATTCTCCACGATTCAGAGCCTCTACCTTCTCACGAATGGAGGATAGTGCCTCGGGGTTGTTTTCGTACGGCTTCACTTGCTCATTAGCTGCCGGGTTGGTGGAATCAGCACTCCCGTCCTCTGTTGGTTGCTGAGTAGTATCCTCTTCATCCTTTGGCGACTTGGTCTCAGTGGCAGGATTGCTCTTCTTGCGCTTCGCATCAGCAATAAGCCGGCTGAACTCATCTTGATGCCTTTTTGAGTATGCGTCTCCGTCGAAGTCTTTCTTCATAATGGTGCTGCTCAACCCATTTGGGTTGGGTGCCCTGCCACCCTGTGTCCTTTCCCATACGTCCAAATCGTAGAGCAGGTCTCGCTTCGAGCGTGGGTGATTAGAGTCGCAGTTCGCATTCCAGATGTTGACCCATTCTCTGTGCCGTTGAATCAAGAGTTGCTTTGTCCCCCAGTCTGGGATACCAACATCTTTCAGTTTCTTCTTCAGCGCCAGCTCCTTCATCATGGAATAGTTGAGCTCGTTGATGCGATCCTGTGGTCTCGCATTGTGCCCTGATGCTGATCTGCCAAAACCGTTCAATGGCGTCCTTGCTTTTGATCTGCTTGCTTGCTTCTTCTCGTCTTCGCATCTGTCCAAGTGAGTGAACACGTCAACCTCTTTCATTCGCTTGCCACATCCAAGTGGGCATTCAACACGACCATCATCCGGCGGTGGTTCAGGCATGTACTCCTCGTCTTCGTCGTTGCTGTCGGCAATCTCAATGGGCTCTGGTTGCGACTCTTGAGAAGCGGCGATTCGTCGACTCTTGCTACGAGTTGTCCGTCCAGATGCTTCCGCCTCAGAAATGTCGTCAGAGTCTAATACCGCCGGTCTCTTCCTCTTTCCGACTCGTTTCGGCGCCTCGAGATCATCTTGTGCCTGCCTCGCCACTCCAAGAGCTGCGGGCCTCGCTGTCACAAAGGTCGTGACCACTTCCTGTAATGCCCAGTTGTTGCGCAGCTTGTTCGCCTGGTCTGAGGTTCTGCAAGCAGGGCATTTGCCGTCTGCTGAGAGCGATGTTCGTATACATTTGGAGCAGAAGGTGTGGTTGCAAGAAGTGATCATCGGCGTGTCGTAGAACTCTTTGCATATTTGACAGTGCAATGCATTTTCCAACTCGGAGAAGCCGTTCAGAGGAGTACTGAGCCAGTCGGTCGAGTCGGGCACGTCGTACGCGCTGTCCATGGTGTTGAGTTGGCGGTTGGAAGTGGAAGACGTGAAGCGCGTGCCACTTTAGACGCGGTGGCAGCAGGCAAAGGATCTAATCAATATATTGATTGGAAACACAGTCAAATTTGACCTCCCCGCAGACTTTGGAAGCTGCGATCGCGTGTGCAGCGACGCGAGAGCTTGAGAAATTTCATGTTGCCTTGAGACCACCACAACACCCCTTCAACAACGCCCACAACGCCGATACACATTTCACCGAGATCGAAGAGAGCCTGAAGTTCGACTTTTGAGGATACTCCAGTTGCAGCGACCTCCACACACATACAGTAGCCTGCCATGGCAGGCATCTTCGAACAATCGCGCAACCAGGGCACGCTCTTCCTAGGAGGCCAAAAGATCAGCGGCGCAGACATCCGTGACCAGAATGTCCTCGCTACTCAGGCCATTGCCAATATCGTCAAGTCGTCGTTCGGCCCCAGCGGGTTAGACAAGATGATGGTGGACGATATTGGCGATGTTACCGTGACCAACGACGGAGCTACCATCCTCTCACTACTGAACGTCGAGCATCCCGCCGGAAAGATCCTCGTCGATCTTGCACAGCAGCAAGATAAGGAAGTTGGAGATGGAACGACCAGTGTGGTCCTCATCGCGGCCGAGCTGTTGAAGCGCGCAAACGAGCTCATGAAGATGCGGATACACCCAACCACCATCATCACCGGCTACAGACTAGCGTTGAGGGAAGCGGTACGATACATGAATGAGAATGTCAGCACAAAGGTCGACACTCTGGGCCGGGATAGCTTGGTGAATATCGCAAAGACAAGCATGAGCAGCAAGATCATCGGGTCAGATTCGGATTTCTTCGCCAACATGGTGGTGGACGCTATTACCAGTGTCAAGACCACGAATGCGAGGAATGAGGTCAAGTACCCGGTCAAGGCGGTCAACGTGCTCAAGGCACATGGCAAGAGCGCGACAGAGTCGGTACTGGTGAAGGGATACGCATTGAACTGCACTGTGGCTTCGCAGGCAATGAGGACACGGGTCACGGATGCAAAGATTGCTGTACTCGACATGAATCTGCAGAAGGAGCGACTGAAGATGGGCGTCAACGTTGTGATCGATGATCCTGCACAGCTAGAGAAGATTCGTGAGCGGGAGTCTAGTCTGGTGACGGAGAGAATCGAGCTGATTCTGAAGGCTGGCGCAAATGTCATCTTCACCACCAAGGGGATTGACGACATGTGCTTGAAGCACTTTGTGGAGAAGGGTGCTATGGCTGTACGGAGATGCAAGAAGGAGGACCTGAGACGGATAGAGAAGGCTACCGGCGCAACCATGATCAGCACTTTGGCGGACATCAACACTGGTGATGATGTGTTCGATCCCAAGGCGCTGGGAGAGGCAAAGGAGGTCACGCAGGAGCGCATCTCGGACGACGAGTGCATCCTCGTCAAGGGACCAAAGGTGCACACAGCGGCTTCGATCATTCTGCGAGGCGCCAACGAATACTCTCTCGACGAGATGGAGCGATCAGTCCACGACTCGCTCTCAGCCGTCAAGCGAACTCTCGAGTCTGGTCGTATCGTCCCAGGAGGAGGAGCCGTCGAGACTGCTCTGCACATCTACCTCGAGGAATGGGCCACCAGTGTTGGATCAAGAGAACAGCTTGCAATTGGTGCTTTTGCTGCCTCTCTGCTCGTTGTTCCAACCACCCTTGCGGTCAACGCTGCGAAGGACAGCTCCGAGCTTGTTGCCCAATTGCGCTCTCGCCACGCCCTCTCACAACGCATGTCAGAACCAGCATCCGCGCATCCTCCAGCACCCGCTAATGGTGTACCGCCGTCGCCACAGCGCGCTTCGACGCAAGAGGTGCTTGACCGCGATGCGAAAGCACTCGCCAAGGCGAAGGGCTACAAGAACTATGGTCTCGACCTTGCGAAGGGCAAGGTGCAGGACTGCGTCAAGGCGGGTGTGCTGGAGCCCAGCATGAGCAAGGTCAAGCAACTCAAGTCTGCAGTCGAGGCGTGCGTGGCCATCATGAGAATCGATACCCTGATCAAGCTGGATCCCGAGCAAAGAGGTGGCGAGGATGATGGCCACGGTCATTAGATGTAGCTCAGGAAGAGTGTGGATAAGTGTCAGAAGTAAAAGCACTCTATGTATACTATCAATGACAGTGCAAGTGCTCAGGTGATCATCAATGTCTTGGCATGCATGTGATCCTCCGATCCTCCGCCTTGATAAGTGAAACTGTGCGCTAATCGCCAGCTTTGTTTACTTCCAACCCCACCTCGCGTCGCGCATACATCTTGTCCATATTCTCTGTACAGTCTTCGTTGTACTACAAAACTACACGCATAATGACCAGTGAGCTTCTCGAGTTCCTACGAACTCACGACGAAGCTTTCCGTAGGTGAAGCCCACCCTCAATCCACACCTTCCAGCTTCCGTACTCACCTCTCCCAGTCAATCCCGCCTAGCCTCTCTCTACTCCGACTTCCGCTACCAAAGAAACTCGAATCCCGATGGCTACACCGCCAACTCCTCCGCGTGGCTACGCGCTCTATCCTCCGCCGCAAAAGCTGGTCTTGTCCCCTCGGCCTCTGGCTCTGCGCCTGGAACTGAAAGATTTGTATTGAATAGCGGGGAAGAGCTTTCGAGAGATTTGCAGACATCGCAGTTTGGACGGCCGTTGGCACTGGGTGCTGTGATTGAGGATGCGGTCAAGCAGGGACAGTTGATCCCGCTGAAGGAGTTCGTGGAGAGGGCGGAGAGCGTGTACATCAAGAGATGGGTGAGGGTGCCGAGTGTTGGGGATGTGTTCAAGTGGGGACTGAGACAGTTGGGAGTGCTGGGCGATGGGACTGGTGGGGAGGATAGGCTGGTCAGAGGGGAGTTTGTGGTGATTGGGAATGTTGAAGAGGCGGCGAAGAGGGTGATCGATGAGGCTGATAAGATCGCGACGAGTAATACTAGCAGGGTGTTCTCGAAGGCGATGTTCAATAAGGCGTTTGCGAAAGAGGTGGGGGTGGACAAGTTGAGCCAGAGGGATATGGATGTGCTGCTGTTGCACCTGTGGAGGGATCGAAACGCTGTGGCATATGATGCTGCTTCTGGGATTGTCAAGTTCAAGGCGCCGGGAGAGGTACAACCGGTGCCTATCACAGCCGAAGACAAGTCGATCGCAGCGTTACGGACGTTGATCTCGACGACTGAACCTCAGATCGAGCAGCTCACAGCACGAATCGCACAGTTGGACATCACCGCTCGCACGGCAGTATCGAACAAGCAGGTGTCAGCTGCCAAAACCGCCATTCGACAAAAGAAACTCGCAGATACGACTCTTCAGCAACGGGCCGCCACGCTGGCTCAACTGGAAGATGTATACGCCAAGATCGAGCAAGCGGCAGATCAGGTCGAGATCGTCAAGGTCATGGAAGCTTCAGGCGAGACCTTGAAGAGCTTGAATGCCCAGACTGGTGGGGTGGAGAAGGTGCAGGATGTTATGGATGGCTTGAAGGACGAGATGATGAGTGTGGACGAGATCGGGCAGGCCATCAATGATGTTAGTGCCGGCGAGATTGATGATGTTGAGGTTGAGGATGAGTTGGAGGCGCTCGAGAAGGCTGAAAAGGAGAAGGTCGAGGCGAAGGAGAGGGCTGAGAGAGAGAAGCGTGAGGCTGAGGAGGCCCAGAAGACGAAAGCGAGGCTGGCTGAGTTGGAGAATGTGGGAAAGGAGCCTGAGCATGAGAAGGATGAAGGTGCCGCTGCGAAAGAAGCAGAGAAGGCCATTGCATGAGACCTATGAGTCCTTGATCCACGTCTACGAACGATACGAGCAATGAAAACCATGCTACAGACGCAACCGTCGCTTCTCCTACTGTCACTACCTCGCCTCGTCCCGCAACATTCCCTCAGATATACTCAGGCACGAGATACACATCCGCACAGCTACACGGAGTCACCCCACGTCTAGACGGATACAGCCTAAAAAACAACTGCAACGTCCCATGCCACCAATCACACACAAACCAACCCCCAAACGAATCACTGGCACTACCAATCGCACCCGGGCTGCTCGTCCACTGCAGCCCCGTCTCATTGATGAAGAACCCCGAAACCGTATACCCCGAACCCACGGCTCCGGCGTTGATTTCGACGGGCTGCCACTGGGTGTAGAACGTGTCGTAGGGGACCATGACGAGACCCCAGGGGAATTCGTTGCCCAGATCGAAGACTTGGTTGTAGACGTGGCCGTCGTAGGAGTCGGGCGTGGTTATGTTTGTGATTTTGAGGAAGCCTTTGATTCCGGCGGTGGCGTTGGTGGTGAGGCTTACGTCGCTGATGCCGGCGCCTGTGTGGTAGCTTTGGCTGTTGCAGTTGGGGTTAGTTGGTGGGAAGGGTGAGGGGAGGGATGGGGATGGTACAGGTAGAGGTTGTTGAAGGCGTCTTTTCCTGGTGGACGGCCTTTGACTTTGGTCTTGAGCTTGTACGATTGGGTTGTGTTGAGCTGGGCAGTGGTGATGGCCGCGAATGCGAGGATGAGTGGGAGGAACTTCATGATTGACTGGCTGATTGGTGTCGGATTATCGATCTGCTGGGTTGATATCTGCTAAATGAGTATTAAGGTGCAAACTCGATGATACCTTCTACAGCTTTATATGCCTTCCTCTTCAGCTCGAGCATCATCGGTAAGGTGATCTCACAGCGGACAAGTGATGCAAGGTACCAAGGTTGGTAGTTTCAAGCTTTGTAGCCTGCGTTACACGCGAAACGACACACTCTCACCGGAATACTGCACAAGATGTAATATCCAGAAGAAAGTAATCTTTCGGTTGAAACGACGCTGCGGGACTCAGGACGTTTGCCTTTTCGTCTGCAACATGTCCTCTACAGTTCTCAAATCTCTCAAATCTCTCATATCACACCCCGCAACATCTTCTCGAGATAGCAGAGCCAGATGAGGTCAGACAACATGAGCGAGCTGGGCCTGTATGGAAGCTTCCCTTGCCCGAGTCGCTGGGTTCGTATTCGTCCTTGCCGGTCACACGGTGTTACTGCCGCCTTGCCAGCCTGAGCAACTCTTGACTGAGTGCGAATTTTGGAACTATTGAAACTGTACGAGAGGTGCTGATTCATGTACGACGGTAATCAAGGCGATGATGGTGTGGTTGTGGGATTGTGGTGAGGTCGAGGAGGACTTCGACAAGGTTTGTCAGGATCTGAGGTCGGGGCGCTGAGGGATCTGAGCTCACCTCAGGCAGGGAGTCACAACAACAAAAACTTGAGGTTCGATTCAAATCTGCACAAAATATTTCAGAACATCTTGAAGACCATCTCTCTCGCCATCGACAATGGCACAGAACATCTACGATAATCCCCAGTTCTTCGACGAGTACGCAAAGATGGAGAGATCTGTCGATGGCCTCGCCGCTGCTCCAGAATGGCCCTCTCTCCGTTCGATGGTAGGCGATGTCAAAGACGCACGCGCTCTCGACCTGGGATGCGGATATGGATGGTTCTGCAGATGGGCTATAGAGGCTGGTGCTCATGCAGTCCACGGTGTTGACGTTTCTCAAAGGATGATTGACAAAGCAAAGTCAAGCACAGTACCCGCGAACCTTACGTACCAAGTCGCGGATCTAGACGTGTTTGAAATACCCAAGGACTCTTACGACGTGGTCTACAGCTCGCTGGCCTTTCATTACCTCCAAGACCTGGACCGGTTGTTCAGTCAGATCCACGATACTCTACCATCCGGAGGACGGTTCGTCTTCTCTGTCGAGCATCCTATATTCACAGCACCATTCTCGCAGACATGGCAGAAGAGCGAACACCAGGAGCTGATCTGGCCATTGAACAACTACTTTCGCGAAGGCATGAGGGATTATCAGTGGTTGGGCAGCTCCGTGAGGAAGTGCCATCGTACAATTGAGACGTATATTCGGACGATTGCTCGATGTCGATTTGCTCTTGTTGATCTAGAGGAGTATAAGCCGTCTGATGAGGACCTGAAGGCTCATCCAGATTGGAAGAATGCTTTGCAGAGGCCTATGTTCCTTCTCATTTCTGCAAGGAGGATATGAAATGGTTCCACAGTGCTGCTCTCCTTTCGGTTGTTCCGTAATGACTCTGCGAGATCAGAAAGAATACTTGTGGGAGACGTCAGTCACAATATCAGCTCCACAAACAGAAGTAAATAGAAATTCCAAGATCATGATGGGTTGCTCGTCCTGTCTATTGTTTGAGATTGTTATTCTTGCAAAAGAATTCTGCTAGTAATTTCCATCAATTTGTCCCATCAATATATTGATTGAAAAGAGTTTCGGATTCGGGACCGACATCACGGCTTTACGCGATACGCGTCTTCCCAGACCTCGACTTCTCTACCAGAAACATTCACTTCAGCACTTTGCGCAAAATGGCACAAGACTATACCGAATGGCTGGCGGTGAACGTGGTGAATGAACGGCAAAATGTGAACATCCCCAACCATATACCGTTCGACCGTGCTAATGCCTTTGAAGGTCAACTACCGCAACTTGAGCAGAGCGCTGAAGGTCCACTGCGATGTGGCCAAGCAGTAAGAGAAGAACGATAACTGTTGAGACAAGAGCCAAGGTTGAATTGATTTCAGGATGATGTATGATTTTTATCACAAGCAGAACAGCAAGAAGCCCGGCAGCGTGCATGCTACATACCTAATCACTGGCACGAAGCGAGCCGCGCAGACGAATGGCGTACACAGTCAAGAAGATGGAGACGACACTGTCATGCGAAGCAGTCCACCGCTCCCGAGCAGCTCTATCCCTCAGCCGGCTGAAGATTCAGCAACCACGACCCCGATTCGTTCAATCATGCTTGTGAAAGAGGAGCACCTGGACCAGGCAAAAGAGCTGTTCGAGGCGATGACCAGCATACACATATACAGCTTACAGGCCAATGGTCTGAAGGACTTTCAGGCCTTGACGGATTGCAATCGAAGAGTTGCAGCCGAGTATGCTTCTGAAGACCCATTGAAAGAGTGGAAGAAGTATGGCACAATCCAGAACCCAGGCGTCAGGAGGAAGACGAGGAAGACCGGACCTCCACCTTCTGCCGCACCAGCAGCCAAGCCAGAGCCTGTCAAGGCGAAAGTCACGGCTGCAGCGGCTGCGAAGACGAGCGCAGCTGAGATCAAGGAGTCTACCAAGCCGGTTGCGAAGAGCTTTGGTGCTCACGCACAACCTGAGGGAACCAGCAAGCCGCCGCAAAGCAAGAAGGAATCCTCGAGTATCTTCAAGTCATTCGCCAAAGGTGCGGCCAAACCCAAGAAGACTGACTCGCAAAGCTCCGCCGCAGCATCTCCTGCACCACCCCCAGCCGCGGAACCTGAAGATGTCCCAATGACTGGGTTTTCGGACGACGAGCTCGATGACGATCAAACGGAGAGCGGCCTGCCTGACGAGGAAGCTAAGGAGCCATCCGGCAAATCGAAGAAGGAGCGTGAGGCCGAATTGCAAGCAATGATGGACCAAGAGGACGAGCCAATGGAAGATGCAGACAGTCCAGCAGCTGACGAAGAGAAACACGACGAAGGCGCCATCGATAACGCTGATTCGCAACCAAAGGAGGAACCGAAAGAGACTGTTACTGTTGAGAACGGTAGACGACGTGGTAGGAGAAGGGTTACGAAGAAGAAGACTGTCAAGGATGAGGATGGTTACCTTGGTAAGAGGATGCGGTCGAAACAGCCCCTGCCCTGTTGAGTCTTACTAATTTGATGCAGTCACGAGAGAAGAAACAGCCTGGGAGTCATTCTCAGAGGACGAACCAGCTCCGAAGAAACCCAAGGTCCAAGCACCGTCTACGACTAAGGCTTCGGCAGGCAAGAAGGGAGCGAAGCCCGGCCAAGGCAACATCATGTCTTTCTTCTCGAAGAAGTAATTCGAATGCTCAAGAGGCGCCCCGCCTCGCTCATAATACATGTTCAAAACGCTGCAGATGCAATGCGAACATATTGTGCAACTCCTCAAGGTGTAAGGGCCATCTTCTGCCATCCAAATGCCAACGAGCGCCCTGCTTTAAGCGTAATTCGAACGATTGAGCGCTAGCTTGTGTGCGTAACATTGCCCCCGACTGCTCGCTTCAACTTCGATTCGTAAGATCACGCTGTCATCACACACCTCTTTCGGACCACGCTGTTTACCTTCCACTAGATCACCGACTGGACGGATGTCGTCTCGTATACTTGTCCATCTCGTCCCCACGACCCGTTACCAGCCTCCAAAAAGAGCAGAAAACCGATCGATTACCCGGCCTGTGGCGCTTCGTTTCTGGCTCTTGGGAAGTTGTATGGAGGCCCGCAGCTCCGTAATCTCCACGTCGCCTGTGTCTTCTCTTCGTGCGTCTCTGACCTCGCGAAGCAGAAGCCGTGCTAGCCCCTGTCTGGTCATCGACATGAAGTGACCTCTCGACAGAAGGTCTGCCGGAGACTCCGCGCTTTCGATGATGATGATGATGATGATGATGATCTTTGCTTCTGCTCTGTTCTTGGGGTCCTTGTCGGTCGACTCGGTTGGGTTTCCGTCGACGTTTGCGATCTGGATCTTTGTTGGTCTGCCTGCTTTCTCTGATTCCGACAGTCGCCTGCCATGTTGTGGCGCCGACAGATGTTTCATCGGCAGTTTCCACCGCCTTGGTCTCTTTCTTTTTGCTGGATCGAACAGAATCTGTTGGCTGCTGCTTGGATGAACTAGCGGCAGACTTGGTATCTGTGCTTGTAAGGGCTGCCGTTGGTGAGCGTGCAATCGCCGAGGGTTCACAGTGTTCTGGGCGCGCAACAGAGTTCATACCCAACGCAGCCAGGGTCTGCGTGTCGGCGGAGTCTGGATCTCCATCTAGTTCGTCGCGCGATGGAGATTCGCCACAGCTAACATCTGTTGCAGGATGTTCTTCCTCGTTATCCGATGGTTCAAATCGTGTCGTAACTTCTTGTCTGGTTGCCTCGGTGATGGAGTACGTATGCGTGTCGATCTCGTTGCCAGGTGAATCGAAGGACGAGCTTGCGGGAACTGGCCGTTCCCTACTTGTTTCGTCTGAGAGACCAACGTGTACATCAGGTAGGCCTGATGTGCTGTCGGCGGCTTCTGATGAGGTTTCCTTCGTTGGGCCAGTTTGGAACGCGTAAGTTGTCTCGATTTCAGTTGCTTCGGAACATGTATGCGCGTTGTGGTGTGTCGGAACAATCCTCTCTTGTTCTCGGTACCTTTCATTGCCTGATACATGACTTCTGTTGTAGACAAGCTCTCCGTCCCTCAAACGGTTCGAGCCACTGGCGTCAATGAACGGCGGTACTGAAGGCCCATTGATTCCAGATGAGCCTGTGCTGCTTTCAGCCACGCTCGGCGCCGGCTTGTCATTAACGAACGCGGCGTCGTTACGTAGTATATGTTGCGGTACTCGTTGGAGATAGAAGCCGTGGGGCACCCCTACGTGTGATCCTATATCCTGGTGTTTTTTTGGTCCTTCATCTGAGAGAGATGCCGTATACGTCGATGAACGAGCTGACCCATGTGTCGCGCCATAGGAGTGTCGACTCCGCCGCGAGCTTGGAGACGCTTCTGAGTTGTCACTATCATAGTCTTCCACATATGCGTGGCGTGAGTTGTTGCTCGGCATCTCATCGAAGATTTGGCTCGGCACACAGCTGCTTTCTTTCGTGGCAAGCATGGGCCGTTGTCCGGAGATCTCTGGCAAGAAAGGATTTCCATCGAGCGCCATCTGGATTGGGAAGACATCTGGTCTCCTTTGTGCATACTGAAGAGGTGTAAAGCCGTTATAGTCGGTCGACGCAGTGCTTCCTTTGGCTTCGACAAGAGCGCGGAAGACCTCGAGGCGTCCAACCATACCTGCAAAATGTAACGGCGTGGCTCCGTATCTGTCTATCGCGTGTATATCGGAACCGCTTTCGACACAGCGCTGGACGTCTTTTGAGTCTCCATATGCCGCCACGAAATGAAGCACAGTCCGCGCCCCGACTGGATCACGGTACCTCACAGTGTCTGAGTCAACGTATTGCATGTAATCGGACAAGAGGTCACTGGACCCCATTGAGAACACCTCGAACAACGTGACAAGGTCAGGTTGGTTTTTAGCTGCTTTCTTCAGCGCTTGCCTACGTTGGTCCAATTGTGCAGCGAGTCGTCCACATAGTCCCGGACTCTCCAAAGTCGGCTGGAATGTTGTCAAAGGTATTGATCTCCATGTGGACTTTTGCAAAGCCTGTCTGGCACCGATCAATGGCATCGGCGATGTCGTGCTGGCAGAGCCTGGATACTGAATGGCATCTCGATCCCATTGAACTCGTCGGTCTGTGTCCATCCACGTAGCCTTGTCTCTCTCGGGATGTCTAAGAAAGACGGCGTTCAAGAGCAGAAGGAGGTCCATTGGCAGAACTTCGAGCACGGCCTGTCGATCTTGTGCATCTTTCACGAAGCAGAATATTTCTCGCTTGGCATCGTCTGGGCCCAGCTCTCCTAAGATCTCAATCAGGCTGACAAGCGAGCTGACAGTACTTGCGTGACAGTGCCCGTGGCGCCGAATTTGATGCTGCAAGTGGGCCACGGCACACTCTTCAGCATACTGCCAATGTCCAAGGTCGCGGTAGTAGTCTGCAAGCTCGTTAAGAATATCCAAGGTCTCGCCCATACTCGAAGACTGCTGTGAATACAAAGCAAGTTCAAGCATGACAGTATAGTCCCTTCGATACATCTGGATGTCGCGTTCGCCCTCCTTCTGGACTCTCCACCGAACAATCTTATGGAGAGGGAGAATTTCCGGAAAACCGTTGTGATGGGCTCGAATAAGCCCATATCGCTGAAGGGTGTTGAGGGTTTCGCAATAACCGAAACGATCCCAAGACTGCTCCAGAGTTGCAAAATCGATTGAGCTTTCTCCAGTGAGAATCTTCGAGAGCCATTGCGGAAGATTGGCCGCAGCGTATGCATCTCGAGCGGCCTTTCCGAGTCGAATGCCAGAATAAGCCTGCTGGAACCGTTTGTGAAGACTCGTAGCCTCAGCATCTTTCAAGAAGGCCAACAAAGTCAGGAGCCTCATTGGTGGAGGTTCCCATTTCGGCCGGTCATCCCCGTAGAGCTTTTCAAATGTCGTCTCGAACGTTGTCAGTACTGTACGTGGATATGGTGATTGCATAAAATGGTGATCGTGGCGCAGAAGCAACTCATCTTTGCTGTCCTCAAACCGCTTGATGTAAGTCTTGACAGCCAAGCAAGCGTCGTTCAGACCAATCTCTTCGAGATGCAAGATACTCCTATCAGTCTGAATAGTAGCTGCTGCGAGGTGAACCGCAAGCGGCAGACAATCCAGGAGGTCTGCAATTTGGGTGCAAAGGCTGTCGAGTTCAGTAGAGCTCTCTTCAAGGTCCGGAAACGCAGCAATTTGCAAGAATTTGCTCGCCTCGTCCAGCGTCATAGACTCTAACGACAAGCTGACGCAGCCGAGACTACGAGCAGTATACGAGTCGCGTGAAGTGACAATGAGGCTTCCAGAAAGACCTTTTGGTAGAATATCTTTAATTCCCCATGTCAAATCATCCACGTTGTCGAGAACGAGAAGCCAGTTGTCGTTGCCGGGGCGATTCTCTAGCCAGGACAAGAAGTCATCCACTGGTGGCGATCTTTGAGGCACCAGAGCTTGCCCCGTTATCTCGTAGCGAGTATCCAATAGTTGAAGTGCTTTGCTTACACGAATACAGGAGTATATAAAAGAAGCCGGACTCTCCGCATCTATCCAGATCACCATACTATATTCGTGTTTGTGCTGTGCGATGTATTGCAGTACCAGCTGTGTCTTCCCGGTGCCGCCCATCCCGTGAACAAGGATAGCGTGACGTATTCCTGAGCGCTTCGTTCGTTGCTGTAACTTGGCTTCCATATTTCTAAGGGCTTGCGGTCTTGGAATAGAAATGCTCGAGTCAACTCGTCTCCGGGCGAGAGTCGGATCGTGAAAGGGGTTTGTGAGAGTTGGATTTCGAGTTCGATTTTCCCAAACTATGTCAAATGAATGTCAGCCAATTCGTACAGAGACGCGCGAGATCAAGATCCCCAAAGACCACCCGAAGCTGCTGATTATACCTCTAACATACTCCCAGCCATCCACTCTACGTACAAGGATAATTGACCCGTTGCTCACAGGTCAGCCCTGAACCTAGCGGCGAGCTGTCAATTCACATGAGTATAAACCAGCAGTCGGGAGGGCTGTCAAGAGGGTTTCATACCTGCGGGAGCTTGAAAATAGATATTCTCAGCCTGATAATTGCCATCTCCGTTCACCTGCTTAACTGAAAGTTCACCCGGCCCATTGTTAAACATTGCCCCGGTTCCAGAGGAGTAAATCGTGGTGCTGGCAGAATCCGACACCGAAGGCTCCACGTCGACCACTTCTTCAATTGCGGCCTTCAGATCCTCCACGGGAATGACATTCTTGAAGACGTGGAAGGCATGTAGGGTATAAAGGGTGTCAAGGATGTCCTTGAAGAGATTCTCGACTTTGTCCCGACGACCAGGCTTCATGCTCATGAGCGCCTTCCCGTATCGTCGAAGGATGCCATCTCCCTCATTAGAGCAGACCTGCTCGAAGATGTAACGCAGGTCTTCTGCCTTTTCTTTGCAGGTCGTCAGGCTTTGACGTATGGCCGCTTCATCTTCGTCCCCCCGGTAGTGAGATTCCGCAATGTTCAAAGTCTTTTGGACGACTGGAATACGCTCGTTGACGACTTGGAAAGCTTCGGGCAGCCTTTTTGCGTCTTTTGCGGCCTTGTAGGTCTCGATTATAGCTTCCGTGATGTTGACAATCGATCCAATAAGACCAATGACTGTAATTGCCTCTGCCATTGAGAGCGTGGTGAGCTGCAGACGTGAGTTGCATGTAAAGATGCCCTGCAGAGATGTTGAGCGAGAGGAGAAACCACGTCCAAGGAGAAGGAAATGGGAGCTGTGTGTTGTTCTCGAGCTGCATTGCGCAGACGTGTACGCCCTGCTGCAGTGGTGCCTCAGCCGGAGCCCATGCAGTTAGCTGTAGCCAGGAAGAGGCGAGGGAAGGTGCGGTGTCAGTCAAGCTGATTGGTGTGGCTTTCATCCCATACATACATGCAAAAGGACATGCGCCCCGTTGAGGCCGCCCTGGGCTGGACTAGAACGTCCGGGCTTGGTAATGAAATGTCAACTTCTGCAGGCCGCCGATCTGCGGGATGTGCCCGCTAAGGATAGGCCTGTTCTGATACCACGTGCGCGTAATGGGTGCAGCTAAAGTACAGGCGCAGCCGTCCCTATAGTTGGACTTCTGTCCACTGCCGACGGCCTCGATGTGGGATTCGACAACAGCCTCGCCACCTCCCAATCCGTCTCTTCACTTTCCCAATCTACAAGCTCAGGCCCACAGATCGCCTAGAGAATACAGTCAGCAAGACTTCACCCAAGCTACACACATCGAACACGACACATACCTTCCTCCTCTCCCTAAAATCCCGATACAACCCCTCCCAAACCACCCTATCCCTACAATCCTCCTCCATACTCCCCTCCCTCGTACACTTCGGCCTCACCTCCTCCTTGACCTGCCGTCCACTCGCAACCCACGGCTTCCCCAACGGCCAATCGCTAAAATGCACAAACTTCGCCTCATCCACCACCTTCTCCGCATCCCACTCCTCGCCCCCATCCCCCAGATACGCCACGTGCTGCCCGGGCTCCTGTTTCCGGAACTCCCCCGTCACGAGCGCGTAGTCGCGATGCGGCAGCACCATGCACGAGTCCCCGAAGACGTGGTTCATGATGTCCATGTCGAAGTCTGTGTCCAACCGGGTGGCGATGGCGGTTTGGATCCGCGCGGCGGAGGCGCTGGAGGGGGTAATGAGGGTGATTGCGTCGAAGAGTTCGTGTTCGAGCCAGTACGCCCTCGGCATCGCGACGGGGGTCGGCGGGAGGAGGAAGAGTTCGTCCATGGGCTGCAGCATCGTGGAGTCGGAGTCGAGGGCGAGCACGCGACGGTACTGCGTCTGGTTAAACGCCAGTAATTTCGTGAAGGAGTCACTCCAGGTGACATCCCCCGTGACCCTCTGCACGGGGACGGGCTGCAAAACCGCATGATACATCCCCTGCGCCTTCTGCAGAAGCCTCGCTTCCGTCGTGTACACCTCCGTGCCATTCTCCGCCTTCCTCGTCGAATTGGTATTCCACTCCTCCGAATGCAGAATCAACTTCTCCGCCTTCGCGCCTAGCCGATCCAGCGCCTCGACCATCATGACGCTGTTGCACAGGTAATCCAGATTCGTCGCGTACGACACGTAGGCGAAGTCCCTCCAGGTAACGTTGCGCAGCTCGAGTTCCACTTCGGTGTCCTGCCGCCAGCGGAAATGCACGCGGTCTTGGAAGATGCTTCCTTCTCGCAGGACGAACCACCATGTTAGGAGGATCAGCGAGGCGGCGAGGAGGAGCCGTTCATGCGCTTTGCTCCATCGCCAACTCGAGGGGGTTTTCCAACTCCCAGGCGCGAACGTCATCCCTTCGTCGTCGCGGGAGACAGGCCAGCGGAAAGGTTGAGATTCGAGGAACGGCGATCGAGCAGTGAGAGGACTGGTGGTGTTACTTCTCCCTTGAGGCGACGAAGGCGCAGAGGGCATCCATATCCGACCGAGAGATTTGGTGGCATAGAGATTCGACATCTAAAGTCAGACAAGAAAGTATAGTGGCAGTATATAATAGTCAGTAGTGGAGGGCGATGACAGAGGAAACAACAACATGGTTTCCAACAAGGGAACAAAACCCGAACGCAACGCACGCCACCGAGGTATTATAGATCTATCTTCGTGCATAAGTCAGATTTAGGTCATGTCTTGATGTGGTGTAAGCGGCGCAAGGGGAGATAGGGTCGTGGTAGTACAGAATCCTGTGCTCGCTCGCGGAATGCGCCTGGCATGTGCAAAGGGGAAATACGAGGCTTTCAGCTGGACCTCCCGCGTGGCATGACTTACAGAATGGGCTGAATCTGCGAAGTCTCCGAAAATATTGAAACTGCGAATGATTTGATAATGGTTTCAACTGGGTCCTCTTCCTTCGTATTTTTGGTGGGTATCGTATACTACTCTTACATTTCATTTCGCTTTTGTACAATTCGATTCGTCCCGTTGTTTTGTCGGCCTTCCTGAACACTGCACTGCGCCGATGGTTTCACGGCTCGGCGCTAAACGGCCCTGCCTCTCTGAGATATGTCGTGGGCATTTTTGGGACCTTGGGGCTTTTGCTGGCGGCTGCTTGTGCTCGCAAGGCGTCTCTGGCTTCTTTGTTCCCGCTGCTGCTCGTCAGCCTGCGGATTCCCGATTTCAGGGCTTTAAAACCGCCGCTCGGTTTGATGGTGTATTGCGGCTGGTGATGGTGTTCTTCTGTGGTGTGCGCCCGACTCATTGGCATATCGTCGTCGCCGTCTGAGAAGGGCTCCGTTTCGGTGTCATCGCCAGAAGGTAGGTCGTTGTGCCTTCTTGATGGGTTCTTCATGCTCATGACTGGAGACGTGATGGATCGATTGTGCATGCCTGGTCTTGTTGGGGGCAATACTGTCTGAGCGAAGGCACCTGGATTCATTGGCTGCTCACGAGGTGGTTGATATCGCAGCTCGGCGAAACCAGTCTGGAACGACGTGATGCTGGCATTGCGCTTGAGAGACCGATGAAGGATCGGTAATGCCTGTTGATCGTAGAGATTCTCTCGCTCCTCCACTGGATGATATCTCGTGATGCCGTTGTGCATGAATCCAGATGGTGACTCGCCGGGCTCATCGAAGAAGTCGTCGAGGGTATCGAGCTTCTCAGCAAGTTCGCCCATGTTGCTGCTATCTGCCACTCTTGTGTCATCCGACAGCATCGTAGCAGTGCGCTCGCTGAAGTATGAGTCTTGGTAGTCGTCTTTGTGGAACTCGATCTCAGGAGTTGAACTTGCCGTGTCCCGGACGCCGTTCATGCCACCATATGCCAGAGTGTAGAAGACCGCATGCACATTTGTTCTTGTCTGGAGTGAATGAATTGCAGGCATTGGGATAGACCAGCCAGACTCCTCAGGTATGCCGTACAGACTCTTCGTGGTGTCGTACTCCTTGCGCGTTGCACGACTTGAATGAGAGCCAGCCATGCTCATGCGCAGATGCTTGTTGTCCAACGGCGTGCCAGTCATGTCAATGACATTGTCAAGAACATCGAGTGCTTGTTGGCAATGTTTCGTCTGAAGAAGCCTCAGCAACGGCGAGATGAGGTCCGGTCCTTGGCATGCGACCTCAGGCTTTCTCATGTCGATGTCTGGGATCATGACACAGAGCACCTGCATCGTCTTGACTTTGAACCACGCGATCTGGTTGTTCACCATGCCAAGCAAGAACACCAAGCTCTGAAATTCTTGCGCTGGGAAGAACGTTGTACGTATGGCTGTCATGCACTGCGCGAGGAAGTCTTTCTCGATCCGGTACCTTCCTTGTGCAAGGTTTTGGAGGACACGCGAGAGACTGACGTGGTTTTGACTCTCGGCAGCAAAGGCGAGCGTCTCCGCTGACTCGAGACATGACGGGTCGCCATCATCGTCGAAATAGTGCAAGTATCTCGGTAGGTTGGCAAGCACAGTGAACAGCAATCGATCGTCGCTTCCAACAATGTCGCTCGATGGCAGCTTGATAAGCCTCTCCATGATCTGCAAAGACCGATCCATGGACTTGCTCGAGCGAACACCCTTGTAGATGAGTGCATGAACTCCGAGATAGCCACCTTCCCACTTGGCAGGAAAAGTGTCTCTGAGGATCTTGAGTACTGCGGGATCACTCAAGTCCATCTTAGCGAGAAGCAGGTTCAGCATGCTGAGACCTTCTTGGAATTCTCTCTCGAAGATGGTATCAAGGCAGGCGCACGTAGTCCAGAACATTTGTGGGTACTGAAGGAGAGCCAAGGGGTCCAACGCATCGATGATGGTTCGCAAGGTCGTCAGAATCTCCAATGAGAAGATGAGATAGTCGTGGTTCTCGTCGTCTGCAATCGTATTTGACAGACGGGCCAGCATATCCGCCAACATCTTGGTATCGAGAGTTGTCGATACGCAGCGGAAGACCTGAAAACTTCGGCAAGCAACATGCCTGACCGCACAAGAAGTCGCCCATTCCATAGTGACTTTGCCCCATTCTTCGCGAATGCCAGGGTACGTTGTGGAGAAGATGCGGACGACTTCGTCGACAGCATAACCCATAGGCTCAGAAACAGCACGACTGTCCTCCTCGCCAGCACGAACCTCGCTATCGGTGTACGACCACGCAATCTTGGGATCATGTCGTCGAACACATTCGATGAAGTCTTCAATGGACTTTTTGTCTGGCTCCGTGCTGCCAGGATCGATCTTCGAGATGACAAGTTCGTGGATCAAATGGACAAGCATCTCTCGTGCCTGGTCTTGGACGATGCTCACGTACTGGTCCCACTGTACAAGGATCACCTGCAGCAGCACTGGCAGCTTTTCCGGAGGAAGCTGGAATGGAGAGACGACCAAATCAACCAGCAAGATCATACTGAGTTGACCGAGCGAGAGACCATTCTGCTTGGCACCACTGGGTAACACGTTCGTCAGATCCGCAATATATGGTAGTTCAACCAGTCCCAAAGGAGGCGGTGACGCCTCGCGACGCTCTGCGACCATCGTCTTGGGGCAAATGTGCATGAGGAGATACTCCACAACGCGAGCACCTGCCGGCGTCTTGGACAAGAAGACCACAATCTGCTTCGCGAAGATGACAAAGTTCTGCTCTTTCTTCTCCAGGCAAGTCCTGATGATGAAGTCGAGGACCAGCTGCACATTCCCCGCGTAAGGGCCAGTAGCCAGTGCCTGCCAGAGCGCCTGGATCTCGTTGTGTAGCGTGATGCTGCTCTTGACAGTGATCTCAAACAGGTTGACCAGCAGCATGTACGACGTCGCGGTTGGTCCTCCATTAGGATCAAGTTGAAGCTCAATTGTCTGAATCCACGGTAGCATACCTGAGACCATGTTGCGCTGGTGATCAGGCTCCAGCTCATTGAAGTACATAGAGAACTCGGAGAACACATGAAAAGCGAGTTCTGAGTGCTGGCTAGCGAGTCTGCGTGAGATCTCAAACTGCGCGAGCTTATACACCGCAGTAGTCTTGTCAGAAACACTGATGTCGAGGTCCTGGAGTTTCGACGTCTTCCCCAGGCGCTCTTCGAGTGTTCGTAGCAAGCTTGCCGACTTCATTCGTATTTGAGCATCTTCATTGCCAAGCGTGTACAGCCCAGCACACAAGATCTTCCAGAAAGGGGTCGTGACGCTTGTATTGTCTGTAAGGACCTTGGTGACCACCTCAAAGTAGCTCCCGAGTGCCTTGGGGTTGCGAGACAGATAGCACATCTTCATCGTCGGAGCCATGAGATACGACTGATCGACATTATGTGTGATGAGGTTTTGCAACGCCTTTCGTCCGATTGCATGGGTGCGGTCGCTGGCGGCTTCGAAGATGGCACTGATCCAGCTGAACATTCGTTGCACGTTGAACTGCATGAGCGTCTTGCCATCAGCGATGAATCGCAGAGGTCCAGCACAGAGAGATGCCATCGCACTGAGGGCAGCGAACTGCAACTCGTTCTTCTCCTTTTCGATGGCAGAGTTGATGATACCTCTGTTACGCATGTCTCCTTCTCGATCCAGGATCGACCGACGGATGTGGTCCTGTTGCCGTCGTATCTGCGGTTCGTTCGGCGAGAAACCACACCAATTCTCCATGAGCGCGAATGTCGCTTGTCTGGATTGAAACGACATCCATTGAGACCCTTCTTTCAGCTTCTTTATACAGTCGTAGAAGCCATCTATGAGAACACAGAAGTGAGTCCGCAACTTTTGGAAAGCCAAATTACCCTGGATCTCGGTGTCGCTCAGGAAGATCCGCAAATGCTTGGTATAGTCGGTCATGTACTCCATCACGAACGTGTCGCTTGAGATCCTCTCATCCTGCAGTAGCGGGCATGTAAGGCTGAGCAGATGCGTGATCTCTGTCCGCATGATGTCGATACGTTCATTGCGAACGACTTTGTTGCTCGGATTCCGCTGGTGCGAGGCCAAATAACTCTTTGCCTCTGCATTGCACATCGTAACGAATGGCTGTAGCGTCTCGAGCAGAGTCTGGAACAGGGTCGCATTGGTGGCTCCCAACCCAACCACTGCAGCGTTCCGCACAGCACCGTTTCCGGCATGGAGGAACGGAACCACCCTCGAGAAGAGCTCAGAAGCAGACGCGATCTTCTCTTGGCTATTTGCAGACGACTTCGAACTCTTCCGCGTGTGCAAAGACGCTTGACTCGTGACAGTAAGACTACTGCTCGAAGGAGCTCCGCCAATATTGGTGAGCGTGGTGCAGGCAAAGATCAAGTGAATCTTCCACTGCTCGATGATAATCTCTGGCGACGAGCCATTGAGCCGTGTTGATGGCCTGCTCGGGTTCAAGGTGGTTTCGAGAGCATTGGACGATTGCTTGCCAGTCTCTGCTAGAGCACCAATAGCTCTGTAGCTGTGAGAAAGCCGTTGGCAGACCAGTTCTCTTGTCAGTGCGACTGCGTGGAGGCAGATCTCTGAACTCAAGCGAACCAGGTTCGGGAAGACCTTGAACCAAAGATTGGCGTCGTGAGCGACATCGCTGCTGCACAACTCGACTAGAGTGCTGTTGACATTGCTTTTCCGTAGACCTTTCTGGAGTCGACTACGCTCCGCAAGAGTCAATCGCTCGTCATTGACATCAATGACTTGCTGCGACCCGCCCTCGAGAATGCTGATGATCCGTGTGCATGGTTTCCCAAGCGCAGTATCAAACTTGGTAATGAGCCGCAGAACATTGACTGCCACTGCACGCACTGCCCTAGAGGGCGAGCAGAGGAAGAACAACCCATGCGACTCGACTTCATCAACGTGCGCGAGGATGCCGGAAAGATCGAGAGGGAGTTGCCGAGCCCCTTGCTCTTCTTCATCGACTGGATCCGCGGCAACCTTTCGAGTTCTCTGCTGGATGTCGTCAATCCAGATTTGCAGCAATTCAACGTAGAGCTTTAGCGTGTTTTCGATGTGACCAGGCCCGAGCAAGCTGCCATCCGAGACCGTCGCATAGCGATCGTCGAAGTTGAAGATGAAGCGAGCGAATCCAATCGTCACCTGCTGGGCGTGTGACTGTCTCGCAATCGACTTCAACGACTGCGCCGAGGAGGTGGCAATATGTGACTGCACATGAGCTGTCCCCGTACAGAGGAGGTTGACAAGCGAGTTGATAGGTAGATGCGGTGAAAGGCAACGCGGCAACGCTTCGACAGCCACATGCAAGAGGTCGTAATAGTGTTGCCGTAGGTCGGTGGGGTTCATTAGTTCGTCTCTCTTGTTGAACGTGAACGCCTCTGCCATGGGCGTCTTCGGCGTATGCGATGCAAACTTCTCGTCCAAGACGGCCTGGCCGCCAAAGGTGTTGTCACAAATGATAGTCAACTGTCCAAGCATCTTGCAGAATTTGACATAATACTCTTTTGCAACGTCGTTAAGGTTCGTTGTCATTACGGGTCGTGATAGACGCTCTGTCCGTCCTGCAGACACAGCGAAGCCTTGAGAGCGGGTCCTGCGGTGGGTGATAGGTGATCGCGAGGCAACGTCCATGAGAGAATCACATTCGAAGCGGATTGGAAATGCTGGTGGTTCGGTCTTCTCCAGATCAGACATGATGGCAAGGAATGCTCGAATGGCGATGACCGTCTTTTCTGGATCGAGGTTCTCAATCTTGAGGTCCTTCTCAGGGCCTGAGAACAGCTCCGAGTTCATCAAGGGGAAAATGATGTTCCGGAAGCAGAAGTCTTGATGCTTATACCCAATGATGCGAATGAGCTGGATAAGAGGGTCTGCAATCATGGGATCGGTCGAGATGAGGACTCGCTTTCCGCCTTGAAAGACGAGCTTGACAATCTCATCGAGCTTCCTCACCACCGCATTCTGCGACTCAGTATGTCGGTACAAGTACCGCCAAACCAGTCGGCAGATGGCTTTGAGAGCGTGAGATCGGCCGGCCCTATCTCTGGCCTTTGGCTGGAAGGACGTCACAAGTGGCAGCCACTGGGTCGCAAAGGTCTCGAGTGGTGAAGCACAAAGCAGGACCGCCTGCAAAGGATACACATAGGGCCAGTGGTCCGCTTTCGAAAGCATCTGGGTGATCCTTGGCTGAAGGATAGCAACCACGTCCCGCCATTTGGGCATGTTGAGGGCTGACGTTGCGTGCGCCGCGATTGGTAAAAGCAGACTCTCGAATAGCTCAGCGTATGCGTGTTTCATCGTTCGTCCATGGACTTCAGAGAAGAATCTTGCCAGCAGCTGGAGCATCTCGCACGACTTCTCCCAGGCTTGGTCAGGGTACGATCGCACTTTGAGCCATCGCATGCTCTGGACAAGAAGTGCCGTCCTCGATGCCAGCTTGGTGTCTGCTACGCCTTTCACAGCCAGCTTTCTCTGCGCGACCTCAAGATCCTTGATGAACCTCTCAGCGACTTCCTCAAATCGAATACCGCTCATAACACCAAGGAGCTGTCCTCTTATGACCCAGTTGGCATTGATGACAGGCGACGATGCAAGCAACTCGGGGTCCGCGCTCTGCAACTGTCCGTAAATGACATCTTCCAATCGCCCTGCGGTGTTGAAGCTGTTTTCCGGTCCATTCAGCGCTTTCAAGGTCGTTTGCCCAATGATTTCAATCAACACCCGGCAGAGTATGTAGATTGAAACAGTCGACCTGCGATCGGCCATGACAACCTGCTGCTCCATCAGAGCAATCTCGTTCCCAGCAGGTGGCGAGGTAGGGGTTGAATATGCCCCATTCGTAATGCTTCGCTGCGTCACGCCGAGCGCATCCCTCATGGCCTTGAGTTCGGTGTACATGTTGTTGGCCGTATCCGCCTTCTTCTTCCGCCAATGGATCACAGAATCGATCAAACTGTTAGGCTTGTGTCGATTGATGTGCCCTAGGGACGAGATGAGCTGATCAAAGGCAGGATCGGCTCCAGGACCGCAAATGTGTTCTATCCTTGGTTCTGGCTCGCCAGGTTTCTGCATGCACCGCTCAATCCTCTCGTCCGCTTCCGCGATGAACGATGTAAATAGATGGTGTAGGGCATATTCTCCCACTGTCTTCAGCTCTTGCCCCGGTGGTTGCGCTCTTGACTGTGACCGTTGATGTTCATGACTCCTCTTCACTCTCCCACTGTGCATGCGCGCTGGACCCCTCTGCACAACTCCATTCTCAAAACTTCGATTCGCCGAGATGGCGGCAGGATTCGGTACGCCGTTCGCATGAAGTGTGCCCATCGAAGGGCTCTTCTTGAGGACAACAGTCTCCGGCACCGCAGAAGCCATAATCTTTCCAGGGCTCAGCGGGCTGGTATTCGTCGACCCCGCCAGGCTCGGATTGCGCGAATGCTGGACTCCATGGACGATCGACATCTGCCTGTGATGGCCGTAGGACAGGCTCGGTTTCCTCTCTATGTCGACGCTCTGCTTAGGTCGCGAGTGGCCAGAGGCCGGTGTGACAGCGCGCGGCGAGGCATTGCGAGGGCTCGTCGCACTCAAGGCCCTCCCTCTCGTCAGGCTAGGGTCGTGTGACGCTCCTCCTGTCGTGGGTGGATGTGCGGTCGGCGGCGCAACGAGCAGCGGCTCGGGTGGCGGACTTACGTTCGGGTCGCTATAGGCGGGCGAGGAGGAGGAAGTGCTGATGGCTCCAGGTCGTCCTCCATCGGCGGGCGAGGGCACGGCTGAGTCGACGCAAAGTGTCGTCAGCGACACGTCTCGCATCGTATAACTCTTGGGGGGAGCAAATTGACTGGTCCCAGCTGGACGTGCGCAATTACGGAAGGGCAAAGGCAAACCTACTCATCCTATCTCGCGCGCCGAGCATTCATCGCTGGTGGGGGTCAGAAGCGGAGGAAGTCGTCGTCGTCGTCGATGCGCCGCTCGACGCCTGCAGCGGGCGCAGAAGAAGATATAGAGACCGAGGCGGCAGTGTTGCGATGGGTGACAGACATCCACGGTAGAGCCCAGACGGCAGATGCTAGAGGAAGAGGGACGTTTTGGCTCGGTGCCTTGCAGGGACCAAAGTGTTTCAGACCAGCCATCCCGCCGTACCTGGCCGCTGGGCGAATCGGCGTACGAAGCCCACCTCCAGCTTACCCTCACCACCACCACACCTCACCAACGCCCGCGAACTCTGAGCAAGCCCGCCTGACGCACACCACGCTGCAAACGCCGTCGACCGCATCACACAGCCATATCCCACGCGCCACGAGCGAATAGCCGCGAGAATGCCATCACTCCTAGTCCTCCATCGACGTCCAGTCACGTCCACTCGCCTCCTCCGGCTCACATCACACATAAATCGATAGCGCCGGCACTTGTGAAGAATCGTAATGGTGTGATCCCAACTTCCTCCTCCCTCTTCATGAATCAGGTCCATATCGCTCTTCCAACCGATACCCACCGTCCATGCCCGAGGCCACCCATCGGTCCGCGTAGAAAAGCCTGGTAAAGGTCGGGATGAGCTCTCTTCACCAAAAGCTTACCCAAGCCCAGCTGCCGCGTGCGTTCGCCGTTTCGGCAGGGAACAGCTCTCGAATGTATGCCGACGTAAGTGAGGGGATGGTCAGCATGGAAGAAAGACCTTGCCGAGATTCATACACGATGCCGATGCCAGACCGAAGATCGATTGCAATTTGATGCCAGAGATGCCCGAGTATAGAGCACTGCCACTCTCTTGTACGACATGCCATCCCAGCAGGAGGCGTCTTTGATACGACTTGGTGTGGAGGCACGAGGACAAAGTGGCGAGCGAAATATCGTTGCTGCCTCATGGCGCTGACGACGAGTGGTCTTGGCCGAAGGTGGACCTCGAGAGCCAACCCGGAGTGGGAGGAGTAGGTAGCATTGAGGTGGACATATCCAAGTATCCTGGGTAGAATCGAAATGACCAGTGACCTCACCTCCAACAAGCCGAATCGCTTCGTGAGATCGACTTTTGTTCGTATCACTTCCCAAAAGGCAGTCAAGGTGGATGTTGATGAAAGGCGACGGTGAGATAAATAAAATGAGAAAGTGAACAGGCAATGGCAAGGCGACAAGCAATGGTATTGCTCTATTTACTTTTGAATGCCATCGAGAGTATGAACAGCTGATCAGTCGCAGCAAGCAAACAACATCCATTACCATTACCGCCCTCTCACACAGCCATCCCCATCCCAACATATGCCTGCGAAGGCTGCAATCTGATTCAGTGCAGAGAACGCTGAGCAAAAAAGAAGAAAAGCAAACGCTTGCCGCCGCCGTCGTCGTCAAACAGATGGAAACCATAAAAAAAGCCGATGCCAAAATCAAGATCCCAAGCCAGCCACAGGTGGCACACACATCGCTAATGTCATGTCGAGAAATGCCACATATCACTCTGCTTGATGGTAGTCGTGCCGTGAGAGTGAGTGACGAAGCTTGTCGGCATGGGTAGTAATGCACGGGACCGGAATGCATCGTCGTGGTCAATCATGAATTTCGTAACGACAGTCGTCTAGTCGTGATGATGTTGTACAGTGAGCTCGCTCGTTGACGGTAAGGATGGAGGCCTGAGACAGGAGGGTGCCTACTCGGAGGCAGTGGTGGCGTCGGTCGTGGCGGCAGGCTTCGAGTCGACCGCCTCGCCAGAGGAGCTGGACTTGCCGTGGCTCTCGGCACCAGCAGTGGTGTTCACGGAGGCGGCAGCGTATGGGAGGGAGAGTGGAGAGCGACCAGGGACCTTCGACTGTGCCCATCGCTGAGCCGTGATGGGAGCTGGCGCGGTGCCCAGGTAGCTGTCGAACTCGTTGCCGGCTTGTGGGACGTTCTGGCCGTGGGATGCACCAGGAAATGGGAGACGGCCCTTGCCCTCTCTCCAGGCGCAAGCGTACTCGTACTCCTGGGAGCGGAACTGCCGAGCCGCCTGGGTGGTCTGCTTCAGTTGCTTCTGCTCCTGGGTGTCGGCATAGCGGATAGCTATGCTGAGTTCCTCGCCCTGAGAGGTGATGGTGTGGTTGTTGAAGGTCTTGATGACCTCCTCGCAAGAGTCACGAGAGTCGAAGCTGTCAATGGCGGTCAGTATTGGTGGTAGTGATGATGAAGGGGTCGATGACATACCGAGCGAAGCCAACGCCGCGGCCATGGCCATTCTTGTCACGAAGGATGCGAGAGGAGCAGACCTTGTGTGGTGCGAAGAGTTGTGCCAGCTCGTGCTCGTTCATCGACTTGGGAAGGTTGGAGACGTAGAGGTTGGTGTTGCCCTCGTCGGAGAAGGTCTTGAGCTTCGAGTAGAACGATTCGCGGGCGAAGCTGACTTCGTAGCCAAGGTAGTGGAAGCCACGGATGCAGTTCTCGGCGTCCTCGTAGTTGTGGTACTTGACGAAGCCGAAGCTGGGAGACAGTCAGTGAAGGCATCGATGTGGTGGTGTGGACGACAACATACCCCTTGCACAGGCCAGTGTTGAGGTCAATGATGGACTTGGAGCTCTTGATGTCGCCGAAACGGGTGCCCCAAGACTCGAGCATTTCGTCGGTGGTCTCTGGAAGCAGGCCGCGAATGTAGACGTTGGTCTCGCCTCGCTGGTTCTCAAGGGCACGGTCGAGAGGCTTCAATGGCGATGATGGTGCCGGGATGGCGTGAGGGATCGGGGGCTCCTTGGAGACGAGAAGCTTGATCTGGGTAGACACTTCGCTCTGCTCAGGCTGCTTGGCCATGGCCATGCCGTATGGACCCATCATGGAGGTTGGGGACGGCGTGCTGTGAGTGAAGACGCCGCTTGGGGTGCGGTTGATGGTGACGCCGCCATGAGCAAAGCCTGGGTAGCCGGCATACGAAGGAGTGGTTGGCTGGTCGTTCTCGTTGGAGGAGACAGAGTCACGGCGGGGAGTGACCAAGGTTGGGACCTCACCAGTGGCACCAGCGGTGGTGGGAGTCCAGTTCTGAGACATTGGGCTGTTCTCATGCTGCTGGTAGCCGCCGTAGTTGAGCTGTGGCATGTAGTGGGTGCCGTGTGGTGTGTACATGCCATGTGACTGCGTGTTGGCGGTGCCGTAGCCAGAGGGGAAGACGTACTGGCCAGCGTTGTACATGGAGCCGGGCATTGTGGTGGGCACCTGCATGCCATTGTATGGGCCGGCAGCGTTGTTCATCATGGTAGCGTTCTTGGCCTGGGCTGCGAAGGACGGGTTGCCGCCCATATTCATGCCTTGGAAGCCATGAGCAAGGGTAGCCATTGGGTCAGGGTTGGGGTTCTGGTGCATGCCGTAGGCTTGCTGCTGCTGGCCGCGAGAGGTGTACTGCTGGTTGCCGTACATGCTGTTCCCGGCGTTGTAGCCTGCTGGCTGGCGGTTGTAGCTGGTGTTCTTCGAATCGGCCATGGATGCCATGTTCTTGAAGCCACGATCAGCAGCTGTCTGTTGACGGTGAGGCTTGCCACTGAAGAGCAAGTTGTGGGTGGTCGAGCAGAAGGCGGTCATGGTGTCTGCTGGAGGGAGCAAGAGAGGAGGTGTATCCAATAAATATTCTTGGGTGGGGGATGAAGTGTCCAACAAGCCAAATCAAGGTGCCAATTCCTCCTGGTGCGTCCTTATTCCTGGTGATGATGGTGGAGATGGTGCTGCCGGTGGGAACGCAGTGGATGCTCTTACCAGTGTGGTCTGGTGAGGATGGATGCGTTCCAAGAAGGTTCCTGGTGGGGCAGAAGTCGAGTCCTGGGAAGTCAAGTCAGCGGGATGAGTGAAGGTGAGGATGAGGGACGAAAGTGAAGCGGTGGGAGATGGGATGAGCTCGGGAGAGATGCCCATGGCATGCTGGAGGTGAGGACTGTCAGAAACATACCTGGGAAGAAGGCCTGGGTACAAGCTCGTCGTTGCCGGTGGTCAGCCGCGGAGTTGGTGACGGCAAGGAGGATGCAGATAGCGGGCAGGGGGTGACGAGCGGGATGCTATGATGGGATTGTCAACGGCGAATGCAGCACGAATGAAGAAGAAGTGTGTGTAAAAGCTGGGTGTTGTTGGTGTGTGAGAGTGGAAGAGAAGAAGTCGAAGGTGGGAAGAGGGAAAAGACAGTGGGTGGGAGTCAAAGCGCTGCGGCTTCTCTAACTTCCCGTTTGAAGGCGATGAAGAGGAAAGAGCGCGACGGCGACAACGTACCTGAAGCTGTTCTATCCGGTAATGCCGATGTCGTCGCTTCTATTGATGGCGGTTTGGCGGGGTGAGGTAGGCTTCGTTGAGGATGTTGGGCAGTCGGCTCACGTGGGAGAGCTAATCGAATGGAAGGAAGGAGGTGGTGAGGTGGTGTTCTCGTCCTGGAGGGGGTCACGAGGGATCGTTTTCGAGCAGACACAACGTCAATTCGATGCCGCGACACCACGGTCAATGCAAAATGAAGCAGTAACAATGCTGGTTTGCGTCGGGAAGATGGTCGAATCGATATCAACAGCGTGGGAGACGTCGAGTGAGGTGAAGTGAGGTGTCGGCCGGGGATTGTTGATAGATTGATGGATGTGTATGTGCCGAAGTGGCAGAGCGAGCGGCGTCAGGCTCGAGGATGGCGGAGGGAGGGTTTTGTTATGAGACAAGACGGATAGACAGCACGACGGGATGGATATGAGCAGAGACCCTCCTACACGTCCCCCCAGCGAGCTGTCACACGCAGGGGCCGCTGATTGTTTTGCACCTGCAAGCCCTGCCGCCTTTGTTCTGCATCTCTCTCTCACACTCTCTCCCAACGCTGCCAGCAATGCTGCTCTGCGAACCGCACATGGCTGCTACACAAGCTCGCATCATGCGTCGACGCCACAAACGCTGCCGCCGCCTATTCTGATGTCCAGCTCGCTGCACATGTACACCGTTACCGCAACCACCAATCCGCCCCAATCCGTCTGCTCATGCCCAGTAGTAGCGACTGCACCGGGTAGCAGGCGACGGCATGATCTCAGCGTGCGCTAAGTGAGATTGCATCGCTGCTGGGTCTGCCTTTGCGAGCAGTCACTTTTGATCTCCCTCTCCAGCCCGAGCTCAAGCGCAGCCGCGCGGATAGTAGATGGCCCTTCAAACACATCCAACGATCATCCAACGTTCGCATTCTTGAAACGACACTACGGCTGCAGTGCTGTTGACGGTTGTGGAGAACGACCTCTCTGACGCAATTCGGCTGCAGATGTGCTGCACGTTTGACAGGAACAAGAGCCCTCGCGCTGAGCGGCCGGCCTTCGAAAATAGCGCCATAACAATGCTGATCAACGTCGTACCTGCAGATGACCTTGTGCGCTGACCACCCTTCCAAGGCAACCCGGTCGGTGGTGCATCGGCAACCTGGTTGAGATGCAAAGCAAAGCCCATTGATGAACTTGTCGTCAACTTCTGCCAGCGCACACTTTGCATTTCCCATCCTTCCCCTTTCGACCTCAGACATTCGGTACTTGACTTCGCTTGCACTTCATGTTAATGACCTGCACACGCCCTCCCGCCGGGTACGGACAGTCATGTGGCCGCCAATCGCTTCGGCATTGCTGCCCATCATTCCCGCCATTCCGGTCGAGTCTCCTTGCCCAGAATCCCAGATCGATCCAAACGCTGGCAGAGTCGCGAAGCACAAGATCGCAGCTCGTTTGACCAGATTCGAGAGGACGCGTTTTGTGGGCTATGCGTTGTCCATCTGGGAATCTTGCTCGCTCTGCAAGGAGCCGTAGGGAGGTCCGGTGCGCTGCCGTACGACCAGAGGCCGTGAGGGGTTCATCCACCTAATGCCTGCTCGCTCCCGTGATCCCTCGAGCAGCAGCATTATGCACTCACGGCACTGTTGACGCGGTCGACAGAACCACGGGCACTCGATGCTCGCCGACCGCCCCGGCGTGATCGGCCCGTCGACCACAACATAAGACTCGCCCGGCGGCAGCATCGACTGTCTGTTCAAGTTGACAGCACTTCAGGACCTGGTTCTCGGGTCCTCTCTGCTGAGCGGCGTGCGGCATTAGCACACGCATATTCGCGCAACGACCCGGTGTCTATTGTTCAACAGCAGCGTCAACTGACTGCACATTTCTGCTGCGTCTCTACAAACCGAGCGTTCAGCGTTTGCGCTGGCTGTCGTAGAGAAGTGGATTCTCTTTCTGCAATCGCGGGCGTTTCTTTACATCCTCGTCCGTGGAGATCCTCGGTTGGCAAGGGTCGTCGTATCTCTGCAATCTACCGGCGATTCGAACCCGAGCACCATTTCACGATCTGGTAATTTCTGAGGTCGTCCTGCGTCGCTCCGTCTCACTCCATAGTCGCACATCAGCCAGGCTCGCTCGTCATCACCATGGTATTGCCCCTCCGCGAGAGCATGCCGAGGCCTTCCCCCATGTTGTCGGTTGGTGTCACAAACGAAGCAGATGAAGTTCGTGAGATGCAGGATCTCTCCTGACGCAGTTGGTCTCAAGCATTGGCCCAAGCTCGCAAGGTTCAACCTTACCATCGTGCAGTACCGAGATGCGTCGTGGAGAACAACCAGATGTCGATGGTTTCAGAAGGAGATTGTTGCATCGCTTCTGTTTGCATATGTCTGATGGAGGATGGGCTTTGACATCTGTTCATTATCTGTATCGATTCCCCGACGGCTATCTACAGCGTCTACAACTCCTTTTCAGAAAAAACGCCATCATGTGAGGAACGCTGCTCCTCCTGCGATCCAAATCTTTCCATGACAAGTTCAAACTCCACGCCAGACACTCGCTCGCCGAACAAGAACATTGCGTTGCTCAAGACCACACGTCCTCCTGGTACTGGTTCGACGCTCTCATGGACTTGACAATATCCTCGCCCTTCTTCTTGTCCACGCCTCTTTGCTCAGAGATGATCTGTGCGAGGATATCGTTCACCTCACGTGCCATGTTGGCAGCGTCACCGCAGACGTAAAAGTATGCCTTTTGCTCCAAGAGCTTGTTGATCTCCTCTGCTCTTTCTCTCAGCTTGTTCTGAACGTATACCTTCTTCTCTTGCTCTCGTGAAAAGGCGGTGACGAGCTCGAATTGGCCGTTCAGGTCTGAAGTCCATTTCTGCACATATGTTAGCTCTCTGGCAATTTCCATTATGAAGCATAACATGAACTTACCTCCCACTCATCCTTGTATAGGAAGTCTTCAGTGCGATTCCGGCAGCCGAAGAACAGGATGGTCTTGCCGACGTTCTCGCCGCTCTTGGCCTGCTGAGCGCGCTCCTGGACGAATCCGCGGAATGGTGCAACACCAGTACCAGGTCCGACCATGATAATAGGTTTGCTTGGGTCGGAGGGGAGCTTGAAGTTGGAGTGACGAATGTGGACTGGAACGTGGACGCCGTCGTACTTGTTCCTTGGACCTGTGATAGCGTAGTTGAGGCCATGTGGATCTGGGTTCTCCTCGCCATGCTGCTTCAACATGAGCGAGAGCAGATAGTTCGTCGTAACACCCTTCACCACATGTGGTGCGCCAGGTACTTCCACAGACTCCACAATGGCTGTGATAGAGACCTTGTCCTTCTGAACGAGCGATGATGATGAGATGGAGTAGTAACGCGGCTGGATCTTGTTCAAGCCCTCGATGAAGAGCGAGAATGGGATCTTCTCCCACTTCTGGCCGTTGCTGACATGGGCGAGGAGCTGTGCGATGTTGAAGTTTTTCTTGGCAACCTCCTCAGCGAAAAGGTCCTTATCACCACCAAGCTTGTTCATCTTCTCCTTGACTTCGTCGTTGGGTGCGAATTGTGCAAGAGTGGAGACGAACTGGCGAGAGACTGGTGCACAGATTTCGAGCTGATAGCGCATAACGGTGTCGTATGTCGTTGGTGTTGGGAAAGGCACCTTGGCTGTGGCATCAAGACCCTTGACGCTGATAACAGTATCGCGCTTCTTGGAGAGGTCCACAACATCCAGGAGTCTGTCAACCTCACGGCCAGCGTTGTTGGGCCAGACGGCAATGTGATCACCAGTGGTGTATGACAAGTTAGAACCTGCGATGTCGATTTCCATGTGAAGGCAGTTGCGAGTCTTGTCATTGAAGAGCTCGTGCGATTCGGCGATGGGGGCGATGTATGGGTTGTGTGCATTGTACGGACCCTTTGAATGGCCTTCCAGGTGGTTCTTGTTCGGCTCGCCGAGATAGACAGTCTCCTGGCTTGCGTCGAGGTCCTCACGTTCGGTGACTTCGTAGACGGGCTCGTACACAGCTTCACGCTCCTCGAGGTTCATCGCCTCCGAAAGAGCTGTCCACATGGGTTCCTTCCACGCCAGGAAATCTTCTTCCATGGTACCAGCGCCATCATCACCCTCGCCAGCATCTCCAATACGCTGAGCACCCAGCTTGGTGAGTGTCTTGTTCACCTCCCTGACCATCGAATTGTAGTGCTCATAGGTGTTGTTTCCCAGACCAAACGCCACGTACTTGAGGTTCGACAGAGGCGACTCTTCAGCGCTCTTCTCACTGAACGAAACATCGTCGCCCTTGATGAACTCGTAGAACTCCACAGCGTTATCAGTGGGTTCACCCTCGCCGTAGGTTGCCAACACGAAGAAGGCGATCTTGTCCTCTGGGAACTGGTCCAGGTTCTCATAATCATACTCTTCCAAATCCGCCGTCATAGTCTTCAAGCCGAACCTTGAAGAGCCCTCCTTCGCTAACCGAGATGCGTAGTCCTCTGCTGTGCCAGTCTGGGAACCATAGAAGATGACACAGTTCTTGCCAGACTCCTCCATTCTCTCCAGGATGTTTCTGCTCTTGCCGGACTTGCCAGCAGAGCCATTGGCCATCGAGCTTGCATATGGATCTTTCTGAACCGCCCAGTATGTGCCCTTGGTGAAGTATGCGATCGTGCCGAGCAGCAGGACTGCCAGGACAATGATGTCCAGCGTATCGAGGGAAGCCATGGTCGCGGAGGATCTGAAAATCGTTCTGGAGCAAAGTCGAGAGCTCGAGTGTGGACGAAAGACGTGTAGATCTAGTGTAGAGACCCGCGCTTATCGCATGCGAAATCGTCCGAGGCGGCAGAAACTAGAAAGCGGTGCGCACGTTGCGGCTGACTGGGACCCTCGCCAGGAAGCGTAGTTGTCGCTGCTGACGGGTGCTGCTGTTCTTGGAACACCCTGCCAATGCGGGATCGGTCAGGCCGGGAGGCTCTACAGGCTATACTCGCCGAAAGCGACGACGAGCAGGCAGATGGATATGAGCGACACGGCGTACTCGAAAAGCGAAGATCCAGGCCGGAAGGGTAGAGTGCGTCAAGTACTGCTTCCTAGCGCAGGATGTCGTCAGGGATCTCGGCCACCGCCAACGGCTGGCTGTACGCGCTCGTGATTCTTCGTTTCTCGGCTGGAGCCCAAACTTCTCACGCGCGGCGGCAAAGAACAGGACCGACAGAAAAAGGCAAGTGTGCAAAGAGGACAAAGGACGTGGGGGCTGCGCGAAGAGGTGCTGCTGGCGATAATATATCTTACGACTTTCGCGCACGGCCAGAGCGAAAGGAACAACTGGCAGCGAGCGTCAGACAGCGCACTGTCGGCGGCCAACACAAACACAACGACCCGCAAACCCGCGGCTCCTGGATATCAACAACTCTCTCCACGACCCCCGCGAAGTCATGGGTTGCCGCTACTTTTTCTCTGTGTACAGTATTTCCACTTTGTGCAGCGGAACAACCGCCGCCCCTCTATCCGTCTGCCGAAAACACATCCGCCCCAATCGATCTGGCAGATGGACTGCGGGAGTTCGTCGCAGCCGATGACGGACTGCGAGGTCTCTTTTCCGCGCTATGCCAACCGCCATCTCGGAGGACGGAATGCGAAGACACAGAGACATCATTGACGCCTACTACTGCCTCAATGACGTCTAGTGAGTGATGCGGCCGCAGCAGGAGAACAAGACATTTCGGTGTCGGTATCGGCGAGTGCCAAAATCTCACCCAATGGCACTTTCTTTGGAACCCTGACCTGTGAGGCTCAAGTCTCACGGGTGCTGACTGTATCGATGACTCGCCAGCTGATCTCGAAGATGCCCGCGAGCGATCCTTCAGGGCTTGATTCGATCTGACATGTGACAGGGGCGTCAGCTCAATTTCGTCCCAGCGGCATCCGCCTTCCACGATGACCCTGTTTCGAGTCGACTGCGTGGCACATCCTTGTGGCAGGATTGTACGGCTGAACGAGCAGAAATAGGAGATCGGGGGGCGGGTAGTGTACTGCACTGTCGACGCTGTGGCATCCAAGCCCAAAGTATCGTCTTGAGAAGAAGTGAGATATGAGTAAGGCAAGTACATGGTGCCGTGTTAAAAGAGGCAAGTCAATGTTTCCATCTTAGCAACTGTTCTATCCTTTCTCTAACTGACGCCTTGAAGTGTTCAAAGTCGCCGCCTTCGTAGTTATCGCCCGCTAGTACACCTAGCAGTCTCGACATCGGGTTTGACCTTCCTAACAGACTGCGACTAGAACCTTTCACTTGGTCTATGGCGTCTGCAACTGGCGCCCGCCCGATCGCTATGGCTATAACCAAGTCACGCACAGTAAGAGACGGTAAAGTTTTGCTCCTCGGCTGAGTGACAGTACACTGAAGCTTGAGGGTGGTGGAAATGATCTCGAGCATCTGGTCATGACTTGGCACATGCGTTTCGATAAGATGAGGGCAGCACCAAGTGGACAAGAGACTCCGCATTCGACCGTTCCTCGACATGGAGTAGTATTCTGCCTTGGACCCAATTTTCAACATGCTTGCAATGCTATGTGTACGCCGCCGAGCGATGCGAGCGCTAGGTAAGGGAGTATGTATGCGCCACGCGCTACGAGATTCTAGACGCAATACATGCGTCTCCAAACCAGACTCTAGTATATCGCCGCCCTAGCGATCCACGCTTTCTCATGGTCGCCGCGACCCGTACGGGACAAAAGTCCAAGCACTTCAAGACCTACATGTACGACGACTCCCGACCATGTACACCCAATGAAATTGCCACTGCCCTGACTTCGGTCGCTCGCCTGGGAGGTGCTTACGATGCTGCAGGTGGTTATGCCCATCGCCGCGGTGTCGCCCAGGATGCAAAGCATTTTGGGAACTACTTCAAGGCGACTATGTAGTTCGATGCTGGTGCTCTTTTGGGTCACAGCAATAAGTCTCAAGCAAAACCCCTTACCGACAAATACGCAAAGATGGAGGTCGAAGTCAACCACCCTAGAGAAGCGCTATAGGCCGTCCAGCATAAATCGGATCAAGCTCCCTTCAGATGTCTCTTACTGCAATCTCTGCTCTCGGCGCCTGATGGCACTGCTTACAGCACAACACTTGCAACGGAGTCGGTCGACTAAATCACTCTCTTCGCTACCCGCAAACATCAGCAGATTCTCACCAACAACCGCGACGAAGAGTCGGCCCAGAATCTGTCAGACGGCACGGACGCAAAGGGCAAGAGGCCAAAGAGCAAGAAGTCGAAGCGGAGGGGAGCCCAGACAACCGTACGAATAGCCCGAACCTCCAGCGTCCAGCTCGGACGTTTCGATGAGTCCCTAGGGAGTGCGATCCATGACAACATATTGGAGGCGTATGGGAAGTCTAATGGCACGACAGGTTATGTGTTGGCTACACGGACTGCGAATGCTGCAGGTCATTACATGCCCAGTAAAGAGTCCTACGTTCCCAGCAGTGTCAATGCCGCAGGGCTCGCGTACAACTCCTCTATAGCCTTCAGCTCTGGTCACCGAATCTCATGCAAACTGCCAGTCAGAGTAACGTCTTGAAGCTCATTCTTCTGACGAGCCTATCTCCATGTTCAGACCCGCGCGAAAGGAAAGAGCGAAAGGGAAGCAACGGCAGGCTCCACTTTTTCTAGCCAATCATATATGACCTACCACCTCCACAATTCTCGCGACGATATCACTTCAATACAACACCTCTTTCCTAGATTGAGAAAGTCTTCGTGCACTGAGATCACGAGAGACAGCTGTCTATTTGTCGGTATCGTTCGCGAAAGATGGCTAGACATCGGATGATGGGTTTCATCCCACCCCTCCACTTCTTCATGCAGCTCGCCCACATCTGAGGCTGAAAGAAGCAGAGGCACAACCGCCTGCTTGAAAACGAAAGTTTGACCTGCACCCTTCACTGATGTGATGCTGTACCATGGGTCTCAAAGAATGGATCAACAAACGTCGTGGGAAGACAGGTGGGAGCGTCGATGGAGCGTCCACTCCCGATTCCCAGTCCACCACGACTTCTCCGGCCGACCTAGCTAAGAACGGACAGAGAGACGCTGCAGCAGTGACGGCACCGCTGTCGAATCCACCCTCTTCTGATTCTGCTCATCAGCAAACACAGATCTCATCCATCAGCGACATTGACGCTCTTCGCAATGCTGTTTGGAAGCAGGCACACGAGCGACTTCGCTCGGAGCAGCCAAAACTGGTTGCAGCCTACGAGGCCCTCGTCAAGGAACAGAGCGGCGTTCCCCAAGGATCGAAGCTGGACTCTGACTCAATGTCTCTGATCGTCTGCAAACAGAAAGACATGATGAAGAACAAGCAATGGTCTTATACCTGGTTTGGCGAAAAGCATGCTGTGAGAGATTCTGTCGAGACCATATTCGGTCTCGTGGAGCACGCTTCTGGACTTATCGCACTTGGCATGACAGCGGCTCCTCCATATGTCTCTATACCATGGCAAGTTGGCCTATTGCCACGAACAGTGACATAAGCTAATTCAAATATAGGAGCGTAGTCACTGCTTTGATTCCTTTCATTACCAACGATATAAAAGCTGTAAACTCTGCAATTGACGGTCTGCAGGAAGTGACCAAGATCTTGGCGAGCTACAGCTATGCAGAAAGGGAGTTTCTCCCCGTCCCTGCAACCCGTGGCGACTTCGAAAACGTCGTCATCGAACTATACATGTCCATCATCGAGTACCAAGCTACAGCCGGACTCTACTTCGCGAAAGATACCCTGAAGCGTATTGGAATCAATCTCGCTCCGAAACAAACCTGGCAAGATGCCCTGGGCAAAGTCAAAGGCCAGGACGAGAAGTGCCGTGTACCAATGCATAGCTTAGGCGTTCGTCTCAACCAACTTGGTCTCGCCGACCTACAGTCTGTGCTGGACCGCGGCGCCGAACTCCTCACAACCATCAGCCAAGCAGTGTCTGCAAAGCGTGACCGACGTGAAAAGATCCAACAATGGATATCACCCGTCACCCCGTACGAGGATCACGACACCATTCGCAGTCGACTTGGGGATGCATATACAGGCTCTGGTCAGTGGATGCTTCAAGATGAAGACTTCACGAGTTGGAGATCTGGCAGCGGCGGATGTCTGTTGCTTCAAGGAATTGTTGGGAGTGGCAAAAGCTGTCTTACTTCGATTGTTGTACAAGACCTCTTAGCCGATGCTTCCGGGCGGGTAGCGTTCATGTACTGTTCTGCCACGGCGGACACTTCTACACAAGACGTCGCGGACACGAATCGCAGCCACACATTGACAATCTTGCGAGGGATACTTGCTCAGCTCGCAGTACTCCCTGACGGAAGCATAGCGCCTGAGATTTTGGCCGCGTATGAGCGCGAGGATGGCGGTCGGTCGCGGAAAATGGGTGGAGGCTTAAAAGCCACTCTCGACACCATCAAATCTCTTCTTCGAGATCGATCAGGTGAGCGACTGAGACTCGTGTTCGATGCTCTGGATGAATGCAAAGATTACGACGGGCTTCTGGAGAACCTCGCCGGTCTCAAAGACGTGCGGCCGAGCATATCCTTCTTTTTCTCAGCTCGGAGCGGCGTTGAAATTGGCACTAGATTTCCCCGACACCAACTTCTCATCACAAACGACCAGAATGCTGACGATATCGAGACCTACATCGACTTCGAAGTCTCCAGGAGACACGAAAATGTGGGAATGCAAGATGCTCAGGCTGAGAGACTCAAGAAGGCACTCAAGCGTCTCGCCGGGGGCATGTAAGTACAGTATGCGACACAGTTGTTGAAATGCTTATAAGCGACAGGTTCAGATGGGTGGAGCTCGAAATCGAAGTCTACCTACCCCGTCCAAATGCTCAACGTAGGAAGCTGAGGTCAAGGGACATTGACAAACGCCTGGAAACCCTCGAGAATTCGCAAGCTCCGGTCATCGATTTGCTGATGGACACATATGAACAAATATACGCCATGGCCCTGGGGGAAGAAGATGAAGAAGCGAATAGGCACACGATTGTGTCAGCGCTGAAATGGGTGCTGTGCTCGTTTCGATCTCTAACAGCGTCGGAATTGCTGCGTGCCGTCAGCGTTCAATCTGATGGTACCTATGAGGACGACTTGACGGAGGATATGATTTTGAATTCTTGCAGCAACTTGTTTATCAAGGACGCAAGAGGATTGATCCGACTGGCTCATCTCTCTGTTCGTCAATTCTTCGAAACGAAGCATGAGCAGGACTTCTGCCCCGAGTTCCAGCATCGTCAGGCAGCGCTGTCTGCCCTCTCGACAGTTGGTGTCTTCCGCGATAGCGAATATCAACTGGAGATGTTTACGGTTCTTCTGGCAAAGGAACCGCAGAAGCAATTGCCAGTGTCGCAGGACTCGTTCACAGTCTACTGTCGACAGAATTGGGCCGCGCACTACAGATTCAGTGATCGGACTGAAGACTCGAGAAACACTTTGCGTAAGATTAAGAAGGTCCTCAACCATCCATTTCAGCATTGTCTGAACTACGCAATGGCTAATTGCGGATTTCCTGCTCGCACGATCCTCTCGAGAAAGCTAGACAAGACCTTCAACTGGACAAAGCTGAGAGATCAATACTACGGCCTTACCGACGTATACACCGATGCAGGCCCAGTTTCAAGTGAAGCTCACCTACCTTGGAGATGGATCCGATCCAATACTGCAGGATCAGTTCTCACAGGATCAGAGCTAAATCCGTTATACATGGAGGGAGAACAGCGTGGTGAGAAAGTTCTCCAAGTCCATGCCGCCGAGGATTTGGACATCCGTGAAGCGGACTCTGCGGGAAACTCACCGCTTCATTATGCGGCTTTCTTTGACCAGCCGCTGGTGATTACAGCTTTACTCGAAACCGGATTGCTGATAGACCAGCAGAATTTAGATGGCAATACGCCGCTTCACGTCGCAGCCTTTGCGAAAGCTTCCGATAGCATGAGCGTTCTGCTGAAGTCTGGAGCTGATCCCTCTCTCAGAAATCATCATGGCCAAAATGCCATAGAGGGTATTGCCCCTGCTCTTGGCAAAGTTCTACTGCAGGACCTTGCGTCGACTCACAACAAGGCCGATCAGCATGTCGAACGTCGGCCAAGGCTACTGTCCCACATGTCGCAAGGCTGCAGCCTTTGCAAGTGGACAACATGGCTCGAAGGGTCTCGCAGAGGAGAAAAGTTTCAACTTTGTTCGTCAGTGAAACAGATGACCTCGCAAGGTTGCACTCTCTGCAAAGCTGTTTATGGATCGCTGGGAAACGGCATCTGGCCGGTCGATGAAGCTTTGCCAGTCCATGTTCAAGTCATGCTTGATACCGACAGCCCATTGAAGAAAGGGAAGGATGTGATACGATACAGTGTGGCAGGCTTACCAGACGTGGATTTCAAATTGTGCATCAACCCTGGTAAGCCTTCTCTCTCATCAGAACCTCTTTTTGTTCATCTCGAGCTAATGACGCCATGGGTACTGGCAACCCTAGCGCTGCCAAAATCTTTCGTGGTCGTGTGGTTCAACTTGATCCCTTCGAGACCGTGACCAAGTGGCTGGAAGACTGCCGCGCCAGACACCGGAACAACTGCAGATCACTGTTAGATTCCTCGCAGCCAAGGCCGTGGAGGCTAATTGACTTGGGCACAGCTGACGGGAATGTTCGAATCTGTGATGCCTCTAATCAGGATCCGCAAGATTTGCGATACGTCTTCCTCTCTTTCCAATACGGCAATGCATCTGGCTTCGTTCGACTACTACAGAGCAACAAAGATGAACTTTACCAAGGGATTCGCACAACAGACCTGCCTCGTCTATGGCAAGACGCAATCACAATGTGCCGTGCTGCCGGATATCGATATTTATTCATTGACGCACTGTGTATCATACAGGACTCAAGGAGGGACATATCATTCCATGCGACCGAGCTTGGCCGCTACGTTATGTTCGCCGACACCGTCTTTGTGGCGACCATGGCCCTTTCAGATCACCTTTGGCCCACAAACGTCAATGAGCAAAATGACATATGCAGTTTCGATACTTGCATTGAAGACCGACACGAGGCACCCTTCAAAGTGCATGTTCGCAAACCGCTCTCGACCGCGGACGCCGTTATGCGCGACAAAGTCCTCTCCAGAGCCTGGCGACTGCAGGAAGTTCTTCTACACAGGAGGGTAGTTTTATTTGGCGAGGATCAAATCTACTGGTACTGCAGCAACGGCTTGACTTCTCAGAGTGACGCCCAATTCACCACGGCGCCGTGGACAACCGTGGGCGACATTATGCGACGGCAGATACTCCTCAGACCGGTTCTGCCTTCCGACCTCATGGAGCAGCGTATGTTGAGGTACTGGTATTATCTCATTGAGACGAGCACTGCAGGCGAATTGACCTTTGCTGTCGACCGCTTGCCTGTCATCGCCGCGGTCGTCGACTTCCTGCAGAAGACGGGAGACTTGACAGTCATGGACATCCGTTCCGGGATCGGAAGTGACGATGTGTTCACTGGATTGCTATGGATCCGCAAGCCCATTGTTTCCACGAGACAACCTCCCGTCGACATTCCTCCTACTGGACCGACATGGAGCTGGACTTCTATCACTGGAGCCGTTTCGTATGGCCTCGCCCCCGGATTGCAAGCATGTAGAACGCCATCCAAATATTTGGAAGAAATGCTTCAAGTGGAGGAGATGCATGTGGTGACTGCTGATGATGCGGGTGCCATGAATGCGATTGCTAAGAGAGCAGGACCTGGAACGTTTCTCAGAGTTTCCTGCCTCGCTTTGCGCGCCGAGCATGAGAGCGAGAATGACTGGGGAGATTTCCCGTGTTTTTTGGACTGCAGTGCCAAAGACGAGGAAGAAGAGGTGTGGTTTGTTTTGGTTGCTCCTTGGGTGTATAATCCACAGGGCGATGCGCGCTGGGCCGGACTCGTTCTTGTTAGGGAAGATGTTACTGAAGGTGTTGGCGCGCGGTTCGTCCGTAGAGGGGTGTTCCTTGGGCCGGAGTGTGACGAGGATTTGGGGAGGTGGAAGAGGAGAGAGTTCGTAATTTTTTGATTGTAGAGTGGTACGTGAAGTTGAATTCGAATCTGACTAGGGAGCAATTCAGGCTAAATAAAGTGAGACAAGCCTAACTCTAATCTTCCTCCTTTCGGACCACATCTTGTCCTCGATCTTTCAAAATCATCCTGGCTCCTCATCTGTTCGGATCACATTCACCCTGCCCATGACTTGAGCCTACTGAACTCGACACAAACGATCTCCCACCTCCTCCCACTCCTCAATTCCAACACAAACCCGACACCAAAAGACATCATCTGGATCGACTGCCTTCTTGATCTGATGCAGCCTCTCATAATTGTTTCCCCAGAACGCCTGCTGGAAATCGGGCTCTTTCAAATAAGCCTGTGTCTGCATTAGTACTTTTGTCCTCAAACGGGAAAAGTATTGAGAAACCATACTTCATTCAAATAGGCGCCTGAATCTGGTACCAACCGCCGTAAAGCTTCGACCTGGATCTTGTCGATGCTGTTTTCGACGACACTCCGTTCGATTCCGTCAAGAGGCGTCCAGTCTTGAGACGTCACTGTTCGGTGGGGGTTAGAGGCTCTGCAACGCTGCTACTGGGATAGAAATTCACGGGCTTACCGGCGTGGATCAAGGCCTTCCTCCATGCCGGGTTCACGGCATCACTGGCCCCTCGTGGGACGGCATTCCACACGCCTGGTCCAGCAACCATATACAATCTGGCTCCCACTTCTCCCGCGAATTCTTTCAGCGCGTCGCCAAAGGCTTCATCCTTGAGAATTTCTGGGGGCAAAAGCCGAGATCCGACCACCTTGTCCACTCCAGCCCCCGAGTCATCAGCATATTTCTGGAAAAGGCTGTAGAAGTTTGGAAGTACAGTCGATTTCACTTTCGTGGTGACCTTCCCAGAGAACGTCTCGTTCACGTGCCGCACGTAGGGTATCAACAGATCTTCCAGGGTGCTTTCAGAAGGCGGATCGTACGAGGCGAAGATTGCTTCGAATGACGCCACATCACCCGCACGACCGGCAGTGCTGATATTGGGGTACAGGTATGTGAATGCTGCAACGTTCGACTCCGCAAGGGCTGGGAATTGTGCGAGGAGGTATGTCACGATGTCCCAATAGACCGTCGAGCTTGGCTTAGCTTCAACAGTGAGGTCAAATGTCGCAATAGGGGTCGAGGGAACGGTCCTGACAGTCACCTTGGTCAGGACCCCAAAAGTACTTCCGCCGCCCTATATCAAGTCATAACGTCAGGAGCAGGTCTCAATGGTGATTGGATTAAGCCAATTCAGGTGCACTCACCCCTCGAATGGCCCAGAAAAGATCTGTATTCTGACACTCGTTCGCCGTGAGGATTTCTCCTGTAGGCGTCACCATTTCCACCTCATAGAGCTGATCCGAACCGAGGCCGAAAATGATCGAAATAGGACTGTGGCCTCCGCCGGTGAGGTAGCCGCCCATGGTGACTTCTGGTCCCAGGCCATCAACAACGGTTAGGTTGTAATCTTTTAAATTTGTGTATATATCCTTGACATAGGACCCGGCTCCTGCAGTCACTGCCGTGGTGTTGATGGTGATCTCACAGCCCCTTGGTTTGAAAGTCTTATGAATCTCGTAGTCGCTGATCATGTATCTTGTCCAGATTGAGAGTGAGAACGGAGTTGCCGATCTGTTCGTCTCCAAACCATCAGATACTCAGTGCTTCCACGGGAAGTCATGTTTAAACGTACCGCTTGAGGTAGTCATGTCCCAATGCTTTCACATTCAACCTCACGTTGTTATCCCGGGCAAAGTCAATCGCCAGCTTGACATGGTCCGCGGATGTTGCATTCACTACGTAGACCGGATATCCGAGACCACTGCACGGGGCAGACGCGTTTGGCAGACACGAGTCGTTGTTCATGTTGTTCCATGCGGTGCTGATCGGATCATTCTGGTGGAAAGGAAACGTCTTCCATGAGCTTTGAATGCTGAGACAAGTTTCGTTTGAACCTGGTTCCGAGGAGTGACAGGCCAGCGCAGGTGGGGACGGATGTAAAAGGCGTCCAGAGAGGGTCTCATTCAAGGCATATCATAGAGATATGCTAGGCCAAGATGCGTCGTTTGGTGTTGACTTGCATATTATGTTGTGACCTTCGACCGGGTGAAGGGGTGCTCCAAGAAGGGTGATTGTAGAAAGACAGGGGAGTAACCTTGGCTTGAGGAAGCTCATCTCAGCGGTGCTAGGAGGAGATAGCAAAAGTTGTGCGTGTTGATATTGCATAGATTGAAGGCAATCCAAGATGATATAGAGAACAGTTTACCTGCGGATCAGGGTACGCGTGGACATGACATCTTTTGCTGTGGAATGCAGACCAGTGTGTATCTTGCGAGCGTCGAAGATATCCAAGGACAAGGTGGGTCGCATACGTGAAGAGTCGTGTTAGTAAAGACACAGATATTTTTGACTCCTGTCGAGGCTTCTGGGTAACCTCATCGAATGCGCGTTGATATCGATGATCCCGTTCTGGGATTGAACGTGTATTGTGCTTTATTTCACCCCCAACTGTCAGCGACATTATTCACTCACACTTGACTTGATCTGGATTTCTCGACTCGCAGCCTTTCGCAAGTCGCTGCCTGATATCTGCTTCCTTCAGGTACCACACGAGATCTGGAGTTAGGGCAATCTATTTCTGAGCAAGTAGCGTTCTTTCGACTGGATTGTTTTCCGAAGAGGCTAGTCAATCCATCAAGCGTACACGACAGCATCGAGGGAAAGGTGCCGCACTGCCGGAGCGATCTGAATGATTGAGAGCCCTCAGCACAAACGAGTGCCTCTGAGATGGGGTACCATTTCGACCAGGGGCGTGGTGTCTGAGATACCGAGCGGATGCCGAATCGCCGGCGGTAAGCGTCCCCGATTGATGAGACGAATACTCTCACTGCTCACTCGGAGAAGAGAAGAGTAAGAGTTGTACTTATGTGTGCTCAGATGCTTCCTGCCAGGCTGTCGCGCCATATTTGGTCTGCTCGGCTTTCACGCTCGGCATGAGAGTCGTTCCATAGAGCCTCTATACCCTACAGCTCTTGATGCCATATATTTCCTTGGACGCCAGCGGCAGCATCTCCAAGCTCATGTCATGTTGTCGTGTTTCCCATGTCCAACACGCGTCGTCGATTCGCTGCGGCTGTCGTCGGGTTCCAGTCGCTGAAGCGGGAGTGTCAAGAATTGGTGTCGCTCATGCAGTTGAATAAGTGCTTGCACTAGTTGTTGGTGACATTGTCTTGCGCATTGTTGAGCGTAGGGGAAGCGAAGTTGAAAAGGCAGAGGTCGCGTTGTCCCAAATTCAGGCTAAACTCCGAACTCTGAATCCGGTAGACTTCCTTGCCTCGACTTCCAATCACAGCCACTCTCTTTCACCCTTCCACCACCCGCTTGGACCATCGTCGCCGCGAGCGCAGAATGACAGCGACTGTAATACCATTGTTACCCGGCCAACGTTGGGACAGGAGCTTCTCGAGGCTCGTAACAGCGCTTACCTAGGCGAGGAACACTCGAGCTTCGACCAAAGGCCATGGTCGCACCAACACATCCTGAACATCGTCGTGGACCAAACGAACTCATGGAAACATCCCGCAACTCACACCATCATTCGACGAAGGACCTTCCACATTGAGCGAATGCCCTCCGATTGGTCCAAGTCCGCCCCACGGGAGTGAAGCACAAAGGGAATGATGCCTTCAGCTTCAAGCCCAACACTTTTCGCCAACAGGAACACAACAGTCGAAAGTGTGATACAAATGACACCACGAAATAATACCAACACGTAAAGTCGAAGTCGAAGGATGTATCTCTTCACCTTCACATGCCAAAAAAGTTTATTGAAGGCTCGTGGCAGCCACGTTCTCCGCCTATCTCTCCAAACTTTGCCCGTTTCAGGCGGCATATCTCAATCCTTATCTCTACTGAAAGAATGCCAAGAAAGCTATGAATGCAGGACAAAGAACGTGGCACGGGCGTGTGTGCGCCCTGCAGAGATGACAGGCGAGTTCGCAGCTCTCTCCAGCTCGGAGTGCCGTGGAAGTTCGCACGAAAACACGCGGTTACTGGTGCCTCTGTTGGTGCAATCTAGGCGCATGGATATCCGCAGTCCCCCATCCATGCGCCAAGTCGCTTTGCACGAACGCCTCCCAACCGAACCTTTTGACGAGGCCCGTTTGGCGCAAGGCCAGGGATGCGTCCAGTTGGGTTGGTTGGTGCCATTGGTTTTCCTTATCAGGCCAAGCTTTTTAGGATTGCGCTCTCTCAAAGAGACACTCTTTTAGGCGACCCGAATGTGGTAGCGTATTGCACTCTTTGTTTGGCGATACCGGGGTTGTTGCTGGACTCGCTCTTGCGAGATATGAGTCCGCGCCTGCCCATGCCTGCTCGCGCGTTGATGGTACAGCTTTCTCCTTCCTCGACCTTCTTCGTTTCTTCTGTTCGTGGCGATTCATCCTGCGATCAGCATGTCGACGACAGTAAGTCATGTTGCCATTCTTGGAGACCGTTGGGATATCAAAGTCTAATCCACACTCCAGCCTGAGTTCGATCCTGCGTCTCCACGTGGAGGTGATCCTCTCGTCGTGGACGTCAACGCTCAATATGCCGGCTTGGAGTACCATTACGTCTACCTGGCCTTCTGCGCCTTCATCGTGTGGCTGATCATCCCTGGTATCGGCCTGTTGTATGGTGGACTGGCTCGACGCAAATCGGCGTTGTCGCTGCTCTTCCAGTCCTTGATGGTCGCTGCAGTGACAACATTCCAATGGATGTTCTGGGGATATTCGCTGGCATACTCGAGAACAGCAAACGCTTTCATCGGCGACCTCGCCAACTTCGGCCTCATGAAAGTGCGCGCAGCTCCCTCACCCGGCTCGGTCTATCTCCCTGAGATTGTGTTCTGCCTATACCAGCTCCTCTTCTGCGCTTGCACGGTACAGATCGTCATCGGTGGATCGTTCGAGCGCGGCCGCATCATCCCCTCCCTGATCTTCAGCTTCTGCTGGGCAACCATCGTCTACTGTCCCATCGCGTGCTGGACCTGGAACAGCAACGGCTGGCTGTACAACCTCCCATCGCTCGACTTTGCTGGAGGAGGGCCGGTCCACATTGCATCAGGCTGGGCTGGTCTGGCGTACGCCTTCGTGCTGGGCAAGAGAAAGCATGCCGGCGAAAAATCCCACGGCAAGCCCCACAACACCACATTGGTATTTCTCGGGACAGTTCTCATATGGTTCGGCTGGTTTGGATTCAATGGTGGCTCTGCTCTGAATGCCTCTATTCGCTCAATGTATGCCGCATTCAACACCAATGTGGCAGCCTCGACCGGTGTTCTGGGGTGGGTCTTGGTGGATTACATCCGCACCAAGGGCAAGTTCAGCGTCGTGGGCGCTTGCGAGGGCGCCATCGCTGGGCTGGTCGGCATCACACCAGCGGCTGGTTACGTTTCATTCTGGCTAGCTGCTCTGATCGGGTTCCTCACTGCAGTCGTCTGCGCATCTCTCCAGGATCTCAACAAGTGGCTGCGCATCGATGAAGGCTTGGAAGTCTTCAAACTGCATGGAGTCGGCGGCATGATGGGGTCCTTCCTCACTGGTATCTTTGCGGATGAGACGATCTCGGCCCTCGACGGAAGCTCTCGCTACACTGGAGGTATCAATGGCAATGGTGTTCAAGGTAAGTCCTTTTTACGAGTCCGCGATTTTAGCCTTGTTCAATTTCACTGACACCACCACAGTCGGAAAGCAGTTCGCAGAGATCACTGCAATTGCCTCTTACAGCTTCGTGGTCAGCTGCATCCTGCTCCTGATCCTGAAGTACATCCCAGGCATGCACTTGCGCGTCAGTGAAGAGGCAGAGATGCGTGGCCTTGATCTAGATCAGTTCTTTGATGAACAGATCGGTGAAAGCTGGGAGCTCTTTGACGTTCATGAGGGTCGCCACCATATCACCCACGGGGTTCCCAACGAGTCGCTGCCCGTCAGCAGTGCCGTCACCCAGGAACGAGAGGCTCCAAAGGCTGAGAAGCAGGTCTAGCGTATCGGTGTTACTAGTATTACATAACTTGAATATGCCATACTTCTTAGAGGTCCAACTAAGCTCAGTGTGTTGTATGCTTAGAAGCGTAGTAAGAGCGAAGAACATGCCTCACACAGTCGATCTCAACAGGCCGTGGTCGTGTTTCCTCTTGAACACCGCATTCCGTTGCTCCAGCGAGAAAAGGATGGAATAAACATCAGGAACTTTCTTCCGGTCACATCCTGGATAGCCTTCGAGGCATTCTTTGTTTATTGCCGCCTAGCAGCGTTGGCATATGAGACGGTGCTATGGGCCACATCCACTCCGTAGCGATGGACAGGAGTAGAAGTCACCCACATCCCCTCCTCCGGCTTCAACACCGTTCGACGTCTCCAGTCGAACCGAGCGCCACAGCGACGGCGAAGGATGACGAAGTGCTTTCCGATTTGAGTGCAAGGTTCTTGGCTGAGATGTCCACGCGCACTTCTTGAGCCATTGACTCCCGAAGTTCTGTTGTCTGCTGCAGGCCAAATGAAGAAGGCAAATCGTGGCGGCAGAAGGTATAAGGGCAGTGAAGGACATCTCGAGTTATCTGGAAAGCTTCCTTCAATCTCAAGATCTGAGCATCTTTCACCTGCACTACTTCCTCAGCGACGTCGACACAGTCTCCACTCTCTCCCCAAGCTTCACCCTCTTTACAAGATGACACCAAGAGCAAATGCCTTCGACGCCATCAAAGCAGCAGGGATCAAAACCCAGAATTCAATCGAAGCAGAGAAACAACCATTGCTGTGGAATCGCCCTCGAGTGACGTTGCAGTCACAGTTGTGGGCAAAACTCAAGGCCGCTCTGCAGGATGACGAAGAGTCGTTCCAGATCGTGAATGCAGTGTTCTACCGAAGTCCAACTGGTAACTATTTGATACCAACGGCGACCTGTAGGGAGAGGCCACTTCCCAGTTTGTGAGGCAGCAGCTAATGCTTCGTAGGGCGTTGAGCAGCTGAGCAACATGGCCAGAGAAGAGAGGCGTGAGATGACGAGATCTGAATGATCTTCCGCTGGAAGAAAGGAAATGTTGAGCAAAAATATCACTATCGGAGTTCGTGAGAGTTGATACTATGGCTCAAGGTTTGGCGCTAACGAAAAGAGTTCCCAATGCAGCATAGTCATAGCCAAAAGTGGGCCGATGTTCGATGTCACATGTCAGCTTCTTCAGCTATGTTCGTTCTTCCCATTTTTCCAGGCCATGTCCACAGCCATGGGGCGCGAATCTCCGCCAAGGACGGGAACGCTACCACAGCACTCTTCTGTTGTGTTTGCATACTCTGGTATGCGAGCTTCCACGCCAGTCGCTGTTGCCTACAGATCGCAATCAGCCAAGATTGTGCTCGATTGTCGCTCGTAGCTTGGAGTCTTCTGTCTTCTTCAACGCCCTGATTTTATATCAGCCAGCCTGATGGTCTTCCGAGGAAGGCCTTCAGGGGCGTGTCTGCCATGTCGTCAGAGAAGAATCAAGGTGGGTTCAGATCCCGACTCAATGAGTAGGTCGCAACGGCTGAAAAAGTCTCCAGTGTGACCAGGATGCTTCAGGCTGCAAGAGCTGCAAGCGTGCACAGATCAAATGCCATGGCTATCGAAGCGTTCCACAAACGGTGTTCTACAACGAGACTGACGAAGTGATCAACAAGAATCGCAGTTCAAGCAAGGAAGCTCCCAAGTCACCGCCTAAAACCACATGGTCTGCGTGCTCGAACTCGAGTCCGATGCTTGAAAGGGCCCTCACGCCATCTGACATGGGCGATTTTGCCTTCAATTATTTCCGGGCGTACCACTTTCTTCTGCCCCATGTGGAGACCGGCCCAAACCAAGACATGCTTTTCGAGTGCATGAAGGCGCATGGACTGGCTACATGTGCCGTGGCTGAACGTTGCTCCCTGGCGAGAGTCGAAGCAAGAAGGCACTATCTCTCAGCTATCCAGAAAGTCAACAGTGTTCTGAGAGACGGCCATTCTGCTACGGACGATCACCTTCTACTTGCGGTCATGATGCTCAGCACTATCGAGTCGATCACAGACAGTCGTGAAGCGCCGCTCGATGCATGGAAGAGTCATGTGGAAGGCTGCACTGCAATATTGAATTTACGTGGACCTGAACAAATACGAGATCCCCAAGGTCGACTACTCTTCATGCAAGCCACCTCGTGCTTGACGTCTCAGTGCCTGTTTAGCTCAAGCCGTATGCCTGACGAGATCCAGATGCTGACCGACGAGGCTACCAAGTATATTACCAGGGCACATAGCAGATCTGGCGAACACGTGCAGGAACACACCGAAATCGATCCGTGCTTTAAACATATGCTCTCCGACAAAGCTACATGGGCGATGCACCAAGCAGGCATGACTTTAACCAATTTCAACAGCGACATCAAGTGTGGTCGAGTGCAAGACCCGATGCATATGTCTGGCCAAATTCTGCAACAAGACGAGCAATTGAACGAAGCCTACCGGCAAGCAAGTCAAAGTACTGCGGACGGCATGTATGCTGCGGAGCCAACGCTAATGACCTACGAAGAGGCATTTGATCAGTACCTGGCCATCCAGATCTCGAATTCCATCCGCGGCTGCCGTTTGCTACTACACACCATGAATCAACACTTGCTTAAAACAGCTTCGGCAACACCATCCCACGAAGCAACACTCCAGGCATCCGCGGCTGTCATAGATGACATGAGATCACAAATCCTCGAAAGCGTACCCTACCAGGTCAGCCTAGCGAAGAAATGGCTCAACCGCCCAAACGTCCCCAGCGGGTTTCCCAACCTCCGCCAACTCCTTTCCCCTCCCGCCGGTGTCTCGACTGCTGTGTTCGTGGCGGCCGAGCACATCTTGACCGGATCGTCGACAACCCAACACAAAACGTTCTTCACCCCACAAGATCCGCCAATTCTTCGCATCTCGCACGGCTACAACATTATCGCGGCGCTGCTTCTGGTGGGATGCGTTCCGACACCAGGATCGCGAGAGAGGAAGTCGACTTGTGAGTTGCTGCGTTTGCTTGGGGAGTCTTTGTCGATACCGCAGGCTATCATATTTGCTGAGCGGATGGAAGCATCAGATGCAGAGTCGGTGGGACCTGTTCCACGGTGACGGGATATCAAAACCTCTCTGGATGCACAATGTCGATGAACAGCCCGGAGGTCTGAACATCCGAGACATGAATCAAAGATCCAGAGGAAGATGACCGCACGAAACAGCGACTGAGACCAGGCTGCACACTTTAACACCCGCCCGCTCACCTCCGTAAGGCCACGACAACAATGGACTCTGCGTTCGCCAGCTTCACCACGATAGCGCCTCAACGTCTACGATGCATAAGCTATGGGTTTCTCTGCTACTTTTGGATCCGCTTCAAATGCAGATATAGACCTTCCACATCGTCTTCTCAAAAGCAGAAAAGTAGCGATGGCTTGGAGAAGAGAAATGGAGGGATCGCACGGCATCGTTGACGCCACAGCAGATGAACGGCAGTGCCGGTGAAGTGGTCATGGGGAACGTCTACCATTTCAATGGTTTGACGAGACTGTTGAAGCTGTGGTGATTCCTTGGGAGCAAGTCCGGCAGGACCTGTGGTCTACGAACTACGAGCGTCAGATGGAGTGGGCAGCACTTCGTCATGTCAACTCCAATATCCCATTCAAACTCTACACAGGCAATGTGTGTCAACCATAGCAGCATCCTGTCTGACATCTCTCCCCTCTCCAAGTCTCGGGATAGCCAGAAATACTGCAATGAAGCTCCCCGTCCCGACTACAGGATGCGCTGAGCTTCAACCTGACGATAAGACTCCAATCCTTCACCCCCAAACAACACCTGCCCTCCCATCGACACAGCCCATCCTTCCCATGTACACATCCACCTTCACAACCTCGCCCTCACCCCTCCCTTGAAACTCTCCTCCATCGCGGATCGACAGGCCCAGCTATGAGGCACGCACTCGCTGGATGAAGGCGGCAGACGAAGCTTGGGAAGTCGCCATATCTGTCGTTTCGTGTTAGCACTGCGGAGCTTGGTGGAATGACAGGGGCTTACGGGAATTCCAGAGAACGCTGCGTAGTTTTGACGATCGCGAGCTATGAGGAGGCGCTGGTGCTTCCAGTCGAGGCTGTGAGGGGGTTGGCGGTAGAGCATGCTGAGAGGTTCGGGTGGTTAGATGTTCAAGCGACGTAAGTGGTCTTGATCTTTTGGGACTCTGACTTCTACTGTGTGTTTGTTGGGACAAACATCAGGACAACGCCCTGCTTTATTTGTCGTAGTACATACATATTGTTACACCCGCCGCAGCTACCCAGGTTGCTGCATCTTTGGTATCAGACCGCAGGTTAGCCCAAAAACGAAAAACGCCTATGATCATGTCCATCGTTCCTGATTCTCGAGGCTCGCCGGCCGAGAGTGTAGCCTGGCCTCCCTTGAAATCTGTGAATCGCGCCGTGTTCATGCAACAAACCCACACCATAAAACGCCTCTGACTGATACTGCTGCTCTTTTATCGATAGAACTCTCCCCGCTTCACGTTGACGCCGTACTCGCCAACCGCCATGCCCAAGTCTTCCATGGTGAGCACGGTCCTGCCCTGTCCACCGCCAGCTCCTCCCCCGCCGTATCCCGCCCTCGGTCCTCCCAGTGGTGCTGCCTTCTGATCTTTCTTGCCTTTGCCGCCGCCTTCGCCTTCTCCACCTGCCGGCATGTTCGTGCCAAAGCCAGCAGCTCCTCCCAAGCCCGTCATAGGGTTGTTCGACGTAGTGTTAGTGCTTCGAATCCTGCTGTATTGATAGGCGTCGGCCGCGATGTCTGCGATGAACTTCTGGGTCGCAAGAGCCAGTAGTCGAGCCAGCCGCCTGTCGGTCTCTGGTGGCGGTGGCAGACCCGCCAATGTGAGGTAGTAGTCGGTGACAGCGTCTGGGATCAGCGGGGCATAGTCGTCCATCTTGCCCATGAACTCGCGCAAGGATGAGTCCTTCTTCTGCGGTATCCTCGGCTCGACGACTGCAGGTATGTCGCTCAGGCCATTTGTCTCGGCATTGGGTGCTGTTGCGGAAGCTGGAGGGGCGGCAGACTGCTCCGTGGTGGAGTCCATGGTGATGTCTCCGGAGGAAGGTGGAGCTGCAGGATTGATCTCGGCGTCGAGATCTCGCTCCTGCTGGTTGTCGAGGACGGCGTCGTCGGCCGATGACTGCTGGGTGGCGGATTGCTGCGTATTGGTATTCGGCAGTGTGCTGGAGGAGGCGGCGGAATCGGTGGTGGTGGTGGTGGGGGCAGCGGTGTTGTCGTCGGCCATGGTTGCGACCTACTTGAGCCTGAGGCTCGTGAATGCGCACGTGACGCTGGCGAGGGCAATTCACTCAGCTCGAAGTCGAAGAGGGCATGTGACGGGCAGGCTGAGCGCGATGATGATGCTGCTGGCGTGGGCGTGCGGTGGTGGTCGTCGTCACATGCAGCGGTTGGAGCACGTGAAAGGCGATGCATGAAGGAGCACAGCGTGCATGGGCCCAGCGACGCCTGATTGGTCGGGAGCAGCTCCGTCTCGAGAATCCACGCGGTAACGATGCGCATGGCAATGTTTGTTCGTATTGATCTCTTCCTTAGACAACAATCTCTCGACCGGCGATTTTTTAGGTGTCGACACAGGAAGCCGATGCTGAAGACTGCTTCATTGCGACTACCCTTCACGAGCACCTCCGGCCTTTGTGGTGCTTTCTCTTCACGACTATTTGGAAGCCGCGACACTGCGACACCCACCCGCCCAGCAATCGTCACTGTCGCCATCCCGTCGAGAAGGCAGTGAAGAGGACAAGAGTACCAAATGTCTGGATTCTGATGTTGGATGAGCAGTGCTGCAACGCTGCCATTGACGTCTCATTGCGTGACATGAGTCTGTGAATGAGCGCTCGTGATCTTGTTTCGAGGACCACGATGTACTGGATCAAGCAGGAAGATCTTCTGCCTGAACGCTGCTTTAAGCCCTGTACAGTGCCGGGAACCCTCCATATGTGCCAGACCTACCATCGCCAACCATGTGGCACTCAGCAGAGGGTTCCTGGGAGTGCAAGTAGCGAGCGATGCATGACCTGGGAGGTACAATGTCGTCCAAAGCCCTACATGCCCTAGAAGTCACGCTCGGTCGCTCAGAGGACACGAGGAATTGAAGCAAACAGACAAACAACACATTGGAGTGACCATCCAACTGCGACACGACCTTCATCTCGACTTGCGGCAATGGTCATCTTGTTGTGTCTGCAAATTGGTGCATTATCTGGTCCTACTCCGACCGTTTGCCTCACTTGGCGGCGCATCTACATCTGTCACTGAGGAGGATCAAGCCCTTACGGATGAGTGTGTCACCGCACATCTCAACGGTCACAAGTACTCCTCAGGCCACGCAGGATTGGCCTCTGTCCGATGGAGACCAGAGCATCGGTTTCATCAGCCGAAGGACACGGAGTGTGACTACCTCCTCCGTCCGTCGGCGTACGACTCGGAATCATGCGCAGTCGGATCCGAATCCCCTGATGTATTCATGGCATGCGAATCTGAGAATCTAGCCCTCGACCACAGTTCGTGCAACTCATTCTGGATCCTGCTTCGGATAGATAACCTGCTGAGACACTGGGAAATCTCACCACGTGTATTGACGATACACGAACACGATGCCGACCTGCCTTCTCGATTGTCTTCAAGCCGTATGACTACCGTCTTTATGGCTTGTGTTGTTATTCTACCATTTGCTTCTTGCGCAAGCCCCTGTCTGTCGAAAGCGGAAGGGGCCAGCTTCAAATCCTTCAGCCCTACTTCACGCGACTGGGCACGCATCTTCCGGAGCCTGTCAAGCGGCCGGCCAGCTCGGCGTGACGGCTGTTACTGCTCACTGAAGCCACCATCAAGCGAGACTGACCAATCTTGCCACCGCAAACCCGTCAGCGCCATTCGCATTCCAGGTTCGCGTGCTCTGGACACGACTTCAGTCCGAGTCCTTTTGGGCTCGTATGATCCTTCCCACTCGGTGTGGTGTCCTCACACGGCGCTTTACGAACTATAGGTAGACCCATTTGCGAGATCGCCAAGCCTATCGTTGACCAAACTCAGGTGTGGCCTTTTTGCTATCAACTCATCCTCGCAAACCTCGTGCTACATCATGCGCGAACCGAACCGCGGGCCGTCATCGCACGAGAACACACCAGGCGACTTCGCAGTTACGTGATAGTTTGGGCATCTGCACCCTCTTCGGTGCCGAACCAGATCCTTCTGAAGATTCCGCAAAAGGATATCATTGGATTGCGCGAGGGCATTTGCAGCAGTGGCCAGTCTTGGTCCAATCCCCGACCAATGTGCGAGCGAAGCCCTCTACCCTAGACGAACGGCAGGATTCCTGCCGTGCAGGTAGCTGTTACTCCAATAGGGCTGGCCTGCGAATGTATTTCCCAAGCCGGGCAACGTACTGAATGATGCGAGTGCTGTTGTCCTTGCGGAGCTAGGGTGTTCGCCGAAGTCAAGCTATGTCAAGGAGGCTCTTCGCAAACTCCCATCGCGCTAGCCTCAGGACACCTTTCCCCCATCCACTACGACAAATTGCCGCGAATAGTGTTGATGGCACAAGACTCCAAGACTAACGCCAGTAACGGCGCGCAAGGCGCGAACGGTACTCATAACAACGGCGGAAGGTAATGCTGGCATTCTTTGTCCCCGTGCTCCTGGCTCGTCTCCTCTAACTCTCCAAAAGACACCAAGGTTCCACCGCAACACTACTTGGCATGCAACAGAATCACGATGCCCAAAGCTACCGGAATTTGGAAGAATACACCGCGTCCCTCGCGATGCTGGAGGAGCAGGACCGCCAGCGAAGGTACTTGGCCAGGGAAGATCGCCAGAGGCAGCCGCAGACGCCTTCATCCAACACATCACCAATCTCACCAGCGTCAGCGAGTAGTAATGGCTATCAGCAGTGGATGACCACCGGCAGAGAGCAGTCGCAAGACGCGATCCAGCAGTATCAGCGGATGCTGCTTGACGAGCAACGACGGCGAAATCAAGAACTGGGACGGAACTCATGACATCTAACGAGAAATGAATGACGGCCTTCATGTACGGGGTGGCATATTTGCATCTTTGGCGCACGGAAATATCCATCGACGATTCGAGCGGCATACACGAGCACAGCACCTTTCGGTAGCACTTCACGAGCTGTAACGCATTGTAGCAAACATCATAAGTGATGGCAGCATCAGAATTCACGCTCTCGCAATCTCTTCGCACGTTCATTGGCGGTCAGGTACAGTGCGAAATGGCCTGGAGTCTTCCGTTCCCTCCTATGGACCAAATCTGCGGTGGAAACAGGCTACGGCTGGTCACATGTACAACTGACACAATCTCTAGAACTTTAGAAGTCGCCACTCTTCAAACAGTATGCAACTAGCCCACAAAGCACCGAACACGCCTCAACGCTATATGCTCAAACTACCTCCACCACAGCCGCAACGCAAGCGATCGACTGGGTTTGGAGGATGTAGACAAGTGGACTTGCTCGCACCACAATGTTCAGCGCCGTGACCTGAGCCGAGCGCTGTCACAGCTGCAACTATCAGGCTCGTCACCTTTCCACACAGCGAATCTCAGGAGGTCGCACCGCTTTGAACTCTCGTGCTGGACAAACATTGCCAAGGCTTTTTACCGCCCCAGACACAGCGCCCAAGTGGCCCATGAGGAACATCTTGCGAGACATCTCAAAGGGATAACCCTAGGTACTTCCCGTCACCGGTGTCTACATCGATCGCATCGAAAGAAGTCAAGTCAACCCTACCTTCATCATCCTTCGACATCGCCACTTGTGAGCCTTGTTTTTACTCTTCTTGGTCGTACTCGCACACGGATTTACGCCTTGACTCATCAACGGCAGGATTCTAGCCTCTTCGCCCCCTTGTCGACTCCCACGTATCGACGGATCCGTTCACGAGAATGACACTGTGACCCTCCCTAGGCTCAAGCTCCGCTGCTAGGCACACTCGTACTAACCACTCCACAGACCGACAGCCACCCCAGAATCCTTCAAGAAGTCTCCGAAGGAGGAGCAGCGGAAGGCAGATGACCAGGCGGCTGTCCAGTTGCAACTGATGCTCCTCGAGCAGCAGAACATGAAGAGGCTGTTGAAGGTGAGAGAAGCGCACTGTGCTTCCGGTGGCGCAGGGACTGATGTGTCTCATTGGTAAAGCCCAGAAAGGAACAAGGGAGCATGCAAGACAAGGTACCGCAGACGTCCATGTAGGCACGACGAAGCGAAATGGCGATAGGGCCTCCCTCTCCCTCACTCCTTCCTTCCCATCGATGCCTTTATCCCCCTGCACAAAACCCGAAGGACTGACGAACCTCGCCAAAGCCCACCGAAGCCCCTACCCTTCCCCGCCAGGAGAACTCCAGCGCTGGACAAGGGAGACCGATCACCTCCGGGCTTTGAGCAGCGCTATCCCGCGTTGGTGATCCAGAGGAGGATGATGCGTGAGGTATGTATGTGTGGGCCTTCAATTCTCCTTGATGACGAAAAGCGAGCGGAGCGAAACGGGACTGACTGACAGACTGACTCACTGTGTGAAGCGTCAAATCCGAAACCAAATGCAAGAAGCACGGATTTCGTATGAGAGGATGGTGAAACTGAGGCCGAGGGCGAAGCTTTGATGACAATGATTGGAATATGGAGACTTTGGTCTTCTAGCTGTTTGTATGTATGTGTGATTGCGAGGTGGGAATCGAGAAGTAAAAGACATTTACTCCATTCACTTCATCCCCAATCCCCTCCCCTCCCACTCCTTCCCTTCCTCATCCTCTTCCCGTTGTCAATCCATCACCACATCCACATCCGCACCCAGCACCCTGCAGTGCACCCAAGCCCTACCTCCCCCCCAGAAGGATTCCCGACGCTCTCCCGGAGTCGGCATGCCCCAGGCCCTTCAAATATAAACCCTAACCCGCCTAACGAGCCATCGGTCCCGGCGGTATAGTGCGCCTGCACGAAAGACGTCGTTTGGAATCGCGTCAAGGTTGTATGTGCGACGAGCTGTGGCCACGTCGGAGTGATTTAGGGCTTGGTCGGCATGTGCATGTGAGAAGGATTTTGGATTTTGTTGGGGTGTGGGTGTTTGCCATGTGCATGTGCAGTGCAGTGCAGTGCAGTGCATTGCATGGGATGGGGGCCATTGGGGAGTTTCGCTAGGAGAAAGAAGGAAGACAAGACGGGAGGAGGATCTTTGTGGTGGTGGATTGATTTGATTGAATTACTAGCGATGATGGGTTGTGCTGTGATCAATACCTTTCGCGCTTTTCTTGAACGCCGTGTATTCCCTTTTCTTCTCCTTTCCCCCAACGCCGACGCTTTGTTGAATGGATTGAGCAAATGTGAATGAGCAAGCAAGGAGGTTGGTTGACGGAGACTGCATACCCGCTTGAGGCGAGACGCCACCTTTCAGCGCCTGCCGGTCCGCGTGCTCCTCTGAGCAGCAGGAGGAGGCTCAAAGGCGTCGTCGTCGCTGATTTCGTCGTCACTGAGGTCGATGACTTGCTTCGACTTGGACGCCACAGCCCTCCCGGTGCCAGTGGCTCTGGCCGAGCCGTTGGTCTGAGTGCCGCCGAAGTTGAGGTGGGTTTGGCGGTTGGATGATGAAGCTGCCGCGGAGGATCCTCTGCCGCGAGTTGACTTCGGTGCAGCCTTCTTGACGGGAGACTCTGAACGCTGAGCTCGAGAGCGGGAGGATGCTGGCTTTGCCTGGCTCACGAAGAGGCCTTGGCTCTCGTCTTCATCGTCGTCGTTGTCGTCTGCCATGATGATGTCCTCATCGTCGTCCTCGTCACTGTCTTGCTGCTTCTTCTTGCCTCTGCCAGTGGACTTGGCCGGAGCTTTCTTGGTCGTGGCAGCAGTCTTGCGAGTCTTGCCAGCGGCTGTCTTTCCACCTCTGCCACCACGGCTACCTCTGCCACGAGCAGGAGTCTTCTTTGGCGCTGAAAACACACTCTCATCATCGTCGACATCCCACGCCTCCTCCTCCTCATCACCCTGGCCCTTCTTCTTTCTTCCGTTCTCATTCTCTTCGTCGACCGCCCATGCCAGAGCATTGTCCTCCCAATGTCCATCGTCTTCGCTTTCCCAGTTCGGTGGCTTAGGCCTGAGCTTTCCCTTCTTCTTCTTCCGACGAAGCTCGCCCTTAGCATGAGCTTCTTCTTGATTCTTCCGGTACTGCTCGATCCGCTCCTGCATGTCATCGTCGTCAAATGCATCGTCATCGTCATCATCATCGTCGTCCTCCTCATCGTCATCGGCCTCACCATCCTTACCGCGCTTGCCTTTCTTCCCAAGAAAATCTACTTGATTCATGAGTATCTCGTCAACAAACTCCGACATGGCGTCCCGGTCATCTTTGTGCACGAACTGATCAACGGCATCGGTGAAGCTGTTTTGCGGAAGGATGGTGAGAGACTGCGCGCCGAGAAACTCTTTGACGAGCTTGTCAACTTTGAGGCTGTCGATGGACTCTGCGAATTGCGCCATGACATCGTCTTCCGGCATCTCCAGATTGGTCTTTTTGCCTCTTGCGGCGTTGCGCTTTTTGCGGTGGAACTGAATCACGTCGGAAGCATTGGCGACGACGTCAGTGAACTTGTTGGAGAAACGCTGTGGGTTGTCGAGATCAAACTTGCCGCCTTCAGGTGGAGTACTCTCAACTCGTAGGCGAATGAGTGGCAAAGGTGGTATCTGGTCGTCGTCGATCTCTGCGCCGTCTGCTACCTGAGCATCGTACCACTCCTGATTGGCTTCCTCAATCAGCTCGCGAATCTTTCCCTCGAGAAAGGCAGAGATTCTTGTGCGGTTGTCGTTGATGAAGGCAACCTCCTGCATTTCTGGGAACTTGTTCATGGTGATCTCTCTGATGACGAAAGGACGCACAGACTTGAGACGGATGGGCTCGACATCGAAGTCCGTTCCGGTCACGGTGACGATTGCGACCTTCTTTGGCTCTGCTTCGCCCTTGACGAGGGAAGTGGCGATGGAGGAGCCAGGCTGCATGACGCGGAAACCCATCTCTGGGTTCTCTGTTGGATTGATCTTGCATTCGTGCTCATGACCCCAGATGATCAGATCCATGAATGAAGGTAGGAATTGTTCAGGGAGGTACGAAGTCTCGGTGTAGGCGTGGTGGTTTTGGTGGACGCTCATGATGTTGAACCAGGCGCCGTGCTCTGCAGAGGGTTGGAAGAACTTGACTTTGCCATCGCGGAACGTCCGAAACAAGCGTTCGTCGCGGACGTTACTCATGCCGTAGAGTGCAAGTTTGGTCTTGCCCTTTTGGATGAGGACGGGCTTGATCTCAATGTTATCAGACTCAGGTGTGCGACCGTAGTAGTTGAGTAGTCCTGACATGGCGAGGATATCAAGAGCCGCGAAGTTGCCTTCTCCAGATGGATCGTCGTGATTGCCATGGATGGAGAAGACGGGAATGCCAACGTTGATGTCTTGGTCGAGGGTGTTGACGTGATTGAACGAGCCAGCAAAGTGCTCGCTGCCGTCACTCAACATCTGCAGTTCGCAAGGTTTGTCACCCAGACAGTTGGCGCGGAGACTCTGCATGACTTGGTACATGGACTTGCGAGACGGCTTGTTCTCGTGGAAGAGATCGCCTGCGAGAAGCACCATGTCGACATCGTTTTCCTTGGCCAGAGTCATGACCTCGTCGAAGGATTTCCAGCTGTCGTCGTGGCGGACGCCATCACGCTCCATGTAGCCGACATGATTGTCTGTCGACACCAAGATGCGGATGGCATCGGCAGCTGGAGCAGTCAGTCTCAGTGGCGGTAAGATTGACTTGGAGTTGGACAGCGACTTCTGGTGGAGGGGGCTTGCAGGATCCATACCTGTGAAGTGTGGCATGTTGAAGGAGAGGGAGCGGGCGGCGTAGTTATAGGGACGGCATGCAGGGAGCAGTAAACATTCTCTTAAAGAGATGTAGACGCTTCCCGTATAAATATTGACTGGGTGATAAGTGAATGTTCAAACGGAGGTTGATTGGCCCAGAACCCGTCGCCGCCTAAACGCGAACGCACGTGACTTGTATCACAACGCTAGCTGAAAGGAGGTGCTACCGTGCGCACTTTCCTTCCGACTTCACCTCGACCGTGAATTCAAAGCGTCGAGAGAATTGCTGCGACTGCGATGCCATGAGGCCAACAAATGCGCTATTAGCGCGCTCAGTGTGGAAAGGTATGTCAGGAACTTACTCCTGATGCGATTGATGTCCAGTCCTTGCTGATGACCCAACACAGGTCCACACATCGTGCCGTATGTATCCGCGATGCGAACCAGGATATCCACCTCTCGAGCACCCCCATTGACCGTCCTGTAGACTCCCGATCGTTCGTCCGAAGGCTGGAGAGCGAGTCCCACCGATCAAGACCCAGGCGCGAAGTGCGACGATCCTCCCCAATTTCGTCGGGCTGGTGTTCCAAGTCCACAATGGCAAGATCTACAACGACATTCGGATAACGGAGGACATGGTCGGACACAAGTTGGGGGAGTTTTCAGCGTACGTATACAAGATGCTTGGATGGAAGGACTATGGATTGACACCCTGGTAGGACACGGAAGCCCTTCACCTACAAACAGACCAAGAACAAATAGGCATTCTGTTTTAGTGTATTGCATTGACCGGCGCTTTTGAACTTTGCGATACCACGGGATCAGGGAAATGGAAGATTGTACTGTTATTGAGTCTGCTGTTGGAAACGGTCATCGTAGAGGTATGTGTTGCTCAAAGGTAGTCTTGTCCAACTTCTCCCGGGGATATCGGCATCCACAGTCGGTAGGTATCTTTCTCCATATCTCCTTCTTCATATCAGTCGCGGTGGCCTGGTCGCGGTCCTTCGCCTGCACCTTGCCCGATGAAGCAGTGGCGCTCTCCATCTTTGGATTTGGCAACCATTCCTGCTTTCCATACCAGATGGTTCCTGCGAGTACTTGAGATGCGATGAGGCAGTGCACAAACAAGATACAACTCTTGCGCTCCCCAGACCTCATTCCCTCCCCATCAACAACCAACGCTCACTCTTGTCTGTCGCTTTCGCAAACCGCTCCCATCACAACCCGACCATTCCCAGCTTCTTCATAACCCCATTCCGCTCGTTTCGAACTCGTCACCGCTTGTCAAAAGCACCCCTGGCTCTGATCGGCGTTCCGGACAAATCTGACCGTCGACGAAGGGTGAGTTTGCCTGCCATCGTTTGCTTTCACAGGGTGGCCTGCGCTGACGGCTATCGGCTTAGCTCCTCCACTGGCCCGCTGCCACCCACCGGAACGCACTACGCACTACGCACAAACGCGCCGGACGGGCACCGACGATGACGCCTCCGAAGGTCACTCGAAAGGTCTACTCGGCCGAAGAGCTGCATCGTCTTCGAGGAACACAATCTCAGCCAAAGCTCCGCGAGGCCATTGAGGAGAAGGACGGCGAGGACGCAGACATTGTGAAAGGTACGTGCTTTCACATGCTTGGACCCTGCATAGCCGCCTGAGCAAGTTGTTGTCAACAAGACAAGGTTTGGCGCGCTGGCTCGTGCTGCCGCGAAAGCTCACTTGCCACGCTTCACCCCCTGCACTTCACCATCCTTTCACCACAGACATCACACCACCACACTACACCACCTGCACACCACCTGCACCAACCCCCGCTCATCCACGATGGCAACCTCACACGATGTCAATATTCGTTGGATCGAGCAGCTCGTCGCGACCCCTGAGCACGAGCGGTTCAGCAATGACGACGCCTTTCATCCGCTGACGCACCAACCCTCTCCAACAGATCACGTCCTCCGCGGTTCGAGATCCTTCGCAGCACGCTCCTTCCGCTCGCGCCCGTCCACCACCAGTCTCCGAGTACCCTCCAACAGGTCAAACAACGAAAACCTTTCTGCCACCGCCTTTGAAGATTCACGCCCTTCCCTCACCGTCAATCCACCGCCAGTTGGTCGAGTTTTGGGCGAGATACCACCAAATGGACAGCTCCTTCGTCAGGGACCTTTCAAGACCGGTCGTTCACCAACACCATCCCTCAAGAAGAAGAAGGCCGAAGCCATTGTCAAAGCCCATGGCTCACCAACACACGTCCGCGTTACAGCTGGCGGACGGATAGTTCCGTCGGATCAATCACCGCTTTGTCACCCACGCTACGGCTACAGCGCTGTCAAGACCAATGGCGGCCTCATCAAGTTTGCACCAAACTATCCTGCCAAACCGCAGTGGACGCACGCCACGGAGAACGGTTTCGTCGCCCAGGACCAGCAAGGCAACCTCTGCCAGATCGTCAACGGCACCATCTTGCCTTTGACCGAAGTCGATGGCGCCCTTCGCCTGCATATGCCCGCGCCCAACCTCAATGTCACTCAACGCGGCTCCTCCCTTGGCCCTATTGGTGCTCCCTTCGCCCAGAATGGCACCCAGCCGATTGCGCCTTCGAATCTGAACCCCGCCACGGCCCCAGAGCCATCTGCCGAGTCTCAGATCACTGCGTTGGAGTTGGAGTACACCAAGCTGGCGCATGAGCTGAAAGATGTTGACAAGACGGAGGTCATTCACGGCCGCACGATGGGCAGAGTCGCCAAAGATGCTCTCATTGCCAAGCGCCGCGAGCTGGTCATGAACATGGACAAGGTTCGTAAGGCCATCAAAGGCCTCAAGAGTCAACCACCGCCAAATGCCCCGACTTCACCTCGCGCCATGCTCAATCGACAGTCGGTGTCTCCACCTCGCAACCGTCTGCCACCGTTCTTGCAGAAGCAGCAACCCGACAACAATGCTGTGCAAGCGCCTTTCGGCGGCTTTGGCACCGGACCACCTGCAGTCTTTGGCGGTCAATATGTAAACCAACCACCTCCATCTCCGGAAGAGACGTACGCCGCTCACCCATGGGCCATGCCACCAGCAGGCATGTTTGTACCTCCAGCTCCATTTGACGGAGGAATGGCACCACCATTTGCGCTCTTCCCACAGTCTGCGCAGCTTGGTGCTGTTGGCGACCAGCTTCCACCTCGCGTTGACGAAGGCATTCCGCAGAATGATGGTGCGCGCTCCATGGCCGATATCCAAATCGGATCACCACACCAATCTCATGCTGTCGCAATCAGAGCCCCAGCGACGAAGCCCGCCAACAATCTCAAGTCTAGCTTGAACCCCATGAGCCCAGCATACAAGCCTGGTGTGCCCTCCGTCAGAGATAGGGTGCCAACGCCACTGTCCCCACTTCGCCAGCTTCAGCCTCTTGTTCAGAGTCAAAAGGCATCCACTTCAACCAACGAGACCATCAGCCCAGCGAAGAAGAGCACGCATATGCAGAGCTCGAGCGTTTCTTCCTTCGAGACTGCCGACTTCTTCCCTCGCAACACCCGCGAGTTCTCTTTGCGGCCGGATCCATCTGATGGGAAGGAGAACAACGACCCCGAGCTGCCAGCCACAGGACCCAACGTGTCGCCTGCTACTCCTCACAGTCAGCAGCAGAGCAACTACAGGGCCCCGGCACCACCGCCTGGCACCCCAGTCTACCAAAACAAGGCCATCATCAAGGAGCCGACGCTTCAGTCAAACTTGCAAGGCCCTCGCATTGAGATTCCGAACCGCAGCACTCACAACGTGTCACCCAAGAGCAAGCGCGAGTGGCTCTTCATCCAAGAGCACCCAGATGCAGTGGCTCAGCTCCCTTCGTCCTCGCCGGAGAAGACGGTTGCTCACGCGGACGAGACTGCTACAGGTGCTGGTGCTCGTACATCCAATGTCTCCCGTGAGTGGTCTGAAGGCTTCGAAGCAGCCATGCAACGTCGCCCCATCGGCAACCGTGGAGGAGACTCTTTGCAAGGTTACGTCGCTGGTCTTCTAAGGTTGAGCTCAATGGAACCTTCGGCCGGCGAGAAGAATACCACAGGCCCCTCGACTGGCAGTCCGCTCTCGCGTCGTCCATCCCCAGCCGTGACCAATCAGGCGCAGATGATCGAGATCGAGAAGGTGGCCCCATCTCCACGCCCACCATTTGAGACTGCTTCTCAGAGCATGGACACCTTGAAGCAAGCTGTCTTCGCTCCGCACAACGAGAACGCCGTCTTGACGCCAGCCATAGATGGACCACATGTCAATGAAGGCTCTTACAACCTTGGCGCATGGGCGAAGAAGATGGAGGCTTTCCCATTCCCAGAGCGCAGCAGCACTGCCGTCAACCAGAATGATATCAACAACAGCGCCAAAGCCCATCCAGGTACCGCACGCAGTGTCGTCGACTCTGGACATGCTTCCGAGACTACATCGAACGTCAGCATCCCCTCTGGCAAGGTTCCTATCACGGCCAATCGCATCAGCAGCATGACGAGCATTGACTCCAGCATGTGGCCGAAGAGCCGCATCATGACTCCATCGGAGTGGAAGACCGGAACCATTGGCATAGCGGCTGGCGTGGCTACCGGCTACTTTGCCAATGCTCAATTTGATGGTACGAACGATGTCCAGCGTTTCCTTCGCATGCCAGGTCAGTACACTGACGCTGTCTCCATTACAGGCGCGAACCAGTCTCAGCGTGTCACCTCCATCACCAGCAACAACCCAGGTCGCTTCCGGGAGGGCTCGCTCGATGGTCTCAGCAATCCGCCAGCCTCGCCGTCGCAGGCCATATCACCAGTCATCACTCCTCGCGACACTCCGGTGAAGGAGTCACCTTCCAAGCGCAAGGAGAGCACTCCAGTCAAGAACCCATCGCCAGCGAAAGCCAAGTTCGAGCACATGGCCGAGAAGGTCGGCATCAAGGTTGCATCCACTGGTAAATCGAGCAACACCACCAACCCCGAGCCCGTCAGCCCCACCGGCAAGACTGGTCGCCGCTGGCGCGATGTGTGGAAGCGAGGAGGCCGCGACACCGAGGAGTAAATCCACCTACCTCGCGAACAACCGACATTCTATTCATGTCATCATCGTCAAAAACGCAATGCATCCTTTCTTCCGCCTTGCAAGACCTCGACAGAAAGCCAGGATATGCTGCAGTCACATTGGACACGAACTTGTCTATACGACTAAACTGGAAAAGCATCATCACCAACCACGAGAGCATCTTGGCTTGCTGCAAAACATCAACACCCAACTTCAACACAAACATTCTCACGCATCGACTATCGCCGCTATTACCAGCGCAGGATATTCGAACAGCATCCCATCCCCTTCACACCGCACGCAACCACCACCACCACCATCGATTATCGCATCGCCGCCGGCATCACGACCAGCGCAGGATATTCGAACAGTATCCCCTTTCACACCGCACGCCACCGACACCACCATCGATTATCGCCGCCAGCGCAGGATATTCGGATGGTATCACCCACCCCCTCGAAAAAGCCTTTTCCTTTCTTGCTTCTGTTTGGTTTTGGTTTTGGGCGAAACTTGCAATTGAGTATATATTATCCACGAGAGAAGGAAGGCATTGAATGACAGGGAAAAACAAAAAAAAAATTCTGGATGGCGAGAGTTTGTTTGTTACTGGCTTTGAGCATCAACATCAGATTGTGGGAAGAAATGGAACGAGTAGATTAGTTTTTGTGGTTTTTTGTTTTCTGCTTTGGTGGTTGGTATGGTAATTGTAATGTGAAGTTTTTGTTGTTTGTGGTATTGCTTGTTCTACGTTTTCAGTCTTTGACTTTGGGTATTCGTCTGAAATGCGCAGTTGCGCCCAGTGTCGTTGTCCATCGAGTCCTGCTTGCTTTCGCTGACTGATATCGATCTTTGCAGGGAGAAAACCTTTGACTTCGCGGTCAGCCGGAAGGCGCCATCGTCGGCTGCAATCGACGACGACTATCGACTCGTCCTCCTGCCGCCCCAGCTCCTGTAACAACGCAAACGAAGTCCTGTTCACCCCGAAAGCCCGCTCCACTCATTTCGATGTGTCGATGTGTCATGCTTGCTTCGATGTTTGAGGCCGGGGAGACGTGTCGCTGGAATTGACTCCTTGATCGTTGGGTTTCGAAATGTTGCCGAAGGACATATCCAGCAAGAGCTCATTCGACGGCGTGTCCAGCCAACATCGTCAACGACATGTCGTCTTTCATCGACAGATGTCGTCTTTCATCGACAGTCACGGTTGATTCGGGTTCGGTGTCCGGTCCCGCGGAGCGAAACATGTCGACTTTCAAACGTCATCGGCGATGGTCGTCGACAGTCGTCGACATGACTTGCTGCCAGTGATATCAAGTCCGGCTCGGTCGACTTCCACTTCGATAGAGACGGAGCCATTGGTGAGAGGGCTTCATTTGCACTGGTTTCGATTTCCAGCGCATGGCTCGAGGGTTAGGTCAAGAGGTAGAGCGCCGCGTAGGCCACGACAACGATGGGGATGAGCGGGAGCATTTTCTTTTTTAATTTGTCGGTCGTCTCGTGGAGGGAGTAGGTCGATTTCTTCAAAAAGGTCCGAGGTGGAGAGGATCGAGTCGCTCGAGGCGTGAGTGTCGAGATTCAAGTTACTTCGTGGAAAGGGAAGACTGCCGCCTTGAAGTAACACCACCCAACGTTCCCAGATCCCACGTCTCGTTGAGAGAGAATCCGTCGCAATGACTGTTCCAAACAACAAGGTCGAACCCAGAGTTTAATGAAGAAAGGAATCCAGACTCTCGACGACAGGCCAGAACAGTACAGTCCGTGACAGCTTGTGACAGGACCCTTGATACTCAAAACTCAGTTGAGATTGGGCAAGCAAGACCGGGAAGTTGGACGTAATAAATGAATCAATGAGTATGTAGACAAGGGGCGGTCAGGAAGGAAGGGAAGGACCTTGTATCTTATACTTTCTTCGCGGCAAGCAAGCAAGCAAACCCACCCCGGTCGGATGACCAGACCGGCTGCTAAGCTTTTCGCTCTTGCACGTTGCATATACGCGGGTGAGTGGTGCTGCAAGGCCAAGAAAGTCTATGAGGCAAGCCACCGACGCACGTTTTGGAGGTGGATGGAAGGATACGGTACGGACGGACGGCGGAGCCCTCACATGCGTGTGTCTGATGAGAGCTGTGGTGGAGAACGAGACGTCTTGTTTGTGCCACGCACGACGAACCAGCGTCGAGTCGGGCACGGGCGGTATGCATGCAACAAGTTGGGTTCTAAGCGATCTTTGATCGGTCACCGCCAGAATGTGCTGTGCTGTGCGGTCGGACTCGGTTGCCGGGGGTTTCTCTCTCGCTCACCTATAAGCAACGAGGCGTGGGAACGGAGAGGGAGAGCTTATAGGACGCCTCTTCGTGTTTGCCGGAGCCAAAGCTTTCCGCGCTTCCTTCTCGCAGCCAATAAGGCTGGTCCGAGCTTGCGAGGCTTGCATGTGGTCTTCACGTTAGCTGTTCTAGCTGCAGGTACATTCGGGTCGGTAGTTCTGCAAACTTGGGCACATGATGCTGTTTAGTATTGATTTTGATCTCGTGCGGTGTCTGCCGCTAACGCTCGATTGATGTTCTGCCGGCTCTAGAAGACGTTTTTCAAGAGGCTTGGCCTGCAACTGACGTCGCGTGACTGGGGTTTCGAGGATTCGTTGGCGTAAGACTCGTTTTGAGCTACCGGGAGCTTGGATGGGACGGAAGATCGGCGACGTGGAAAAGTAGGTCTGTGATCCTTCTCGATACTTCACCAATTGATCGTTCTTGGCGTGAGGGATGACATTTTGGCTATCCAGGTTGGCAGGATAGTCAGCTTGGCGGAGCGCATTCCTGACTATCCTTCAGTCAGATCGAGGCTGTGCGAACACCAACGCAGGATGAGCGCAGTGTGGTTGGAACGGTGATGTTGAGTATTCGTGTTGGCCGGACCTGGCGGATCCGTCAAGGAGGATGGTTGTGATACGCTTGGTGCAAAGGGCGCGGCGAGCTGCATGGCCAAGGCATTGTTCTGATGGTTTCGTACGCTCTTCGTCATGCTGTGGAATAGTGGTGTTGTTCTCCCTTGCTGTGATGAGGCGTATTGTTCCTGCAGCGTCATCCAACCACGAATCCTCCATGGGTAGGCTGGTATATTTGTGGGGCCAAGACGTGTCGAGCCGCCTTCACTCCCCAGCCTCTGCACCAGCCTGTGCTTCTTCCTCATCGTCCTCAATCTCGACGGTCTCTTTGTTGCGTCGTGGTGCTCGCTTCCTCCTACGAGTTGGGCTGTCATGTCTCGGGGCGCTGATAGCATCGAGGAATGCGTCGTTGTCCATGTCGCTCTTCAAATGCGGCACCTTGCTCACATCCTCAACCTTCAGCGTGCGGTTGAACGTCTCGTATGCGAGATCGTCTTCATCGTCGACGTACTCCATCTTAATCCAAGGCTCAATCTGAGCTGACTGCAGCCCCATCCTCAGCTTGTACTCGACGGTATTCTTCTCAGCGGCAGACATCTTGTCTCGAGTCAAGCCACGCGCCATAGGCTCATGCACAGGACCATTGGCTTCTGCTTGTGCTCGAGCAGCCGAAATGCGATTGCGCTCCTCTTCTGCGTCGAGGTGGTGGAAGTGAGGGCGCATTTGAACGGTGCCGGTGACTTTGGTGAGGTGTAACTGATCGCCTTCGAACGCACCTACAAAGTAGATGGGCTTGCCGAGCTCGGTCTCTGCGTCGTGTCGAATGATTTGTCCACCCAATGTCTGCTTTGCATGGACCTTGTTGTCCTGCTCTGCCTCGCTGAATGTCCGCAAGTCGTTCTCGAGGTCCAACTCGCGATCGCCCATACCTCTGAGATTGACGTTCCTGGCCATGGAGCGAGGTTTGCCGTGAATCAGACCTGAAGCCAGGCCATATGTCCCGCTTGCGTTGTGAAGTTCATGCGAAGTCCTGGTGGCATCTCCCCACTTCAGGCCCAGGTATTTGTTGAAGTTGTGCTTTGTGTTGAGTCCGACGTCCACTTCGAGGAAGCCCGAGTTGGGCTTGATGCGCATGTCGTGGGGCGTGGCGCCATACTGGTTGTTGTACGGTCGATTGCGAGGGCGGTTGGGGTACTGCAGGAGGTAGATTTGCTCTTGCAGAGGCGGCGTGAGGAAGACGTCGTACTCGGCTATGACCGGGTCGTCGTGGGCCTTGACTGCTGTGTGGACTGTTAGTCTGAGAGCACTGAACCTCGTCGCAGAGGCTGATCAACGTACGCGCCATCTTGTCCTGTCTTGAGACGCCGTGTGGATGTTGGTAGAAGGGTGGAGGGATTCTTCAGTAAATTTTGATGAGTCGCGCTCAATCAAAAGAGCCGAGCTCGACGCGGGGCGCGTTGCCGTCATGGAGCTCTCACACTTCAACTGCTGCTGCTGATTACTTGAACATCCACTCTCACATGCCAAACGACTTCGAGATCCGGTACCTCGTTTGACAGCAATTCCAATAGGACCAGAATCGATGTAACCACTCCTTCGACTCCTTCAAGTGGCCATTGACTGCATCTCACTCTACCGTACCGACCTCATCACAATCACCAGCGACCGACAGCAGCCATGGCATATCTAGCCCCCATTCATCGAGCATCGAGTGTTCGCCATGCTCTGAAGTTGTCCTTTCTGGCTCCAGAATCTGAAGATTTGGTCATGGCCAAAGCCAATCGTCTGGAGGTTTGGTCAACCAGCCCGCAACATCCAGACGACCCTACTCTGGTTCTTCAACACTCGAAAGCGATCTATGGCAAGGTCACATTGCTCCACAAGATTAGACCGGCAACGAGTACAACGGATCATCTGTTTGTTGGCACAGACCGATATCATTACTTCACTCTGAGCTGGGATGCAGAGAAGAAAGAGCTGGTGACCGTCGAGAGCTATGAGGATATCTCGGAGAAGGCGGCAAGAGACAGCCAAACAGGCGATAGAGTGCACATCGATCCAACCTCCCGATTCATGACATTGGAATGCTACGAAGGCGTCGTCAACGTTCTACCTATCGCACATGCTGGGAAAGGCAAGCGCAAGGCTGCAGACAACGAGATCGGAAAGCTGGGTGAACCTATTCCCGTCCGGATACCAGAGTTGTTTGTACGGAGCAGTTGTTTTCTACACAAGAGACAGGCTGGAACCAAGCTCCCGGATCCTGAATTTGCGGTGCTACACGAAGACAGTCAGAATAGGCCGAGGATCAAAGTACGGAAGCTAGAATATCAACCATCATTACGTCCGAACGACGAGCCCCCGACTGCTGAGCTTGAAGAGGGCAAAGAAGTACAGGGCCAGTTGGAACTTGGTGCCAGCATACTGATACCCCTGCCTGCCCCAATGTACGGCTTCCTTGTCGTAGGCGACACGAGTATATCATATGTCGACGAATGGGACTACACGGCCCGGGATACACAACCTCTGCAGGATGCCACCGTTTTTGTATCTTGGTGTTCTCTCGACGATCAACGCTATGTTCTTGCCGATGACTACGGAAAGCTCTATTTGTTGATGGTGCGGCAGAACTCCAACGGAGAGTACCAGAGTCATCAGATCGATGTGCTTGGTGAGACGAGTAGGGCCAGCACACTCGTCTACCTCGACGAAGGTCGGGTCTTTGTGGGGAGTCATGAAGGGAACAGTCAAGTCATACAGATATCACCGAAGAAACTGGAAGTACTGCAAACCTTTCCAAACATTGCGCCAATTCTGGATTTCACCGTCATGGACATGGGAAATCGCAGTTCAGATGCGCCTGTCAACGAATTCTCCAGCGGACAGGCAAGGATAGTGACTGGCTCTGGGGCATTCAAAGATGGCAGTCTTCGTTCGGTGAGATCCGGTGTTGGCCTGGAAGATCGAGGAGATCTCGGTAGTCTGGATGCCCCAATCTCTGCCGTCTTTGGCCTCAGAAGCAGCTCATTGGTGGACAGAGTCGATACGCTCGTAGTCAGCTTTGTTGACTACACCAGAGTGTTTGTGTTCGATCAAGAGGGCGGGGTGGAAGAGCGGGAGGTATTCAGAGGTTTCAGCCTTGCAGAGAGCACTCTTCATGCTGCAGACCTTCCTGACAGCAAAGCCATCCAGGTCACCAGCTCCTCAATACTGCTGAGTGATGCTGAAGGCGGCATGGTCACAGATACATGGTCAGCACCTGGTGGCGCGTCAATCACTGCAGTCTCGGCAGACTCTGACAAGGTTCTGATCTCGCTCAAAGGCAAAGCTTTGGTGGTTCTGGATCCGACTGCGGCCTCTATCAAAGTGAACGCACAGAGGGAGTTTAGCAGCGATGAAGAAGTTTCATGCATAGCACTCTCGCCGAGTGTTCCAAATGCTTGCGTTGCCGGATTCTGGAAAGATGGCAAGGTTGCATTCCTGGACTTGCAGAGCCTTGAGACTATCGCCAGTGAACGAGTCGCAGAAGATCCTTTGGCAGTCCCCCGGTCGCTCACTGTCGCCAACATTATTCAAAACCAACCACCGACTCTCTTCGTCGGTCTTGCTGACGGCAATGTCGTTACGTACTCGATCGAATCGTCACAAAAGTCCTTTACAGCACGAAAGAGCATCATTCTGGGAACTCAGCAGCCAAACTTTGCTGTACTACCTCGCGCCGATGGCCTTCAAAATGTGTTTGCAACCTGTGAACACCCCTCACTGATCTACGGGTCTGAAGGACGCATGGTCTATTCAGCGGTGACAGCAGAAAATGCTACCTGCATCTGTTCGTTTGATTCATTCCAGCCTTATAGCAATGCCATTGCCATCGCGGCCGGCGATGAGCTCAAGATTGCATCTGTCGACGAAGAGCGAACTACTCATGTGCAGGATCTCTTCGTGCACGAGACAGTACGACGCATCGCCTATTCGGCAGACCTGAGAGCCTTTGCCCTGGGTTGTATCCAACGCACGATGACCAGGGGTCAGGAGGAAGTCAAGAGTCACATCAAACTTGTAGATGAGATTGCCTTCCAGGAGCTCGATACTTGGGCTCTCAATGAAGACGAGCTTGTGGAAGCTGTAATCCGATGCAAGCTTGATGATGGTTCAGGGGATGAATCTGAGCGATTCGTCGTGGGAACTGCATACTTAGATGACCAGGATGCAGACGCCGCAAAGGGCAGGATACTGGTACTGGAAGTCACCGAGGATCGACGGCTGAAGCTGGTCACGGAGTTGAGTGCAAGAGGCGCATGCCGATGCCTGGCGATATGTCAGGGCAAGATTGTGGCAGCATTAATCAAGACAGTGAGTATTCCACCCTCGATCGAAAGACTTGGCCGCTAACAAGATGCAGGTCGTTGTCTATGACTTTGAATATGCTGCCAGCGCCGCTAAACTCACCAAAAAGGCAACCTACCGAACAGCAACAGCTCCGATCGACATGTGCGTGGTTGATAACATCATCGGTGTCACGGATTTAATGAAGTCGATGTCACTTGTTGAGTACAAGAAAGGCAGAGTCGGCATGCCGGATACTTTGACCGAGGTCGCCCGCCATTTTGACACACTTTGGGGTACTGCTGTCGCCAATGTCGATGAGCATACGTATCTACAATCGGATGCTGAGGGGAACCTGGTCGTCCTGCAACAAAACGTCTCGGGACTGATGGAGGAAGATAAGAGACGGCTCACAGTCACTTCCGAGATGCTCCTCGGTGAGATGGTCAACCGCATTCGACGCATCGATGTTTCTCCCACGCCTGGTGCTGTGGTGATTCCCAGAGCGTTCCTGGCCACTGTGGAAGGCTCAATATATCTCTTTGCGCTCATTGCACAGGACAAGCAGGACCTGCTCATGCGAATGCAGACCAAGATGGCCGATCTTGTCAATAGCCCAGGGGGCGTCCCATTCGCTAAATACCGTGGGTTCAAAAACCAAGTCAAGGATATGAGTGATTTCGGACCAAATCGCTTTGTGGACGGAGAGCTCATTGAAAGATTCTTGGACTGCAGCGAAGAAATTCAGCAGGAGATTGTGGGTGACTTGAAGAAGTTTGAAGTGGATGTCGAGGATGTGAGGAGTATGGTGGAGAGTTTGAAGAGGATTCATTAGATGAGCCAGAGAAGTGATGCATGAAAGCGACGCATGGCGTACAGCTAGAAACGACATATGAACAGATCACGATACCTGTTATAGTTCGCACGACAGCCTCGAAATCAATGCGACTTCTCAAGTGCAAGGGAAGAGCACATGCAAGCGAAACATGCCGATCTTTTCTTCATTCGGCACTTACTTACCCATTTCGGCCATCGCAGGACACTTGTAGAGGAGCTCACAGTACCAAGGTACTCCATTCAGGTGTCGCCAATCCTCCAAACAAAGCTCTTATCGCTGAGCAAGTCCTTACCAAGTCGCATGAACCAGGCACTAGTCCTCGAGCAGAAAGCATATGGCCGCATTGATATAAAGCAGGACCCCGGTACTCATGTGTTCCAGTGTTTGAATCGAGTGCTATGTTGCCTGGCTTGGAAACCTGAAGCGATGGCTTGTTTATGCTACCAACATCCACATTGATTCTTGATGTTCGGAAGAGGAAAGACATTGCTGCATACGTCGAAGGGCCCTCCCGACGATGAGATCGAGATGGATATAAAAGACCTCAACCTCCCACGGCAAGTGGTGTTGTTCTGCCATCTACTCTACTAACACTCAAACACTTCAAACACACAACTCTCACACACTCTCATCTTCAACCATCCAAAATGTCCCTCACCGGCAAAGTCGCCCTCATCACCGGCGGCGTCAAAAACCTCGGCGCCCAAATCGCCCGCGAACTCGCCCCCCTCGGCGCCTCCCTCGCCCTGCACTACAACTCCGCCTCCTCCAAGCCCCACGCTGACTCACTGATCCAAGAACTCACCTCCGCCCACCCCACCCTCACCATCAAAATCTACACCGGCGACCTCACCACCGAATTCGCCATCAACGCCCTCTTCACCTCCGTCAAGGCGGACTTCCCCAAAATCGACATCATCATCAACACCGTCGGCAAAGTCCTCAAAAAACCCGTCCTCGAGATCTCCGAGGCGGAGTACGACTCCATGTTCGCGATAAACTCCAAGTCCGCCTTCTTCATCCTCAAAGCCGGCGCGCAGCATGTCGAGGACGGGGGGAAACTCATCACGATCGTGACGAGTCTGCTCGCGGCGTATACGGGGGGTTATACGAGTTATGCGGGGAGTAAGGCGCCGGTGGAGCATTTTACTCGTGGGCTGAGTAAGGAGTTGATGGGGAGGGGGGTTAGTGTTAATGCGATTGCGCCGGGGCCGATGGATACTCGTAAGATGACTCCCTCTCTCTCCCCTTCCAAGTATGTTTTTGGGCCTTGGAACGCTGACTTTTGTTTGACACGTAGCGTTCTTCTACCCGCAAGAAGGCGACGACGCCGTGGCGTTCCACAAGAGCCAGGCGATTGGGAACCATCTGACGAAAATTGAGGATATTGCGCCGATTGTTAAGTTCTTGGTTACGGAGGGCTGGTGGTTCAATGGGCAGACCCTATTTGCGAATGGGGGGTATACGACTAGGTAGATGGAAGGATTGGGGCGATGATGGGGGTTGGTTTTGAAGTTGTGTTGCGTTTTGTTGGATGGTGCCTGAGGCAGCAGATCAGGCCGAAGACATGTGCACGGCTGAGCAGTAACGTCACCTTTCGAGCAGTCCACATACTCCCCACATACTCCTTCGCTGTCTCTTCACTGGAAAAACTGTCGTGTTTCACCTCTGTTAGCCTGCAAACATCCAAGCGCTTCATCATACTCACAAGCTTAATAGTAACCTTAATAGTATTATACGGAAACTGCGACATCTGCGCCGCCAACGTCTTACCCGAAGTATCTCGGAACGACAAGCCCTGAGGATCATATAGCGGTGAAGGACTCCCATACGAAGAATTCGACCACAACGTCGTAGCGCCGCTCCATGACCCTTGCGGCACACTCGCCGTGTACGCTTGCAAGGTGTTTCCGTTCACGAGGTTTATAGCAATATAGCTTTTGTAGTAGCTGTTGTAGCGCACGGAGCCGGGACTGACGTCTTTCAGGACTGAGGCGGTGCTGTAGCCGCTGGTGATGCGTTGGCTTTGGAAGGAGGCCCCGTTCCAGTATTGGTAGGAGTTTAGACTGCCGACCTGGGGGGCTGTGAGCTTTTGTTGTGACTGCTGGGACAACTTGAATCGTTGTTCTGACTGGGACGTACGTTACCGGGAAGCACACGCGCGACGTACATATCGCTTGAAGTCGCTTGGGGATTTTGGCTAGCGTCCAGAGTCCCGAAGACATATATGTACCCATCTGACTGTGGCCCCTGAGTGCTATTAGTCGGCGGAGAGAAGCAGGAAGGACAACCACTCACTACGGCTCCTATGCTACCCCACATGGGCTCTTTGGTCGTGTCCCAAAACCCGCTAGCAGACCCCAATACGTTAGCGGAAAGGGGCATATATCTCGCCAAGAGAGACGACTCACTACAGCACACTACACGTCGGCTGCTGTCCACTGGCAGCAGTCTGAACAAGCGCAACGCCCAGCGCAGACGTGCACCCATTAATATTCTGCGAACAACTAGCAAGCGCCATATACCACATCGCCCCATGCGTACCGCCAGCACCATCAGTAGGCACCAAATTCGTCAAGTGAATTCTAGCGCCATTCGACGGCGTGCAGAACTGCGCCGGCGGGTTGGAGAAGTCCTGGACGACGGTCGGGCTGTATGTGCTGACCCCGATTGAGTTGGCGCGGAACGTCGCGCAGTCCGTGTCGTTTGGGTTGTTCTTTTGGCAGGTGTCGGCGTAGATTTGGTAGTAGACGTTGTTGAGGACGCCTTGGGAGCCGCTGTGGAAGATGGGTCAGATGCTTTTGTGCTATGTGATGAGGGAAACTGCATGTAGTCACCCATCGCGGAAGAGATTTGGATCATTGGAACTCGTTTCAGCGCCGAGGAATTGAGTAGATTCTGTGTTGACTTTTATTGGGTTGGCCGACTGGGCGTGGCCCAGAGTGACCAACAATGAAGTGATGGGAAGAAAGCACGCGATGATCGCCATGTTCTTTTCTGGGGTTCCTGATTGATATGAAACCAGGAATTGAGCAGCAGACATCTTCCACTTAATAGCCACAGCCTCGCCCCTGAAGCCGAGCATCAGGGCGAATGTGAGGCTGTCTGCTGCCAGAAGCTTGTGAAGCTTCTGAAGCTTCTGTGCCCTCGCCGAGCCGTTCATGCAGTGACTTGACGCACTATTGATCAAAATTTTAGTGCATTGAATAAATAAGAGGGGGATTTGTGGCGCCTTGCAGACTTGGAGCGGGGTTGCAAAGGACTGCCTAGTGTTGAAGACGACGAGTAGAGTGACGATCATGATTATTGTCATAGCTATAGTCTGTGAACTAGTAAAGGTTCCTATAGTAGAAGTACAATGCTGTACGCTTGAGTGTTTGGCTTCTAAATTCAATGTTATAGGGGATCAACACTCAACATTCAGCATGAGGCAGCATCACTCTACGCACTTACCCCTTGACACACTGCAATGACAAACACCACGATTTTACATTATTTTCGTTCCATCCTATTGAGCTGCATGAACGAAAGTCCAGCCCAAGTATAGCGGTTCGTACACCTGCCCGTAAAGGCGCTAGCGGGCTGCAGCTGCAGCCTTGCCTCCTGTTTAGGAGTTTGGAAACGAGACACATTCATCACGGCATGTGGAGAGCTTGCCATGTTGAGTGAAAACTGCTTGCAAAGTGCGCCACCAACTTTTGAAATCCTCAAAAAGCTACTCGTGCTGCGCGAGTGTGCACGTGGGAGGTGTCTCGTTCAGCGGAATGCCCACGTGAGGTGTCCCTCTTCCTAATCGAGACGGCCATGTTGCAGGATGACATTGCTTCCCCTCGCGGTAGATTTTTGAAGCCTCGGAGCACATCCATTTGCCGAGGAGTGTAGGAGCACATCTTGCGTTTGACTGGTTTCTTTCTTCGACTTGTCGAATGTCGAGGGCTGTGTAGATCAGATAACTAGCATAGAACGTGCAGATTTAGGCGACAGGAAGCCTAGAGCCTCCTAATATTGGCAAGTCTAGAAGATCTGGTCTCTCCTGGCTTGCTGCGATATATACATGAGACAAAAAGTGGCAGGAGAAGTGACACCTGCCGTTCTTGCCCAAGTTGCTGAAGTTATCACCATGCCTTCAGTGTTCGGGTTATCTGTGGCCTTGGGACTGATTGCCCCATCCATCATCGTTGAAGCTGCGACGTGTGACATATATGGGTACGGCAAGACTCCATGCGTTGCTGCCCACAGCACTACTCGTGCCTTATACGACGCCTACAATGGCCCGCTCTACCAAGTTAGACGTGCGTATGATAACGCAACGAAAGATATCAAGTACATTCCATCCCCTTCGCACAATCAATTTATAGAAATACAATAACCATCACTCGCATACGTTCAGTCCTCTAGGCCCAGGTCGCACTGCGAACGCGGCTACACAGGATACATTCTGCGCCTATACGACATGTCTTATAACACAAATCTACGACCAGTCAGGCCACGGCAATCATCTCACTCAAGCTCCTCCAGGCAAGACTCGTGGGCCGGCGGCTGGAGGCTACGATAGCCTTGCCTCAGCAACTGCAGCTCCAATCTCCGTTAACGGCAGCAAAGCCTACGGGCTCTACATTGCACCACAAACAGGCTACCGACAAGACAAGACCAGCGGCATAGCGACATATGACCAACCCGAAGGCATGTACGAGGTTCTCGACGGGACACACTACGGCGGGTGCTGTTTCGACTACGGCAACGTCGAGGGCAACAATATGGACAACGGCGCCGGCCACATGGAGACCATCTACTTCGGCCTGAATGAGGGGTACAATGTCGGGTCTGGGGCAGGTCAGGGACCTTGGATCATGGCGGATCTGGAGAACGGAATCTTTTCTGGGAAAAATCTTGGCAATAATTCGAATGATCCTACGATTAATTATCGATTTACTACTGCTATCGTCAAGGGCGAATCTAATCATTGGGCAATCCGAGGCGCTAATGCTCAGTTTGGCGGTCTGTGAGTGTTCCCCAAATGCCTGCAGCCTGGTCTCCGTCTGCTAATATTCTGAACTTGATCAGAACGACGTTCTACGACGGCGTTCGCCCAGATGGATTTAACCCTATGCGTAAAGAGGGTGCTATCGTTCTTGGGGTGGGTGGCGATAATACGGACGGCGGTGAAGGTGCGGGTCTACCTGCAACTCTTATCTGGCTCGACTGACAATACCCTTCTGGGTTCAGGCACATTCTACGAGGGCGCCATGACTTCTGGCTATCCACTGGATAACATCGAGGCCTACGTACAGGCCAACATTGTCAATATGAATTACAAGACCGTATCGTGAGGTCGGTCTGGTTGTTGAGTGGCACAGCGAAGAGGCGAAGAGGAAATATTGAAGAAACAGGATGACAGAGGCTTTTGTAGTGACAGTCTTGTTGCTTAGGATTCGGCTTTCATGGTGATCATCGACCCAGCAAAGAATTTGATGAAATCTGTACACAGCGCATGCCACGATTCCTCAAACACCGTTTGTGTTTCATGTACGGTACGTGGCTCCGCCGTCAAGAACAACTGCTTGCCATGTATCGAGTTTGCTACCAGTTGACTACCATAAGAACGACGTCAGGCCATCGGCTAAGGAGGCTGAGAGTTAAGTGATAGTTTGGTTCTCGTCGTATGGTTGACGAAATCCAGGAGAACTTACAAGAAGAAGAAGATGGTGAGTTGAAAGAGCCAACTAGATTCGCTCTTCTGCAAGAACACGAATCATGCCTGAGGCAGCACTTTTTCTCGGCCTTGTCGTCGCTAGCGCATAATGTCAATCTCACCCAAGTTTGCTACTTCATTGCCAAGGGCTTACTTGAAACACTTGAAACGCAAATCATCCAAAGATGACTACTGTACCACAAACCCCAAGAAAGCCCTTCAGTGGAACAGGCGGAATCTCGGGAAATCTGCCAGGCTACGCAATCAAGCTGACAGCACCGGGTCCTTTAGGGCAAGAAATCACCCCTCTCGAGCTAAGAAGACTCCATAGTCCTGTTCGGTGTGCCTCACTGTTGTTATTCACTTGAGTCATTGGCAAAGCTGGCTGCTTTTGCCTGCAACACTGAGCCTTTCGGCGGGCTACTTTGACCAAGCGGAAGAAAGACTGTCTAGCCGTCGAAAACAGTCCATTCAATATCTCGGGCAATATTGCTTCAAAAGATAACACTGCATGGACTCTGGATTGACTTCAGGACACGCTTTGAAAGGCCCATCAGTTGCATAGATCAGACGCTGGCAGTATGAGTGGCTCACTCAAGTCCATGACGTTCGATGGCGTAAAGATATCGTACAAAACATACAGTCTGGACGACCGCAAAACAGAAACGCCAGTGTTATGTTTTGTCCACGGCTGGTGCTGTTCTTCCGCGCTATGGCAAGGTCAAGAGCCTCTTTTCAAAAAGCATGCCTCGATTGTCATCGACATACCTGGCCACGGCTTGAGCGATAAGCCTCAGGGTAGAGAAGCTGTATACGGTGCAGAGTTCTTCGGTCGCAGCATCAATGCCGTCCTGGAAGCGGAGGATGCGAACAAAGTTGTCTTGGTCGGACACAGTGTTGGCGGTTACTGGTGCACTATGGTACTTCGATTGTTCGGCGAAGACAAAGTCAAGGGCATCTTCTTTTGCAATTCCTTCTTCACGGCGCCAACGCACAGTCTGACTTCGACACAACGCAAAGCCTGGGCTGATTCGATTAAAGACGATGAGCAATTCTCTAGCTTTGTCGACAGCTTGTTCTCGGACAAGTACTCTCGTGCAATCCGGGAGCAGGTCAGTACGACCATGGTGCATGAGACACCGTTGCACGTGAGGACGGGTTGCATTCAGACGAACTATCTGTCACATCATTGGGGCGTAGATGAGGTATACAGCGAGACGCCGATGCTACACCTTCGGCAGAAAGGGAGTCCTGACTGGGATGAGCGTGCGAAGTTTCACTTTCCCACGTTGACTACGGAAACATGGGAGGGAGTTGGCCACTTTATATTCATGGAAGAGGTTGACAAGTTCAATGATCGTGTGCAGGTGTTCTTGGAGCATCACAGTTTGGTGCCAAGATGAGGTGGACCCGGACGCTTTGCGAAAAGCGACTCGTAGCAGGCGACATTTTACTGTCGTTTCCCACTGCATTAATATTACATACCAAACTCTCGTATACCTAATCCACTCTCTCGTGCTGTCGTCTAAGGGTAATAATATCAGAGGTTTATGCCAAGGGCCAGTCTGGTGAATCGAGTACATCAAAGCGGTTATCCCTAGCAAAGCGCCTACGAGGAACCAAAGTAAGACGAAAAGAAGTGATAGAAGTAGGTTTGTAGTGAGTGGATTGATTGAGCAAAGGAGCTAGTAGGAAGTGACTGGCTACTTATATGGGAGTAAAGGAGTGGCTGGGGATTAGTAATGGCTCCCCCCGTTGGCCATTCCAACAGGCAGGGAAGCAGCAATTGCGAGACGGCTCATAATGACATATAACAGGGTTTGGAATTAGTCCTTGGCGAAGAGCCTGAGAATTTGTGGATTGGTCGACTTGATTATCATGGAGTATTCCCGAGAGGAATGCATAGTCCCTGCAACCTTCATGATGGGTCGAATGTTTGTGATGATTATGTAGCTGGAGATCATCAGCTCGATCAAAGTATCATAGAAATGAGAAGCCCAGTATGGGGCGAAGATGATGTTCAAGGTGTGGAGTACAGAGTCGGTGATACTTATCGGATAGCCAGGGGTTGCTGTTGAATTGAGGGCCCCGACAGTTCATTTTCGCTCAAATCGAGACATCCGTCTCCAGAATTTGCAAGGTGTCTCATCTTGTCGTAGCGTCATCGCCAGCGTAGTCGTTTGCAAAGATTGGGGAGATAGGTCGATGTTCGAAGGTAACCGGCCGACATGGCTTCCCGTGCACATAAACAACCTTCCCGCAATCGCTGCTCTGCTTCCAATGGGACTTATGCAAAAACTATCTTCTCTCCGTCGTCGAAGGCGACCAAGCTCGCGGCTGCCGTTCAAGGTGTTTAGACAGCTTGCAAGTGATGGGATCCTGAAGCCTTCAACCTTGAGCGAAGAAACTGTGGTCAAAGTCGTTGCAGGTACATCGGTTGAAATTATAGCTGAGTATTCGAAGCAATAGATTACATACTTTGTTCATGGGACTGATGGGGTTGGCTGTCAGTGGCGTTCACGGTTGAAAGGGCCATGTTGACACGAGTTGGCGTCCATTGGAGCTTCAGGAAATGTGTATCGTGGGCTGTGACGTCTGGCGCAGTGCTTTTGCTTCAATAAGTTTGGTTTTTTTTTCAATTGCCATGACATGAGAATTTGACCGAAAGACGAGAGTTGCAGTCGTTTCTGCACTTGCCTAGTCGTGCAATGCCGAGCAGGAGGTATTGCCGTGGATAACGCCAAGAAACGCCAAGACAATTGACATTCACTCACCATTGAACCTCCTATGCTGATTCTGATCGCCCAAACCAACGTAGGAACGTTTGAATGTACAGATGTGAGGAATTGAAGGGATTTGTGACGTCTTGCAAGCTCTGTGATCCCCTGCAGCCTCCGACTTAGCCCTGCTGAACCTTCGGAGCTCCAGCCAGCCCTAGACCCAATTTTCGACCCCTACCTCGCCTCTGCAGATCTCGGTCTTGTTTTTATCAATATAAACGTTGTGGAAGCACCTCTTTCCATCACTGACCAATCATGGTCCTCGTACAATGAGCTTGACTGGTGTAGTTGGTGCGGGCAGCCCCGACCTTTACAACACTCCAAGACATGAAACTAACTGTGTACGCAGGTCATCACGTCTGTCTAACACAAGCGGAACGCTTATGTGGCGACACAGAAGGTCGCCGGTTCAAATCCGGCGTCAAGTAATGCGTGGATACGTCCAGTGCATTGTATGCTCAATTTTTTGGTCGATTTTTGGTCGATTTTAACACTTAGGCGGGGTTCTGTGAACCATTGGCACAGATTATTGTTCCTCGAGTTATTACTGAGTAGGACAACCGTCCTTTTTGTGCCAGGCCCCGGCCTTGTGCAGAAAAGAGATATATTCGGCTGCGGAAAGGTTACGATCTAGAATCTGTTGGGGACGATGATCACGGTAACAACGGACAGATCATTGGCATCCGACGTCAGGCATTGCTCTATCTTCTGACGCTGAGGTTGCATAGATGCTGATTGATATTAGTGGCAGCAAACATATCCATCGAATTTGACTGCGGCGTGATGCCACCATCTCTCCACGTCCGGTAGAGGCAACGACATCGTTCCTGAACATCTGGTCACGATTGAATGCACTGAGAAACTCTTAAAATGAAGTATTTCATTCAGCTGATGTCCTCAAGCTCTAATTGAGCGATGAGTATTTCAGCTTGGGTAAGGGACGTCTATATGGCAACAAATAAGCATCACACGAGGTACTCCTTCAACCACGGAACATCAACACGCTCCTCAGTATCTCTAATCCACATCCCAGTACTCCAAATAGCAAACGCCCAAACCAGGATCCGTTGCACCAACCCTCCCTGACGATCCTTCCACACAGCACTCTCCACCAAGCACAACACTCCATGGGCAACAAACAGCGCCCACATACCAGCGCCAGTACGCCACGGCGCCGTACTCACACAAGCAGCCGCCCAACCATGCCAAATCCCACTCAGATTAAACGCAGCCATCACACCGGCAACACGACCAGCTTGCTTCCCAAAACGCCTCCCAACGACCTCCTTGGCCGGTGCGTACGCCAACGAATACAGAAATGACGCAGCGTCTTGCTGCCAATGTGTCCGCCAGAAGCTCGAAATCGATCCTGCAGCGAAGGGTTGCCAGAAAAGGGGATGGGGACTGGACGGATGCAAGATCGTATGGCCAGTCTCCATGCCGGCGTGGATGATCAAGAGCACGAGCAGAAATCTTGTCTCTGAGCATGGAACGAAGTAGACCAGTAATGGTACTATAATTCCAGGTCCAAACGTCCAGATCGTACTCGCGGGCCTATCCCTCTCCTTCTCACTGGTGGCGATATCGAACGAATGGTATCGACACTCCCTGAGCAAAAGCCAGACGTATTGACGACGGTTCCGATCAGTGACCGGAACTGCTTTCCCTCTTTCCATCATCTTCGGAGGCTTATGTGCTCTCGCCACCGTCAAGTCCAGTATCTTGCCAGCACAGGCGAAGAGGATTGCCCTCGCGACGCATTCAGCCAGTGGTCCACCTGGTGCGAAGTATGGCAAGGCCAGGACATATGCGGCTGCTACAATCCCAAAGACGCGAGTCTTCCATTCGAGCGATAGATCGTACCACTTTTTAGGTTGGTCAATCTTCTTCAATGAGCCCTTTGAACGCGATGCAGGACCAGATGCCTTGGTAGTTATTAGAGAGAGCGAGTACACCCCCAGAACGGAGAGGAAGATGCTGCTGGCGAATAGTATTGAGAATTGAATGATATGTCGACCGAGAGCAGCGGCCGGAAAAGACACAACTACAACGAAAAGTAAGGAAGGAATAATACTGATCTGATACTCGTTCATCGTATCTGTTCATAAGGGAATGAGGGAGGTTGCAAGTTGGAAGTCGTCTTCGCCAGGGAGATCGAAAGTTGGGTGATGTAATTGACCAAGAATTCCATAAAAACAGGGTACGGAAATTTGATCGAATTCAACACAACTTTGACAGAATTGAACGGCATGGGCTGAATGTTGCTGGACATACAACGAAAGCGTAGAGAGGCGAGATCTGCTTGTCATTGCCCACGATAAGACTCTCTCAGGCACAAGGTGAACAACGTGCTGCGCAAGCTTGCATGAAAGTCTCGCCTATTCAGCATCAGCTGAGACCTATCTTCGTATCGTACATCCTGGTCGGGCGCGTCGAGCATAGGAGCGCCTTTTGAGCGTCGTGCTCCTTCCGCATGGCTCAAACATCGCCGGAGCGACTTTGCGGCCCCAATGGACTGTATGTGCCTTGACCAGGGCCGATGCGTCGCGCCTTCTCCTCATCGCTCCTCATCCATGGTAAGTGATGAGAAGCAATACAGACGATTGCCATATGTATCATTGGGATCGCACTTCAATTGCTGTGCCCGTATGATCCATTGCCACTGCTTCTTTCTCATCAGAGCCCTGCGCGGCACTCAGGTATTCGGCCCCAAAGTTCATCACAATCTTTCATCTCTCAATCCTTTCAATTCGTTTTCGGCTTCTTCGTTCCGTACTTCGATCTGCTCGTGACACGATTGCCCACACCTCCCTGCTCATAATTAGCATTGCCCAACAAATTGATATGACATGATCTTACCAGATCCATAGCCCCTCTCACGAGATGGTACTTCACACCAGGACAGTCCTGAGATCGTCCTCCTCTCACTAGAACCACTGAATGCTGCTGAACATTGTGGCCTGAAGTATCAATCAGTCCTGTATTCCAAATACCACAATCATGCCTTGCTCACCTTCTCCAGGTATATACGCAGTAATGACATTCCCACTACTCAATCTAACTCTTGCAACCTTTCTCTCTCCCGAGTTGGGTTTCTTCGGCTTCGTCGTGCCCACACGCAGACACACACCCTTCATCTCAGGCCGATGGTTCCTAGCCAACTGCGGCGATGTCGGTTTTCTGGCGCGCTGTCCTACGCGACATCCCCGAAGGACCTGATTGTATGTGGCTGGTCGAACAGTGGTGCTCGCGAAAGTACGGATCACGGATCGCTGGACGGGGCTCGATCTCGGTATGAGCAGGCCATTGAAGCAGCTGCGAGTCGCTGTCGGTAATCTGAGGATGGATGTGAAGAGTTTGGGCGCCATGGTTGTGCTGTGGTGGTTTGTTGCGCGAAGCAGATGCTCAAGCCAAAGTTGACTCCCGAGTCCCGTCGGAAAAGGCTACGGAAGGCTAAATATACGTGACCTCACCTGCTACTCTTCTCCTTTTCTTCCTACCCTCTTCGGCGCGTGACAAACGTGGACATAATTCCAATACCTCGAACTGCTCTGCAGTTTTTACGCGTTAAATTTACAACTCTAAGCCCTCAATGGAAGCCGCGAGGCACTGTCTCAATTATCACCAAACGGCGAGAGCATGTTCACCTCCTGCACGAGATCATGACAAGGTCGAGTCTATGAAAAACAAGTGGCTACAGGTCTTGTCGAGACAGTGCAAAAAGCGCTGGACATGGAAGTCATTCCGACTGACTACACTCGAGCCCGTACAGACATTTGATGAATCTTAACCGCACGATGGCACGATGAACACAAACAGTCGCGGCGACTGCACCGGCTCCATGTGTCTTTCACCTCACGGACGTCAACTTGACTTTGAGTGGCTCCAGTTGCCAAAGGACCTGCAAAGTCATCAGCCCAGGCCAAAATGCATGTCTTTTGCGAATACTCACATAAAATCGAGCATCTTCCACCCAGTTGGGCTGTTCTCCATCAAGCTCCAGGTCGAAATGCCATACGAGCTTTGCCGTTACCAAACGCGCCTCAGCAAGCGCCAATCTATGAATGAGGTCAGTATGCAGTCTGATCATCTGGGTACGGGACCGACATACAGCTTGCCTATACAGTTTCGCGGGCCCATGCTGAACGGCTTCAGGACTTCATCAACTTGTCGCCCAGAGACACTCGAAGTTTCGTGCGCTAGCCATCGCTCGGGTCTGAACTCCTGTGGATTGTCGAAGAGACGTTCTGACCGACCCATGTACCACTGCCCCATCGAGACATAAGTCCTTCCAGGAATACGCTCCCCATCAATAACATGGCCCTCCTTCGGCGTCCTTCGAGGTGTGATGAAGCTAGCCACAGGGAAGATCCGCAACGACTCATCGATGACTGCTTTCAGGTATGGCAGTTCGGCCACGGCCTTGAGAGTGATATCCTCGCTGGAAGCAAACTTCGATCGAACCTCCTCCTTCAACTTCTGCATTGCACGCGGCGTCTTCAACAAGTGGTAGAATGTCGCACTCAAGCACGTGCTCGTTGTCTCAGCACCGCCGCCCACAATCAAAATCGAATTCGCGGTGATCTCAGGCTCGGTCAACCTATCACCGCCTTTCATCTCTCGTAACATCAGTCCCACAATGTCGAGATGCTTCTTGGTACTGCTCTGGTTGCCCTCAACATCGGCTTCCTTCTCTACTGCAAGCCTCTTTTTGATTGCGCCGCTGGCGGTCTCGAAGAAGAATTGCGCGTCGTCCTTCACTTTCTGTGGCACGATTGGCTTAAGGAACCCGAAAGAAATGCCAAACCGCCGGAACTGGTTCACGACTGCATTAAGTTTCAACACTTTCAGCAAAAACTCCGGCCAAGGATGCATGCGTCGCTTTTCCAGACATTGGAACTCCTGATCGAGTGCCAGTTGACCGATGACATCGTTGAGTCCCCATAGAAACCATTCGGCAAAGTTCTGAGATCCTTCTTTGCTAGCCAACGCCAGTTTACTGCAAAGTAGATTGACATATTTCTGCAGCACAGGCTCGACTTCCGCGATGCCAGCGTTGAGAAATGCAGGCCCGGCAAGACGTCTCAGCCGCATATGCTCGGCATCAGGCGCCGTGATCATGCTTTCCGGGAGTCTTCTGTCCTCACTCTTGCCAAAATGAAAGTCGGACTTCTCCAGTTGAGGACGAGAATTGTAAATCTGAGGCCATGCTTCGGGGTTGGTGAACGACAGCTCGTCAGGCGCGATGCGGACCGTAGGACCGTACTGCTCATGTATGCTGGCTATACATTTGTAGAGATCGCCCGTTGCGTGGTGATACGAGGCGAAAAGACGGGATGCTCGCCAGCGCAGAGGTCCAGGGTACTTTGCCAGCGGATGGAATGGTGAGATGTTGTACAGGACTTTCAGGACTCCAAGTGTCAGTGCCTGCAAGCGCGTCAGCGAGTCGTGTACAGAGATGCGGGCAAGTCTTCCACTACCGTTGCTAACAGCAAAGTCAGGATCCAAACCACTCGGCCGGCGAGATCGAAGATAGCCTCAAAAACGGACGCCATGATGTTGAACTTGTCGAGAGCAACACGAAGAGTTCAAGAAGGGTTTAGAAAGACCTCGACAGACGAACCACAACGCATGTGATTCTAGCAGGTCACTACCATATGAATCAGCAGCGACGACTCGTCCCTGGCTCAGCTAAGTATAGCGTGCCAACAGGAAGATTGCTGCTGACCACTGTCTAGCAGTGGCATCCCAGCCCACAGCACAAATGGCGAACCCCTCTGTGATTGCGCACGGCTACGAACATCCCGAGGTGGGATGAAACTGGAGCTTGGTCTTGACTTTGGCTGTGAGCTCGACCAATGACAGGGCCTTGCTCGTTCAGACTGAGTTCACATTCATTCGCTCTTTCCACCAGAGTGGGATACGATGGTTCCTATCGCAAAGGATGCTAAACTCGAAATGCTTTACGAAGTTGACTGTGCCCTGGGGATTGACACCCTCGAGAAGCCTCACGTTCGGCGCGGGAACGTCAGATTCCACTTTCTTGTGAACTGAATGCTCGGAAACTTTGATATGGGTGCAGGCTTCTGGCAAGTTTGCCTGATGCTCATCAGATATCATGTTTTCCAGAAAGCTGGCTCCAGAGAGCATTCAGAAGGAAGAGAAACTCGCACATTTTTGCGGGCATCTCGCCTTCGTCCACATTCCTCCGAGACGCAAGACAATACCATTTTCTACGCCTAAACAACATTCACAGGCGAATTGGCCTTGCGCTTCTCGAAGAACGCCCGAATATTCTCAAAACACTCCTTCTCAGCCCGATGAAACGCCACATCAGTCAAGCCGCCCAGATGAGGTTGAATGATGACATTATCGTGCTTGAGGAACCACTCGTCGACGTTTGGCTCATCGCATAGAACGTCCAAGCCGGCTCTTGCGATCTTGCCTGAGTCGAGGGCTTCTTTCAGAGCTGGTTCGTCGATGATGGCGCCTCTGGCTGTGTTGACGAGGTACGAGCCGTGTTTCATCTCCGCGAATTGTTTCTTGCCCAGAAGGTCGGTCGTGTTGGCGTTTAGAGGGCAGTTGACTGAGACGACGTCGGAAGTCGAGAGGAGTGCTTCGAGGCTTTCGCAGTAGGTTGCTAAGTACTGTTGTTCGATTTCCTCTGGTAACCGGTGGCGATTGAAGTACTTGATCTTCATGTTGAAAACGACCGCCTTCTTAGCGAGATACTGGCATCAAATTAACCGCCGACTCACGAATGCGTAGAATCCAAACTAACCTTCCCAATAGCCCCCATCCCAATAATCCCCAACGTCAACCCAGAAGGATCCTTCGCCGGAATCAACGCAGGAAGACTCCTCCAAGTACCAGCTCTCGCACTCCGCTCCGCCTGGCTCGTATTCCGCAGTACAGCTAGAACTAGAAAAAACGCCATATCCGCCGTCGCTTCAGCAACAGCGTCCACAGTGTTGCAGAAAGTAATGCCTTCGCTTGTCATCCAGTCGACTGCGAATTCATTGTATCCAGCGCTGGCGGATGTGATGATTTTACAGTCGGGCATGAGGGCGCCGAGAAGATCTTGGTCGAACGGCTCGTAGGGTGGAGTTCCCATTCGGATGATGAAGGCGTCGATGGGCCCGTTCTTCTTGATGTCCTCTGGGAGTAACTTTTTGGTCTGCTCACGGTCGTAAGCTTCCAGGACTGAGAAGTTAAATTTCTCTTTGAAGGATGATAGGTATTCGTCGCCGATGTATTTCGTTGCTCCGAGAGCTACGACTCTTCGTTTCGACATGGTGTTTCCAGTCGCCGTGTAAGCCTTACTTGTTCACTCAGCGATGGTAGAAGTCCACACAGCCGAAACTGCTGCAAGTTAGGTGTCAATGTGGCCTGTGTTCTTGTTCAGGTTACACAATGTATCCTCTGGATGATGTGCTGTAGATTCGGCGAGGTCGCCCTGCCGGCGGGCAAGGTCGCAAGCTGCTACATGCAGGGCGCAGCTTTCCCAAACACTGCTCGTAGATAGGCCGGGTCCACTGGGATAGGGGGAGGAAGTGACCAAGAACTCAACTGAAGCTTTGCATTGTATCAACAACCTTAAGTTGTGACTGACGAACTCTAAGCTATCGACTTTCTAGCATGTCTCCTCCATCTCAACTACCGCCACTGGGCTTCATTGAAGTCGAGTGCTTCTTCACAAGACCTCCTGGCGACCCTTGGAACGAACAGACATGGCCCTTCCATCTGCTACGAGAGAGAGCTACAGGTTCCACTGCTGACCAGCTCGTGACGAATGGTCATTACGACCAAGCCTTTCTCGATCGGTTTGTTGCCGCTGGGCTGAGACTCGCAGAGCGAGGATGTGTCGGTATCATCACGAGTTGTGGCTTCCTGGCCATGGCACAGCCACAGTGAGTTGATTTGAACGTCACATCGAAAGTTCCAGTGCTGAATGTCTGCGAAAGACTTGCTGAGCGATTACCAATCCCAATCGCGACCTCAGCGTTGATCCAAGTGCCTTCACTCCTGGCCTTATTACCACCCCGTAAATCGATCGGAATCTTGACATTTGACGGCGAGAAGCTAGGACCTACGCATCTCGAGCAATTAGGCATTCCCTCAAGCCTTCACGGTCGAATCCACATTGCAGGCGCCCGAGCCTGCGGACACTTGCAACGACTCGTCAAGGAGGATGCTCCATACGATCGTCAGAGCATCCAGACTGAGCTGAACGAGGCTGCTCTGGCGATGCAGAAGAAAGACCCAGGGCTGGGTGCAATCGTGCTGGAATGCACGCAGATGCCCCCTTTTGCGGAAGGCATACAACAAGTGGTCGGCAGCAACGTGGCAGTGTATGATGTCTACTCGATGGCGATGTGGTTCTACAGCGGCCTTGCGAAAAGGCTTCCTGCGAGATGGGCAGAGGGAGCGCAGGATACGAAGTCTCGTCCTTAGGAGATGTCTGGGTTCGTACTTGCTGTGAATGCTGGCGGTTGGGTGAGGAATCTAGATGTCAATCTTCTTATTCTTCGAGCGATGCATTTTGCATGACATATCTATTACAAGAAAGTCATCAGGGTATCAAGCATCTCCCTAGTATCCTCGTCTTCGGCATTTCCATCTTCGAGCCCATTCTTCTGATCCTCCAAAGATGACTTGATCTGCTGCGTCCCGTCATCGCCCAGACTTTCAGCAACTTTCGCCTTGACCACTTGATCTTCCGCTACCAACCACGCAAGAATAATGTCGATGGTTTGCAGGGAGAACAGGCCTCCATCAAGTCGTCGAGACAGCCATTCGGCAGCGCGCTGTTCGATTTCGTCGTCTGGTAACGTGGACTGCTCCTTCCTGATGTCTTTATCGACCACTGCGATTCGGCGAGCGTATTCTTTGCGTAGCTCGATCAGCTTGGAAGTCTTTTCGTACTGCTTTTCGGTGAACTTGGAAAGCGTCCGAATCCGCGCGGCAGAATCTCCTGGCAAGAGACGCAGTAGACTAGAAAACATGCCAAGGACATGCTCAACGGTCGCACTGTCGGACCGCTTCATGAAAAGGCTGAATATGGTCTTGAGACCAGCAGCTTCTACCACCTTTTCGCAGACAGCAGCCGACGCAGATCCTTGGCCAGCGACTGCATGGTCCAAGACTCGGAGGGCTCGTTGGCAAATGTTCTTCGTTCCTTCCTTGAGCATGATCAAGCACAGCTCCACTCCTTCTGCTTCAACGAACTTCGATTTGCCTTCTTGCTCGTCCACCACGCAAGTTAGCGCATCGAAAACGTTTTCCGAGTATTCTTCTTCATGGCTGTCCTTGGGTGGGTCTCGCTTTCTGTATGCTGCGAGAAGCCGAAGAAACAAATCCACCCCATCAAGATCGGTAGCAAGTCTTTTCCGGATGGGTTGAGAGTTTTGCAATAATACTTGCAGAACTTCTGCGGCGTACTGCTTGTTCTGACCGAGAGGCCTTTCTGGTTCTTTTATGCGATTGCAAAGCCATAGCAACACCTTCTCTTGCCCAATCTTCTCTGCCACGGACTGCTGGCTCGCCAAGTTCTCGAGCACCGCCAGACTGTGATAGACACCACTTCGGTCGCTCTCGTTCTCTTCGTCCAGTCTCTTCAGGTTGCTCATCAAAAGCTCCAATAGATCTGCGTCCAATAATGCAGCCACGAGTGCGTCCCACTGCTCTTGCTCAGCTTGCACGTCCTCATCCAGAAGCTCTGAAATGATCTCAATCGCCCCAATCGCAATGTCCGTGTTCTCGTGCGCAAGCAGACCGATCAAATTTGAAACTGAGCCTGACTCCGCAAACTCGACATACAGCTCCGGGTGTTCACTCAGCAGACTCCAACTCTTGATCTCTGCATCCAGATCTGCCTCCGAGTCCATGAACTTTGCAGGATCCCCTTCGTATCTTGCTCGCAGCTCCGCATTCTTATTGACCTTCTTTTCAAAGCCTGTGATGAGTCGCCGTAGCCATACCGAATCGATCTTCTCTGGTTCATATGTCTCTTCCTCTTGCTGGTCGATATAATCCAACGCTTCTGCCGTGTCTTTCGTCATGCCCGTGCCAAAGAATCGCCCCTCTTCGTCGTCGTCTTCATCCGGGGGAAGTTCAGGGCCTGCCTCGACATCGTCGTCGTTCTCATCTTCGACAGTCGCGCCATTCGAATGGTTGCCGTTGGGTGATGATCCACTCGAGACTTTTGTCGCCTTGTATGCTTCTTGCGCGTCTGGGACCTCGAGCTTGCGCTTGAGCGATCCTGATGGTATGCCAGGCTTCTTGAAAAGGTCGTCGACGCTCGTCATGTTGCAAGGATGGGTGTTATGAGTTGAAAGATGGCGACTGAGTTTGTCAATCTTCAGAACTGCACGCCGCGCTTTAGCTTTCTCTCGCGCGTCCGTGCATTGAGCTTAAATTGATTAGGATTTGATGACCCGCATTACTTAGGATCCAACATTCACTTCACGTCGTTCTACCACCTTCACATGAATGCTCGATTGTGATGATTGGACGTAATTGGACGTCCCAAAGAGCCTGAAAGAGATGTGCTCAAACTAATCAAGCCCAAGCGATACCAGAGCGCCTACACAACCGTATATGGCAATGCGTAGAGGAAGCATTTTTACTCTGCTACACTTTGTTTCTCCAACACAACCATGCCTTCGAGAGTGCTGTCAACGCCACAGCATCTCATCCATGCAGGCTATTCGACGAGCTCACTTGAGACTCTCTCCCCAAACCGTCCATACCACACAACCATTGGCACCATTCTCACTAATCCCACCACCCTCCCCACCGCACTGCTCATACACAGCCTTCAACTTCCTGCGACATTCATCGCCTTTCGTGTCGAATGCTTTCGACTCAGCACAGTCATGCTGCGCCTGGTCGCTGAACTGCGCTGTCGCCCTGATCAAGATTCCATCGGAAAGATAGTTGTGATACGATTGGCCTGGAGGTACCGTTGTCATAAAGGTCAAGATTTGCTGAGGCGCAGGAGAGAGCTCGAATGATTGACTGCAGTACTCATCAATGGCCTTCTCGATGTGTTTAGGATCCATATCAGTGGCTCTGCTGGATGGGTTGCCGCCGCATCGAATAATCTCTTCCAACTCTGGCGTGATGGAGTAGACAGCGCATTGGCGCGTGGCGCTGCCGCCATAGAAGCTGACGGGATCGCTCGAGGCCGAGCTACAGGTGTCAACGATTTGATATAACTCTTGCTCGCAAGTCTTTTGGTTGATGAGTAGCTCTGTGGTGGTCGCTTCATCGCAAGCAGAATTCTCGGTAGTTGTGATTGACAGCTTCATACTCGAATCACCCAAAGCGGTCTTTGCCAGTGTTGAATACCCATCGCCAGAGCTCATCCGAGACACATCTTGACAGATGTCTCTAATGATCGATAATGATTCTGCGACATTCAAGCCTGTATGACCCGTCTGTGGTAGGTTGCATTGTAGCCCGTTCATCCTGCGTGCCCAGTGGAATTCTCTGACGAGTAAAAGATATATCAGGAAGCTGTGAATATCTGCATGTCCCTTCGATGCAACAAGCAGTCACGCACTCTCACGTGGAAATTTTGCTGTCGTCTTCGCCAACGAATCTCTCCAATTGAGCATCCGGCCTTCCCTTCTGGCAGCCATGTGAGATTGCAAGGGTCTGATTCGATGCTGGTTCGCCGAGATTGGTGTCATATTGCCTGTCTGATCCGGAGTATAGCAGTCGCCGTGGTCGAACCTTCTTAGTCCTAGCGAGCTTCGATTTGAGCTCGCATTCGGTTATAGGCAGCTGCTTTAAGCCTGAAAATGATGGGAAATGCTGCGATCCTGTAAGGACGTGGGAATTGTCTCTCGTTTTCGCATTCGCAGGAGCTTTCTGTCCCCCAGACTCGGTAAAGTGGTCGCTGTGCAATCCCAAATAATGTCGATAGCAACTTGCACTCCGAAAGCAGTAAGAGAACTTTCGACAGAAGCCTGCCACAGTGGGAGCGTTCAGGTCTTCATGAAATCCGTAATGTCCAAGCCTGAATTCTTCTTCTGTTCCGAAGATTTGCGACCAGCCAGCATAGATTGCAGACTTGACTTCTTGTTGTTATTTCGAGACCTTTTCCTCGATGCTGGTTCCGTAGATTCCGGAGCCGCGATTGTAGGGGTTGCTGGCTCACACCGTTCATACTTGAAATCACTGGGATTCTGTGCCGAGGTGGCTGCATTGTCATTTCTCGACGCCTTGGGTGTTTTTTGGCGAGTAGGCTTTGCTGACTGCACAGTAGTGATGGAGCTGCACAGCGAGCACTGTATACTCATCAATTTGGTGGTCGTCTTTTTGGACAGTCTATCCTGGCGACTTCGTGGTCCTGCAGTAGTCTTCACGAACGAGCTGTTCCGACCAGGTAGAAGAATGGTGCCACATGACGTGCAAGCGCGAAACCCTCCTCGAGATGATGCTTTGTGATCTATCGAATCATTTTCCAAACATGATCGTAGTTCTGCCGATACTGCCGGGGATACTGTGGCCAAGAGGAGGGAAGCCGTGTCCAGAAACGCCGAGCGAGAAGGTGCACTGGAACTCATGGCGGTTGCAGATTTTTCATATCCTCCGTGCCTCCAACCCGCTTCTCACATGTAGCAAGATACTCTTCTTTCAGAGGCGCCGACGAATCGTTTGCGACACACAAGGCAGAGTCTGCGCGAGAATAGAAGTGAGGTTGGGCAAGAGGAGTTCGACGAACAGAAAGCGAGGTCGTTGCCCAAAATTGTGATCGGCAGATTACATAAGCCACTCACATACTTCCAGGTTGCGTATATCTTGCACAACATCGCAATCCCTTCTCCAACCTTTACACTCACACGACCGAGTATGACAGCATCGTGTTCAATCAAACCAACCAAGAAGACCGCCGCCGACGGTGAACGTGACTGGGATCCACATCATATGCTTCCAAGCATCTTTGCCAATCTGTCTCCGGCTCATGATCCCATCATAAAACGCCTGCAAGTACAACATCAGCTCATCCGAGAAGAAACGTCTCTTTCGAGATCGTGCATACCACTCCGCATCCTGCCACATACATGGCACCAAGCGCCCTCCGCTCGTTGAGATACCAGGCCGCCAATGCCGTAGCCGCCATGTAAAGGTCGCGAGAAACCCAGAAGAGCATCAAGTTGGTGCCAAGTTCCTTTGTTTCGGGCGTTGATGGCTCGCCAAAGCCAAAGGTTTTGAAGCCATTTGCCGGATTCACCAATCCAATGAGACCCAATGCCAGAGGCATTATGGTGCCAGCACCAGCGATGTTGAAAAGGAGCTGAGAGCGAGAGGTGAGTATTGCTGGCGCCATATTTTCAGATGTTATTGTGGATATCTGAGGATCTGAAGGAGATTCAAATCACGTTGAGAAAGAGTCTGACCTGGACTTGTTGCTCGGAATGATCGGAAGGACGACACACAGACTGGATCGCATGCCGGCAGGTACAGCATACATACCCTGTCCACCCACAAGTATTGCGATCAGGTCGTCAAAGCTTTGCCATGCCCCTTGAAGAAGTCGTGTCCATGGTTAAAGTTCACTCAGAGCAAGTTCTGTCAGCAACCTCGATGCCTCGTTCAGCAACTCCTTGCCTGCAGCATTATACAGCGGCGCTGCCTGTTTGATTATGGAGCTGGCCAATTCTCGTAAAGAAGCTTCCTGACCAGGTCGGGTTCAGCCATTCCGACAGCAATTCTCGACGGACTCAGCCCTGCGTTATCCACAGGATCGATCCTGCGAGATGGTGCCGAGTTTGAACATTCAAACCTTCGCTAACATTTTCTTGTTCATCCGCAGCCGGACTAAAGCCACGAGCCCCGCAGCTCCCAATGCCATCGAGCCGGCATAGTAGATAGCTGGTCTGTATGCTTTGAATCCAGCAGAAGCCCCACCGTAGTCTGCAAGAAGGTATCCAGCGATTGGAGCACCCTACACTTTGTCAGCAAGACAGTCACCAAATACTCGACTACAGTAGATCACTCACGAGTAGATAGCCTCCGCTCCACCCAGTAACGAGCATACCCATGGCCACGCTCACACGAGCGCTGCCAAAGACCGAGCCAGCAACGGTAGGGAACACCGAAAAGAAGCCACCACAAGCCGCACCATTGATCACGACAAAGGCGATCAATGGTCCAAGGCTCTGCGAGACTGGCCACAGTGAGAGCATACTCAACGCCACAAGAATCAGAGTCATGAAGAGTGAATTCAATGACCCAATTTTATCGCAGCAGTACCCGAAAATGATCCTCCCCACTGCAGATGCTAGGTTGAAACCTGCCACCAAAGCTGCTGCGGCGCCTGGCATACCAATCGAAACGCTGTACAGCGGCAAGAAGAATGGCGGGACGAGAAGTGGAAATGTGGCCACCACACCGCAGAGAAATAGGAAGAAGAATCTGGGATCCCGGAAAAGCGTCCAGTCGATGAAGGTCCTTCTGTTTGGAGCGATGCGGTCGCGAATGAAGAATGCGGCTGGTAACCCCATCGCTAGTGTGATGAGGGCCACGATGCGAAAAGACCAGGCCGTGCCAACGCTCTTGATTAGCGCATCGAGGATGAAGCTATTCGCCGCACCGCCAGCGCCGCCCTATCGTAAATGTGTCAGCGGGCCGCAACATCAACATTCGCAGTGTGGCACTCACGGCTGCGTAGATCAATCCTGTCGCCAATCCTCTCTTTCGATTAAAATACTGACTCGTAATTGTCGCCGAGACCATGAAACACAGTGACAAGCCCTGGCCCGTCACCACCCCGGCCGCCACGAACAAGCCCGCTATGTTCCTCGTAGAGAAGCCACTTGTCAACTGTCCTATGGCTACCAACACCACACCCAACAGACTAGTCCTTTGCGAGCCCAAGCTGCGTAAAACACGGGCGTTGACGATGGCCGAGATGGCGACCATGGCAACACACAGAGAGCCCACCCATGGCAGCACCTGTGCTGAGGAGAACCCTTCGTCGATGAGGCCTTGTTGGATCACACCCCAGGAGTAAGAGAAACCGATGGACAAAAAGGCCAGGATGCCGGAGCAGATGGTCACGACCCAGCCATAGCCGCCTTCGGGAACACCGGCGTCGGCAACGCGAGAGGCTTCGGCGATGTCGTCGAGATTGGTTTCATATTGCTGGTGAGAATAACCTCTTGAAGGGACTGTTGCGGTCGAAGTAAGGCTTGGTCTTGCATCTTGATTGATTGTCTCGAGCTCGACAGCTGTTGCCGTAGTAGTCGCCATGTTACCTGTGATGGATATGTACTCTGCAGGCACATGAGAGTGCAACGACTATGAAGCTGAAGCAGGACCGCGATCAGTCATCAGCCTTAGCTTGGCACGCCCTATGACACATCTTTTGTTTGCGCAAGAAAAGAAGTGAGGTTCAAGAGCAACATTTTCAAGCGCGGTTTCGAAGCAATGGGCCATTGGCCAAAAGGGACGGCCCGAGAATTTTGCGCTAGCGGCTGGCTGCATAAACATTCACCAACCCAATCCTTCGCGACTGCCAAAGCTCACGACCAGAAAACATCAGCTCGACTGTTTTCCAAAATAACACATCAAACCACCCGTACACATGATGACGGCTTTGGAGTGATTGCCTGACCATACTCGCCATGGACATCGCATTGGAGGAATCGAACGGCGTCCGCCTCGCCATCGAGGGATGCGGACATGGAACACTTCATGCGATATATGCTTCGGTCGAGGAAGCATGCAAACAGAAAGGCTGGCCCGGTGTCGACCTCTTGATCATAGGCGGCGACTTCCAGTCAGTTCGAAATGCCTTCGACTTGAACTGCGTCAGCATGCCTCCCAAATACCGATCCATGTGCGACTTTCACGAATACTACTCCGGCCAGAGGACTGCCCCGTATCTCACTGTTTTCGTGGGTGGAAACCACGAGGCCAGCAACTACCTTCTTGAACTGTACTTTGGCGGTTGGGTTGCTCCGAACATATACTACATGGGCGTGGCCAATGTCCTGAAGCTTGGACCACTTCGAATCGCTGGGTTGAGTGGCATCTGGAAAGGCTTCGACTACCGCAAGACTCACTTCGAGCGACTACCATACAATGAGTCCGACATGAAGAGTATCTATCACGTGCGTGAGTTGGATGTTCGAAAGCTGCTTCAAATTCGAACTCAAGTCGATGTCGGCATCAGCCACGACTGGCCACAGAGTGTCGAGTGGAAGGGCAACTGGAAGCAGCTTTTCAACTTCAAGAAGTACTTCGAGGAGGACGCAAGAAGTGGCAAGCTTGGAAGTATCGCTGCAAAGCAGGTGCTCGATCGCTTGCGCCCAAGGTACTGGTTCAGTGCGCATCTCCATTGCAAATATGCTGCCAAAGTGTCGCACGAGCAACAGGCAGTACTGCAGCAGCCACTGCCAGGACATGAAGCATCAAGCAAGCATGCTCTCAATGGCATCGGCGAGCACAGCAATGGTGTTGCTAAACCCTCGAAGAATGCGGACGAGATTGACCTCGACCTGGATGAAGACGATTCACCCGCAGAAGCATCACTCGGCCTACACACAACACCAGCTACTGCAGTAAGCACCGCGCCCAAGAACACAGATGAGATCGACCTCGAACTCGATGACGACGACGCCGGCGCCGACCAGCCCTCGGCGCCGAGCACAGAATCTGCAAAAGCAACTGCGACTATAGTCCTAAACAACCCTACCAGCCCTAACGGCGACGCCCTCTCCCTGGAAGCTGCTCGCGCTGCCTTACCCGCCTCGTTCGCCAAACCAAAGGATCCAGAGCGAATGGAACATCCTCCCGACATCGCCAACAAGGAAACATCCTTCCTGGCCCTTGACAAATGCTTGCCGAACAGAAACTTCCTGCAACTCCTCTCGGTCCCGACGACAGATGCAAACACCACCACTAATGTCGACCTTGCGCGTCCGCTTAAGCTCGAGTATGACAGAGAATGGCTAGCCATTGCGAGGGCCTTCGCGTTCATAGAGCGCCCTGCATTCGGCGACCCCGACGCGCGCGTCCCCCCTGCAAAGACGCAGGCCGAGTATCGCGATCTCATAGCAGAGCACCGCGCGTGGATCGACTCGCACATCAGCGAATCAGACCTGGTCATCCCGCCGAACTTTGAGGTTATCGCACCGGTGTATGATGGGGGTCACTTCCAAGACGCCAAGTATCAGCAGGTGCAGGAGTACCCGAACCCGCAGACGCAACGCTTCTGCGAGTTGTTGCAGATTGATAATCCGTTGGAAATAAGCGAGGAGGAACGTGCGGAGAGGATGGCTGCTGGACCTCGACCCGAGCAGGAGTTCAAGCGGTTTGGAGGGGGGAGAGGACGCGGTGGATTTGATCGAGGACGGGGAAGAGGTGGTCGAGGAGGCAGAGGGAGAGGTGGTGGGCGAGGACGGGGAAGAGGTCGATGAAAGATGACAAGGACCAGAGCATGGCCGTACCAGGACATCGAAGCCCAAGAAGATATGCCTACTACGCGTTACAAGATGATACATACCTAGAATTCGGCGAGCACATTGCTTCAAGCCGACCATACACGCAACAACAAACCACCAACCGCACGCGCCGCACACCTCCCTTTACCGTCCTCTGCCCCTACCACGACCACCTCCTCGCCCACCACGCTTCCCACCCCGCTGAGCCTTCCGCTCATATACCTTCTCCCTTCCAAACGCCGCATCCGCAATCCGCACATAACTCGTCACACCCTGGTCCACGACCGCCAAAATCACATTCTTGTACCCATACCTCAGATTCGCATTCATCTGCCCTTCCGGATTGGGTGGATCATAAGGCGTCGTCTCAAGAAGCGACCCTACTTGCTCGAGCGTAGGAGGCGTAGTCTCGCGGGCGTTGACGACGGCGATGCGGAAATCTGGAGGTCCTGGCGCGGATTTCTTAAATTTCGGAGAGCCGGGTTTCCAGACGTGGTAGGTGATGCGGAAGGCTGGGTCGGTTTCTGGCGAGTCTCGTGAGGAGGGTTGGGTTGCGGTGGTGGGGTCGTAGAAGGGGATCAGGGCGAGTCGTTTGTAGATTGTGGTGTAGTCCCGGTAAAGACCTGGTTTGACGACTGGGCCGGTGATCTGACTCGATTCATCCTTGTCCAGTGATTCTGAGAAGAAGAGCCTCCGTAGAGTCGCTGTACTGAAAAAGCCAGGCTGCCAGGTCCGTTGTGGCAAAGGAGGATAACAATGCGAACTCAAAGGTGGTCCGGGACCGTCCCAGCTAGGCGCCCGCAGTACAGTATAACCCGACCGTTTCAGACTCGAGTAAACCGAGTACCGCTCCAGCGTCAGCGCTCCCCCGTGCTCATCTTCATCCCCAATGAACATCGCATACGCAGCCTGCAAACTCATCGGCAGACCCATCAACCCCTCCCCCCCCTCCAACACCGGCCACCTCAAATCAAGCGTCCCCCGCTCGACAAGATACAGCACTTCCTCAGGCAGGAACCACAATCTCTGCCCCCTCCGCCGCGCATCCTCGTCTCCGAGCGGATCGTCCTTGGCGGAGCGTACATGGCCCATACGGGCGAAGAGAGGGCCTTTGGGATTATCAGACCACGCCATGTTGGTTTCTGGATGGTAGTGTCCGGTGGTTAGGCCTTTGGGCTGGTGGACTCGCTGGAAAGAAAGGGCGTTGTGCATCGCTTGTCGGGAGGCTGCTAGGGTGTTGGATTGCAGAGCCGTCCCATGGGATTCGAAATCTTTTTCGCCGCGTTTGGGAATGGTGGCATCTTCTTTGCTGTGAAAGAGTCAACAACGTGATATTTTCGATCTGTGGTAAGTCTTGTAAAGTGAAGCCCTACGATATCGAAGTCAAAAACCGAAAGTCCTGTGTCTCATCACTAAGATCCACGTCTTCGCCTTTCGAAGGGCCCCGAGGGATCACATCTTCGTCTGCGTCGGCCATGATTTGCGCGGCGTAAAATATGCTGGTGATGTTGTTGTTGTTGTGGAAGAAAGGAGGAGCCTAAGAATTGTAGACGTAATAATTTTTCAATTGAATTGCAGTCACGAGCAGAGGTGGAAGTCGCAGTGACTGAAATTGGCGAGCGCACGGGCCACAATCTCGAAATCTCGGACCCACTTTTCACGATCTTGACTTCGATTGTCCACGTTCTTCACACGCCATCTTTCAGATGAGATTGCAAGAATTGAAGAAAATAGCACCGGCCTATTTAATTGGAAAGGAAAGCATTCAGCAAAATGGCAGCACCGACTCCTGACGACGAGCTCCTCCTCATTGTAGGCAACTCCACCATCAACACGTCCATCACTTCTCTGACAAAAAACACCAATAGCTCCTCCGCAACCTCCGCAACGCAGCCGCGACATTCGGCAAAGGAACTCCCCCGTACGAAGGCATCAAGACCATCGTCGAAGACCATCTCCAATCCATGAAGAAGAAAGGCCTCAGCACGAACCTCACCGGAGCACGCCAACAGGGAGCCGCAGGTTACTCACAGCCTCCATCCTCCGCCGAGGAAACTGAGGCGAGAGAGCTGTCTGGACTTCTCGAGAATCTCACTTTGCAGACGAAGAAGACCGGATGAGCCATGGAGGAGTCGGCTTCTTCCCACTGCCTGGCCTCAAAGCCCACGCGACTTACACGTACGCTTCCAATCCTCTCGCTACCGACCAGAAAGCCACAGAACTCGGAGTTGAAGACTCACCAATCCTTCTGCCCTATTAGCCAAGCCTGTCACCAACATTCCTAGGGCACATGCATCTACTCAACATCCAGGAACAGGCATCGACTCAAGCCACGAAGCGACCAAGCGGCTATTACATCCAATGGCCACGTCACGTTAGCGAACAGGATCCCTCAGTCTTACAAACTACCACTTTCGACCACCGGCAGGGCTGGGCAACCTCAGGATGAAACGAACCGGACGATCCACGGACGAGTCCTCCTCACTCCATAAAAAGAGGCCACGCGACATCTAAATCCTTTCGCTACCGACACCAAAGCCACAAAACTCCAACTCGAGAGGCAGAGGCTCATCAATCCTTCTCTGCCCTACAAGCCAAGAGCAGCCGGAACATACCTCAGGAACAGGTTAACACGATCACCCACGACACCGCTCCACCCAATACCCATCCCCCCACAAACGAGGAGCAAAAAAGAAAGCAAAGAAGAGCCCCCACAATCCCCCTCTACCCAAAAGCTCCGCAAAGGTGCTCGTACGAAGTCGAAATAGGGCTCACAGTGAGGGCCAAGAAGGGGTCTTAGGGCCAAAATCTCACCGATCGCGGCCATCTATTTCGTTGACAGTAGACACGGAGCTCGGTGGAACGCTTGGCCTTTAAAGCCGTGCGTGTGGGTGCTGCATACTAAACGGGAGGGAAAGGAAAGAGAGGAAAGAAGCCCCATCAAAGAACGACCAGGAGGAATCGCATCGTTTAAGCCACAACCGCAATCCTTTCCCAGGCTATCACTTTAATCTGCGTGATTCCAAAACACTTTCGGTACCGAAAGTAATGCAGAAAAGGGCCGTCCACTTCACTACTGTAAGGCAGATATCTCGCCAAAGATGTGTCTTGCTTACTATCACTCACTTCACCTGTACGACGGAGGGACTGATGCCCAACACCACATCTAATCACAGCGAGACCGATGTCCAAAACAAGTAATTTTTGAGTCGAGCTCATCATCTACGAATAATATGTACCCTAATCAAAGCCCACGCTGCTGTCGATGCGAGTGTGTTTCATCCACACAGGTCCCTCTCCAAATATGTCAAAGCCCTACCTACGTCCAGCCAAGAAGTGTGTCGTGCGTGCATGCATGCGCGTATATAGTGGTCATAGCTTCGTTCCGTCATTCGCAGCCATGATGAGTGGTTTCGAATTGCCCTCCGCGCGTGGCCGCTTGGTCTGGGCGGGTCTTGAATGTACGGGTTCGGCGATCTTCCGATCGGTGCATGGGTGGATGCCTGGCGCGAGTGTTGCCTCTCTGTCGATCTTTGTGTTTCACCATTCTTCGACTGGGCTCGTCGCGGATCGATAGGCCTGATCGAGTATCCATTGGCTTGGAATGCTTGTCGGCCAGTGAGAAGTTACCGCTAGTGAACCGCTGCCGTTCGTGTGCTAGGCAGAGCGTAGTAGAGCAACTTCCCGACTGGGAAGGGGTGGTAAGCTTCACAGGTGGAGTTGATCACAACATCCGGAGACTTTCACGTCGCCAGATGAGGAATGCATGACGTCGAGCCTGGTGTCCATCGGTTGAGTGGCCATCGAGCGGATCATCGAAGTCGTGCCACGTTCACCGCTTGCTCGTCTTCTTGCGACCCTTTGGTTTGGACGTCTCTTTCTCCAGGGAGGGGTCGACACCATCTTCACCATCATCACCATCTCCATCTGGGGCACCGTTTGCGCCCTGATCTTCGTCGAGCATGCCCAGGGCTGCTCTCGCGCGAGCTCCACCGCGTTTACGTAGTTCACCGGTGACGCCGCGCAGTGAGTTTGGCACCTCCTTGCCTGTCTTGAGGTACCACAGCTTGAGGTTACGTGCTTTGTCTTTGAGCTGCACTTGGTTTCGATCTTTGAGCACCTCTGAGATCGAACCTCCTCTGCCGTAAAGTGCAAGGATCTGTGACCAGTGAGGACCATTCACGCGCTCGAGACCAGCAAGCAGAGCATCCTCTTCAGGCTTCGTCCAGGGTTGTCGGATGGTAGAAGCAGCCGGTGCAGCTTTTCTGGTCTCGTTTCCTTGACCAGAGCTACCTGATTTGCCGTTGATTGACAGTGATTGAACGCCAGCCAGGGTCCCGTTTGGAGCGCCGGCAGCTCCGTTGGCATCTTGTGCGTTGTTCTTGGACATGTTTCCACCCTGGTTGGCCTGTGAGCGCACTGGAACGTTCATAATACCGTCCACGTTCTTCGTGATGCATGAAGCAAACTCTCTTACGAAGTCGTTCCATTGGTACTTCTTTGGCAACTCCTTGAGCGCTTCGTCAGATGATGGCTCGGCAAGGAGGTAGCTCTTTCGTGCGCGGCTTCGATCGATAAAGTCTTGTTCGCTAGGTGACAAGCTTGGTGCGTCTGGATGTCGAGTAAGGATCTGGGCGTCGAGGTCGGGAGGGAACAGTTCATCCAGCATGGCTTCTGGACTTCCCTCGCTGTTCATCAGTGCCGAGATGTAGATCTGTGTCTTCAATTCGAGGTAGATTGCGCCCTGCCATTTGAGCAGTCGATGGCCTAGAGGAACAAACGTCTCCATGAAGAACTCGTTCAGGTGGAAGAAGCTCACGTCGTGAGCACCCAGAATGCTTGAGATGAAGGTAGCGATGTTGGCTTTGCGGATGATTTCCTGTTGGTTGGGTTGGAACATCTGGATGGCGATGGCATCGATGAACGGTGTCTCTCTGCTGTAGACCTTTCTCGTTTGGTCGAAAAGGTTCTTGAGGGTCTTGTAAGCTTGGCCATCTTCTGTCTCTCCTCCTCGCATGAGATCCTGGATCTGAGTGTAATTCGCTTTCGAGATGGTGTGGATCAGTTGTGTGGCCTAGATCACGACATTAACGACGATCATTGATCCGACGATTACTTGGAGGCAAGTTCAAGTCATGTCGAGCACTATCTGAATACATACCAAGTTGTCAAGAATGGGTAGGCTTTGGATCTTGAGATGCATGCTGGCATCGTCAAAGTAGTAGGCCGACGACTTTGCGGCCTCTCGTTGGGCAAGTTGAGCTGTTGCACTAGGTGCCGTATACAAGGCATATTGATCGGCAGTCGTGAGGTCTGGGTAGCTGAGGCCTCCATTGCTGTCGATGGCTTCTGTTGTATCGCCAACATGGGCAGTGGTGGTGGGAGGGAAGAAAGGCATGGTTGTTGCGTTGGCTTGGTCTCCAACCGAGTAGCTCACCGAGGTGGAGGTATCACCATACGACTGAGCAGCAGTAGTGTTCCAAGAAGAGTTGTAGGCTCCGGCGCCAGCTTGTCCATAAAAGTACGGTTGCTGCTGGTAAGGAGCGAGGTCGGGGTAGGCCGACACATCGGAAGAAGCATTAGGCCAGGACGAGCCCTCAGTGGTACCCAGGGCATTGGCTGCAGTGCTGGTGGTACTAAAAGAGGGCGCGTCTTGCCCTGAGACGTACGAGTGCGAAGGCTGCTGCTGCTGCTGGGAGCGGCTCTGGCCCTGAGGATCCTCGTCCCAATGCTGGTCAAAGGGCTCAGACGTTGCGGCGTCATCCGTGGCATTGTCGAGACGGCGTCTCTTGGTCATAGGGCCGCCACGACCGGCAGCGTTCGACCCCATGAGCGAGGTCGAGGACGAAGCAGCCCCATCCTGCATGATGGGCGGGGCGCCGTAGGGGTGGGAGTAGGATGACAACACTGAAGGGAGCAGTTAGCCCTGGGTTGTGTACGAGCGCGCGCTTCATTAATCAACAAGAGCATATCATCGGCACCGGCCATGTCATGCTCACGGCCGACAGAAGCAGCACCAGCGCCTGAACGCGAGGTGAGCCCTGGCAGAGGGAGCCGAAACGTACTTTCCATGCTGCTGCTGCTGTTCCTTCCCAGGCGTGCCACGAGAAGCGGTCGTCGAGCCCTAACAGCCCTAGTTTGGAGGTGGGAGATTCGGATGCCGGATTGGTCTTCCAGATCCGCTGGCTGCTGCGACAGATGGCTTGTGTCACCGCCCCGCTGTCCGGACAAGAATATCAGTGCGCGCTCGAGGATGTTTGGGGGATGTGTTGCGGTCGTCAGCGGAGGCAGCAGCTGACGATGGGCGAGCGCGCGACGCTGGACGTCAGTGCTGCTCGCCCAAGAAAGTCACCGACTCAACAGCTGCGTCAATGGACCAATGGTACCACGGCGTCGCGGCGGAAGGTTCCACATGGCCGAAACATCCTATGTCTTGTTTTGGCGAGCCTCGCCGTCGTTCAGCCTCCATCTTTTGTCCATCACATTAACTTGTTCGTGAATACTTTTCAACGACGGCCTGAGGATACGGGCCCGTGATGATGGTCATTGCCGTCAAGCGAGACGAGATGCTGTTGCTAGCGTGGCATGACTAAGCCACCCTGTACATTTCCAAGTCTGCCCTCTCCCTCATCAAACAACCATCACGTCTCCATATCTCCGTCCCTTCCAACATCATGGAAACCGCGTATAATCCCCCATGCTGGACGGACCGGTCGATCCAGGAATGGAGTCGCGGAGTTTGACCCGACGAGAGAGGCTCAAAAAGCTCACTTCAAAAGGAGCAGCAACCTCACGCACTTTAGGGCTTGTCCGTCATTCCATCATCAATTCACCACTACACCCAAACAACACATTGCTCACCGCATGTCCTATTTCCTAACCACAGCCGCATTTCGATACTACGAAAAGACAACACACATATTCATTCCTACCACGACTTCTGCATTGCGCCGACGCAAAGGCAGATACCAAGCGAGATGACAAAGAGCAGTAGTAAAAGCCCGAGCAAGCTCGCGAACGGAGACACTCTCTCGCAAAATTCACCTCATGTGACATGCCACTCCCGCCGAGGGTCGGACGGGAAGTCATAGCCCGCCTAACGTCAGTTGCTCGATTTTACGGTACCTCGGAGTTCGTTCTTAGGAATAGTCAAGCATCGCGAAGCATTCCTCAAGACTTTGCGAGCCCGAATTGAAGGCGAGAATATCGACAATCAGGCTGGCGGAGTTCGAGAGAACATCCAATCCAACACCAACCAGCTATTTTCGCCCTGTTCGCGAACAGGACTTCCTTGCCCTCGGACTCGAAGTGGTACAGCTCAACAGCCTTCCAGGACTGAACGATGCCCTACAAGCCTCTACTAAAACTACAACCTCCCATAGCCGCAAATCAGCTTACTCACAAGGAGTGCCCACATCACCAAACGCCCGAACCGATACCGCCCCGGATCAGGAACGGCAAGCCCTGACAAGGAATCGCAGATCAAAAATCTTCAAGAAGAGTAATCCATCGCAAACGCATCATCCCTAGTAGGGCTCGCAAAAGCCAGGTCATCATCATCCTCCTCCAACCTGGGGGAAACGGAGCCAAGCCCGGGACGCCTATTATTACAAGCCCTCTCTGCATGTGAGAATCCTCTGAAGGTCACAAGAAAGTCTTCCTCTCATCAGGCCTTTGGAAACAGGCACAGCCCTCGCTTTTACCAAACCACCGGGTCGAAAGACTTACTATATCACACATCTCACCTCAGCCAAGCAGAAGTTCCCCCATGCCGATTTTTCATGCAACACACCAGCCAGCCAGCCCTACTGGTCGCCAAGAATGGGGTCTTCCTCGCCTTAGGGAAACCAGCGTGTACATCCGTGAAACGATAATCACGCTCTCAGCCCTACTCGTCGCTCAAGACGCAGCAGGCCTCAGGACGATACGAATGCCACCGACAGCCCTCATCGAGTCCTGCAGTGGTGCATCTCACCCCATCACCTCAGCCCTACCCCCCAAGTCCCCCTCAAGGAACACGCCTCTACCACGGAACGAACCAAGCCCTATATTCAGGTTACCGGCGTGGGAACTCTGACGCATGACAAGAGGTAGGGCATACCCGCGGCGGTCTTGATCCTTTCGGCGACCTCACTTCGTGCAAGAAAGAATCAACCCTTCGTTTCCCTTTGAATCTGGTATCATATCCTCTATCTGATATCGTAACAATCACAGCACAGGTCCAATGGCCCTCCCAAAAACACGACAGCGCAACAGAAGAAAAGCCCGCCGAGTACGACCGGGTCCGATGTCGCTGAGGCCTTTTGTACTCAATACGAAAAGCTCAGCAACCTCTTCCGGCCCGACTCGACCAGCCAAACGCCATTTCGTCCTTCTAGATGCCCGCCCCATCACGCTTTCGATTTCTCAGCAGACAGACAGCAGTGATGTTTCGCCAACTCCAGGAGCAATGCAGAGAGACCTCCCCGATCCATCCGTCCCCTGTTTCCCAGAGACGTACATGTAAGGAGACATACGCGACAACCAAATCCATTCCCGAAAAAAAAAACACGTCAAGAAAGAAAAACGACGTCTATGGTCCCCTCTCGAATGGATGGTCTACTCTTCGACTACGACTAATAAGTCGCGACCTTCATCTTCTCCCCAACCCACACCCTCTGCCTCGCCACATCGCTTCCCCATCGGCTGTGCGAGAAGCGACTCGCGCGGCGTTTGCGCACCTGTCTTGCGATGCTGCGGTACGCTTTCATGACAGGGCGGGCGAGGAGGACGATGGCGATGAGGGCGAGGGTGGTGCCGAGGAAGATGAGCGGCCAGAGCCATTCGAGGAGAACCATGCCGTAGCGCCCGGCCAGTCACTGTTCCTTCTCGTAGCCTTCGGGCTTGGGCAGTTTGTTCATGTCGAACCAGCGGTTGGTGCCTGTGAGTGGAATAAGTCAGTTATGTTCATGTGGTGCTTGGCGAGGTCTGCGCGTGCCGAGACAATCGTGTCGTGTGCCTGCAGCACATGCAGATGAAAGAGTAAGTAACTGGATTAACTTACATGAATAGCCGTTCCAGTCGAAGTTATCCTTGGGGTTGCAGTGGCACTTGAGGTCCAGTCGCATCTGCTCGCCAGTCGGGCAGTGGGTGAATGGAACGTGGTAGTAGGCGATATCGTTGAAGAAGTGGATTTCCTCCTTGGGAAGCATCAAACCGGCGGCGATCGAGTGGATTGGCGCGTCACCCCATCTTTCGTAAAAGAAACCACCCTCCTTGTCCAGGAAGTCGAAGTACTCAACATACGCCTTGCTGCGCAGCCAGTTCAGGTTGCCGATTTCGAAGTTGGACCAGAAATGGCAGTGGTTGTATGTGACTCCTCCGTCATCAGACAGGAATTCCATGCTGTTGTTATCCGCGATGTGCTCAGGGTGTTGCTTCATGAACTTCTTGACGCTGTCCCATAGAGTTGGGATAGTCTCGACGTATTCGTAGAGGGAGAGCACAAAGCTGTACTTCTTCTTGTTGTCGGCCATGAATTTGAACGGATCGTATGCAATGTCGCAGTACAGCTCAATGGATGGCTCCACACGCCAGTACCACTCATACTCGAGCATGAGTGGGTGGCGGAAGAAGAAGCCCGACTCGTATCGGCACATGTGTCTGTAGCTGATGCTGTCTCCGTAGATGATCTTGCGCTCGTGCATGTCCTCGCGAACCTTCTTGGCCTTCTCTTGATCGATGAAGTCTGGGAAGCCCCAGTGTTCCTTGTCAATCTTGCCATACCTGGCCTTGCCGGAGGTGAGCGCGGTGGTAACTTTTTTGAAGGTATCGTCGAAGTCTCCGTCGTTGAGGAAGACCCAGTCGTAGTTATACGCGTGGTTGAAGCGGTCCTCGACCTGGCGAATACTGCGGGAAATCTCCCATACGTCGCTGTTGCGGGCGAGGGTGACGAAAGTAGCGTTCATGCGAGCGCCTGGTGCCTTTGCAGGAGGGAAGGCGGTTGGGCCAATGCCTGTGTTGGGTGAGGTGGGCTGCTTGGGGGAAGACGCCTCGGTCGACGCAGGGCCCATGGCGGGGTTCACGACATTGCCAACATCCGTCTTGCCCTGTGCATCAGATGCAAATGTGCTCTTGCCGGACGTGTCTATTGCTCCTGAACCTCCTCCACGAAGAATACCCTGGTTTTTTAGGATATCGGCCGCGGTCTGGGTGTACTGCTGGCCGATGGTCCTCGTCGACGAGGAGGAGATGAAGAAGATGAATATCAGGGCGAAGAACGCGGCGATGATGTATCGCAGATATCTCGTTGAGCCGGCCATGGTGCCAGACTCTGGTCGGTCGTGTGTGGGCTGATGAAAGCTGACAGCGAAGGTATGCGCCCAGCCAAGGGGCTGTCGCTCTTTGTCCTGCTTTTGCTGCCGCGAGGGAGGTTCGTTGCGCGGCCGTCGCTGGCGTCGTAAGTCACAAGTCGGCCCTGCTATGGCCTCTGGCCAGACGGAGCACGGGCGAGGGTAGTGGAGTGGTTGGTGTTAAGGAGCGACAAGGGTTGGAGGGATCGAATCCGGTATTAAAATAAGGGTCTCGAAGTCCAGTCGCAGGCGGGCATTGGTTTGCGGCGGGGGCTGCACCGCGAGATTCAGCTGCGTGACACGGCAGCGAGGGCGAAGGGGTTGCGAAGAAGAAGAGGAGGAAAAAAGGACAGGTGGTGGGCGAAAACGAGATGGCGACGCGGTAGTTCTCGTATTCTTTGGAAGGCCCTGCGACACGAAGCCCGGCCAAGGAGCGACCGGCAGACGTACGTGGACGCGCCAACGCAAGGAGCTATTAACGGATCCACCCGCAGGCGAAGGGACGTGGTAATGAATGCTGCACTCAATGCCAGGGCAATACTATTCAGGTGGGTGGATTGATCACGGCGTCGAGGTGATAGATTGGAGACTGTCATGCCTACCTCGATACGTCTTTGGGAACTTCATTGGCAAATTCACTACTTGCACGCGAAGCCAGCAATCTTTTTAGCACCAGTCCGAAGATAGAGAGATAAATGCCTCAGGCATCAACGTCTGGCCCCACAGCGGAACGTCCTGCGTCAGTCAAGTCGAGCTTCCAAAATCAACACCACCACTGCAACCACCTCACCACACCTGCCTATAGCTATCCTGAGTGCCTCGTGCATAGCGTCGAACTGGTGTCACCTCAATTGCTAGCGCGCTCGCGCTCTTTGGATCACTTCATTTCGTACCTTGGCTACATCCACTAGACAGCACACTTCTCTCGCCCTGCGAGAAGCGCGTCGCCCATTATGTCGTTCTTTGGATTCGACACCACCCTGCCGCGTGATCAAGGCGCACCGTCTGGCTCGCGCGGCATGTTCGATTCTCACGACCCTTTCGCTGGTCTCAGCCGTGACGGCGACGACGGAGGAGAGGTTCTTGACTTTGAGCAGACCTACGATGGGCTAGGCCATCATCTGCAGGAGTCTGGCGATACCTTCAATGACGACACCTTTGGAGGTGATGAGCCTGTGACGAGAGATCAAGTTGGACGTGACTTCGACTTTGCCGGCGAGACGGCCAAGATTAGGGATACGTTGCTGGAAGAGCAAGCATTGCACCACGCAAGACAACCGCTACCGCAGGCACGTGCGCCCAAACCAGCGAAGACCGGCTATGAAGCATACAAGCAGCCAGAGTACATTCCAAAGCTGGAGGCCGATGCTTCCATCTGGGGCAAGCCAGTACAGCGGAAGCCTACCGAGCAGCCCAAGCAAGACAATGCCCCCAAGATGATGAGTCTGGAAGAGGTGGAGGCTGCCATGCGCACGCAGTCGAGACCTACACCACCTGCGCAGCCTCTTCAAGATGTTCAGGCTCAGACTCTAGGCTTGAAGAATATGCTAGGACTGGGCAGCACTCCCACTCCTTCGGCTCAACCCCAGCAACAGCCTCCTCCACCTCAGTTCGAACAACGTCCGCCACAGATTCTGCAGCGTCCTCAGCAGGCTCCACAAGAGCAACAACAACCCACGCCAGACTACAACCTTCGCGCGCCACATATCTTGCAGAGACAGCATTCGCCAGCTCAAGGTCGACCACAATCTCAGGACTTCCATGGCCAGCCACCTCAGCCCACGCACTTCCAGCAACCGCCACCTGGCATGCCAATGGGTGGTCCTCCACCCCATGCCCCACGCGGTCCAATGCACGCTATGGCTCAAGCGCAGGCTCACGCCCACAACCGTGGTCCATCATATAGCGGTCCGCCTATAACACAGGCACAGCAAATGATGTCCATGACACCTGAGGATCGTGAAGCTTATCTTGCTGAGGAAGCGAAGAGAGCCAAGAGAAATCACAAAATCTTCCTTCTCAGCAAGAACAATGGTCTCATGACTCCGCAGGACAAGAATTTCATAACAAGAATTCAGCTCCAGCAGTTACTGACCGCCACCGGTGGTGTGGATAACGAGCCAGGCAGTGAGGAGCAACTCGCCGAAGACTTCTACTACCAGGTCTACGCGCAAATACGTGGCCCACCAAGAAGCGGGCCAGGCCAGCCGTTGAACCAGTTCGCTCAAACCTATCTCTTCCAAACCGGCAGTCGGTACGGATATGGGCGCAGTCGGCATCACCCACGCGGTGGCGATAATCATGTCCAGCGAATGGAGCAGCAAGTCGCGAGGGCAGTCGAAGCTGCCAAGGCAAGGCCAAAGAACAAGCAACTCGTTATGGAGGGGTCGCTGGGGAAGATTGCTTTCAGCAACTCAAAGACACCACGCCCGCTTCTTAACATCAAGCGACCAGATTCCGCAGCTCAGATGAGACACCCACCCAAGCCCGCGGACCGGAAGACGACACTACGAGATATCGAGGCGCTATACTCGACATTGATGCGTCTGGAAGATCACGAGAGAAAGCTGCCGCCACCGCCTAATGAGGACAGTTCCCCAGAGGTCATAGAAGGCCATATGCGGTGGCGGAGCGAGATGCAAGAGCTCAACGAACAGTTGTGGAAGGCTCTGAAGGTTATGGAGCCGATTCAGCCAAAGTGAGTGCCCACCTTCTGTACTTTGACCAGTCACTAACGTTCACAGCCCAGCTACACCGCATCCTTTCATTCAGCTCCTCTCACATGGCAAGGGAAAGAAGGCCATTCCTCGTGTTTTCCGACACCTCGACGACAACCAGCGCCTAACCATGCTCACGCTCATTGTCATCCACCTCGACATTCTGGACGTCATCCGCGATGCATACCCACCACAAGACAACTCACCAATCCCCGCCCGTGTGAAGGAGGAAGTCGAACTCTTCAGCCAGGCCGTCATCCCGCCACTTCTCTCCTACATCAACGAGGCACCTTTGAACATCATCATCGGCCTCGTCGGTCTCGTGCTCGACCGCGTACACGTGCAGATCATCGTCCGCACAAAGATCGGCATCAGCCTCCTCACCATGCTCACCTCCCGCGCCGAGCTCGTCCGCCAGCAACAACACGGCACCGAAGAATGGCAGCAGTGGACCGAGCTCTACAGCAAGCTCTTCGACACCATCGAGCCGGTCCTGCCGTACATCTTCCCCACCGACACTAACATCTCCGCCAGCGAAGACGTCCACGTCTGGCAATTCCTCGCCACGATGGGTGTCGGCGCTACGCCTGATCAGCAGCAGAGGTTGGTTCTTGGTGCCAAGGATCGTGTCATGGAGACGGTGACGGTTAGCAAGACGTTGCCGGAGGAGATGAGCCAGAAGAGGTTGGGCGATGTGAATCTGTTCATGAGGGCTATTGGGTTGGATGTGGAGTTGCTGGGTTGAGAAAACACAAAAGCATCGAGGTCTACCGAAAAGAGTTGGTGACCAACACGAGAGACAATTGTCACATGCAAGTGATGCACATAAAATCAAAAATTCTTGAAACGTTTTGAAGCGAGCAACAACCCACTCTCATATCTGACCCCTTCCAAAGCCTATGAGATATTACCTTACTTCCTCCTCGCCGGCCTCCCATTCTTATCCCGCCTCCTCTCCTGCACCTTCCTCAACTTCCTCACATCCTCCACCCCCCGAATTTCACTCTTTCCCTTCCCAGGCCCCTCCGCAAACCTCCCCACGCGCTTCTCCCTCGCCGCCTCCACCTTCTTCTTGCGCTTATAATAATCATCCCGGAATTTATCCGCCTCCTTGGGGGCCTTCTCTTGCTTGTGTTTGAAGCGCTTGCCGCCGTTCCCTCCCTCTCCATTCTGATTGTGAGTGTTGTGGTGGTTCGAGGATCGTTCCATCTCCCCGACCCTCGGCAACCTCTCGACGCGATTCGCCTTCCTCCACGCCTCGAACCGCCCGCTCTTGAAACTCGCGGCGATTTTCTGTCCGCTTTCGCCACGGATCATTTTGGCGCCTTTGCTCCCGTCCTCATCGTTCGCGCGCGAGACGTATTTCTTCTGTTTCTTGTCCCACCGCATGCCGGGTTTGGAGGCTTCTTTGAAGCCCGAGGATTCGTCGTTGGTGAGGTCCATGGTGGCGTGGCGGGCTTGGTCGAGGAAGTGCGTGTTGGTGCCGCCGGAGTGCACGCCGTAGCCGCGGTCTTCGGCGAGGTTGAGGGTGGAGGGGGTGTAGGACATGAAGAATTCGGTGTCTTTGCCTGATTTCTTGCCCTTGGGGTGGTAATTAGATGTGTCCGGGGCGGTGAAGGTCAGTTCAAGGTCTTCCGAGTCGGCTTCGGACATGTCTGCGCCGTTGGGTTGGGTGAGGACCAATTCCTCGTCTGAGTCGTCTTCCACGTCGTCTGCGGTCGTCTTTGCTTTCGCGCTCTCGCCCTCCACATCGCTATCTTCGGCTTCGCCATTGTTGCGGTATTTTGGTTCGATCTTCGCCCGTCTCTGCTTCATCATCTCAGCAGCCTCGCTCTTTTCTCCTCGCTTGCCAATCTCGAAGACCGTCTCCGTCGGCCTGAATCCGCTCACTCTCGCCAGCATATCGAGTCGCTGCTGCTCGGCGGTGGTGTCTTCATCTGCTTCGAAAAGCATGTTGGTGGCCCGCGATTCTTCGCTCTGTGTCAGCGACTTCGCTCTTTTCACACTTTCCGCAGAAGCAGAGTTTCTCGTGCGCAGATACTGCTTTTCTCCTTTCGCTGCTACATCTCGCATGCCAGCGAGATCAGAGTCTTCATTAAGCAACTTCAGGGTTTCCTCGTTGTACTGCTCCAATTTGTCACGCATCATAGCACCCACGACAATAGCGTCCTTGAACATGCCTGATTCGCTGTCGCCTCGCCCCATAACCAGTTTCCTGCTCAAGAACAGTTGAAGATCCAGCAGGTAAGGCATGTCCGATCCAGTGACCAAACTGTAACTCCAGCCCTCTTTGTCTGCTCGAGCTGTTCGTCCGACTCGATGCACGAAGATCTTCGGCTGAGAGGGGAAGTCGTAGTTGATGACGTTCGCCAACACTGGAATGTCCAGACCTCTCGCAGCAACATCTGTGACTACCAGAATATTAGTTAGTCCTGAACGAAAGTCCTGAACCTGCATCTTTCGTGCAGTCTGGTCTAACGATCCATAGACGTAAGAGGTGGCGTATCCAAACGATTTGAGGAAGTGGGCCAGGTATTCGACGTGGTGCTTAGTCGCTGCAAAGATGACGGTGGAGTGCTGTGAAGGGGCTTCGTTCGCAGATGGCGCATCTGATCCTCGCTTTCGCTTCTTGTTACTTCCAGTCTTGGGGTTTTTGGCTTTCTTGGTCGCCTCCGTCTCCCCTGTCGGCATTTTGACCACATCTTGTAGGACATGCAAGAGAGCACCTTCTTTGTCTGCCCGCTTGACAGTGAAGAAAGCGCTCTGTAGACCGGGTGCAATCTTGCTCTCCGCATCGAGACGGACGAGTTTTGGATCTTGCAGGCCAGCCCGTGCAAACTCCACAAGGCTCTTGGGCAGTGTGGCGGAGAAGAGCAGCGTCTGCCGTGAAGCTGGCAAAGAATGCATGATCTCATGCAATTGTGCTGCAAACCCCATTTCGAAGAGTCTATCGGCCTCATCGAACACCACGTACCTCACACTGCTCAGCTCCAGTCCCATTTCGACTTTCAGATGCTCGAAACGACCTGGCGTAGCAATGATGATATCCGGATTGCTTGCCATGTTGCCGAACTGGTCCTCCAAGCTGTCTCCACCAACTAGGAGTGTTGTCCTGAGATCTGTTCCTTTGCCCATCTCTTTCGCCACTTTCAACGTCTGCAGTGCCAATTCTCTTGACGGTGAAAGAACGATAGCTCTCGCTCCGACTTTGGCGCTGTGCGACTTGAGCTTCTCGATCATGGGGATCACGAAGGCTGCAGTCTTTCCAGAACCTGTCCTTGCCATGCCGACCACATCTTGCCCGTCCAAAATCAAAGGAATCGTTTTGCGTTGGATAGGCGTGGGTACCGAAAAGCCTTTGCGGGTAATGGCCTTCAGCAAGTGCGTGTTGAGTCCCATCGTCTGAAAGGCGCCGGCCTTCTTCGCTGGCTTCGAGTCATTGCGGCGATTGGCGGCAGCCTGAGTGGCAGCGATGAAAGCCTCGTCCTCTTCGCCGTCTGAAAGGCCAGCGTTCAGGTCTTCCTTTCTTCCAACAACCTGCGCCTCTTCGTCTGAATCGCTGCCGAATCCTCCATCCTGGAACAGGCTCTTCGTGATATCCACCTCATTTTCCGAGAGCGCCGGCGACGCTGCCCTGACCATCTTCGTTCTTCTGCAGCTGGTGTTGCTCGATCTGAAGTCGGTGTCGTTGTGGCTGGAGTTTGGCGAACTTTTCGAGACGACGCTAGCGATATCGATAAGGTTAGCTTGAACCTTAATTGCCGCGACGCGTGCAGGCAGAGTGGCACGCGTGCCATCAATTTGAGAAAACACACGACATCAACCCACTTCACTGTCACCAACGAGACACCGCACTCTAACTCACGACTTGATCAAGAGTCTCGATACCTATTCTGTGTCCTCCAACATGGGTACGCCACTTTGGTATCTCCTCACTACCAACCCCACTAACATCACCCTCAGACTACGGCTATAGCACGACGTCCTATGGCGCTCAGGGCGGCGCAGATGGCGGCGGCTTCATGCCAGGCTCGCAGGGCGAGGGCAACGCTGTCGCAAAGCGTGGCTACGGCTCAGACAACCTCCGCCCAGTCACCATCAAGCAACTCCTCGGCGCAGAACACCCCAACCCAGACGCCGATTACTTCATGCTTGACGGCAACGAGATGAAGCAAGTCACGTTCGTCGGCCAAGTCCGTAACATCTCCACGCAAACCACCAACGTTACCTACAAGCTGGATGACGGCACCGGCACCATCGAAGTCAAAGTGTGGATCGATGCGGAGGCAATGCAGAATGATGAGATGGACATGGGAGCTGGGAAGAAGAAGCCAGCTGAGCAAGGCTATGCAAGAGTCTGGGGACGTTTGAAGGATTTCAACAACAGACGCCACGTCGGAGCGACTGTAATACGGCCTATCGAAGATCCCAACGAGATCACATACCACCTTCTCGAGGCGACCGTCGTACATCTACACTTCACCAAAGGACCGCTCGAAACACAGCAAGCAAATGGCGGCGCCACAAACGGCCACGCCGCACAACAGCAAATAACGAACGGATACTCTGGCGGTGGAGGAGGAGGCGACAGCGGAGACGTCCTGAGGATGCAAGGCGTCAGCCAGATGGCGAAGAAGATGTTCGCTTGCCTGAAGCAAACACCACAGACGAATGAGGGTCTGCACGCGCAGGACATTGCCACTCGGTTAGGGGTTGAGATCACCGAAGTTAAGAAGGCCAGCGACGAACTCATGGGATTGGGTAAGGTGTACACGACCGTGGACGACGACACATGGGCGTTACTGGACATATGAGAGTGGACGTGCGGGTGACAGCCTGAGCTAATTGACATGGGCGGATAGGAGCGATGCTGGTGTATGCGTCGGCTGCATGCATGCGCAGAGAAGAACTATGTAAATGATTGATGGATCGATGTTCATGCCCCGAGGTTTGGCGTACGGTGGGGCAGCAACAGCGGATGCTGAGATGAGAGGAACGAGGCACAACGCGAGGGCTAACGGCGTAAGTCATAAATTTCGAAGCTCATGGTCGTCGTAATGTCGTTAGAAGAGCAAGACAATGCTACACACTGTCACCGAGCACTTTGCGCATTGGTCGACAGAAACAACACACAAGCAGCTATGATAGCACACGCCACCACTGTAAAAACCTAGAGAACACGACTCAGCATCACATGAACGTGGCGGAAATGTCTGAAACTTACCACCTGCGTCCCAACCCCCGTCTGCACCAAAGCCTGCCGTCTCGAATACCGATTCACAGTCTTGATATAATTATGCAACCCCGAAACCAAACACGCCAAAGCCAGAACCCAGAAAATAATGCCGAAAGGTAAGGCGACTTTTCGTTCCAATTCAGAAGGTTGGTGTTTGAGGTGGAAGCTGATAAGAATTGCTATAGCAACTACAGCCATGTATGTTGCAAGGCGGAGCCAGGAGAGGAATGCTAAGACGTTGTTAGTGAGGTCTCAGGAAGGGAGGGACATTGACATACTTCTCTCCGCCGCACAGTGATCTCGGGCATCGGAGTCGTTGTTGTCGAAGAGGAGAGGCGCGAAGAGGGGGCCTTGGGTGAATGCGTGGCCGGGGAGGCTATTGCTCCTGGATTGGAATGTTAAGACAACGAGGACTTCGAAAATAGGAGCGAGATTCTGTACGTACTGATGTACTAAAACTGGTTTCGTTGGGAAGGGAATGTAGAGAGGGTTGTATGGTTCGCGCATGAATCGACGGTCGTCGCTGGAGATTGAGAATGATTCTGGGGGGTCGGTCGCCATGTTGCACTCTTTTGCAATCTTTCACTTGCCAGTTGATGTTGAGGGTCAAGTGGGGCAAGAACGGTAGCGCAATTGAAGTAAATGCCGGGATGCGCCGTCCCAAAGGTTTTGCCTCGGGGGTCTCGAGATGCGCTCCGCAACTTCACCTACCTCGAGGCATTGAACATCACATCAAGTAGCACGCGGTATTCGACCAGATTTTGCAATCGACCATTCCGAACAACGTCAGACCTCAGCGCCTTGAGACCAGAAACCAGCCCGACTCACCGCCATCATGGCGACAAGCATAACGCCCGCCTTCAGAATAGGCACAAAAGAGCTCTACCTGTACGTCCAAGCACGCGACCACCTCTCCAATTCTCACTAACCACCCTCCTCCAGCCCCATGGCCAACATAACCTTCCTCCGCGGCCGCGACCCTCACCACGCCAAATTCCAAGTCCCGCTCTGGTTCTCCAAACTCGACCTGCGCGACTACCTCTGGCACGCCTACAACGTCGAAACCTACTCCGCGCGCTCCTACGTAAAACTCTCCCCGGTGCGTCCCAAAGAAGGCCACCATCCGCGGCGCTGGCACCGCAAGCGCTCGAGGAAATTCATGACGGTGGAGTTGGCGCGCCCGTTTGTGTGGCCTGCGGAGCCGGAGGATTTGAGCGAGTGGAGCGCGGATACCGTGCAGGGCGCGAGTAAAGAGCAGAGGAGCTTTCAGGAGCTGCAGGGGAGTACCAAGGATACGATTGTGAATGAGGAGCGGAGGGAGAGGATGAGGGAGCAGGCGAGGGCGCTGCTCGAGGGGAAGGCGAAGTGGAAACCGCCGGTGAGGTCGTTTGGGACGGAGATGTATTCGAGGCAGCGGTGAGGCTGTCGTCGAAGTGTGGACGACATGAAGATTTAATAAGTTTGGGCGGCTGTGCATATGGGCTGTAAAACATTGTACAACAAGGCGGGCATCTTGCGCGGACCTTCGTCTCGGTGGTACCACAAGCCTTGCCAACACTGGCGCGACCAGACTCGCGACTGATACCGGGCCATGAGGCTTGCTCACATCTATGCAGGCTAACACAAGCTGCTGCGACCGATCAGGTATCCACATAGACGAGGATGACTACGCAAAGCCAAGATCGCCTGAGGAACTTACCGCTTGATAACGTTGACCTCGAATGGCTTACGGATTGAATCCAATCAACAACCAAATTTTCCCGCCTTTGCCAAGACGACATATGACTCGCTGCATATGCAAGACTCGCAGCAAACCTCTGGAGCCGAAAACTTTGTCCGACGTCCATATACATCTACCGCGCAGCTGTCCTTCGAGAAAAGCCAACTTCTGCGTCTGAATCCCGTGGGTGTGTCTGCATCCTCGCTCTCGATGTGAGTCGAGAGGGCTAGATACCGGTAGGTACACGTACGAATCCTACGTAAGCCTGATGCCCTCAGACAAGAAACGAAGCAACGGTTATACCATAGAAATGCTGAGCGATGACGAACCTCACAGCCTTGGCGCAGGACACAAGCCTGAGGTGTCGTCAAGTGTCGTCGTCGCCCTTCGATGCGTTGTCTTTTGTTGATGATGAGAGAAGTAAGCGTTTCAGGGCAGACTTGAAACACTCCTTCCAGAACGCCGCGTAAAGGCGTCGGCATCTTCGAGTACCTCACTCACTCGGTGTTGCGTGAGTTGCACGAATCCCGGTCAATGTAGGATCCGATCGCATGCATTCACTGCCCAACAATTGAACTCCAGTGGCAGTGGCAGAAGCTAATCCAAAAAAGGAAGCTACGCAACGAAAGAAGAAGAAGTTAAATGAAAGTGAGTGATTTCCTTCATCAGCCAGCCAGCCAGCCAGCCAGCCAGCCGCAAATCCTTCACTCGCTTCATGAGACATGTGCCATCACAGAACAAGCTTAATCCTTGTCTTCATCCCACCCCCGTCGAAGGTTTTTTGTTTTGATCATAACCCCCGAGATTTCCGTCTCATCATGCTGAACGCCACGAGGACTTGCAGATTTTCGAAGAAGAGAGACGACAGGGATTTGGCTTGTCGTCCTGCCTGAGGAAGGCACGTGGCTTGCAGCGGATGGGGGCTTGATCCTTGTGGAGGGGATGCAATAGGGGAATGTATAATTGCAAGGCTTCATCATCATCAGCCGGATCGCAAGATCTTTTTGTTGGGGGAGGAATTGATGCGTAAGTGGTGAAAACCACCCAAGACAGGAGAACATTATGATTTAGGAATCAAACCGCCAATCGTGCGGTTGTGGTGGTTCAAAATATGAACGGATCTATGCACATTCCCTCAACCCTTGGGTGACAATGATGATGTGCCCCCATCTGCCGCCACGAAGTAGATATCCCACTCGCTAGCCAAAACCCTCTCTCTCTCCTCCACTTTCGTGAAAGGCCACGCAAATGAGTTCAAATATCTCAAAAGGTCATCTGGACCTCGCTCGCTGCTGTCGCTAAGAATGCTCGACCAAAAAAATGGAGAATAAATCGTTACTCGTGCTTTTTGTGCCTGGACCAAGAAAGATCATCTACAACCCGGGTTGTGAGCTGCACCGGTGCTGTTATGTGCGTGTTGTATGTGGTACGCGTAAACGAACAATGCCTCCTGATTAGGTTAGAAGGAATAGTCTTCTGTTCTTGTATGTGGGACGGTTGTCATCGATGTAGGACGTCGTCAATGTCCATTCGTCGACGCTTTCGAGATGATTCGGGACGGCCGTCGTCGTCGACTTCAGCTTCAGATGTTTCCCCTTGTTGTGTCGGTGGGCGGGACTCGGATGGGCCCGCTGCAATCGGTCCAGGTTGTCCGCCTCCCGGGGCAGGACTGGCAACGATAGGTGGAAGCTGTATGCCTCCACGATCCGGTGTTCCTGGAGGAGGAAGCTCGCGAGTGGTACTCCGTGGAGTGTACGGCGGATTGGCCTCTGTGGGTGGCTCGGCGACCGGCAGCCTCGACGTGCCTGTTGCTGGCTGAAACGGGGCGAAAGTCGGCGGTGGTTGTGGTTGTTGGTATCGCAGAGGCGGCTGTGTGCCTGGAAATGTTCGAGATGAAGCAGTTTGCCCGGCAGATCGCGGTGCTGGCTGTGATGGAACAACAGCGCCTGGAAAGGTGAGGTATCCGGCCGGTGGTGCTGACTGCGTTGCCATTTGTCGTGCGGGAGATGCATAGCTCTCCGGCGTCTGTGTCTGTATTCCAGGCGCCAGAGGTTGCGGTATTCGTGTGAATATTGGAGGTGGAGCAGGAGGCGGCTGATCCACTGGCCGAAAGCTGGGTAGTGTGATAGCGACAAAATATGTGTTCGCCTTTGCCAACCTGACTCTCGCTGGAAACGTTTGCGCTGCTGGCCCCAGCTGGGTCTGGGTCCAAGTGTATGTGTTATCATCAGATCCTTGCGTGTACCGCTCAACATCGGCTTCCACAGCACCTTGTAAAGGATCTTGCCCTGGTTGATTTATTGGCGGCATGTAAGCAGGATCGCGATTGTCGCGCTCAAGTCGCAAACGATTTCTGATGCTCTGAAAGGTCTCGCCATCGGCAGGTGCAGCGATATCACTCAATTGCCGTCCAGCTGCCTCTTGCCCTGCCGCCATAATCTGTCGATAAGACTGGTTCGCTTTGAGGATGATCAAATCGAGGTCAAGGTAAGCGGTGGGGACCTCGTATCCAGGGGGATTTGATGGAGGTAGCGGGTACTGGAAGCCGAAAGTAGATTGTGTTGCAGTCGGAGGCGGTGGATATGGATACGTCGGGCTGGATGCGATTCCTGAGCCATCGCTGCCTTGGGATCGAAGCGATCGGAATGATTCCTGTCTCCTGTGTCTTGTTGATGCTATCGGTCGTGTTGATATATCTGACGAACCAGCCGGGATAGCGGACGACGGGCCAGGCTCTGGTAGCATTTGCTCCACCTTGAACTCGCCTTCCTCCCGCAGTCGGGGTCGCCCACGCTTTTTGTGCTGTACATCGAAACATGTGTCCTACAATACGATTAGAGGGGTTGCGAGTCATTGGAAAAGCGTAGTATGTTCGATCGTACCTGTTTCCCAGAGGCGACACATCGCGCACAAGGTCGATTGACATCGCAGCTGAGGTGAGCCCGTTTGCAGTTGATGCATGCAGAGGCTACATGAGCCTTGGATTTGCGCCCGCCTTTGGAACTTGGTGGCCGGGCAGAGGAAGAAGGGCTTGGATCAGATCCAGAACTGGTCGCAATGTTCGTTTGCACAGGAGGTAAAGCTCGAGGATTATCGGTTGATGTAGCTGTCGTTGAAGGCAACGTCGTCGGTGGAGGTGCAGTGATAGATGATGTCTGCCGGACAGGTTCGTAGAAAGGTGGGCCTAATGGAGCAGCTGCTACAGCAACTCCAGACATGTGGCTCAACGCCGGCTCGTTTGTAGTAGAGGCCGAAGAAGTTTGTTCAACAACAGAAGATGTGACAGGAGTCTCTTCGTGAGGTGGCCGTGGCGGCGATGGAGGGTTTGACATGGGAGGTGAAGGGTACGCCCCACTGTACAGAGTAGAAGACAGGAACGAGGTCCGTCTACGTTTCAGGCTTTCCAGGCGCACGGCAAAATGATCGACTTGTCTTAGTATTTGATGACAAGTGAAGGGGCTCGTTTCGTTTTCGGTACTCATTGCTCCTTCAGAGCCCTGCGAGGACCAGAAGCTGAACAATCAAGAGACTGGTCGTCGGCCTGCACAGTTCGACCTGTGTAGACATCTGGGAGGCCAACCGTAGCGCCAGGCGAAGAGTCGTCGTACAGTGGATCCAATAGGTTGAATCCGAGAGACAGATGGTGCCAGTGAGCGGTGAGTGGGTTGGTCTCAGCTGTGTGCCTGATTGTATTGGTGAAATGTTTGATCGGAATACCCCACGGACAAAGCGTTCGAAGGTGGTGCAATGAAACCAGAACTCCGAAAGGCCAGAAAAGTGATACACAAGGAATGAAGTTGGTAAGTATTGACAACAATGGAAGGAACGACGCAAGGCAGAACCAAGACAATCCAGTGACCAATTGCTCAAGGCGTGTGCGTGGGCGCAACACGATGATGAGATGGCCCAGAGAGAGAGACAGACGTCCGAAACACAGCGGGTCGGGGCTTGCCTCTACATATCCCCACAGTCGAGAGCGGCAGGCGGAAAATAGTGCATCGCCATCTTAAGCTTTCTGTAAGCCATCAGCGCGAAGATGTTTTTTAGGCCTGATTCCCACTCCATTCCTTGTTCTCTCACATTTCATCATGAGTTTCGCTAACCCGGGACTCTTTCGTGTTCCTTTGCATGAACAAGAGAATGCTCTCGTGTTCGATTTCGCCGGGCAGCCTTCCCATCGCGCTCGATACCGGACGCCCAACTCGGGAGCAGGAGCCCGGCTGTGCAAGCAAGCCAACGATCACAACGTTGTGCGCCAGCTCGTGCTTTGAGACCCTCACACAGTGGGCCTTCCCCAAGATCCTGGCAGTTGTGGCAGAAACGTTAATACAGTAGAGTCCGTGCAGCGGCCAGTGGTGGTTGACCGTGCTTAGCGACGCTTTACCTTGTGCACATCTCCCGCCGAACCTTCATTGCGAGCCAATGGCATCTTCAGTCGTATATCGCTGCGTGAGGTGGCTTTCGCTGACAGCCGCCAGCGGGGCCTAAAGGCAGACACTTCATTGGCAGGTGGCAAACTGCAGCTTCATCTCGGTGCAGCCGGTGAGAAAAGCACAAATACACAGAAAGGCCTGCGTCCTTCTGAAGACATTTCTCATCATCTCACCCAAATGACCTGTGCGGACTTGGCACAGAATTTGACCCGAACAAAGATCGGCGCCACAGGCGGGATGTTAAGCATCAACGTGGCTGGTATCGATAAGCCGTCCCGTCTTTGCCTATGGAAGCGTTGACGGTTTTGCAGTTCGCAGGGCAGATGTCTCGCAGCCTCTCTGATGAACTGCATCTTGAGCCGGTGCATCGAAATGGGCTTAGGCGAGGCCACCGGTCAAGCAACCGTCAAGAGCTCGTATCCAACGACCGCGCTCAACTTTGATGTTGAGCGCTCTCTCAACATCCGGACCGCTCTCTGGCGACTTGGTCCGCGCCATGAGGACAAAACCGACGTCACGCGCTCGCAGCACGACCATAGAAGGCGCTGGTCGTCGGGTGCATGGCCGACCCTTCACGCATGGCCCAAGGATACGTGGACAAGGCGCAAGGGCCTGAGGCATGTGGGCGGGATTGCTGTATCGTCCATCCTTGACGATGCACGTCGAAGGCCGAAGCGAGGCAGCCAGCGACTTCTTTGTCCGTGTCGCGGCTGGCCATCCGTGTCCTCTGTCCACGCAGGTTGGCGAGATCTCCGGCGCTACGGAGATCGCAGGCATTTCCTGCAGCTGGGAGAGGAGCCGAAGGCTGAGTCCGAAGCAGTCTCTGTGGGAGCGCTCGCCGTCGAGGATCTGGCACGACGTGTTATCGCTGCCCAGACGTGAGATGGCACCGTCCGCGCGTTCGTCGCGGCCATGCGCAGGCGCAGACGCATTTTGCAGCAGTTCTGGCAACGTTGTGAAGAGGCGGGCAATTTACCGCGCCATGAGGTGACGTCGAAAAGCACCGGACGGTCCAAGCCGCGCTACGCTCGCTAGCCCGGCAATCAATAAAATATTGATTGGGGCTCCAGCAACAATCTCGTCTTCTCTGCCACCTGCCCACCACGGCACAGTCGATATCATCACTTGTGGCGGTGTACCTTTGCATGCTTTCGGGTATATTGCTTCTGCTCTAACGACTTCCTTCCCGGCCCGGACGCCCATTGGCGCCTTCTCCAGCCTCCCTCGCCCGTCTGGCTCCAACGGTCTCAAAACAGCCGGCCTCTGGACCGTGCACTTCAAGACCAATATCATGAACGAGCGCCAAAGACCACTTGACTGCCTTTCTGACGGTGTTACACAGGACGGACCTGACGACCCCATCGTGGCGTCGAAGCTGGTGGCCATAATATTCTCCGAAGCACATAAGGCGCAATCTCCCGGATCGTCCAGGGCATGATCCTCAACGTTGGCTGCAATTTAAACCACTGTCTAGCAGCAAACTTCGCGCACGAGACTTCTGATGGGGTCTAAAGGCAGCCGCTGTCACGAGTCTGCAACAAGGCAGACAAATTCGAAATCGGGACCTGGTCGCGAGTTCGCCGTGAAGCCAAGTCCGGATTGTGTCATGGGTGGTAGAGAAAATAACTCCCACATCCGGCCGACTGGGAAGTAGGCTCTCCACAACGCAACGAATAGGCCGACTATTCTTGAACAGCGCGCCAATGCCGTGTAACGCTCGACATGGCGCTTGTGGGTGCAGAAAATCGCACAAGCCCTTTGTCGGTGAACTGGTCATCAGGCCGACGTTGTGGCAAAATGCAGAGCTGCGGCGTTCTAAACGTCGCATCCGCCGCAACGGGGAGCATAATGGACGCTTGGATCGACACAAGAACACGCTTTGGACGCCCGGCTCCAACTTCTCGCCAGATACGCGAACATGTCAGCGCGGGTTGCCGTTTGAACTCAACCAGATCGGCTAATTTGTCCTGCGTAGATCGGAAAGAACACCAGGTCCTTGCGCGCAACACGTGCGAGGCGCTACCAGCCAGCCACATACCAAAGCTTGGCTGATGAGGCGTGGAGGTGGGATGACCCGCCAGGCTGATGATGCTAGACGACATCGCAAGTCTGAGAGGAGCTCCTTTGGAGTCTTATAGACTTAAAACTCCACCGGCGCCTCTACTACTGAAATATGTTAACAACATCAGGGTACAGACTTCGCAGGTTTCGATGTCGTCAGATCCGCGCCATCTGACTGTCTCTAGCAAGCCGCCAGCCAGAGCAAACTTCAGCTGATCGATCGGTTTCATCTCCTAGCCACAACATTTCTTCCAACACCAAGGCCTCGCTGAGAAGATCACTTGACTGACAGACGCGGATCCTGCCTCTTCAGAGCACCCCCCAACAAGGTCCAAGCAAGACAAAGACCTCACCAAGCCTCGAGGCTTATCTCGTCTTACCGCTTCCAACCGTGCCATCATCGCTGCCATAAGTCACAGTCGCGATCTCGCCATGGGAAAGACGGGACGAGGTCTTGCTGTCCACTGCCTACTTTCTGATTCTCCCACCGCGGCCCGATACAAGAACTGAAACAAAAGCTCCGAGTGCTCACCCTCCGTCGAACTTTACAATCCTCCGTAGTCTCACACGGACGGCAGCTTTCCCCCGATTCGACATGCGAGGCCTCCCATCTTGAACATCACCTCTGTGCTCTGAGACAGATGTTCCAACAAGACTTGTCGAATCTCTCCGAGACTGATTCACTTGTGACGATGCGCCGCAATCCTGCGCCAAGTTGTCGGCCTGCACGTCTGAAGAAGATGACGATCTTCTGATATCAGTGAGTCACTGCAGAGCTCGAGCATGGGGATCATATGATGCAGTGGCCGTCTTCGTCATGGCCTGTTGGCCCTCAAAGATTAATTTAACGTTGATTGAAGAAGCGGTCTCCGTCATGCGACTTGGCTTTGATGGCGATGCTGACAGGCTCCCTTCAATGTCGCCGTGAACAACCTCAGTGTATCACATTCACAGGCAGAACGTCTCTTCTCATACTGGAGCCAGCCGATACGCTCGGTTTCCTCGAAGAAAGGTAGGTATCAGCATTCTCTCAAGCAAAACCTAGCAGATGAGCGCTTGAGCACTCCAGACTCCTTCAAAACGATCCTCTACAACGCTCGCCCGATATTCACGAAAGATGAAATACCAACGAAATAACCAACCTGCCTCCCCCTCCAGTCTTGCAAGAGAACCAGACGATGTGGAAGGGGTGAAAGAGAAGACGTCATTTTGAACAAACCACAGCACGGTGTCAGCGCCCTTGAAAGGCCATGAAAAGCTCATCACTAGCATGCCCAAACGCAACGAACCAGGGAACAAAAAAATATCCAGTCCAAGCACAGTCCTTTACCTTGCTGTCACCCAGTACACCCGACGTCAACGAACCAGCGAAATGAAAATATTCAGTCCAAGCATAGTTCTTCCTTCACTTTGCGGTTACACACCTACCAACCCCAAGACCAAACATTCCAAGCGTCTGTTTGAGCAACGACTGAAGAGTCGAAGTAAGAGGGAGGGGCTTCGGAGGAAACAGAGCAAGCCCCGTAGAATCGCGAGCAGTGGTGATATAAGTGGATTGACAAGCACGAACAAATACCAGTCTGTAGGCGAAAAGGACAAAAAACTTCGGTATACTACAACACTCATCTCAGCTTTACTCAACTCGCTCTTCCTCTAGACTTTTCTGCCCTTTCCCACTCAGCACAAGAAACGCCTCCGCTATGCCAAACAAACAAACAAACCAGACTTGAAAAACAAACCAAACATCTACTCATAACAACCCTTCCTTCTCCTCTTCGTACGCAACCTCCTCATCCTCCTTCCCCTCGACCTCCGTCTCCTCTCCCTCAACACCCTCCTTTCCCCTTACCACCTCCTCAGTCTTAACCTCCACCTCCACCTCCGGCTCAGGAAAAACCTCCCCCATCAACCCGGGCAAAAACCTCTCCAACCTTTCCCTCGTCTCCCTCCACAACTCCTTCTGCAACTCACTCCTCCCATCCTCCCCACCACTCCCCCCATTCGCCGTCGCCTGCACCAAATACCCCCCACTCCCCATAACCAACAAAATATTCTTCAAACTCTCCGGCACCGCCTCGCCCAACACCCCGCCATCACTCTGCCCACTATTCAACAACCGATCCATAATCTCCAAAATCTTCACCCACAGCCCCAGCACGCCGTCCCACTCGGACAGGAGCACGAGGTAATGCAAAAAAATCTTGCAGAGCAGCTGCGCCGCTTGCACGCGCGTCTCCGCCATGCCGGCGGGGTAGGGGTCGGTTTGGTAGGTCTCGGGTTTCAGGAGCTGGTGGATGAGGGGGAAGAGGACCTCGCCGAAGATGTTGGTCCACTCCGTGTGGTCCGGGGAGGCGAGCTCGGGGGACAGGAGGCAGCGTTGGAGGCACGTGAAGGCTTTGTGGCGGATCTCGCGGCAGGGGTTGACGCATTGCGTTGCGAGGCAGCGGAAGACGGGCGACCAGTACGCTTTCCAGGCGGCGTTGGTTTCGAGCTGCGATTTTTGGATGTGGAGGGGCACGTGGCTGGCGAGTTGGGCGACGAGCGTGAGCGCTTTGGTGCCGCGGACGACGGCTTCGGGTTTTTTGGTGGGTTTCTTTTCGGGCGTCGAGTCCTTTTGTTGGCCGCGTCGTCCTGCTGCCATTTCTCGCTCGCGTTGTTGCTCTGCTCGAGCGCCTACGCTCCCGGCTGTAGCGAAGGCATTGAGAAGAGCGACGCAAGCTTCGTAGTTGTCGGGTGTGATGGCAGGGTTTGCTCCATCTGCCACAGCTTCAACAGTCTGGAAGACCAGCGCCGCGGCATCTGGTTCCTGCTGGAGCGTGTGAAGTACAACCCAAAAGTCAGGGCTGGCCGCCATCTCATTCCGCAACTCAGTAGGTCCACTGATGCAGCCATGCAGACCCTTCAGAATAGGCTGTGCACACTGCTTCAGCAAGTCGTTGCGGAAGCTGGAGATCGCATGCAGCACCACAGGCGTACGAATATAGCCATGATCATTGCTGGCCCGTAGAAGACTGAGCAAATAGAACACCGTCCGGCTCAAAGCCACAGGGTGCAGATGGTCAGCATCTCTGATGACCGTCTGCAACGCCTCCGCAACCTCAGATCCCAGCGCAGTGATGGTGTCCTCGTCTCGTAGAGCCAGTATCGTAGCCAGCTCGAGAACGTACACCACAGCAGGATTATAAACCGGCGGCTCATCCCTCGTCTTGGTCCCATTGGTACGCACCGGCGTCGGCGCAGGCAACTCAGGCTTGACAGCAATGACCCTCGGCGAGTCCTGCTCCGGCAAATGCGAAAGCAGGGACATCGTCAGCGATTTCAGCGACTCGACCGGAAGCTCGCTAACATTGCCCAAGATCTGCTCGAAATGGCATTCGTTGATACAGTCCACGGTGCACAGCGTCGCCTCAATCTCCTGGTCATTCGGTTCAGGAGGTTCGTCATTCATGACACTGCTCACATAGCTCGTGAAAGCACTGAACAGTCCCACATCCGCCGATTTATCGTTTCGCTCAATGACCTGCGCAGGAGATTGCAGCGGTATAGGCGGCAGATCCAGATCCCTGGAGATGGATGTGAACGACGTCGGCACCAGCGAATTGACGAACAAGTTCACGATGATGCGGACGATCTGTGTTCAAAATCAGTAAAGTCCAACGGAACATCATTATGCCTTCACTCACCTGCGTCCACCCATCGCGAATAGCCCCCTCATGGCCATTGATAATCCTAAACAGCACCAACGTCGCCAGCTCCGCCTTATTATCCCTCCCAAAGTCAACCGCAAACTTGCTGACCATAATACTCTTCCCACTAGCCTGAACCTCCGTGTTCAGCGTTGTACTAGGCGGTTGTTCAGTAGCGAGGGTACTGATCTTCGCCAAGCTCAAGATGAGATGATCCAGGCATTCAGAGATCCCGTACTTGGCCGCAATCTGTGCGCATTGGTTATAGCCGGCAATGACGCGCTGGAAAACAGCGTCTTCCGTCGCAGACACGAAGACGTAGTTCAGTGTTGCGATGATGGGCTTCCAAGTCGCGGCGAACATATCTGCGTCGTACAAGTTCGTCTCGCAGATGACTAGGTTCTCCGCCGTCTGCGTCTTGACAAGAAGCTCCTTCCAAGCGTGCTCGAACGCATGCTTGTTGTCATGCTCTTCAGGAAGCACAATCTCCCTCGACTTGATGGCATCGAAAATCTCCTGCAAATATTCAGGATCAAAGTCCTTGCCGCCATTGACGCCGCGCAAGTTCCGCGAGAAGCCCTCCGCATTCATGCGATTCGCCGACTTCAAGTTCGGATTGTAGAGTTCGGTATTCAGCATGATGATGGCGTACGTGAGGATGTAAACCGCATCCTGCTCGACAATATGCTCCGGCTTGGCCGCTTCAAAGTACTTCCCAGCGAAGCACGTCACGATGCGCTCAATCAGTTGAGATTCGCCGGGAAGTCGGAAACTGCTGAGGATCTCCCGCAGTGCTTCATCAACGCGGAGATGCTTGAAGTCAAAGTGATCCATGAAAGCATCCAGAATGGCTTCGTTCGATCTCTTCGAGATGAACTCTCCCAAAACCCTCTTGTCGATCCTGGTCGTTCCCTTCAAGAAGCTGGTGACTGAATGTGGGTCATTCGGATCATCGATGATCCCCTGAGACGCCAGGAACGCAATGCCTCCCTTCGGACTCTCGTTGAACTTGGTCGCGCCTCGAATGATAATCCTCTTTCTCTGCCTCTGTTCCTGCAATTTCTTCTTCTCAGGCAGGCCCAGAGTAGCAGGCTCATCGTCCAGTCTCTCCGCAATGAACTGCACATACCCAAGGAGTGAGTCCAAACACAGCGGCGGTACATTCGTGGTACTCCAAGTCGCAGAGTCTGGGAAAGCGTTCCTCGAAAGCAACCCAACCATATCCTGGCAGAGATCACTCCGATCAATCTCGCAATCGTAGTTCACAAACAGCTCGACCATGAAGCTGGGAATGCGAACAAGCCCACCCACACTCTCCACCATCGCCTCGCGAGCATCAGGCTTCCTCGACCCACCTTCCATACCCAACTTCTGCCGATCTCTCACAGGCACCGGCGTCGACCTTCCACTGGCCGGCGTACCAGGCCCACCCGCCGGAGGATTCGTCTGCTGTCGCACGAGCGTAGGCGTCGTCGGCACACCCTGGTACAGCGATGGATCGATGTTCGGCTCCTCTGGGATCGGCACGCGGGGATGCAGGCACGCCACCACGTACGACAGAAATAACTCCTGCTGCAGCTTGAGAACGCTCCTGCACGTCGCCAGTAATGTTCCGGCTACTCTGAGCGATTCGTGCAGGATGGCGATGTTCTCCGAGCGCACGAGCTGGAAGAGGTTCCGGCAGAGGGTGTCCTTCGCCAAGGACGCCAGGCTGGGGTGGTTCGCGATGCTGGGTCCTGCCACTTCCAGAGCCACGTTGACGATCCGGAGAGCCATCACTCGTAGTGTGTCGGTCCGTTGTCGATCATGGGGATCCAGTAAATCAGCCAGCACGCGGAAGAGCTCCCTGATCGACGGCAAACCATAAGGCCTGACATCCACCGCCGACGCCTCCTCAGCCGTCTTCGAGAGATCAATCTGGCTCGCACTCGCCGCATCCTCAGAAGGTCTCCCACCAGAAGACCCATTCGTAACGCCGGGAACCTCCAGACTACTATGCCTGACCTGCTTCATCGCATCCGGTCCAAAATCCCCATTCGGCGCACTATCAATCTTCGCCGCATCCATCTCATCCTGCCCAACCTTCTCATCCATCGCCGCGACATCCTCGCCCTCCGGCAACTCCGTCTCGAGCGTCTTCAGCCTCCCAAAGATCGTCTGACACATCGTGACCATGCTGATCTCTGCGCTCCGCCTCAACACCTCGCTCATCCGCAAGTGACAGCAAATCGACAGCGCGCACTCCATCATCTCGCACACGCTCTGATCGCCCAGCACCTCCCCGGAGGACCCGCAAATCATATCCTCCATCAATTTGAGTATCCGCAGAAACACCACCTCGTCGCTCGGGCTATTGTCGCCCTCGAATCTACAGTGAGTGACGGTGCTCGCGAGCAACTGCATCGCATACCCAAAGTTCGGGCTCGAAGGGTTGACGATGTTATACGCCAGCATCTTGGTGATGGCGATCAAAGCCAGGCTCGTGATGGGCGCGGTGGTCGAGGAACTGCGAATCACCTGCAGGAAAGGCTGCAGGAGAGCCGACGCCTCAGACGTCTGAATCTCCCTGCAGTGCTTCAGGTCCGATCTCAGCTTCGCGAACGCGCTCATGAGAGGGTTATCCTGTAGACTCTGTCCCTTCTTCCCGCGTAGCCCCCACCGTGAGGTTAGCGATCCATCATCTTCAATCAAGTCGATCTTGCTCGAGGCGCGGTTCCGGTCGTGGTTCGATGCTCTGGCGTCGGTAGGAGGTGCTCGCGGGCTGTTGCTGCTGCTGCTGGAGCCGAGAATCGAGGAGATGGACGAGTGTGCCCAGCGGGCGTGCTTGCGCATCGCCGAAGTCACGGTGATGCATTCTGTCACTACCAGCGCGACAGGGTCGATGGCGACAGTGATGGTGCCGGGCCGGAGAGGCAGCGCTGAGACGTCCTCGGTCATTGTGTCGTGTCGTGTATAGTACTTTCTGTTCTGTAACTGCCAAATCCAATGCTCATTCAATAGACTCGGTGGTTCGAGGGGTTCGGTCGTTGCGTGGTAGTCGTCGCGAGGATGGTGTGCTGCGGCAGGACAGCTGTTCTCAGGGCGACTTCATTGCCAGCGTGTTCATTAGTATTCAGGCAGCGAGCAAAGTGGGAGGTGTGGTGGCAGAGGGCGATTCTTGGGAGATGGCATGTCGTCCCGCGCTCTCTTGGGGCTGGAGTCGGCTGCGGCTTTCCGACTCGGCCAGCTTTCAGGTACACATTCATGCAGCTGCGAACTTTCAAGGCAATCAGGCACACGACCAGGCATGAAGCCACGAATACAGATCGAAAGATGTTTTGATATGCAGAATGCTGATATGTGTCCCCTCTAGCTAGGCTTTCCATCGCCTGTGATCAACGCCATTGACTCCTAACATCGTTTCCCTTGTATGTAGAGATCTCGAAGGATGGTCTTCCCCCTCGCACGAGGCAGGTCTCTTGCAAGATGACCTGCCACTCCCAAACTATGAGTACACAGTGTATATCGTATCCTCCGCACAGAACGCCTGGAAGAGGGGTGTTGATGGCCTGCTGCAATCGCATCTCCAGTCTCCACCTTCGCGCTCGCTGATCGGTCGTGAGAGTGTTGGCAGTCGTGCCATGTTCGATCTGATATATGTAGTCTCCGCATCGTAGAGTTCGATATGGACATCATTCAACCAGTGACGACCTCCTCCGCCAGCCTCATGAACCCCTCCCGTCATCCTCCCCTTCACCTCCTCCTTTATGCTTCGGCCTCGACCGTGGTACTTTCACTTCCAGAGCCTGGCTTCCCTAAAAGAACAGCAAAAACGCCAAAAGTCAGAACAATGTCGCTGATTCAGACAGACACATGAGTATAATCAAACAAGCCGATTGCAGTGATGCTTTTTTCCCACAAAGCGGGAACAGTCGTTCGCAAGACGCCAAAAGTGCTCTCCATATTTAGCCCGCCTTCTGCTGCGCCGGTTTCTTCTCTTCCACCTTTGCTGCAGCAGGACTGTCGGCCTTCTTGGCTGCTGCTTGGTCGACCTTCTTCGGCTTCGCCTTCTCCTCCTCTGCTGCTGCCTCTTTCTTGTGAGGAGACTTCCCACCTACTTCGGGAATCTCATTGAGTGGATCAACGATGTGCATCTTGCCTTCGCCGCGGCCCTTCTCAATCTTGCTGTTCGAGCGAGAATTTATCAGCAAACTTCTTCCCCCTTCATGTCAAAAAACTTCGTCAATATCACACACTCTTCCACAACTTTGCTCAGACACCATCGTGCTGGGGATTTGGACTTACACCTCGCTGGCTTCTTTCTCGCCTTCCTTCGTCTCGCCCTTCGCTTGCTTCTCGACGAAGTCTTTCTTTTCTTGGTCGCGGATCTGCTCCTTGTCCTTCTCCCATTGAGAGCCTCCCTCTTCGAATTGGTCTTGAATCTTGGCGATGCGATCTTGCTTCTCTTTCTCTTCTTGCTCGCGTTGTTTCCGCTCTTGCTCCATTTCTTCCATATGGCGGATGTCGTCCACGCTAGGTTCGTACAAATGCCAGATGGTGTAGTGTGGGAGACCCACAACGGAGAACTTCATTCGTTTCGCCATCTGATCGATTGTCAGCACATCTCCACGCCCCCTATTCTCAGTGATCTCCCTACCTTGCCAAATCCCTCCGTCTCGGCGTGTTTCTCAAAGCTGAAAGCTGGGAAGTGCACACCACTGCGGAAGACCTTGGCCTTGGCCAAGATACTCACACCTCCAACACCGTCAATCTCCATTTCCATATCTGGGTCACCGTACGGATCGCGGAGGTAAGCCAAGTGAGGTCTCCACGTCGCATACTCTGCGTATCCTTCCACAATGACAGCATCCTCATCCAGGGTATCCGCCAGAGCAAGAGCAGTCTCAGACTCTTGCCAGCTGTTCAGATCGTACGGCTGTTCTCCACCAAGCCAGTCCGGCAGAGGTCTCCAGACATCTGTCCTCTTGTTAGCATTTGCCCACTATTTCCATGACTGTATACGCACTCGGCACAATAACGTCCTTGTTATGCCTCATCAGATCCTCCAGAATCGTAAACGGCGCAGTCTCAACATCCACATCCCTCCAATACACCCAGCTGTGCGTAGGTCTCAACGCCGCACTCAACAGCCAATTCCGTGCCTGCGCCATGCTCTTTCTCCTGCTAGCCTGCGCCGCGAAGCCGTGTCTGCTCTCCACATCCTGATTCACAGTCTGTCCGAAATCTTTCTCAATCACCGAAATCTCACCAAAGGCCTGCTTCGGGTCTTCCGCGACTTGAAGTTCCGCGAGAAGGTCTGAGAGGAGTTGAATGGTGTTGTCTTTGCTGTCACCGACGAGGAAGGCCAGGTCAATGAGGTTGTGAGGGTAGGTTAGGTTGCGAAGGTGGGAGAAGAACATCGGGAGATGGGGAGCTGCGTCACGGAGTGGTGCGCAGAGGAGGATTCGTTCTTCGCGTTCCCAGCCGCGACTAGTGCCCTGTACATTTGACAAGTCGTAGTATCGTACCGTCTCGATGTTGAACTCTTCTCCGCCTGTGAATAGACCCAATGATAGGGGCCCCGCAAGAATCGCAGCTGGTCGTGCTGAAGGAAATATGATCATGAGGATGATGAGGATGGTAGCGACCGCTCCACCGAGTCGTATTAGCATGCCTCGCCGCCGTAAGAGCATACTTCGTGATGATCGCGGTTGGTATCTAGCTGAGTGTCAGTATCCCATGTCAAGACACCCCCGGAAGTCTGCCGACTCTTTCTCCTGCGACTCACTTCTCATATTTGTCCGGCCGTATGCTAAAGCCTGATCTCCCACTGCCGCCCATAGAGTATGCGCCTGTACCCCTGGGCTCGCCATTGGTGGAGGAGTATGCGTGCCGGTTCATCTTCTCCTGATGGGCCGACGAAACATACGTGGGGAGCATGTGTCGTGCCCAAGAGGCCGCGAACCCTCACTGCCGTTCCTTTGATTCTCCCAAGCGTGTCTCTTGCCTCGCGCGATGTCAAGGGGTTCGTCGTGTATTGTCGAGTCGCAGTCCCAAATTTCTCCGTGGCTGGCAAGCTGGCTGCGGCGGAGGGATTCGGGGGTTCGAGGAGAGGATGGAAGGGCTATCTGTCTGAAACGCAGCTGTCTATCGTCGTCGTCGTGATTCCGCGCTGGAAAATGCGATTGTGGGTGAGTCGAGAGCGATCTGGAAGTGTTGGGGACAAGTGGGGATGGCGTACGCGGAGGGCGATACGAGGTGTGGTGGTTGCTGCTGTCAGCGCTGCGTGCCAAAAATGTACACGATGGCGTCGTGTCGAATCAGGAGACGACTCCGACTACGCGCAAATGGCGGTTCGACGACGAATTGACGCGAATGTGAATAGTATGAAGTGGTTGAACGAAATCAAGGAGAGAGCAGATCACAGATAGCGACAGTCAGGTCGGTTCCAATGGTGAGACGCGGCCTTGGTTCCACAGGACACATTTGAACTTCTCCTTCGCCGAACGGCTGATCCCCTTCTCCAACGGTTGCTTCAAAGCCTGGTTTGGCACTCCGACCCATCAAATTACCGGCAAGGGTCATGTTCATCAGCAATTAAACAAGTGCAAAAACCATTTGACGTGACATCAATGCAAAAGATATTTAACAAAATCAGAATTGGTGTTCTTTCCATTTCAGCTACATGCGTCCTGGCTGACTCTGACGCTGCAGTCATACTACTGCCTTGCCTCAGCTATGTCTTCGTCTCCCTTGATGCGAGTTGGCGGATGGTGAGAGAATCGCCTGTATCCAGGATTTAGAAGGGCTTCGACTCTACCACGCATTCACTTCCGCTCCAATGTCTTGACGCTTGCCTGGACCGCGAGCGCCTAGGGCGGCATTGAAGGTGACGAGGACATCAGATCCAAACCTCGTAGATTGCTCTAGGTGGTGAGCTGTCAAGTGTTGTTCTGGTGAGGCGACATGACGGTGCTGACGGTGGTCTGCCCGTTCTGTTGGACTGCGCAGAGTGCTGTATGCCTTGGCGATGATGGCCCATTTGCCCTTGAAGGAATCTGCACGCCAAAGTACCATCAAGAGCTTGGAGATCGCTTTCTGAGTGCACGGCGAGAGCATCCTAATGTAGAAGTTGCGGAATGCCATCCAGGAGCAGAGCGGTTGACCAGGTCATCCACGCTGAGTGTGGAGGTCGTGAACTCTTCAGGGAAGGCGCCGACTGTCTCGTCGTTTCTGCTGTGGCGAGCTCAACTGCCATCCCATCCGCTGCAAATACTCGATCTGTGGATGCAGTCAGTATGCAATCACACCATGAGTGGACAAAGTGCGAAGGCTGCAGTTGGGTGCTGGACTCAGAAAGCCGGTTTACGCATGCCTATCCACCGGCACCTCGCCATGCTGGCCATAACGGACAACATAGTCTGGTGCTCGGAAACCACCATTACGCAGCATCACATGCTCAGCCGAAGCCTCACATGCTTACCACAACTCCACAACCGATCCTCCCGCCGCAGCAAGCTGTGACGGTACGGTGCGGGAGGATGACTCGGCGAATGAGGCCACCAAAAGGTTCGTTGAATGGATAGACTAGGTGTCATCTTCGTGGAGGGTGGTGGAAAAAAGAGTGCACCGTACCTGAGGCATTGCACCGTGAAGGGCTTGCTTTTGGAGCCTGTTTGGCTCGTCGTGGTCGACTGCTGTTTTCACAGCGTCAGCTTCAGTACAGAGCGATGTGTTAGGAGATGTTTTGACGCAAAATGTAGATTCGAGATCAGACAATTTGGTAAGCTGGTTGAAAGTATCCACATCGTTGTTCGGTAGCAGAACTGGACAAAACCAATCATCATTGAAAGGGGTGAGGGTGATAAAGGGAGTTCGACATACCTCATGGGGAGCCAAGTGAATGGCTCATGAGTTGCTGAAGGCCTCGATGTGACGGCACGTCTCGCACGTCATGGCAAGATGCTTCTCGGAAAACCACAAATCGCGTGACTAGTCTTGTGATCCGTCAGCAGCTGATGCAAAAGACGCAGAGATCAAGTGAAAGATGTATAGCATGTCGTGATCAGATGGTGATGCATGTTTGTTCTCGGATCATGAGAAAAATCTCCAGAACGGTTGTGATAGGCTTCATCAAAGAAGGAAGTCGAGACAGGACAATGAAGAGACTTACCAAAGCCACAACTCAATGGCGAATGTAGAGCCATCTCCCAGGACTGCTGCAAATCGCGTGCCGTCTTGTCGAGTTGTGATGGGTGAAGTCACGGCTCCGGCGCCGCGCCGCAGTGAGCACCTCAGCCGTTGACCGAAGGCATACTGGTCTGCATGCTGGATGCTTCCAGGTGCAATGCTGCTTCCAGGCCCGGCGGTGGTGTCCAGATGGATGGTGTTGCAAGAGTGAGGTGGAAGTTTCAAAGGTCGCGTTCTAATTTTGAGCCGCTGGACGCACAGACTTTGGCAAAGAACTTGTGGGACCGCTCTAACCCAATCTGGAACACATCACGTGATGAGAGCACTCCTTTTTCTATCCTTCACATGCGTGAGTGGAAGTCTTAAATTGAGCGAGGGGAGAGTGTATGAAGCATTGTAAAATGAGGAGCAAAGTTATCTAAACCGAGACCAAGGAGTGTAAAGCATGATCCGATCATGCTAGTATTCACCAGTATGTTTGCTGAGTTTAACGTTCTACATGCCGCTCACGAGACTGCTGCATGGCCCATACACACTACTGGTACTGAGCGGTACTGTTATTAGATCTTCAGGTAAATCGTGCCGCTGGATAGATCGCCAACCCAGTCGCACCCGGCAACTTCCCAACAATCTGCAAAATATCAAAACTCTGCACCTCCCTTGGCGTCGCACCGCTCTGGAGCGGCGACACATCATACACCAAGACCTGCGGAGGCGTGACCAGCTCCAGGTCACCATCGACGGGGACTGTCAGAACATAGAGAAAGTTCCTATCAACCTTCGTATCTTGTCCACCAGTACCCGACACAGACGTCGTGTAGTTGTACTGCGAGGTAACCTTCCCCGAATCCGCGTCGACGATGGTGATAACGGGGCGGCCGGCATCGATCACGAAAACGCTGTCGATTGTGGGATCGTAAGTGGCCCAGCAGGAGGCCACTTGGCCTGGGATGGTGACGTTCTGAACATGAGCGACTTCTCCAGATGTAGCGATGTCGAGGAGAGCGGCGCCGTCCGAGTTCAGATGTGGGTTCGTGAGGAAGAGCTTGGAATCAGAGCCGAGGAAGTTGAGACTAAATGGCAAAGTGATTCCTTCGAGGGTGTTGTTGTTGGGATTGTTCGAGAACTTTCCAAAGTGAATCGGCCACGAGTAGACATCGCCAAGCAAGGCGCCTCCACCAGTAACAGTGACAAAGAGCGCGGTTGATGAAGGGTTGAATCGAATGTCGGCTGCGATGACCAATGGACCTGGCGGGGGAGAAGGTACGATCTCTGCGATGTCCAAGAAGAAGGGTAGCGGTTTCAAGCCATGTTGCTGGTCGAGCGCAAAGCAGGCGACGCCCGGTTCATCCCCAGCGTTAAGAGCGCAAGCTATTCAGATGTTAATCAACGACGGATTGTAAGCACATGCTTCGACATACCAATGTTCAGCGCCTCGGAGTATGTAACCGAAACTGGTGTGTGACCTTTCGTACTGGCAGGCTTCCCAAGGAGCTGCAGGTTTGTCGGCTGGTTGGGGTCGATTTTGAACACAGACAAGGTATCGTCACCGGCGTTGACCGCGAAGACATACTATTGCAAGCATATCAGCGAAAGCTCATAGCACATAAGATCAAAGTGGTCCTCACATCGCCAGAAACGACCACCGAGTCCTGAGAAGCGGCAATCAACCGCGCCAGCCCCTTTCCACCAGTAGGAATCTTGACCGGGTTTGAGAGCTTCCCATCATCGTTCGAGATTTGTGCCGCAATGGTATTGTTTCCCGCCGGATCGTTGTCCTGAATGTAGAGAGCACGTCCGCCAGGACCGTGAGGCTGGCCGGAATGTGGTCCAGGAAATAATGGCCAGGCCGATGCAGCCTTGAGACAAAGGCTCGCGAGGAAGACGATGGGCAGCATCTTGAAGAGGCACCGGTGAGAGTAGGTGAATTCAGGCGATCGAAAGGGGATTGGGCTGTGGGAACAATCGCTCTTCGTCGTCGACTGGTCATATTTGTACTATGTCGTCTTCGCTGTACATACCTCGTATCCCGTAACGGCTCACTATTGATTCCATGCACCTCGTGTCTGGCGTCTCTCGCACAAACCATGTTGCCTGCCGACTTCCATTGTTTCCAAATGGTATACATGTCTTTCGGCAACTTGTTGTAGTTTGATACCCTATGGTGGGCTGCGCCGAATGTGACCATTACAAAGCATAAGTCCTACGTCCGATGCGGTTCGAAGAGGGGGGAATCTTTTCCGTGGAAGAGCCGGCAAGTGTACGGCTCATTTGTCCGCATCGTACATGGCAAATTTGGGAGTGAGAGGCCCCCGAGCTCGTCATGTTTGATTGCCAGTATATCCTTAATACCAAATAATTCTTATCCAACTGTCAAATCCATATAGTTGACCTCGTGTCCGGAGAAATCGAAAGACAGATCAAACACGTTTAGCGATGGGAGAGTGCCAGCTGTAATCCAGTTGGGGTAGTCTATTCCCTGATCTTTCACGGGGCCTGCAGGATCACTCTGGGTTGCTTTCAGGGCAACGTGCAGAACAGTGATTCAGGTCCTCCCGTCGAAATCTCTCTGGACTTCAGGCCAGCTCCTGTGCCGGCGAGTCTCGGACTTACCGTGGCTGAAGGAGTACACGTGAACAGATCCGTATGTTCCAGATCTGAGAACAGGCAGATGGGTTGGTGATGTGGTGAAGCGAGGAATGCAAAGAGAAGGCGTGAGGTGGTGAAGTGTGGCTGGGTCGCTAGCGCCGTTTGCGGACCGTGCACGTGCCACGTTTGTCGCAGTCCGACTTCTTCTGTCGCGACTGCGCTCAGCGGCTCTCATCCATCAACAACACCACCGCCGCGCACTGCGTCTCGTCCATCCATCACCGCGACCAACTTCAGGCGCCTTCTCTTCAGACTTGCCATTCTTCACACTGAGCGACACCAATCCAACTTCTGGTCCGCTCTCCGCCAACTTGCGCGCGCGCCCCCTGCAGCTCGCCTTGCCAGCTAGCCTTCGTCGTCGTCGCCTTCTTCGCCTCGACGCCTTCACTTCGCGCGACCTTCACGAGTCTACATCAAGTCTCCCTCCGACTCACTCTACCAACTGCCACAAAGCGCGCTTACCCATCAGTTTCGACTCCCACCTCGACACGCATCTGCCATCAACACACTCGCGACTCGACCACCGACAGCACCCATCCTCAACACACAACCACACACAACCAAACCAACTCCAACAATCTTCGCCATGTCTGGAAAACTCGACCAGTCTCTCGATGAGATCATGAAGGACACCAACACCACCCGCGGCCCACGTCGCGGTCGCAACGGCCGCCTACCCAACCGCCGCGCGGCCACCAAGTCCAAGGCAGCCACCACTGCTGTCGTCGCACCAGCTGGCGGCATCCAGAAGAAGACCAAAGCACCAAAGGCTGCCAAGGCACCCGCACCTGCGGTCGTTCCTCAGACCAACGGAGACAGCAAGATCTCCGTCTCCAACCTGCCCGAGGATGTGAATGAGCGCATGATCAAGGTACGTTGAACGGACAGGCCGTTCGGCACACGCTTTTAGCCGCCATTTCTCGATCGTGTTTTACTTTTCCGCCGCTACTATGGATGTGGAGGGGTCCAAGGACCCTTTGAGGATTCGAGTCTTGACTCTGAACAGCCTCGTCTACTGCTCGGCGACTGCTATGCTTCTTGAAGCACGCTGCATCGCATGAAAGAGCTTAGACTGCCCTTTACCGTCTCGCATAAATCCTCTCACGTCTGCCTGGCAAGCAGTCGCATGATCCGAGGTGCAGACACCCAGTGGATTGATCTCAGAGAGCAAGCAGCGCAGCAATTGGACGTGGACGTGCATCGTGGGCGAAGGCAGTACCTGGGCTCTCAGTCACATCATCGTTTGGAATCTCGACATCCGCTTGTCCGGTTCAGACCACAACGATTCGCGACTCGACTGCTTGACAAACACACCCAACGCCTGGCGACGACGAGATTGGGCGCGAGGTGGTACTGCAGCAGCTGCTTGCTCTCTGAATCAATGCCTAACCCGCTGAATCTACGGAAGGAGCCCACATACCGCCCACAAGCGATCGTTTGCCTGCCCACCCAGAACCGAGCTTGGATCGATATCGTCCGTTCATCTCCAGAAGTCCACTAACATGCTATGTGTCCAGGATTTCTTCAGCTCTTCGGTCGCCCCGGTCAAGAAGGTCATCCTCAACTACGGACCCAACGGTCGCAGCCGTGGCTCGGCCACTGTTCTCTTCGGCAGGCCAACTGCGGCAGCCGAGGCTGTCAAGTTGGATGGCACAAAGGTCGACGACCGCAACATGAGGGTATGTCGAGGCAACAAACTGGTCTTCTCCTCAGTTTACTAATAGCGTCGTCAGGTCGAGCTTCTCATGGGAGCTAAGAGCGTCCCAGCCCCTAAGCCACCGAAGCCTCTCGCGGAGCGACTGTAAGTGCGAACGATATCTGCAACCATCCCACCATATCTGACCAATCCACAGCCAACCCAAGAACGTCGTGAAGGAGGGCCAAAAGAAGAAGCAGAAGGACGCGCCTGCCAAGGCCACTGCCAACGGTGCAGGCAAAGCAGACAAGCCAAAGAAAGCAGGACGTGCTGGTCGGCCAAAGAAGAAGACGGCGGAGGAGTTGGACGCAGAGATGCAGGACTACTTCGGCAGCGGCGAAGCAGCAGCCACCAACGGTGCCCCAGCTGCCAACGGTGGTGATACCGGCATGGAAGAGGTGGTTTAAGATGATGAGGACACTACACGACGGTGGCTCTCGATGATGGTGGTCTACTCGACCTCACTCCGACGGAAGGGCTCCAACATGGCTTTTTGAACGACCAGTGTCTTTGAATGTAGTAGTACGACAGGTTGCGGTATTCGGCAAGGAGCAGAGTTGATGGGGGATTATGGACTAGATTGCCAATGAGCTGCGACAAGAATGCGACTTGTTTCCCACGTTTTCGACCATGCACACGGTGTCAGCTCCGCACGCACGTCGCTCGTCAGCCTCGAGGCGAGTCACCAGAAAAGGATTGCAAAGCTTCCTACGATTTCCGCTGCGGCAGAGTGGGTTGGCAGACGGAACACTCCCGTTGATCCAGGACGTCGTCTGCCACTACCCAAGAGCGGAAATTCCTTGTCCACGACCATCCACACAAGCCCCTCGATGTGGCAGTTCGACGACGAGAGCTCGTCCCGGACGACGTCGAGCTATCTCCGGGTCGATGGCGTCGAGTCTTTTTCGTACGTACGTTTGCCGGGTTTTGTAGATGCCCCTCCTGCGAAAAGCCAACCTTCCCTTCGAACGCAGCGTCCCCTACCTGCTCGAATAGTACGCTCGGACGCCGGCGCTGTTTGATTATGCCCCGGCTCCAGCCCACAGCCCCAGATTTGTGCGCTGTGTGGTGCTGCTCGTGGGTACATGCCCCGAGCTACAGAGAGCCCAGCTTATCCTGGCGTCATGGTGGGTAGAAGGCCATCGCAGTGCTCGACAACGGCCTGCACTTCCACCATGATGTATCCTCGCAGGCCAGGAAAGGAAGCGTTGACATCGTGTGTATGGATCAGCGTGTACCTGTGCAATCTAGACGGTCCATCAGTGTCGCCACTGGGCGACTTGGGTCAGGCCAGAGCCGCAGAGGCAGCTTTCCCCGCAGCTCTGATCAGTGAGGGGCAGATGGTGTCAAGGCGCAGGCGTCGGCCGTGTGGATGTCGTCGACGCTCCATTCACGTCGCGCGCCGTCGACGAGGTCCAGCAATCCTTGTGAGCGAGGGACGAGTGGAGCAGGCACGCGGTGGGGATCGCGCCTGCTCAGGGAAAGCGAATTGTCAGAGCTGCCGCTTGCTGTCGACGACTACTTATTGCCCCTCTGCCCAGTTTTCTCACCACTCCTTCCCACTCCTACTGCTACCTCGTCGCTGAGCGATTGAAGTACTGTTTTCTTGTTCGAGATACCCCCAGATCAGTCATCACTTATCACCATGTCTGACCTCTCCGTCCAACTCGAGACGCCGCACGCCGGCAAGTACACCCAGCCAACAGGCCTGTACGTGACAGTCAAACCATATCACCAACGAGCGCTGGTCCAAATACTGACACTGCATCCAGTTTCATCAACAATGAGTTCGTAAAGGCCGTCGACGGCAAGACCTTCGAGGTCATCAACCCCTCCACCGAGGAGGTCATCACCTCCGTCCAAGAGGCCACCGAGAAGGATGTCGACATCGCAGTCGCCGCCGCCCGCAAGGCATTCGAGGGCCCATGGCGGTCAGAGACCCCCGAGAACCGTGGCAAGCTCCTGAACAAGCTCGCCGCTCTCTTCGAGCAGAACCTCGACCTCCTCGCCTCCGTCGAGGCTCTCGATAACGGCAAGGCCGTCTCCATGGCCAAGGTCGACATCAGCATGTGCGCGGGCTGCTTGCGATACTACGGCGGCTGGGCCGACAAGATCGAGGGCAAGGTCGTCGATACCACCCCAGATACCTTCAACTACATCAAGAAGGAGCCAATCGGTGTTTGCGGTCAGATCATCCCATGGAACTTCCCATTGTTGATGTGGGCATGGAAGATTGGTCCAGCCATTGCTGCTGGTAACACTGTCGTTCTCAAGACTGCTGAGCAGACTCCTCTTGGTGGTCTCGTTGCCGCTACCCTCATCAAGGAAGCCGGCTTCCCACCAGGCGTTGTGAACATCATCTCTGGCTTCGGTAAGGTTGCTGGTGCAGCCATTGCCTCGCATATGGACATCGACAAGGTTGCCTTCACTGGATCCACCGTCATTGGCCGAACTATCCTCAAGGCTGCTGCTGGCTCTAACCTGAAGAAGGTGTACGTACAAGCACTTCAAATCTACTTCAAATCGCGATGACTGACACTCAATAGCACCCTCGAACTCGGTGGCAAGAGCCCCAACATTGTCTTCGACGACGCCGACATCGACAACGCCATCTCATGGGTCAACTTTGGTATCTTCTTCAACCACGGCCAGTGCTGCTGTGCCGGTTCGCGTATCTATGTCCAGGAGGGCATCTACGACAAGTTCATCCAGCGATTCAAGGAGCGAGCACAGAAGAACGTTGTTGGCGACCCATTCGCCAAGGACACCTTCCAGGGCCCACAGGTCTCGCAACTCCAGTTCGACCGTATCATGAGGTGAGCATGGACAAGACACACCACCTCGAAGACTCATGCTGATGATTATTTCTAGCTACATCAAGGCAGGCAAAGACGCCGGCGCGACCGTCGAAATCGGCGGCAACCGCAAGGGCGACAAGGGCTACTTCATCGAGCCCACCATCTTCTCCAACGTCACCGAGGACATGAAGATCGTGCAAGAAGAAATCTTCGGCCCCGTCTGCTCCATCTCCAAGTTCAAGACCAAGGAGGAGGTCATCAAGACCGGCAACGCCACCACCTACGGCCTCGCCGCCGCCGTGCACACCAAGAATCTCAACACCGCCATCGAGGTCTCCAACGCCCTCAAGGCCGGCACCGTCTGGGTCAACACCTACAACTCCCTGCACCACCAGCTGCCGTTCGGCGGTTACAAGGAGTCGGGTATTGGCCGTGAGCTTGGTGAGGATGCGTTGGCGAATTACACGCAGACCAAGACGGTCAGCATCAGACTTGGTGATGCTCTGTTTGGTTAAAGCGAGCGTATGATGATGATGTTGATGCTCTTGTTGATGAAAGCAACTTAATTTTCCTTTGTGGTCGAACGATCCCCCTTTCTTCGATGTACCTACGTATGAAGCCATGAAAGTATGAGCTAGGACAAATCAAATGTAAAAAGAGATTTGGAAAAGCAAGACCATCTTGTTATTGTTCCTTTTTGTTCATGCGCATCTACATACTCCACTGTCGTGTTTTGGTGGTGATACAAAGTTGCCTCACGCATCACATCACCGTCCTGACCAGCGACAATACAGATGCTCTCCTCATCGCGACATCCAGAGAGCATGCAACCCAACCCACCATCCAAACATCTCAACGACCTGCTTCCCTCCTTTCCAGCAACAGCTCTCTCAAATCTCTCATTCTTCCCACAATCCCATCATCGCTCTTTACTCCCTCGCCCCTGGACCCACCATGAATCGTTTTCATTCTCACATCCCACGATTCTCCCCTGCTTGAGACAACGGACATACCTACGTCCTCAGACCTAAGAATTATTCAAATCAAACCCTTCAATCGAATCAGCAAAACCCATATCCTCAATCCCACCCAGTTCACATCGCACCCCAACCCCTCCACTCAACCCACACCTCCCAAATCTCCTCCTCGCCCTTCCCCTCCCCCTCCAACTCCATCCCCAGATCCTCCCCTCCCTGTTCCGGTTGCTCGGGTCGGACTTGAAAGTAGTAGTTGTAGAGCGTAACGAGCAGGAGGAAGAGACCGACATGCATGGCGCCGTGGAGTATTGCTGGGCCGTATATGAGGAGGACTAGAGGGTGGGAGGTTGGTTAGTTTAGTGGGTAGGGCAGGGAGGGGGAGGAAGGTACGGTTGTAGAGGAGGGTTGGGAGGGGGTGCATTTTGGGTTTTTGGGTTTTTTTTGGTTTTGATTTTGGTGCGGAGAGGTGTTGTTGGTTGGAGTTGGAGTTGTAGTTGGCGATGGGATAGGAGTTAGATGTTAGATGGTGATGCAAGATGGATTGTGAAATATATCTACAGAGTTACGAAAGAAAGTTATTAGATGTTGCCAGTTGGCTGGCATGTATGTGTGGTTCTTGCTGACCCATCGCTGCCAGGGCGTTGGGTGATAAATCGTTGGTACCTGAATATCAGGCTCTGTGATCCCACCATAAAAGTCCTTCGCACCACTAAATCCATCTCGTGACGAATTAATCCCCTCTCTGCCATCCTCTCCCTCTTCTCCCAACGATATCAACCACCCTCAACACCTAAACCCCTCCACCCCCCACCCAAAACAACCACCACCCCATCTCCCTCCGCGCCTGCTCCAGCGCCATCTCCCTCTCCCTCCACATCTCCTTCTCCATCTCCATCTCCCTCTGCAACGCGTTCCACTGACAGTACCTCTCCACCTCCCTACTGAGCCTGTCGAGAGTCTCTTCGGATTTTCGCAGTTTTGCCATACGTTCTTCGTGCTCGCGGGAAAATTTCCTGTCTCGGATGAGGTCGACGATCAGGGTGATGAAGACGACGACGGCGAGGATGGTGATGATGGGTATGTACTTGGAGGTGACGGGGGCTGTTGGGGGTTGTTAGATGCGGTTGGGCGACAGGTGGAGGGGACTGGGTACTTTTGGGGGTGGTTGGTGGGTCCATTTTAAGGTCGGGTTGGTGTGCTTGTTGGTTGGTTGGCTGTGTTGTGGGAGTTGAATGAGATGAGATGTAGGATGGAGGGCAGGTGTCGAGGGTGTGGATTAAATATCATACAACTGCGCCAGTTGTCTGCCAGTTGGCAAACATATCTGCATCCTGACTGCTTGGATCTCGCTGACCCACTGCAGTCAAGGTACTGGCTCACTTCGGTACATCTTATCCGGTGCCTGAGAGCTTCCATTCTTGATACTGCGACCCCATCAAGCCATCACAATTCACTCTTCCCATCATCCGATCCCTTCTGCTTCACCCCAAACGTCTCTCCCGTCCTCAACCACTCCTCCTCTTCACCCACATGCTGCCTCCCAAGACACTCATTCCGATGCGGAAACCTGCCAAACCTTTCCACAATCTCCCTATGCGTCTCCGCGAACCCAACAGGACCCTTTAACTGCCCCGCGCACACCTCATCGCCATCTTGCTCGGCCTCTTGCAGCGACGTCCGCAAGATGGAAAGCGCGAGGTCTTGTGCTGCGAGGTCTTCGGCGTGCATGGCTGGCAGGGAGAACCATAGCCTGTGCGCAGAGGAGCCGCGGTAGTGTTGGTGGAGTGTTAGGTGTGGGTGGCAGGCTGTGAGGAGGGCGTAGGAGAGGCGGTCGTAGAGCCTATAGACGAGAGGGAGGGATGAGGGCGTGCGGTAGATTTGACGCGGGAATTGGTCGAGGAGGAGGATAAGGGAGAGGAATGTCTCTGCCGCTTTTGCGCCCGATGAATCCTGTTCTTGCGCGCTTTGGACTTCTTCCAAGAACGGCGCTGTGAGTTCGGTCTTGTGCTCTGCGTCCCATTCGTAGGACTGCCACTCTGGCAACGCGATCTTCTCAGGCCCTATACTCTCCAATACGCCCCCATATTTCTGTCGCACTTCCTCATCAAGCGCCTTGCTCTCCTCTTCCGTACGACCCTTTCCCCACCATCGCTTTTGCAGAATCTCATTATCGGCTTTCGACCCCGCTGGCAGTCCAGCAAACCAGAAGGACCGGATTCCAGCATAGAGTGTCTCGTTGAAGAGGGATCGGTCGAGTAGGAATTGAGTAGGAGGGACGGCGGATGCCATTGTGCTGTAGGCGCTTCTGGAGGTCAAGAGACAGAAGGGCAGTGTGAAACCACGTGTTAGGACTCGCGTGGACAGCATTGTGAGTGATGTACGAAGGGAAGAGAGGTGTATACCCAAAGAGGTGTCACTTCTCTGGTATACTTTGGCGCTTTCTAAGACTAGAGAGGTTTCAATCCAGCCTCGCGTTCGCACGTCTGTAAGCGCCTTGCCATTTTGAAGATGGATACAGCGAGAGTACCATGATGATGATTCAGCTCCATTGGTTTGTTTGTCCCGAAGACGCGAGGTTGGAGTGAAGATGGGCTGTGGCTGGATCTTCGGCGTGCCAAGAAGCCGAGATGCAGGGGCCGAGAGACTTCACTTCACCTCTTCGCGGTCGATGACGATGTGAACAACTTTCACGTGTTTGAAGCGCACTGAAGCGCAATTAATCTGCTTGCGAAATCTATGAGGACAGACTGGACCAGTCTATGATGCGCTGGAATGCGCTTCCTGGATTTGCTCCCATATGAGAAGCAACTTCACCTCTTGGCGAAGCGCGTTGGAGCGCATATGTGCCAGGATTAAGTCGAACACAAGGGTATTTCAACCCGCTTTTCTATCGCACAGGAGGTCAACACATAAAGATACAACTCCTTTCGACGATGTGGACTTGCTTCACCTCTTGGCGAAGCGCGTTAAGTTGCGCTGTACGGTAGCCTAGAGATTCAAGCCCTCGAGATACACAAAGCCGCTATGCGGCACCTCAGCCTTACTGCAGGCCAAGATCACGCATGCCCGTCGAGCTCTGTGATCGCTTTGGTCGTGCTCCTCCCGAATGCGGTATCAAGCTTGGAGGAAGGCCCGAGCACGCAATGAGCTAGGCATGTATGTGCAAAGAAAGATGAATGTTGCCCCGGCTTTGGCGGCCTTGAACCTGTATTGGCTCTTTTTACCTCCGTTGACATACTTACGACGCCCAAATTTGCGCAATGCGATAAGAAGAGAAGAGACTTAGCAGCGGACGTTTTGTTGCGCCTGACTTTGCTGTTGATTTAGGTGTTGGAACGGCCGTGAGTTGTCGATGCCTTACCTCTCTCATCAACTTCTGAAGTCGAGAATCGCATTGTGGCGTCTGCGTTTCTGCGGCCCAATTCTGTGCCACCGCGAATCAAAGGCAAGAGCAACACTGGGTTTATTGGTTGTCCCGCGCAAGGCTATGGCGTTCAGCTTAGCTCATGGGTTCTTCACGTCCCCATTTCCCTTCCTGCTGCCATCGTAACTGATTTGTTGCAGTCACGGTTAACCTACAATGCTTCTCAACCTCCTGACCCTTGTGTTGGCCATTCACCCCTCCCTTGCTATAGCGACATGCTATTTCCCCGGCGGTACCACCGAGGCAACGGGCCACGTCCCCTGCGACTCAACAGCGACAATCTCAAAATGCTGCCAGCCGGACAACTTCTGCACAGACAGCGGGCTCTGCTTCAGCAACGGCATTTACGCACGTGGGACCTGCACCGATCCCGGATGGGGGACACCGTGTTACAAACTCTGTCCATCCCTTAATCCCCAAGGAGGAATGCCACTCACCCCGTGCAACGTGGACAACATTTTCACGTGTGGCATGCCCCTTCCGGGTCAGACGGAATTCGGAAACTGTCTCCAGAACTTCACGGTCGTAGGAGGCTCGAAAATCGTGCTGCGAACGGATCAAGTCGCCCATTTGGGCATCTCGACTGCCCTTACGATCGGTGCGATGGAGACGGTGCCTGCAGAGCCTGTCAGTAGTTGCTCGGCCACTGTCACTGCGTCGCTGCAATTCTCCACTGTAAGCCGGGCTGCCCGTCACTTTTGCGGTCGAAGGCTGACAGTATTTGCTTTTTGGTGACTGTTTCTACGCCGCCAACCTCGCCCGCAACGAGCTCACCCGTTGCGAGCAACAACGAAGACAATCATCGCTCTAATAACGTCGGGGCTATCGCAGGAGGAACTATTGGTGGCGTGGCTGGAATGGCGTTGCTTGTTCTGGCTATTATCTACATCCTGTACCGCCAGAAGAAGAAGAAGAAGAAGAAGAAGACGACGAATGGGGACGACGGAGGACCGGAGGTCGAGAACACACCGAGTCAGGGGAACATCATTGTTGCTCCACCATCCCTTGAGCTTGAGCATTCCAAGAAACAAACACCGCCTGAACTACATCCTGTAGAGTTGGCTAGTTGATAATGGCGACAATCGTGAACTTGAGCGAGGCAATGTTTAGACCCTTTTATATGGAGGGACGATATGTACGGGTTGAAATTGAATTGACCAAGGTTATCGCCAAGCTGAACGCGAATAAATACCATTGAACAAGATAGCTGGACAAGATGCTCAACATCGTCCCGAACAAAAGAACCAGAAACACTAACAGATCAAACCACCAACGTCAAATAAATCAAACAAACCAATCCCCCTCTTCAAACCTCCCCACCCACCAAACTCGGGAACCTCTCCCCCATCAACCTTCTATAACTCACCTCCCTCTCCTCCCTCGCCACAACCGCAAACTCCTTCTTCCCCGTCACCGCCTCATAAGCCTGCCTCCTCAGCTCCGCAACCGCATCCTCCTCGGCATTCTGCTGGATCGCACGGTCGCGCAGCCGGGCATACACCTGCTGGGCGACGGGGCTCTGTCGCCAGCGGGCGTCGCGTTCCTTCCAGCCTTCGGGGCGGTACCCGAGGAGTTGGTTGAAGCCGCCTGGGGTGGAGGGGGTTTTGGGCGTTTCGAGGGGCGCTTTGAGGGGGCCGCGGATGGGGGTTGTGGGGTTTAGGGCGGCGGGTTTGGGGGGGGGGGTTTTGGGTGGGGATTGGAAGGGAGAGGGTGGGGCGGGGAGTGCTGGTGGTGGTGGTGTGGTTGGGCGGGAGGGCGCTGGCGCTGGTGGCTCTTGGATTTCGGGCACGGTGGTGGAATCGAGGCGTTTTGGCGTGGGGGAGTCGAAGCCGGGTCCTTCGGTGCCGTCGTCGTCGAATGGGGTCTCGCGCTCGCGTGTCTCTTCCTCGATGGCGGTGAGTTGTTCATTGGCTGTATCGAGCTCGACCTCCAACTCCCGAATTCTGTTGTCCTTGTCCTCTAGTGCCCGCTCCTGCTCTGTGAGACGTACTTCCCACTCCGCGTCGTAGTCCCTCTTGGACTTCTCGTCCTTGTCGTGGGTCTGCTTGAGTGTCGAGTACTTGAGCGTGAGATCCTCTATCTGCTTTTTCAGATTCTCGTTCTCCTCGTCCTTTTGCTTGCCATGCTCTCGACAACGGGCCAGCTGGTCCGCTAGATCGCTTTCGTTATTGCGGACGTTGGCCTCCAAGGTCTTGAGCGAATCGACGGCCTCTGCTAGCTCTTTAGTAAGACTCTCATTCTCTTCACGCAGCTTTTCGATCTCATCTTGCTTCTCTGAAACAGTCTTTCCATTCGAAGCCTCGACAGTCTCTCGGTGCTCGCGACACTCGTCAACCTGCTGCTTCAACTCCTCGATATGCTGAGTGAGTTGTGTCTCAGTCTGCTCATGCCTTTCCGCTGTGGAATTTGCCTCATTAAGGAGTACGTTAACATGTTCCTCCAATTTGAAGATTCGACCATCGTCATTCTCACGACCACGGTTATAACGATCCACTTTTTCGAGGAAGCCCATCGCCGCCTCATGAGGATCCTGAGCCACGTTCCTCGAGGCATAGAGGATAGCCGGTGGGGCAGCGAGACCCCGATCGCGGTAGAACTGTTCAATGAATTGCGCAAGACGGTTCGGTCGGAAGAGGAATCCCTGTTCTGCCAGTACGGTCGTGAAGCCCGCGAAGGTCAGATCTTCGTCTTCGAGGAGTTGATCCACGACCTCGGGATCTATCGTAGCGTGAGAGTCCCATCCCGTGCTCTCATGTGCATGTGCTTTGTTGATCCAGTCGGCCAGTTGTACTACAAGGGGTTGTCGATGCTCGTTGTTGGCGAGATCCAGCTCCCATCGAAGAGGTTTTCTGTTGGCCCTGCTCAAGAAGTTAGCATTTTCCCATGAAAACGGTTCAGCACAGGTGCAAGCATACTCGGCCTCCTGCCTCTTACGCTCCCGCTCAGCGGCTGCAGCATTCTCATCGCCATCGTCGCCATCGTCGCTCTCGTCACTTTGTTCTTCCAACTCCGCGATCTTCTCCTCCAACTTCGTCTTCTCATCTTGAAGCTCATCTGCCCTTTTCTTCTCCCTGCCCAGCGACTTCTCAAGAACGATCCACCGCCCTTTGCAACACTCGGCGTCCTCAAGCTTCAGAAGATCCTCGATATCTCCAAGCTTGCCTCCCATATCCTTCTTCACACACTCCTCGCACTTCTTACTCAGTTCCTCCTCCATATTATCAATGCGATCCAATTCTTTCACCAGGCTTTGGCTCATCAGCTGATACTCTTCCCGCCAGTACTTGATCTCATCATCTGTGTCTTCCTTTGACTTCTTGTATTCATCGTCTTTTTGCTTTAACGACTTTTTGTGTTCCTCGTCCTTTGCCTTTAATGCTTCGTTTGCTTCTGCGGTGCGTTTCTTTTCTTCGTCCCGTTCTTTTCGATAACGAGTTCGGTCCTTCCCGTTCATACCAGCAATCTGCTCCCATACCTTGGCGTCTTTCATCCATCGGTTTGCGACGGCGAGGTAGTCTGGGTCGTTGTTGGGCTTCTTTTCTGGTTGAGGATCCGTTTGTGTCGATGAGTCGGTTCTGGAAGGAAGACCATCCGTCTGGACAGTGGCGATGACAAATGTGGAGGCCTGCTCCTCCGACGGCTGCGCTTCAGTCGGCTGAGTGGTCTCTGGCCCAGGTGTGGAAGGCGTTGCAGAGTGATACGAAGACGTTGGTTCAAGTGCTGGTGCCGTTGCATTCAATGGTGTGTGCACTTGTGTAGGGGAAGACGTCTGCGAGGCATCCATGTCATTGCTACTTCCCACCCGGAGGTTAGCAGGAAGAGGATCGACCTGAGTCTCAGGAACCGAAGAAGATCTCCCAGATTCAGCACGTTCGCTGGCCTCTGAATTTCTTCGCGCTTCTGCAATTAATGATTGGCGGAACTCTTCGTCAAGTTCGTCTTCATCCCAGTGGTCATTGTTGCTTAGCGCGGGCTCCACAAAGAAGCTCTCTGGCAGTGGCGCTTCGCCTTCATCTGACAAAGGCGAGACAGGCGCGTCTCGGTCGGGCTCCTCGTCTTCGCCTTCGTCGCCCTCGTGATATTCAAGGCTTTCGTCATCGCTGCTTTCTCCTTCGTCGTCGTAATCGCCGTCTTCTCGATCCTCATCGTCATCTTCTTCTTCTTCTTCTTCTTCTTCTTCTTCTTCTTCTTCTTCCTCCTCAGACGTATCACTGTCAGGAACATATGTTTTAGACATTTCTTCCACAAGGTCATCGATAACGGCCCTGCGAGGATTAAGCGTGCTCGGAGTTCGAGGAGCATGCTTGTCCTTCCCAGGATACATGACGTTGAATTCCCTCTCTGCCGCAATCATGTCCGCATCTCGCCATTGGCCCTTCCAGTGCGGATCATAGAACGGATCCTCTTCGGGATCGAATACTTTTCTGGCAGGGCCATTCTGCATGAAAATTTTCAATGCTGGAAGGTTTTTGGGACGGTGGTTCCAGTGGTAGCCTCTGAATGTCTCGATTTGTAAACGCCTCTTCGTTCTGGGGCTGAACTCTTTGTCACCTGGGGATGGTTTTGGTTGGTGGTCGTCGTCAACGTCTTCCCATTCGCTCTCAGTCGAAGTTGCAGGGTGAGCAGGGACTTCGTTCTCGTAGTTGTGATGATGAGAGCCCTCGAAGTCGTCTGCGCCGGCAGGCAGCGGAACTTGTCCTTCGACAGCATCCTCGTGCTCGGACGAGCCATTCGAAGCGGCATCTGCTGATTGACCCTCTCCCGCATCCTCAGCCTCGTCCGACGAATAATCGGAAAATGCCGAACTCGGCGCAGAATATGTATCGACCGGAAAATGCGGGAATCCCGTAAGATCAACTTCCTCAGAGTCAGCCTCAGGTACGTCCTCGAAGTCGTCATCAGATGAATCCTGAGCATCCTCTTGGGGATTGGCGGTGTTTGATTCTTGCTGCTGATCTTCCACAGGATCTTGCTGATCGGCAGCGTTCGTGATGTTTTTCTCAGAATCCATACTAGCGAATCGTACGCAATCCTGTTTGTGAAGTCTTGCAGCGTGTTCGAATAAACGAAAAAGTATGGAGGACCTGCCTCTTCGATTTGAATGTATGTTGTGAAAACTTGAGAGTAGTGACAAATGAAGTTAGGAAACGTTAGGGAGGGAAAGGAGTGAACTGTGGGCATGGTCGACATGATGGTATTCGCCATCGTGAGTAGGAGTCTTCTTTGTTGATTAGAAGTAGTACAATGGGCCGAGAGAATGTTCATCTCGAGCGAAGGTATCCCGTGACCTGGTAATCTTGTAGAACAAAGAAGGTCGTTATCACGACAAGGCACGACAAAGGTGCCATTATGTCGTTGTCATAGTTGGCCGTCTACGAATAGGAACATCGTAATTTACTGCAGACTGCTTGAACTCGTGAAAGGGTGATGAAACTGGCAGCGCCTGTAGAGTTTCTATTCGAGGGCAAAAACAGAGCATTAGGTCGTCCATCTTCTTTTCGGGATAAGTCGAGTCCTCTTCTCGCGAGGGCCTCCACTGTCGATGGATACGGGCTAACACGAGCCATTCTGGAGAGCGATATGCGAGGGTATCGGCCATGGATTTCAAGTAATGTTCTCGAGCGACAAAGACCAGCTTGTGGCGAAGGGTAATTTCTTTGACATTGTTCAAAGGAAGCCGGAAAGGACCTGGAGGAGGAGGTGAAGTTGAGATGCAGCGGAGGCAGGTCCGGGACTAGCGTGGGTGATGCATGAATCTTTCGATGTTCGACACTCTTGCTCGCGTGACGACATCCATTCACCTCGCACTGTAGAAGTAAAGGGGTTTACAGGAGCGGGGATTGAAGAATGGACGAGAAGTTATCAAGTCCCAACACTCTGGTGGAATCGCCATACTTACGTTCACTTCTGGTAAAAAAAAAGATCCTCGACACTGCAAACCGCTCCACGCCCAATGCTAATGTATCCAGGCAGGCGCCGTAGCAGGCACCACAGTCGACACCTCCCTCTTCCCCCTGGACACGCTCAAAACCCGCCTCCAATCCTCCACCGGCTTCTGGGCCTCCGGCGGTTTTCGCGGCATCTACGATGGCATTGGATCGGCGGTAGTAGGGTCCGCGCCGGGGGCGGCCTTGTTCTTCGTGACCTACGAAGCGAGTAAGAGATTTTTCGCTCCATATACAAAAGGCAGCAGCTATGGCGAGGCGGGCGGGCATATGGCTGCCGCGAGCTTGGGGGAGATCGCGGCTTGCGCTGTGCGAGTGCCGACGGAGGTGGTGAAGCAACGGGCACAGGCGAAACAGCATCCTAGCTCGTTGAGTGCGTTGACTTTTATTCTGAATCAACGGCAGACTCATGGGTTCGCTCATGTATGGCGAGAGCTGTACAGAGGTTGGGGGATCACGGTGCTGCGAGAGGTGCCGTTCACCATTATACAATTCCCGCTCTGGGAGGGCTTGAAGAAGTGGTCACTACAACAACGCCAGCCGCCTCGACCCGCAGAAGTGACTGCGGCGGAGAGTGCCTTATACGGAGCTGCGTCTGGAGCTATTGCGGCGGGCCTCACGACACCGCTGGATGTCTTGAAGACCAGGATGATGTTGGCCACCACTCGCCAGAATGTCTTTGCCTTGACAAGCAAGATCTGGCGCGAGGAAGGGGGAAGAGTCTTCCTCAGTGGGATTGGACCCAGGACGATGTGGATCAGTATTGGCGGTGCGGTCTTTTTGGGCAGTTACCAGTGGGCCAGTAATATGCTGGGCAGTCGATGAGGCTGAGTACTCAGCATACGACTCGCGTTTCGACCCTTAGTACTCAGCTACGAGGATGAAGACAAGACGGACCGTATTCCAGCAGACCCTGAAAAGCCAGACAGAGCACGACCTCTGCCACCTCTGCGCTGGCCGTTTCAGGATCAATCAGTACGCCGTGGCGCCTATCTGGACGAACCCACCGGCATCGTCGTAGAGACGAGACGCTTTCGCGGTGGAGCTGTCGCCCGTTACTCAGTCTACTGTCTAGCATCTTCAGCTGACAGAACTCGCCTGCCCAGTTGCAACCTTGATACAAAAAACTCCAGAGAAGCTCAATCGATTTGCCCAACAGATGGGTTTGCATCAAAGCAGCACGCAGACGCCATATGTCCACTTCTAAGCTCTACCGTGAGGGCTCCTCAACCATGCAATATAACCTGTGTGTAACCAAGTAACGAGCGCCACGGGCTTACTGGTCGGTGGGTGGTAAAGGGGAGAGTGAATGAGTGAGGAGTAGATGAAGCCTTGGTCTGCTTGACGACGGGACCGCATGAGATGGTGTCGAGATGGACTGGCTTCGCCAAGAGGACGATCTTCTCCATGCATGTAGACACCACACCCATGACCATGACCGAAACAAATCTGCTTTTCAAAGAGACCCAAAAAGTCTTATATCATTGTTATTCCCCAAGCTCCTCATGTATGCATACAATACAATTCGCTTTGTCCCCTCCTCACAACACATATCTCATGCTCTTCTCCCCTCTCCCCCACCCAACCACCCTTTAATCCAACCAATCTCCTACTTCCCATCCCTCTCCCTCTGCGCCGCCTTAGCGCTCTCCTTCTGCAACTCGCCAATCGTCTCCTTGTTCGCTTTGAGTTCGCCGCGGTCGGCTTTCACCTATGCCAAAAAAGACACACATCAGCATCCAATCCCCACAAGAAACCTCATCCATCCCACACCAAATCACATCCAAACATCAAGCCTAGGTGTAAGGGGGAAATATGGAAGACATACCACACTCTCACTCTCACTCGCCAACCCATCCTTCCACTCATTCCGGCCCTCTTTCTGCTCGCGCAGTTGTTCTTGCTTGGTGTTTTCGATTTCGGCTTTGCGGGTTTCGTCGGCTGTACGTTACACGGACGGAACGTTAGCCAGTGTCCTCTTTCCTACCCTCTTTCGCTCTTCCTCTCGTGTATCTCGTATCTCGTGGGTGGGTCAATACAACAAGAGAAGAGGAAGTTGAAACGTACCAGGCGCCGTCTCCTTACTCGCCCACAAAGGCCTCGCGGTACGAAACGTGCGGACTTGTTGCAGGCGTGGCTGCTGCTGGAGGCGGAGGGTGCGCATGAAGAGGTTTGAGGACGACATTGTGATTGTCAGAAGCTTGGCCTTTGAGTCTCGAACGTCTTGGGATTCTTGAAATCGTAGTTGTAGTCGTGACGTGTTTGGTTCGTAGGTAGGATTTTCGAGATACAAACGAAGAAGTGTGCAGCGAGTCGATGCAGATCAGGTCTCTCGTGAAGAGAGGAACTGAAGGCAAGGTCGCACCAATGGCGGCCTCGGCATTTGGTGCAGCTGCAAAGGCTAAAACATACGTCATGATTCATCCTGGAGTGGAGTTCATGTCGCACCCGACTCCGAGCGAAGAGATGTTGCCACTGTTAATGTGGAAGTCATGTCATCCCATGTGAAAGCGGCCTAGGTGTAGAGTTGAGCGATGGCATGGTCATTTTGATGACCGATGGACTGTAGAGCCTGTCATCAAATACATGTACATGGCATGTCAGGAAGGCCTGCTTCTTGAGAGTGATTAATGAGAGAGGGTATCTTGTTTCAATGTTCAAACTTGGGGGTTTCATCATATTGTGAGCCACATGAGAGTGTAGCTACGATAAGAGTACAGGGAATCCAAAACCGAGGCCATACGCTGAGCAGAATAGACTCCGATTCCCATCTCCCAGCGATATCTCCATACCAACTCCCAAAAACACACACGCACATACGTTTCCCTGATCAACACAAAAACACCACAGCGATTGGTATATGATATCGTCACCTTCCTTCCTCCCTCTCGCAAAAAAACACCGTTACCGAAAACAAGCCGCACGGTGTCGTGTCATCTTCCACACCTAGGCCGTGGCCATTTTGTCGCTTTCCCCTGCCAACAATAAATTTTTCGCCTCCTGAGGTTTATATCATGATGCAGAGAGATCAAAAGTTCTTTGACGCTTCGCTGTTTTCGTGACGTTTGCCAAATCCAACACCTTGCCAGATCAGAGAGAAACCACACATCATTGCCGGTAAATGCCCAAAAAGATTCGAAAGAAGCCAGAAATAAATAAGTCCCGAGTCCGGTGTATCGTCCGTGTCGCTAAAATGAGGAGGAATATGCCGTGCCGTCTAAATGCCATGTCGTAATGCTGTCTCAGAGATGAAAAACGCCGTCATCCAAGGTGGGGGATGTTTTTGATCCGTTCCCGCTTTCTAGAGTCGTTAAATTTGTACAAGGTATCGATCGGTAGAAGAGGACAATCATGCCAGTACTGCGTGATTGAGAAGATGGAACGTCTCGCCAGCCCGACGACGCAGAGCGCTGCTTGACAGCATTACGCAGCAGCACGCCCGTCCTTACCAGCGGCGTGGGACGTACTGCTGCTGCATCTGGCGGCCTGGCGAGACGGACATGGGCGCAGGGCTCGCCACGGAGCGGGTTGATGGGTCCACAATGGGGATCGCATTGCGGGTTCGCTGGGCGAGTGGCTGGTGCAGCTTCATCTGCTGCTGCGCTTGCTGGTAGCCTGCGGAGGAATACGTATTTGGTACAGAAGAGAGGAGTAAAGATGGTGTCGGTTGGACCTGCTGCTGGAGGGGCGATCCTTCGGGAGAGCCAGACGACAGCGAGCCTCTGTCGGAGGATGACGAGCTGTGTATGGATTGCAGCTGCGACATGTCAGTGTTGAGCCGACTGAGGGGGGAAATTGTCCGACGTACATCGTCTTCTGTCAAGAGGTTGAACGGACAAAAGACCTCGTCATCATCAAACTCGAAGCTCTTTGCGGCCTCCAACACACGGAGGTAGTCGCCGTGGGTGGGCGGTTGCGGTGTCTCCTCCTTGGGGCTGCGCTGCTGCTTGTATTGGCGGTGCGCATTCTGGCTGGCGACTCTCGGACCTCGGCGGCTGCGCCCGTGGTGGCCGTGGGAGTGGTTCGAGTGCGACGAGGTGTTGGAGTGGTATTGCGGCATGGCGTAGTGATAGCTGGCCATGGTGTCGTCGGTGGTGTGTGGGAGTGTGAAGGGGTTTGTTTGGCGGGGACGGTCGAAGGCAGGAGGAGCTGAGTCGGGAGATTACAGCACAATAGGGATCATAACAAAGCGCTAGTCGAGTCCCGTGCGCAGGGTGGCAACGTGGTCAGGAGCGGAATGCGATCGGGTCGTAGGTAAGAATGGCGGAGAATGGAGGTCGTGGTCGTCGTCGGCGCTGAAAGTAGAGATGTACACAGGTGAGAAGGCGAATGTTGCAGTCCAAGTCGAGGTGCAGTGTGAGCGACGGCGCTCAGAGGCTGGGGGTGCTGCGGAAAGAAGAGGGCGAGGCACCTTCCATTCCACCCAAGCCCAGCGCCACGCTAATCGAACTTCGTGCATGAGTGGGGCCTGCTCAGCCAATGAGCAGTGATCGGCGGCGGTCTGATTGCGTCGTCGCGACTCGCCGAGCTCTGCGCTTCCCCCGACACTCACCTGACGAGAAACAATACTCCCACTTGTCACGATACCCATTTCCTATTCTCCAACAAGCCTGCACTGTTCCATACTATGCGCTTCAAATCCCTAAGCATATACAGTCTACACAGTCTATTCGCAGAGCGACGGGGTGCCGTGCAGAGGCCGGTGTGGCTACAGTAGCGCCCGCCGTGCAAGGCGGTGCTGCAGCGTGCCAGGCTATTTGCAGTTAGACGCCCTCATCTGTCGCAGACAGCGCAGGGATCCACCTGCTCCACGAGCGCATGGCAGCAACACTTCACAGTCACCGCTCTTCTTTGGGTCGAGCGCATTGCTTTGCTGCGGTGAAACGTCCTGCTGCAGAGTCGACACGTCGAGTCCTGGACTTCTCGCCTTGTGCTTGCTGCGCTGCTGGAGGAACAAGGTGCTTATTATTGCATACACCAGACCGTTTGGCTTGCCGCGCACCCACCCACTGGCCAGCCAGCTGAGCAGGATGCACCACCCCCCTCAAGCTTTCCGGGGTCGCACGTCGCAATCCGTCATCAGGGTCGCTGTCCCGCCTTCTTGTTGGCCCAGCCCGTCCATCTCGTAACCTCGTTGACGCAGGTCGAGAAGTTGGCTTTCGCCTTCATCCGTTGATTCCCGACAATGCTTTGCGCCGGCAGCTGTATGCGCTTCCCTTCGCATTGGATTGACTCGCGGTCAGGCTATGCTATGTATAACATGACCATGCCGCAACAATGCCTTGGTAACAGAGTTGGATGCGACCGGGAAGCAGACGCGACGGGGAACAAGCATCAGCAAGAGCATGGTATCAACCTGGCCGGAATTCCAGAAAAAGGTGGGCGGTAGACCAGGCATATGATCAGTGCGCACTGTGAGGTGCGCTATCGTGTGTGGCAGGCATTGTTGACTTCACGTCAATGCGACTCAACGTATTCAGCGGCAGGTGGTGTAGACCGATGAGCTCGTGTTTTGGAACAACAGCAGGGTATCAGTATAGACTCCAGCACAATCATCGCATTCTTCATGTGTCGCTTTTGCAATCAGATGTATCGACAACTTGCATCTACTCATAGACGGCCGCAATGTGTTCACAAGACACAGCTCAGATATGGTGCTCACATGTAGTGCGGACGGTAGGCACATGTCGATACTCTTTACTTACAGTCACATGCCGCAATGCTTATCATATCTTCCTATTTTCTCTTCCGCTAACCATGAATTGAACCAACTCTTCCAAAGAGCAATAGAGAAGACTTACCACTATAGACACAAGCCGTCCGTCCGTGGACATCACGAACGTACGGGACCATGGCAACCGCAAAGCGCCGTTTCGGCGACACATCATCCAACAACGCACCACAAGATGGACCTGCTACAAAGACCGCCCGAACAACCCTCGCCCCCAACCCCCGAATCAAAGAATGCGCCATCTGCGCCGACGACCTCCCCCTAAAGAGCTTCCCACCCCGACTCGGCCACAGAACGCACAACCAACGCCACTCAACCTGCACGGCCTGCTGGCAACACCACCTCACCAGCGAAATCGCCTCCAAACCCAGCACCCAAATCCGCTGCCCGCAATGCCCCTACGCCCTCCAGGAACCCGACATCAAAGCCCACGTCACGCCCGCAACCTACACCGCGTACCTCGACAAAGTCCTCCTCGAGACCCTCCAGGCCGACCCGAACTACCGCACCTGTCGGCGACGTGTGCGTTTGGATATATCCTCATGCGGGATGATGAGCTGAGCGATAGTATCTTCAACTGCCGCGTCTGCGAGGCGCAGTATTGCGTGCGGTGCGAGGTGCCGATGCACAAGGGCGTGACGTGCGAGGAGTTTCAGGGGCAGCTGAGGCGGAGACAGGATCAGGAAGAGAAGACTTCGAGGGAGTTTTTGGAGGGGTATGCGAAGACTTGTCCCGAGTGTGGGGTGAGGATTAGGAAGGATGGGGGGTGTGATCATATGACTTGTAAGTTTTCGTTCTCTTGAGAGGTGAGATGAAGGCGTGAAAACTAACTTACTGTTCAGGCAAGAGATGCAAGCATGAGTTCTGCTGGCTGTGCTTTGCCTCCTACAACGGAGCAGAAGGCATCCACAGAGTGGGAAACGAGGCACACAACGAAACCTGCCAGTACCACCCGGACAGACTGCCCTCTGCGCCCAGCGACCTAGAGTCGGAAGACGACTTGGATGAAGAAGAAGTAGCCAGGCTCTTCGCATGGCCCCGGCGGGACGATGACGAGCATCCAGAAGATGCTACTCCTCTAGCTCGAGTCGTCGCCCTAATGCCACCGTTGCAACAGACAGCAGGACCTGCCCCAAGCCCGTCTCAATCACCCACCATCCCCACTCAGCGCCCTGTCGTCCACGCATACAACGCTCGACGAACCTCCTCGTTCAGTCCCATCCCAGACCGACCTCGCCCGAATCCGCAAGCGCCTGTCTTCCACCCATACAACGCTCGACGAATCTCGCTGTTCAGTCCCACACCAGACTAACCTCCTCCGAGTCCGCAGGCGCCTTCCATCCGACGCGCCAGAGCAATTGCAAACGGAGACGACCGCATCGTCCCCACAACAGGACTTCGCCGAATCGATTCCTACCGCTCCGCCCCATCCGCCACGCCGCCCGCCAGGAGATCTGAGTCCATCTCACCCGGCCCCCCCGCCTCGTCCCGCCCAGCTAACAACCCCCCTCACCGAACTCCCTCGACCGACCTCAACGCACGCCACATTCAGGGAGTGCCCAGGATGCTACCCTCCGCAACTCCCCCTGGCTCAGCACCTCCGATTCATGGACTCCCGTTGCCCCCGCCGACGACTTGAAACTCATCAATCACATACACCTACGACTTATAGACCCAGACGATGCTTTTCCTTCCTTTTTGATAGCGACCAGTTGGATGAAAGCAGGGGTTTTCTTGATGGGGGATATCGAGACTTCTAAGTGTGCTTAGAGCTCTGGGCCGAAGGGTTTTCTTCTTCGAGTAGAACGTGGAGATGGAATCTTGAAGTGGAGACATATTTTCGATGGGAGGTACTCGACACGATGTGGTGTTCGTTTGTTTTCCAAAAGTGATGGGGGTATATAACTTCTCCTTCTCCTTCTCCTTCTCCTCTCTCATGTTAGGTAACAATAGAGAAAACTCCCATAGATACACCCAATGTCCACCATATACACACCCAATTCCTTCATAGCAAATACCCATCCCATCCCCTCCAAACCCCTTTTGACAGAAACATCCATCCCCTATTCATATCCCTCATCCCATCATAACATAACGTTCATCACGACTCATACATATATACACCCCGTCCTTCCCCTATCCCCTTCCTGACCCAAACCAGGCCCCTTTTCTTCCTCTTTCGATCTACAGCGCCAAACCCGTGCCATCCCCCGTCCACCTATACAACGCCAAAACCTCCCTGCGTCGTAACTGCTGCTCGCCGAAATCCTCCTGGGCCGACCGCCCCCGGACCTGTGCGAGGGCGGAACGCATGACTTTGCGGAAATTTCGCTGAAAACAACATTCAACATTAGCTCCTATGTCATCATGTTTTGGCAGAGGTGGGACTTTTACTTACCTGATACTCCGTATTCAACGTAACAACACACGCCTCATGCGCACGCACAATCGTCTCGCAGGCCTTAACAACGGACGGACTCGCCTCACTGCCCAATTTATCCGCAATCAACAAAAGCAAAAAACTTCCCTGCAAGAGGTAAATCCCAAAGAAGAAGGGCATGAAACTCAGATCCGGGTCGTACTCCAGAATCTCATTGATGGCCTCGGCGGCCGAGACGGCGTGGCCGGTCGCGGAGATGAACGACTGCGACGAGATCCAGAGGTCGTTGTCGTCGAGGAGCGAGATGGGGTCCCATTTGCCGTTGACCAGGATGTGGAGGGTGTGCATGAGGTGAGTGCCGTAGGCGAGGACGATTTTGGTTTGGAGGTGTGCTTCGGTCATGCGTTGTTGGTGGGAGTTGGTCGTGCCGACGGAGTGCGGGCTTGTGCCGTCGATGTGGTTGTTGTTGTCTGTGCCGTTGGTGCTTTCTTTGGTACCCTCGGGCATCGTCACGTTGCGGGTTTCGAAGTCTTGAAGGCTGCGGCCGTAGGCTTCGAGTTGCTTGCGGATTTCGTTGGCTTGTTCGTCCCATTCGGCGTTGTTTCTAACTCTGAGGCCGAATCGGGGGTGGTTTCGCGCGTGGTTGAGATCTACAATCTCCCCCAGAATCGTCATCAAAGGTAAGAAGTAGCCAAAAATGCTGTGTCCGGTACACTCAAAGCTGGGTCCTCTCCTCCGGAAATATGTCGACTCTGCGTGGTTCTCCCCTGGAAAGAACTCGCCTGTTTGCCAGACTGCCTCTTTCTCGGGTTGCATGAGACCATCGCATTCCACATCAAGAAGGTAAAGCGGCCTGTTATAACACAGCGCCAGATGTCTGTCCACAATGTAGAGCAGCCACCAGATTCGTCTCCTCTCTTCTCGCTCCTCTTCATGTACAAACCCAGGCTGATTGCCTCGTCCAAGAACTCCAAGATGGCCCGCTTCACCCGTAGCTTCAGCCTCCGCTTCTGGTCCATCTGGGTTTTGAGGTTCTGGATTTGGTGGTAGTTCGCGGCCAAGCTTCAATTCTCGCGCTAGTGACCATGCCGAATTCCACCATCGGAGACTTGCGCCTTTGTATTCACTCGCAGATACCACAGTCGCGAGGTGGATGTAGGTTGCAACATCATCCAAAGCGCCACTAGCTCCCGGTGATCCACCTTCCATATCATGTGCCTGTCCGGGTAGTGAAACGCCGAATCCACCCAATGCTACGCCGTTGATAACAGTGTTGCCTGCGTAAAGCTGCGGACCATCTGTAGATGTATGTATGAGTGGTTTGAGAAGGCCGACTGTCAACTCAAGCAGTTTCTGACAGATCTTGCCACGTGCTGACGGTGCCGATGTCAAGAAAGCGGATTCGCTAGTCTGGGCTGCCACCCACAGGATGCTTGCTAAGAGAGCTGGGCTACATTGTCTAGGGTTGTTCTGTCGCAGAAAAGATCGCTTCCTGAATATGTGTCCGAGGACATAAGGGGACTGCGGTTGCATGAAGACGGAGGAAGTGCTGGAGAAGTACAGTTCGAGGAGATCGCATGCCAGGCCAATGGGGATGATTGCGGAAATGTGAGGTAGCAAAGGTCGTAAGACTGGGTATCTTAGAGTCTGATTTGAGGTTGGTGGGTATAGCGCAGCGGAGGGTGAAGGCAATGACAACCAGCCAGGAGATCCAGCAGCCAGCGGTGATTGTCCAAAGACCCCAGCAGATAGAGGCGACTCGTCCATTCGATATGGCGGACCTGCGCCTTGCTGGCTGGAGGGAGATGGAACGCCATAAGGACTGTCGCCGTAACCTGTGATCGTCCCGCCTTGTATCATTGAGTGTGGCATGGCAGTTGGGCCAGAATGAAGAATGTTATGCCCGGTCACGGTCGAAGCAGGATGGAGAATACTTCGATGGTAGTCATCGATGCTCCCATATTCACCCATTCCAACTGACATACTACGTTCGTGGTGCATAGGCGCTGTTGGCACTCTAGGTGTTGGCAGTCCCACGCCTGGGGTTGGATGATCCATAGGCACAGATCGCTGGTGTATTCGATCCAGACCATTCGTCTCGCCGATCGCATTCCCCGTAACACTTCCCCCAGACGGTTCCAGTCCAGGCCGGTGCATAGCATGAGGAGGCTGACTCGTCATACTGTTCGTCCGATGCGGCGGCTGCGGCCGTTGGAATTCCACGCTCGATCTCCTCCGTTTGACACCTTTCGGCGCATCTGAGGCAGCCTCGGAGCCGTTCTCGTTCCCCGACCTTGGACTGCTATCCTTGCCGTCTCCAGCCGCCGCAGCAGCCTGTTGCGCAGCAATATCCTTCCTCGACGCCTTGCCTCTCTTCTTGCGCTCGCGCGCATACTCGCACGTCAACCCGAACTCGACGCAGTGGGCGCATGGGTGTTTCCCGTCGCATTTGGTCCGCAGCTGGTTGCATTGGTCGCATGCTCGACTGATGCGTCGTCGCACCGGCTGTCCGTTCGAAGACGCACTCTTGGCTGCAGAATCCTTTTCAGCATTTTCCATTCCTTCCCCGCTGCCGTTGCTGTAGCTGTGCTGGTGCTTGACGCCGTTCATTGTCTGCGGCGGCTGCTGATGTTGCTCCATGGCGTATTGCGAGCCTTCCGACAAGGCATCGAGGCGAGTCGGCGGGTGCTGGGGGTGCGGGCGGTGGTTCTGGGCGAGGTGAGAGGCATTGGTGAAGTCCCGACGCGAGGGCGCCGAGGCCAGCATGTTTGGCGACTGGATCGGCAGTTGGGGAAAGCGGCGATCAATCAAAGTCAACCCAAAGTCATGAACGCATCATCGCCGCCCTTTCATTCACTCACACTCTCACTTCTCTAAGCAGAAGGAGGGAGAAGAAGGATCAAAACGCACCATCCACACCCACAGCACGAAACCCGCCCGACGTCAAGCTAGAGCCTGACCGAGTCGATTCTGGAGACCCCGCCGTCAAGCTTCGACTCTTCTGCTGCACCATGTGGATGGCTGCATGGGGCTCCGCTCGCCTAAACTGCTGCTGCAAGGGTATGTTCGGTCCACGTGAACACCGACCACCAGTCTGACCACCACCGTCATTATCGTCGCCGCCAGGGAAGACTCAGGCAAGACTTCTGGTGCTGGCCTGACGGCTGCCGTTGCCAGGCTGTCACTGGTGGAAATTTGGACCTCCACCCCCTCTAGCTCGCCCAGGCCACTGGAGACGACAGCGCGAAAGGATGGAGGGATGGGGAATTGCTGCAGGGTCAATCGTGTCACCCGTGCCCACGAGCCACTCACGATCTTGACGCCGCCTCGCTCAACTGTCATTTTCCTCTCATCTTCCGCAGACTAGGCACTTCCCGACCTCACTTCCTTAACCTTATCACTCCCCTGTTTGTTGGGACCACGCTGCAACGCCTGCTGTGTCAGCTACGAGTCTGAAGTGAATGCCTACAAATCCCAGGGGACAGCCTGGATATATAAAACTCAGATCTGCCTTATCGTCTTCGCATTCCTCGTCGATGCCGGTGCTTGCCGTGCTCACGACGATTAACCTGTTCCTCTCGAGCGAACATGGCACAACGCTGCAAAGGCTAAGTATGGAAGTTTCTATTCTTCTGCTGTCCACGGGTTGGCACCGGTCTCTACATCCTCCATGATCAACGGCACCTTCGCCACTGCAAGACATCGCTCTCATTCCTCACAATGGTCACAGCTACCAAGACCGGTCTACCCCCTGCACCAGGGATATCACCTTCGCCAAGCCACCTGCGGAGAGACTCTGCCCTCGATGGCAAAGGCCATCTCGCCTTCGTACCAGGAATCTCCGACATCGACGCCAAATACTTCCCCCAACGCCACATATTCTGGTTCAACGACCCCACTGAATGAGCGACAGCGACAGATTCTAAGCTCCGTCAAGGGCAGAGAGCTGACAGTAACCCGCCGCGATTCCGCCAGCAATGATGTCTCGAAACGTGAACCCCAACACTCCAAACTGGTCCCCTTTGCCAGAGGCCTCCAAAAGCGCAGACATGATCGAATCCCACCTTCGCGGACTCTCAGCCCGGTCGTGGGAGCGATGCCCTACCATCGGCCACACATCCCAGAATTCGGTGAGCTGTCAGTACCTCATACGCTTGCACACTACTGACCCACATACCAGTCTTCCGTGAGGCTATTCCAAGTCTCATCCTGCCCCAAGATATCTCGACGTGGGTCACGATGTACTTCACCTCGCCCATGGCCTACCACTGTTATAACTATAGCGAAGGCATGTGGCTTGATGTGGTACATAACCGCCCAATCCAACGAACGACACTCATGCACAAAGCAAAGCTTCTACGCATGGTCAATGAGTACATTGACAATTTTGAGGATGCTGACCTCGAGCTGCTCATCATGGGCATGACGACCATCTTCAAAGTGAGCACTGATGATGGCAGTACGTTTTTGAGTGGTCCGGAGCTGTTTACGCCTCACGCGGTGAGTATTTCCTCTACGTCACTTCCGTTTGTGCTCACGGGTTTTACAGGACCCAGACGATCTTGGGAGGATCCTCAAACGCATGGAAACAGTCGTGCTCCACGCCAACGCGCTCAACCGACTCCTTGACGAAAGAGGCCCGGACACCCCCTTCGAGCACTTTCCGGGTATCGAAGACAGCATGCCACTGTAAGTCTCAGCTCCTTCAAACCCTGCTCTCACCTCTAACACCCTCCCCAGCGTCGACGTGATAATCTCCTCCGCCCACGCCTGCAAACCCCGCTACCAAACCACGACCGCTCAAATGCTCTCCCGCTGCCCCAACCGCCTAACCCCCTTCCCAGCACTCCCCTCCCCATACAGCGAAGGCCTCGGCTTCCTCACCTCCGTCCCAGGAAGCCTTCCCCTGCAAGCCCTCAACGCCTACCGCAACCTCGCCACCCTCGACCGCCTCTGCTCCACAACCACCGTCCCCAACGCTGCGCACTTCAAATACTTCGCCATCGACCCGCGCGTCAACGCCGTCCAACACCAACTCCTCTCCATGCCCCACTGGGACGTCCTCAGCGCCGACGACCAAGAAGACTCCTCGCGCGTCATCTACGAATCCTGCCGCATCGCCTGCATCCTCTACTCCAACTCCGTCATCCACCCCGTCCCCACCACCGTCGGCTCCTGGCTCCCCTGCCTCCTCGGTGACCTCAAATACCTCCTCCTGCGCTCCGGCGTCCCCAAGAAAGACCACGATGCGGTCCCGCTGGCGATTTGGGTGAGTTTTGTTGGATGTATGTGTTCGTATGGCATGAAGAATGAGTGGGGGTTCTTTTTGCGGTGTTTGAGGGAGATTGTGCGGGTTGCTGGGTTGGTGGGGGATTGGGAGGGGGTGAGGCGGGTGCTGGAGAGGTTTCTTTGGAGTGAGAGTGCTTGTGCGAGGGGGGCGAGGGTGGTTTGGAGGGAGATTATGAAGGGGGTGGATTGAGGATATTCTGTTGGAAGGGGGTGAGGTTTGTTCACGAGAATGTATCGGAGAAATGGACTTGATGGGATGTGAATGTTGAATTTGGGTGAAATGTATTATGGGGCCGAGGGGGTGTACTTAAAATTTCAAAGGCACCAGCTTGTCAGATCAAATCAGATCCTCGCAATTGAGTCGGCGACGACAATGTTCATATTCTGTGCATGATCCAATTCGGTCACGTCAAAATCTCCGAAGTTCAAAGAACAAGCTGAAATTGCCACCAACAACTGATCAAAAGCGTAGAACATCGCCCTCTCTTGGAGAGCCATCATTGATGGCAAAGGCCTCCTTGCCTCTTGAAGTCAACTACCCCAACAATCATCTGCCTTCCCTCTCCTCCCCCTCAACCACATACTCCACCCGCTCATGCTCCCCCTCCACCCCAACATCCTCCACCTGCACCCCCAACATCGGCGCCAAAACCCTCACCGTATCATTAGCCCCCATAGCCATCTCCTCCCTCCACATCTCCCTCGCAAACTCCCCCATCTCCCCCTCTTCTTCCACCTCCCCATCCACGTCCCCCTCGCCAAGACTCGCCCCGGACGCCGTCTCCGTGACATTCCCCATCTCCCCCAAGGCGGCATGCGTATCGTGGAGATCATAGCAGAATTTCCCCAGACTCTTGGACATGAATAATCCGGCCGTCCCGTCCTTCCACTTATCCGTCATCTTCCCCCCAAGACTCGTATCCGCCTTCCAGAAGAACAAATTCGCATACGGCGTGAACCCCTGCCGGAAAATCGACTGCATCTGCAAACCGTGCTGAATCGGCCCGTCCTTCTCGCAGTGACTATCCACGTCTGAGACTTGCTTGACCTTGAAATCCATCCGCGCCCAATCGAGTCGCGCACCGATAGAGAGTGGATCGCCAAACCCCTTCTCCTTGATCCCCTTCCGGTTCAGCCACTTCGGTAGCGGCAGGGTATCCTTGACTTTCTTCGCGGAGTCGAAGGTTTTCGCGGCCGCGGCCTGCGCGAGCCATTTCAAAGCCTGCGTGAAGGACTCGATGCATTTGTTCTTGGGCTTCTTGGGGCGGTGCAGGCCTGGGAGCAGTTTGAGCTCGGCTTTGGTGCCGAGGGAGAGGGAGAGGGAGAGGGAGAATTCTTCCGGGTTGGGTTTGCCTTCTTTTTTGTTGTTGTTGTTGTTGTGGTCTTGCGCGGGGAGGGAGATGATCTCTGGGGAGAAGGTGTTTTGGAGGATTTCGTCGCCGAGGAGGTCGACGGCGAAGATGGAGCCCTTTGGGATGATGGCGGTGAAGCCTGGCAGGGTCATGTTGGTGTTGCCCTTGGCGCCGATTTTGGCGTCGAGGGAGAAGGGCGCGAAGGCGTATTCCAAGGTACCGAGCTTCGTCTCGTATTGCTTTGCGCCGTCTTTGGGGAGGAATTTGGACGGCCAGGGCGCTTTGACTTTGTTGGACTTGTCGACTTTGGTATACTTCGTCTCGGGCTTCCAGGACAGCGAGCTGCCTTGCTTGGGCGCGAGCGAGAGCGCCGTGGTGTAGCTGAAGCGGTCCATGCCGAACCAGTCCCAGACGATGCCGAGTTTGAGGTCGTGCGCGGTGAAGAGCTCGATTTGGTAGGACGCGGTGAGGTCGGTGGTTGCTTCGACTTGGAAGGTGACGGAGGAGACGAGCGAGCGGATCCAGTCGCCGGCTATGTCGAACATGCTGCTGCTGCCTTGGTCTTGCAAAGACCTTTGGAGGATGTTACGCAGCGCGAGGTTGGTGTGGGGGATAGACGGCTTCTTGATGGGAGGCTTGCCGGATAACTTTTCCACAAGATCATTCCACGGGTTATCGCAATCCTCGTCCTCTGGCGGTGGCGGCGGGGGCGGATCCTCTGTGTCTGGGGGACCTCCCGGTGGCCCTGGAGGTCTATGCGGCAGCTGTCCGTTCTCTGCAACAAGGCCGCCGAAGGCGAGCGCTTGAGCAGCCAGAATTGCGCCCTTTTGTGCCATTGCAGCCTTCAACGCAGGGTCGTTGCTGGTGCGCCAGGCTTGAAGCGCGGCTCTGGTAGCCTCGGTCATCTCTTCGAAGGGCTCGGTGCCTTCGGTGATGACGGCTACCATTCCATTGCCAAGATCGATCGTAATCGGCAGCTCGATGTTGGCTATGTCGACAGTGCCGTCAAGACCAGGTGGGATATTAGATGGTGTGGCAGGGTCATGAGGGAAATCATGGTCTTCTGGAGCCTCCTGAGAATCGGGAACTCCAGAGGGCTTCTGAGACCCATCCTCTTGGCTTCCGTTCGAAGGCTCATCCTCAGAAGGCTCATCCTCAGAAGCGTCATCAGCAGGCTTCTCGTCCACAACACTCTCCTCAGACCCAGGCGAAGCAGGCGGAGAAGGTGACGGCGCTCCAGGAGGAATATGGACCGACGGGCGTGGCGGCACTTGCACATCCGACTTCCCCTTGCATCTCATAGGCGGCGCGCCGCGACACAAGTCACTGATCTTCATACACTTCCTCTGACAGGGGTCAACACCCGTAGCCCAATCAAGCTGGCAGCAATCGTCGCAGGTAGGATTCCAGTCTTTCGGGCACTGGTTGCCGGCCGAAGTGGTACGTTTCTCCGCAACAGAGGAGTCTTATTTCTTGGTTGGGGCGTCCTCGATGACCTTGTCCAGCTCAGGAGTCTTGTCGAACTTGGCGTCGACGGTGAGCATCATGCCGCCGGAGACGCCGCAGTCGAGACAAGTGACAGCAACATCAGGGTCGCCAGTCTTCCCGAGACGGAAGAGCTGATGACGAGCAGGAACCGAGCTGCCTTCTCCGATGTCGATGGGGACGGAGAGGTGAACGCTCAGGTCATTCTGGGCCTGGTCGTCGGTGGAGACGGCGAGGCAGCTCAGGCGGAAAATGCTGGCGAGCAGGATCATGCGATGCATTCTTGCCATGGTGGTGGAGTGGATCGAGGTTGGAAACAGCTGATGTTGTTTGTAGTGTTTGGTATGTGTAGCAGTTGATGTGAGTAGTGGTTTTCGTGAGAGGCGACTTGGTAACTGGATGATCGATCTGAGAGGCGAGGGGGCGAGTGATATTTAAGGCGTCTGCCATGTCGTGGTGTAAGCATCCTTCGAATTTTTCGATATAGAAACATGGAACAGAAAACACTGGCTACCGCTTGAAGGGGGTCGCCAAGACGACTTGGTTGGACTACCAGAGTCACTGTTTCGATGTAAGCTGTTTTGCAAAATCCTGGCTGGGACTCGGTCAGCAGCATTCCAAACTTTGGGGTCAGGGGAATTTCGTCTTGATCCAAACCCTCGGGAAACATAGCGTAAACACTGCACCTAGATACTCTAAGCTAGCAGCTCCATGGCGTAAGCGGAAATTGAGAAATCAGAAACGTGGTCGACAGTGTGCAGTGATTGGAGAAAATGAGAAGAGGACAAGAGAAGTAAGAAGGTCATCAAGGTTTTGCTTAGGCCAAGTAAATCTCTGTGTTCTGATTCGAGGACATGAGCGATTCGCATCGTCGCTGTCAGAAGACAGGACTACATGCCACCCCACTCGACGCCAAAGGTGCGCACTTCCTGCTTTTCACTTTCCTGCTTATCGTCGGTCTTGGAATCGTTAGGCTGCTCACCACCGACGAGGAACCCCTTCTTGACGCCAGTGCCAAGACGTCCACCACCGACCAAGTCCAGAAGATCAAATTCTTGGTCCCAGTCCATGCCGTTGCAAAGAAAGTGAGAGTGAAATCGCAGTGGGTCGCCGGGGTACGCCATGTATTGACAGCCAAAGCGAAGACCTGGTGCCAAGAAGTAGCCTTTGTCGTGCAGGTGTCTGTAGACAGGATATGACTTGGGTACAACTGGCAGCTCTGGTTTATCGCCGTCGTCGATTTTCAGCGCCTGCAAAGGTGGATACGAAGTGGTCGGCGTGACTCCATATGGCTCGGGCCCAGGTGTGCTTGCGTTCGACGCTGTGCGTGAAACGACGGAGCCGGCTGGAAACGAGTTGGCAGACGAAGCAAACAGCGTATCGTCGTCCGACACATCGCTGCTGGCAGCGGGCGCCTCTTGCTTCGCTTGCGGTGCTCTTCTACCCCGTCTCGGTGTTGAACTGAACATGTCGTCCGGGATATCATTCCAGTTCTCCGTTGCCATCTTCTTCAAAGCATTCTTTTTCTTCTCGTCGCTCTTCTTACTCGCCTCCTTCGCAGCACCAAGACCTTGCTTTCGCAACGCCGCCTGGTATGCTTTCCGCTCTTCCGCGCCCAGACTGTTGGCGAGGAAGTTCTGCTTGTGCTGTGCCACGTCGTCGACGATGTGTGCTGCACCTTTTTCGACCAGCAAGCGAGCCTCCTCAGGCATCAGCTCCAGCGGCAAGCCCAGAAAGACATTCTGCTGTGAAGCTTGCGGCAGGGTGCCGATGAAGACGCCGGCGATGTTGTGCTCCCTTCTAAGGTAGGTCACGACGTCGACATCGTAGAGGAGATAGCGGTGGGCGAGTTTGAAAATTGGGACTGGCTCCGTGATGGTGGTCGAGGTGGACAACGTCGCCATGATGTCTGAAGAGGATGGTCAGCGACAAGATGCCACAGTCTCAGGACGAACGGGTGATAGTGAGCGGTTGATGAGTATCATAAAGAGCATAGCAATTTTTTTCTCGTCAAAAGCACGTGGCTTCAGGGGATTGACAGATTATTGAATTGTTTCTTAATCATTTGAAGGGCAGATATTAGTGGATGTGGAATACGTACCTGGTTGGGTGCTCGTGCACGAGGCAGAGCGGGTGTTCAGTGTTCAGCTCATTTTGTGACTGTGAGTCCAAGGAAAGAGATTTGGGTGAGGTCAAAGGAAAGTTCGGCACCAGGAATGCGGCCCGAGCGCACACGTGAGACAGCAACATCCCCTGACTTTTTCACTGCGCTCCAAAATCAGTATGAGTATCGAAGGGATGACAGGCGCTAGCAAAGAAACAGGGATTGGGTCATGGCGGTATGTGTGATATGGTCAATGATATGAGAGCGATGTACTCTGAGCCTCTCGGAGGGAAAGCCCTTTGGCTCCGTCTGAGGCAGATAGATGTAAACTACTGATTGATGTTCCCAGTCCGTACTGTCCTGAGCTTTTACTACCTGTCATCGCCAAGGTAGCCTTACTGAGATCAGTAATATCTCGTCTTTCACTAGCATGCTCTGGCTTTCACGAGATGCTTCTTGCACTGTCGAAGGATTGAGGCTATACTTCTATAGGCTTTCGTGCCGTTCCGCCAACGCTAAGATAAGCTTAGATAGCAAATGACGCACAGCAGAAAAGTTCCAACTGCTTACAAAAACATCAATCTTGAAAGCATTTCTTCATTTCCGGACCAGAAACAAGAACACGAACATCATGGCGCAAGAAACGAACGGAACACATCCCAATGGCACCAAATCGCTCGCCCAAGACCTCTTCGAGGACATGGGCAGGAAGGTCGATCAAGCGAATGGCGAAGACAGCGATCAGAAAGTCGTCGAGGAGATCGAGTCTCTCTGCATGAACTGTCACGAAGATGGCCTTACAAAACTACTGTTAACGAGGATACCATTCTTCCGCGAAATCGTCATCATGTCCTTCTCATGCGACCACTGCGGCTTTCACAACAACGAGATCCAATCCGCCGGGCAAATACAACCGAAGGGTGTCAAGTATGCGTTACGAGTCGAGAAAGATGAGGATTTGCAGAGGCAGGTCGTCAAGAGCGATGTATGCGCATTCAGGATAGAGGACATCGATTTGGAGATCCCGCCTGGCAAGGGGAGATACACGAATATTGAGGGTATCATTTCGAGTGTCAAGCAAGATCTGGAAGCTCATCAACAGGCGAGGATGGAGCAGATGCCGGAAGTTGGTGAGAAGGTAGCGGGTATCATCTCCACATTGGACGAGATGGTATCAGGACGAAGATACCCATTCATGGTGTCGGCCGACGATCCTAGTGGGAACAGCATGATCGAGCCAAAACCTGGAGATGCAGCTGGCAAGTGGGCGAAGAGCGAGTACAACCGAACACCTACACAGAACGCAGCGCTTGGACTGGGAGATGATGTGCCACAACCTGGATCAGAAGCCCCAGAAACCGAGCTCCGACCAGAATATCATTCTACCAATCTTGTAGGTGCCGAGGAGGCGACTGCTGTGCAAGGGAACAACGTTGATCAGGATGACATTGTCGAGAACCAAGTCTACAGCTTCCCAGCTTCATGTCCTGGCTGTACCCGACCCTGCGCAACAAATATGAAGATGGTCAACATTCCATACTTCAAGCAGGTTGTGCTTATGTCGACAGTCTGCGAGCACTGCGGATATCGGAGTAACGAAGTCAAAACTGGTGGAGAGGTACCAGAGAAGGGTGAGAGGATCACGCTCAAGGTCAGCACCGCAGAAGACCTGGCACGAGATATCCTCAAATCCGAAAGCGCATCCCTACAGTGTCCAGAACTACAACTCCGTGTCGAGCCCGGAACAATGGGTGGCCGCTTCACGACCGTCGAGGGTATCATGACGCAGATCCGAAAAGACTTGCGAGCACAAGCATTTGGTCTCGAAGACGGCGATGCCGAGCTCACAGAGAACCACGATTCGATGTCAACAGACAGCAAGAAACTCTGGGAAGACTTCTTCGAATCATTGACGAGCGCCATTGAAGGACGAAAAGAGTTCACATTGATTTTGGAGGATCCTCTCGCGGGAAGCTATGTCCAAAGTTTGACTGCGCCTGAGCCGGACCCTAAGATCGAGCTGGAGCAGTATAAGAGGACGGACGAAGAGGAAGAGGATCTTGGATTGAAGGATATCAAGACGGAGGGATATGAGCAGGAGAGTGGGACGTCGTAAAAACATGGCGCGAAGTATGAAGACCTCATTCCAGGACAGTCGATTCCCTCACGATGTCCCATGGCCCGAACACGGATACAGCGCGACGCTGCCTCCCACTGTGAGATTGACTGAGTCATGTAATCTCAAAGCCATGGGACAGAATCAGGCCAGATACTCCGTGGCCGACTAGAGACCATTGAACAGAGCACACTGCCAAGAGTGGAGGCGCAATAGAAGACGATGGGCAAAAGTAAATGAGACGGCATTTGAGGCACGAGTTGAGCTACGTCCCGAGCCAATCTTGAGCGATGCGTCCTGTTCGCTCTATCTCATCTTGCGCACACGGATCACCCGCCCTCTCCAGCCGAGCGATAACCAAGTACACTTCACATCACTCCTCCCGACTCACAACCTTCACTTCCGCCACCTCCCCCTCCCCAACCTCAATCCCCTCCAACACACTCCTCGTATCCCCCCACTTCACCCCAAACAACCCCGAATTAATCTTACACATCCACACCTCACCCACCCTCTCACCCTCCCCCTTCCCCTCATTCCACTCCGTCACCCTCCGCAACAAATCCCTCATCGCTGGCCCCGTAACCTCCAGAATCTTCCCCGGCGAATCCTTCTTCTTCCCCTTCGACCGCGACGTGAACAAACACCCGACAAAGTGCCCCGGCCCATCTGTCTCGGAAGGCGGGATTAGAAGCGCGGTGGAGTGGAGTTTGGACCCGTGTTTGAGGCAGTGGTCATGGTAGGTTTCGTAGGCTGATGGGTAGTGCTCCTTGAAGGCTTTGGCTATGCCGGCGCCCCAGCTTCCTTCGGTGTTGCAGGCGTGGATTAGGAGCGTGCGTGGTGGGGCAGCGAAGATGTCGCCGGTGGATTCGGGGAGGGTGAGTGTTGGGGTTGAAGATTGTAGTTGGGGTTCGTTTTCGTTTTCGATCTTGAGTTCTTGCTTTGGATTACCTAGGTCGCGGGATGGAGATGGGTTGTCTTTTTTGGACGTTGTCTTGGGTTGTGAGGCCGGTTTCTTGGAATTTGACTTGTAGCGTTTTGATGTTGATTTGCTTTCGTCGGAGTCTACGCCTCGTTTGAGGCTTGAGCGGGTCGTTCGTGTAGACATCTTGCTTTTTGTACGATGTGTTGATATGAGTTGACAAACAAGTCCGTTGACAGCCAAGTCGTTTGTTCGTCAGATGTCGTTGGACGGATGTTTCATGCCTCAGGCATCAACTTTCGACCAATCACGGCGCAGCGAATCGACGGTAATCCGGATCCACCCGTCTGGAAAGGTTCGAGCTTTCCTCTTCGGCGACGACACCACCCTGAACGACGACTACGCCCTGCTACACCACACTCCAAAGCCATTGAGGCTCCGCTCCACCGTCTCTACTCCGTCACCGCCACCATGTCTCTCTCCTCCAAGGCTACCACCTCGCTGGTCCGCCACGCCGCCCGCCAGCAGCTTCCCGCCCTGCGCTCGTCCACCTCCGTCGTCCAGAAGCGCAACCGAGCAGACGTGACGGATGCCTCCACATCACACGCCGAGTTCAAGTCACCTTTCCACCGCGGTCTCGGCGGCAAGCAGGACACGACCGTCATCCCCAGCTTCAAGAAGTACCGCGCTTCCGGAGGCGAGAACACCAACAAATTGTTCCAGTACTTCATGGTGGGCGCCTTCGGTGGTCTCTCTGCGCTGGGAGCGAAGAACACGGTGCAAGGTGAGCTACATATGACAATTTTGATACGTGCGATACGATATTGGGGCGCCAATGGCTGATCTTGGGATCCGCAGACTTCCTTGTAAACATGTCCGCCTCCGCCGATGTCCTCGCCCAAGCCAAGGTCGAAGTCGACCTCGCGACCATCCCCGAAGGCAAGAACGTCATCATCAAATGGCGCGGCAAGCCCGTCTTCATCCGCCACCGAACGAGTGATGAGATCAAGGAAGCCGAGGACTACGACTGGAAGAACCTCCGTGACCCTCAACCCGACTCCGACCGCGTCAAGAAGCCCGAATGGCTCATCATGTTGGGCGTCTGTACCCACTTGGGTTGTGTGCCCATTGGCGAGGCTGGTGACTATGGTGGCTGGTTCTGCCCGTGCCACGGTAGCCATTACGATATCTCAGGACGTGTGAGGAAGGGCCCGGCACCGCTCAATCTCGAGGTGCCAGAGTACGACTTCCCAGAAGATAATGCGCTTGTCATTGGTTAGAGAGGGGACAATGAGGAGTGGAGGGAGTGGGTATGTTTGAGTAACGTGAGCTGGGACAGGGATGGGGTAGAAGCCGTCTGGCTCTCTGTACAGTTACAGATACATCTTTTTTGTTGTGCTAGCGTTTCTGAAGTCAGGTCTGGAAAAAGGAAATCGCATAGCCAATGTTCTCACTTGAACATCTTTTCCGTCTCGAGCACCGGCAGGTCGAGCACTACTCTCCACTCAAATACTCACCAACAGCCTTCACCGCACCCTCAAACTTCTTCCCCTCCATCAAAATCAAATGTCCCTGCGACTTCACTCCCAACTCCTGAAATGCCCTCTTCGCGTCACTCGCCCCATCCTCGGTCTGCGTCTCAAAATCATACTCCGCCACCCCCACCGCATGCTTCCTCAACACCTCGTCCTCCGGATGGAAATAAAACACCTCGGGCTTCGCGCCCGCTTTGCTCTTCTTCGACGGCGGATTCTCCTCCGCGTCCAGCTTCGACGCGACTTCGGTGTACGTCTTGGAAATGACGAGGTAGTGCGAAAACTGATACGGCTCCTTGTCCTGCAGCGCCCACTGGATTTCTTCGAGCAGCATGTTGTACATGGGCGGCACGATTTGGTGCGGCATGTTGATGAAACGTTCGTTTAGGATCAAGCCGACTTGCGCGTCCGAGTCTGGGGAGAGCAGTTTCTGCAGTTGCTCGTGCAGGTTCCCATCATCGTTAGAGGCTTTGGAGCGTGAAAGAATGTAGTTTGTTAGTTGCTTAATGACGTTCTTCTCCCGGTGCGAGTGCATATTCAGGACGGTCAAGAACGCGTAGGGGTCACTTTCGTTCCCTTCACATTTCACCGTGCTGCCCAGCAGGGGCTGTGCGAGGATCATGTCGGCGAGTTCGGAGAGGTCGAAGAGTTGGTTGTCGACGTCGAGGAGTTGGCGGAGGAGCGTCTTGAGGCCGTGGAAGTCCACGGCCGGTTGCGGGTCGAACCATTCGAAGTCGACGTTGAGGAGGTCGATGTCCTGGGAGTTTGGGTTAGATTGTGAGGATTGCTGGGTTTGGAGATGAGTTGGTTTGGTTTACCTCGTCGCTGGAGTCTTCTTCGCCGTCGATTTCCATTTTGTCTTTGGAGGGGGTTTGGGCGTCGGCTGCTGCTTTTCTTTTGCCCATAGTGGCGAGTCTGTCGGGTGTTGTATTTCTGAGAAAGTTTTTATTTTTGAATACTTCAATCTCTGATGTTTGATTTATTTTAGTCTAGGCCTCTGTCCATTACATGCAGACGTCTGGAAAATTGTCTTGCAGGGATTCTCGGAACTTGACCAATGGTGCCTGAGGCATTAGTGGAAAGTCAACGTCACCTCCTTCTTCCACACCCCTTCACTTTGTGGCGCCCAACCCTTTCTCGGCAACACTCATTCTCTAAGAAATCGGTTCTGATACCATGAAGGAGCATTGCTCATCTGGCGTAGAGAATGAAGGAGAGCGTGTCAATCCGGATCACACGCAGAACGCGTGTGTGTTCCCCGAATAGGCAGCAGACGCCACCGAATTCGAGCGCAAACGCACCTGCATAAATAACATAACGATGGCTCGACCCGTCTGAATTGCCTGCCACGAACATGCGCCCTAATCCCCGTCCGGTGCCAGCATAATTGCGATAAATTAGTCAACGCGAGGCGCAGCGTCCTCGATGCCTCTTGCGCGGCGATCATTAGACACATATATCGAGGTCTCTCTCGTTGTTACAGCCCAGGAGGATGTCTGCCCTCATTTACGGCCGGGAAATGGTCACTTCGCATGCAAACAAATAGTCCAACAAGGTGGTATAGCACGAACGATGTAGAGAACACGGACATGTCTTCTGTATTATGGCCATCAAGATCACCGTCCTATAGACAACCTACGGTAAGGCTGCGGACCGCAAGGCGCCCGCACTACCTTCCTAGGCGAGGGAGGGAGAGGTTCGAGGATTTTCAGGATTATTCGATCTACTATTATGCAATGCATAGTATCCTTTCACTTTCGCTTTCAATACTAAAAACCCAAGTTCCTGTGACTTATCTCCATACCGCTATAGAACCGCCTTACACTTATATCAACAAATTTGAGGCAAAGACTCGCCAATTGGAAGACTGCTAGATTTAAGAAGATGACTTCCTTGCGCGTCGTGTGCGATGAAAGTCATCCTAACCGAGCTGCCATCCGAATTTTACTAGCTCATGGCGCAAATCCAACCCTTAGAAGACGTTTACATGAAATGGAATCACCAAAAACTTCTGCGTTCGACTCTGCCCGGGGCAGAGGCTATATATACATTATTTCAGTGATACAAGAGCACATTAGAAAAGTAGCAACTACAGCAACTTCAATATATAGGAATTCGCAGCAGCTTCCGTGGTTTAAGGAATTGTCCAAGCTTTTCATTTGTCGCGGATAGCGATTAAGGACATATGACGAGTCTGTGCCTCAATCTGCAAAAGTGAAGCTAGACATCATGAAGGGATTTCGATGCTGTCTCCATCTTCATCTAGCGGTCGTCGCCGATATGAACAACTGCGATGACATCCACTAGACGATAGCCTTCGAGAATATCCACGGCGTTCTTGTATGGAAGCTGGAGACGGGTTGTTGTTAGCGTCACCGAGCATTCGAATACCAGAAATCGACCTTTTTTAATGCACTAGAATAGTGGGTGTATCTTGCAAAGATCAACTGGTTGCGGAAGGAGGCAGATATCTTGCTCCACCGCCGCGTTGACGGCCCAGTCGGAGATTCGAACTCCGTCCTTGAGTGGTGTTGCTGAGCCTGGGAATTCGGCGGCGTCTTCGTCGCCGCTGGCTAAGACCATGAGGGCATGCATGATCGGACTGGATGGATGCGTCCTTCAATATCTGGTCCTCCTTACGCCGCGTGTGACGCGCCTTGACAAACCCCACTGCCGTTATCACCCCACGCTCAAGCTGCGCAGTCTCCAGAGGCTACAACGCGTCCGCTCCTACTCTCTCATCAAGCGAGATCTTCTCTATTGCTGACAGAACATGTGATAGCGAATGCGCGTCGAAAAATAGACGAGGTGTCTACTGACAAGTGGCTCCAAATCTACTAGCGGGAGACTTGGGAGTTGGTGGCATGTACAGCTCGTTGGTTTGTGTCTTCTAATAGTGAAGTGGGAAGTGGGATAGACACGGGATGTTGTGGGGCGGAGCGCTGAGCCCCTGAGTTACACATAACCGAGATTATGTACTGTTGATAGCCGCCGATGCTCGACTTTGGCTGCGATTTCTTTGGCTCTTCTAATTATTTGAGGGCTTTTGAAATACTTCGCGATCGAAACTTTACCCCAAAGAAGAGGAGTCAACACTTGACTTCAAGAATCTAACCATCTTTGCTCTACCGAACGAGCTCCCCGTACCGAAGTAGGCGAATTAGGCTCGATGGCACCTAAGCACGCCTCCGATGGAGCAAACAATCCACCTAGGAAACGGCGAGAATGCGTTCAAAAGCTCGAATATGGGCCGCTCCACGACGCTAGGAACGAGATTCGACTCTTGCAGATACTCCATATCGGCGATGGCGACACCGATCGTTTGCAATTCGCGATGTCTGTGCAACGATTAGACCAGGCCCCCGTCTTCAACGCTGTATCCTACACATGGGGTACCGAATCAGACCCGCGGTCAATAACCATTGGTGGCAACGAACAGGTTGTGAGGCTAAATTGCTTCCACGCACTGTACCAAATATGCCGAATATGGGAACAAGGGCGACTTCAAAGCCCTTTCATCTGGATCGATTCGATCTGCATCAATCAAGACGACGCGCAAGAGAAGGGCTTGCAAGTAGCCAATATGGCTGATCTATACAACAAGGCAAATCACGTACTGGCATACGTCGGCCTACATTCTGAAGACAGTCGGTTCTTAATACAAAAAGTGCATGAGGTGGCCAATTTTGCTTTCGACTGCAATCACGCCGATTTCCTCTGTTCAAGTTGCCGGCAACCCTGGGAGGAATGGGTGTTGGAGCTCGGTGCCGAGAACTTGAACAAGCTTAACATTGCTTGTTCGAACTTTGGCGAGAGGGAGTACTGGAAACGGATATGGATTATTCAAGAAGTCGCACGAGCTAAGAGTATTTCGATCTTGTGTGGTAGTGACATGTTCTCCTGGGAGCCGCTTCGCAACTTGGAGGAGTTCCTTGCCCTGGAGCTGGACGAATTCACGAGCGTTTTCGACAAGTATGGCCAATACATCGAATGTGGCATCAATTCGATGCATGACGTCTTTGCCGCCAAGACGGAGTCTTTCGACGTCGGCGGCATTTTGTCAAGGTACGCCGCCTCGAAGTGCAAGGATCCGCGAGACCGCGTTTATGGCCTGTTGAGTCTGATAAATTGGGCTGACGGGAGTGAGGCCATAGAGCCCAGTTACACAACATCAGCATATGAACTAGCTAAAAAGATCGAACCTTCCATTGCTCTTGGACAATTACGGAAAGTGCTCGCTTCGCTGAAGTTGAATATCGAGGATCAGGCAGTGAAGGATGCCATTCGGCCCCGGTTTGGCTCTACAACCGCACTCAACGGTAGCACTGCTTGCGGCTTGAATCGTCACTATAAATCACTCTGCCAAGAAGAGCTCGATGACAAGTTGATGTGCAGCAGGATTGTCCTTGATGAGAAGGACAATTTCAACGCCGGCTTGAGGAAACTACCGCTAGACGGATCAAATCCACGCCGCAGCTCCGGGGAGTCGTCACCACTTTCCAACGAAGTCAATGACGACGTAGAATCAAGTATAGAAGATGGGATATGGCGGAGACTTTCATCGTTGCTACTCAGGTTTTCTGACTGCCCACCGGAAAAGCTGATACTTGGTTCTAACGTCGCGGGTCTGACCTGCAACGGCACGGCTGTAGGAGACATCCTTGTGCGACTTCCAATAGAAGCCCAGGAAGTGTTTTTGGTCTTGAGGCAGCGACGCGGGGAGATTTTTGACGTCGTCGGCCAAGCCATACTTTTCCCAGGCTACACGTTGGGATGCTCAGCTGAGCCGGACGACAGGTCAGATGCCGCACAACTCTTCGATGCACAGGTCGAGCTTTGTCTCTCTACAGAAGACGCAGTTCTGCTTTTCGTTCAGGACATGGGTGTGCCTGAGGGCGTAGGAATCGAAGAGGTACCCATCGATGACGAGGGTCCTATCGATGAGGAGCATTGGTTGCGACGTCTGTTCACATTTGTTACCACGAATCCTGCCGAAGCTGCAAGAGTCACTGCTCAGTCCTCGATTTCGGCAGGCGAGGCAGCGAGCCGATCGAACGGCGAGAACATTGCACAAGGGACGCCGCCGGAGGGGTTTTGGCCGACTGGACCGCAGCAGAACAACCACGGCTGGTATGTCGGGCAAACGTCAATCGACAGTCTTCACGACGACAACCGTCACCAGACATTTTGGTGGCTCGCTCCAAAGCCAGACGAGGACGATCAATCGTCATAGAGAGCTGTCATCTTCTGACCAAGGACATGGGTCTGTTAGTCGTCCGTAGTGTAAGTATAGAAGGTTAACATACGCAAATGGCCTAGAGGGCACATCCTGATTTACATGCACTAGTTTCCCATCTCCGGAAAGAAGGCCATATGTACTACTATCGCGTTTAACACTAAAACCTTAGAAATCGCAGCATCGCCTAGACGTGGCAAAGCGCATCCATAGCTTCGTGACTGACAGCCTCCAAAGGACAGACCTCATGGTCGCCGGCACCAACTTTGGCCCTCCTGCATTCTCAGACTTCTGGACGCCACACGTATCGAGACTCGCCCAACACAATACCCTGCGATCATCTCGGGACTTGGCCGCCGGCCGTGGATTCTTCAAAAGCATCCCTCGTGGTCTCCAACCGAGTGCCCTATCGGTGCTGGTCAGACTAGCCACAGTGGATCGATACATGGCCGAAAACAACGGTCGATACAAGGCAGAAAGCCTACTGCCGCAAGATAAGCACTCGAAACGCAGCCCATCACGCTATCCTCTCGCTTGCGCCATGGAGTCAACTCGAGCCAACCGATCAGATTGCAATAACCCAAGCGGTATGCGAGTGCTACCGGACGTCCGCAGTGTCGTGTTCCAGTGCAGTCATCTATGGCCTTTCCCATCATTTGAATTGGCAGGCCCAGCCCATTACCTATCTTTCCGTGCTGGTGGAAAGCAGTAGAGAGGAGCTGATCAGTGAGTCTGCCGAATTGCTCTTTTGGGCGCTATGTATCGGCGCGCTGGCAACATCGTCTTCTCCTGAAAGGTCAATCTTTGACCGAGGACTGGCTGAGCTATGTGAGCCAGAGGATGCCGTGAATAGGTACTCGTTCTCCGAGTGTCAGGCTATTGTTGAAGATTTTTTGCGGAGTCCGAGAGCTTGTGGCGATGCAGGTGCGATAGTGTGGGCTGCTCTGTTATGTTGACAATGAAATATCTATGATCTTGAGTCCACCAATATCCTAAGCCTCCCCTTGACTCGAAGACTTACTTTACTTTCATAGACATACGAGCTATGGCTGTGCCAACCAGCGCCAGAAAAACTCGTCTCGAAACCTCAGATTACTCAAACGTCGGCCCTGATCGAAACACATTCCTCGGATCATACTTCCTCTTCGCCTCCACCAACGAATCCCAATACTCACCATACATCCCCTGAAAATCGGCATCCTCAGGAGACGTATGCGTGAAATACTGCGCCTTCTCCAAATTTCCCTCATCAATCTTCATCAAAGCATCATGGTACTCCGCAGCCCACTTCTTTGCTTCCTCGATTTTCTTGGGATCGGGTTCGGAGACTGTAGATAGCATCTCGATAAAGAAGTGCGGTTCCCGTACCTTGAACACGGAGTCTTGGATGGGTTCTTCTGCTTCTCGAAGCGTGTGGATTCCTGTGAGGGTTGCTGGGTCGCTTGGCATCTTTGCTGCGGCGTCTGCGATTACTTCTGCGACTTGATCGGAGAGGGAGTAGACGCGGCAGGACTTTTGGTTGTGGATGCCGAACATGACGGGTGGTAAGCCGGCTGCTGATGCTTCCTGCCAGTCGGGGATGTTGGTTTCTTCCACGGTGTTCATGATTGCGTGGCCGAAGGATGAGACGCGGTCGACGTATTGGCGGCCGGTTGCGAAGTCGGGTGAGCTCCACGTAAATGCGACTGCGAGCGTCTTGCCAAGTGGAGCGTTGACGATGACAGGTAGTATATGCAATGGAGCTGGAAAGCCGTCCCTCTCTAGTGCTCTGTCTCCAGATGCGAACTCCTTTATGATTGCGGCCAAGTCGCTGGACTCAAACACAATGCGACCAGCTAGAAGCTAGAATAGGATGTCAGTATCTACTCGCTCCAAGACCGCGCTGGAAACGTACCTTCTCCAGAGGGTAGATCTTAATCGTAAGTTCCACGATCACACCCAACATTCCCCCTCCACCTCGAATAATCCGCAGCATCTCAGCATCAGCCTCCAAAATCTGGCCATCGCAATTCACCAGCTTCGCGGCTAGAATCTGATCCACGCCCATCCCATACGTTCCAGCAAAACGTCCATACCCGCCACAGACCGCCCAACCAACATATCCAACGGACGGAACGCTTCCCATCGAAGTGGTGAGCCTCTCTTTGGACAGTTCTCGAGCGACCTGGCCCTGCAGCACGCCGCCACCTATCCTCGCGGAAGATTTCGAGGCCTCGATTTGCACAAAGTCAATATCGCGCATATCGATGGTGAGAGCATCAGCGGCGAACCCTCGAAACCAGCTATCGTGTCCGCCTGTTCGCACAGTGAAAGGAATATTGCTCGAACCGGTGAACGATACGATTGCGCCGACATCTTCGGCGTTCTGAGGACGTGCGATGCCGAGCGGTGTTGCGCCTTCGTTCCCATACCACGTGGATCTTAATTCAGGATAATCGGGTGATGTTGGGGTGACATAGCGGATGTGAGGATGCTGCTTGAAGAAGCTGTCCAACTGTTCCGATGCCGCCATGTTCTAGAGTTCGATTGTAATTCTTGCGATCTGTTGATACAAAGCTGATTCTCTCGCAGTCTTGTGCAGTCATGATGGTACTGACGTTGAACCATTGTTCAGCTGCTGATGAAGAAGCGAGCGGTGTCCGTTCAATCCTCATTCCTGCCGCTATGTTGGTATAGATGTGGGAGCTTTTCGCGAAGCACATTTCTCTTCGTTATACTCATTATGGTCCAATACAGTGTCTGCACTGACCACAGTTTCTTCGCAAAAGGAGGCGTGGAGAGGCGAAGGATTTTCTGCACGCAGGCATGGCCCAACTCAAATAAGGCGAGTGCTCTACCTTGGCAAAGAGGTCTGCTCAGGATTAATACCGGAACAGCTATGTGCGAACAAGAACACCAATATGCAAGCCATACACTGGTTGATAGATTCAGCTCCTCCTTGGTTGTGACCGCCGTCAATCATACACGTGAATGGAATGATGCAACGTATCTCATATGAAGGCAAACACATCGAAGCATGCGCTAGTCTTCAGCATCATCAGTACAATGATGTCGAAAATGTTAATGCTCCACTAATACTTAGAGAGAATGCGACAACCGACCGGCTCCGCTCGGACAGCACGTTGCTAATGTGCAGATCGCGGACAAAATCGGGCTACGGTTCTTTTCTCTGATAGTGGCGATGACGAAGGAGCGCGAGTGTTGTTTTTTGTGTGAACTTGAATTTTATCGGCGGCGTTGGAAGCAGTGATGATGATATTGTTGCTGCTGCTGTCGCCGCCGTGTAAATGTTGCCGCTAAAGAAACAAAGAGCATGAGAATATCGTCCGAATGTGTCTACTTGGGTGATCAGGTTAAGAAGTGCTTCCCTTCTTGTCTGTCTGGAGAGGAAGCGAAGTAGGCACCCGCTGGAAGTAGCCAGGGTGCACAGACCCTTTTATCACATGTTAACTTTGGCTACATGTACCTGATCTCCATAACTTATCATCCTAAGAATCTGTGCTTACAGAAGACATCACTCGATTACGTTGCTGTGCTGCCTGTTGCAGACGAGCGATATACTACAACACGCCATTACAACTTTCCACTTACATGCCGTCATAGCATTCATCTACGCGATAAGCCTTCAAACCAGCTAATAGCATTTTAGTGTTACGAATTGGCTCGACTAGGGCGAGCACTGAGTCTTTAGCAGTAAAGTCTACGACAGAGTCTATTATTGATGTTCCTTAACAATGACTCCGATTTTAAGATGCTCCACGTGCTCTAGACTATATAGTGACTGCCAGCACATCAAATACCACAGAGTCTTCAACGTTCAGTACCCAATTCTTCCAAGTCAACATAGCATTGATTGTTATTCAACATCCAAAATGCTCGTCACATTCCTCCTCCCCACGCTCTTCGCAGCCAGCATCATCGCCAACCCCGTCGCTCCCGCGCCAGCTGCCTACACCGGTAACTGCAATTCGCAAACCGCTTTATTGGCGAACTGCCAGCCCCCACAAGTATGCTGCGCTTCAATGGGAGGAGGTGGAGGGTGCGTCCAAACAGTGAGTTCTTGCGCTCTATGGTCATTAGAAGGAGACATCGGTTAATGCTAACGCCGCACGAAGACTGAATGCTGAGCGAGTGTCTTGCTGGCTGCGGCAGTGGGTGACTCTGCACAGGTATTGGTCGAGGCTGAAGAGAAGGAGTGGACTATTGAATATTTATCAGAAAAGGTTGGATCCAAGAATGTACTTGACAATGTTTCGTCGACATCACATGATTACCGCACCATTTCCTTCAAGGGAGTAACGTTGGCGACGACAGTTTATATATATGTGGTTTAACTTTGAGTGAACCTTTCGCATTGCCTTTACGGTTTAGAAAGCTCCTGCTGCGGTGACTTCTTCTTGGGCTCTACCAGTACAAGCATACAAACTTCGATGTTTCGATGCTGCGAAGAACACGATCTGTTCGAAGTAGTGGTGGCCAGGCGCTTCTGTACGGAAGTCACTCAATCTGTCAAACGATTGAAAACTAATCGACCTCGATGCCACACGACGTACCAGGATACAATCATAGCTATAGACCCACGTCTATGCAATGCCATGGAAGACATTATCCACCCGGCCACCGACACGCCTAAGCCACGCCAAAACCGGTGACCGGAGGCCCAGAGACGACACACGATATACGAAACGTGTCTCCTTCCGAGTCGTATGGTACGAGCACTCTGCAAAGCCTCATCGATACTCGTGAAAGACCAATAAATTATGCTGGAAATGCGACGCCTCAATGTGCCGTATGGTGGAGGCAACGGAACAGCTTACGCCATTGAGGTGTTCGTCGTCACGAGGCTGTTGTCCGTATGGGGGAATTTCGAGGAGACATGAGGCAGGTCAAGTGCCGCGAGACCGTGCATCGATCAAGATGGCGCGATGGATGTACCGCAAGCTGCGATCCTGTTTGCGGAGAAGGCGGTTGTATCGTATGGAAGACTCGTGCTCTTGCGGCCGCACAGGAGTGACCATTGACAAGATGAGCCGCAGAGTAATGGCTTGCTGTATTTAAAGGTCGTAGTTTCCTGATAACCTTCGAAGAGGGAGCTCAGTTGTAGCAGAGCCATTGATACCCCGAAGATGTATGCTCGATTCGTCCCTTTCGTAGCCTTGTGCTGCCTTGCTTGTACCAACCTCGCCTCTCCTCTCCAGGACAGACAGGCATCTGCTCCAACAGTTACCGTCTCGAACGGAGTGATCGTGGGAACGACAACGCAATATGCCGATGCCACAGCAACGAACAACAAATTCCTCGGCATCCCCTTCGCAAAGTCCCCTCCTCTGCGGTTCGGTATGCCTGAAGCCGCAGGGCCTTGGAATTCCCCCCTTGTCGCCACCACGTTCAAGCCTGGATGTCCTCAGACGACTGCCATCCCGGAGCAGATACCGAGCGGAACGAGCGAGGATTGCTTGTATCTGAATGTTTTCACGCCGGCGGGTACCACTGCGTGGAGCAACAAGACTGTGTTGTTTTGGGTGTATGGCGGGAACTTGCAGTCTGGTAGTGCGGCGATCGATTTGTATGATGGCTCGTTCATGGCTGCCAATCAAGATGTCGTTGTGGTCAGCTTTGGGTATCGTATAAATGGTATAGAATCCAGGACAAACCTGGCAGAGATTGCAGCTCACGAGTCGACAGCTTTCGGCTTCTCAAACGCCCCTGAGATTCCCATCTCGGAGCAAAACGTCGGCTTCTATGACCAGAGACTCGCACTCAATTGGGTCCGGTCAAACATCCAGGCTTTCGGTGGCGACCCAGAGAAGATCACAATCTTCGGCCAAAGCGCGGGAGGTTACTCGGTCAAGTATCTGCTCAGGCTGCCGCCAGATCCTCTGCCATATCGAGCGGCCATCATGCAGAGCCAGGCGACGTTGATCCTCGGTAATGGCGCTGACAGCTGGAACCGCCTCGCTGCGGAGCTGGGATGTACAGGACCTTCGACACTGGCTTGCGTGCGGGCGGCGGATGGACAGCAAGTAGAAGCCATCGTCACGAACCAGTCCCTTGGGTTTCCGCCCGTTGAGGATCGAATCACGTATCTTGAGGATGTATATCCGGACTTCGCCAGGGGCGCTGCAAACGTTCCTGTAATGCTCGGCACGAATGGCCAAGAAGCCTCAAGAATCCCCTTCTTGCTTGGCCTGAACGGCACTCCAGTGATAGAGATCGTCCAGCTGCTCACATCTTTCCTTCCGGTGGTTGGCGATGTGCTCACCAACATACTGAATGCGATTCTGAGGAACAATCCGGTGTACAATCTCGTCGACGCCCTCATGACAAACCTGGTGTTCCAGTGTGCTACTGCGAAGCTCACTCAGATGATCCACGACAGCGGTAGACCAGTTTGGCGATACTTTTACAATGCTTCATTCCCGAATACCACGCCGTTCCCAGGTGCTGGGGCATACCATGGTGCTGAGATCCCAGAAGTGTTCGGTACCTACTCGCGCGAGAATGCCACAGCACAGCAAAGAGCACTGAGTCAATATATGCAAAGCGCTTGGGCGAATTTCGCCAAAAACCCTACCAGCGGGCCTGGTTGGCCTGCGTATGGCTCTGCGCAGAATGTGGCGAATCTCGGGAGTAATGGGAGCCCTGGAGAAGTGACGATTCCTCCTGCGCAGATTGATGGGATTTGTGGTCTACTTGGTGTACTGGGCGGTTTAAACACCGCATTGGGTTCCGCAAATGCTAGCTCGCCCGTCGCTGGAGCGCTTGAGCAGACATTGCGGTTGGGAGAGTCCTTGGCATAAGGTGAAATAACTGTAGCATTCTATGCAAAGAATGGTTGACAACTCCGTCACGACTTAGTGCAAGGCCGCAGGCTGTATGCATGGCAATAGCAACCAACCTGCTCGTTCGCCGTGTTCAATCGGCTCAGCTGGTGAAAGCGGCGCAGATCTTGCATTTTACTGTATTCTTCAACGTGAAGACGAGCCAGTATCTCTGCAGCGACCGAATATAGCACGTCGAGATTTCCATCTTCAATCTTGATCGCGATGCCGATAGCGCCAGCGCTTCCCAGGCGTCGTGTCTGTTCTGATGCTCGTATGCCTATTCCGTAGCAGCCATCCGCTCCAACCTTGCCGATGAGCCTCCCGTGGAAATTTTTCATAAGGGTGGTGCAAAATCTGTCTTTGCCGGCGACCATCTCGGGGTATGTTGACATGGCGTGGAAGATTTGCGACATGCGCGCTGTCTGAGTGTCATCCTTGTCAGCAGCATCAGCAGCCGTGGCGAATTTGGCATAGACTTGTGCCATGCTCTGGAGCGGAACGGCAGGAGCAGGAAGATTACAGCCATCAGTTGACCAGAAGACCGAAGCAGGTTCAAGGTCGGCAAGTTGTTCGACAACTCGTTTGACCTCCGTCTGCAGTGGATTGCCCGGCAAGTGATAGGTCTCAATGGCGCCACCCAGAGCTTTGCTCCCAGCCAACATTCCAGCATGCTTCCCCGAGCAGTTGTTGTTGATTGGCGTTGGCTCGAAGTCTGCCCTGATCCACGATCGGTTGACCTCGCTTGATATCGATGGGTGGCCGCCGCAATTGAGATCATCTTCCGTCACGCCAGCCTTTACCAGCATGGAACGAGCACGATCAACATGTCTTTGCTCGCTATTGTGAGAGGCACACATGAGAGCAAGATCCACTTCATCAAATCCACACTTCTCAAAACATCCAGTGCTGAGGACGGCGAGTGCTTGGGCAGGCTTTGCGGCGGATCGCATCAACGTCACACGGGAAGGGTTGCCGACGGCGTATAGCAATCGTCCAGTGGAGTCCACGATTGCTGCATGCACTTGGTGGGTGTTTTCCCTGACATCGCCTCTCGTTGCGATAACGCAATCTTCGCTTTGAGCTGGTCCGGTCATTGCCGAGTTTGGGAACTAGATTTCGCAGATTGAGAGTAGGTGCATTCAAGAGCTCTCTTTTGGCAATTGCACTGTTCTGCAAAGGTGGTCCTGAGTGCGTTTGTGCGAGGGAGAGTCACAAGTACTTTGTAGGGCGTTCAACACTCGAGAGGGCTGAAGGAATGAGCATCCCCGGTCGCTTCCGAAGTTATCGCCGTAAGAGAAGGCTACTGGCATCTTCACCAAATCTTGGCAAAGCTTTGCAGTCCACGGTGTTGTCTGTGAGGCTGATTAGGAACATGATGAAGGATTTGACGACTTGATAGGAAGAGCAACACGCGTTGAGCACACGAAAGGAGACGCGATGCCTGCCAAGTCTTCATATGCAGGTCCCGCCGTTAGCGCCAACTCTATCTCGTCGCGGGGTGAAATTTTGGCAGGCTCGCTCACTCGCCTTTGACTCAAACTGGCCTTCTCACCATCAACACCATCCAGGCTCAGTCGAAGCAAAGACAAACATGGTCACCAACGGGGAGATCAACGGCGTCCCGCCACCACACACCATCTTCGACACCATCCTCGTCCTCGACTTCGGCTCTCAGTACACGCACCTGATCACGCGCCGACTCAGAGAGCTCAATGTCTACTCTGAGATGCTGCCGTGTACGCAAAAGATCGCGGATCTTGCTTGGAAACCGAAAGGTGTCATCCTATCTGGCGGCCCATACTCCGTCTACGCTGAAGACGCCCCACACGTTGATCCTGCGGTCTTCGACCTCAACGTCCCAATTCTAGGTATCTGCTACGGACTGCAAGAGCTGGCTTGGCACTTTGGCAAGAATGTCGCCGCAGGAGAAAAGAGGGAGTACGGCCGCACAAACGTGCAAGTCACTCGTCACAACGGTCACATCGATCACCTGTTCGACGGTTTAGAAGACGGATTGGAAGTCTGGATGTCTCACGGCGACAAGCTTTCCAAATTGCCAGACAACTGGGTCACTACCGCGACCACCTCGAACGCACCGTACGCAGGCATTGCTCACTCGAGCAAGCCTTACTACGGGATCCAATTCCACCCTGAAGTCACACATACGCCGATGGGCAAATATGTGATCAAGAATTTCGCCGTTGGGATCTGCAAGGCACAACAGAACTGGACAATGGGCGCGTTTGTGGACAAGGAGATTGCAAGGATCAGAGGCTTGGTTGGGGACAAGGCTCAAGTCATTGGTGCAGTCAGTGGTGGTGTTGACTCTACTGTCGCGGCGAAGCTCATGCAAAAGGCCATTGGTGATCGCTTCCATGCTGTCATGGTAGACAACGGTGTCTTGCGACTCAATGAGGCGATTGAGGTTGAGCAGAACCTGAGGGAAGGCCTTGGTATCAACCTGACTGTAATTGATGCCAGCAAGCTCTTCTTGGGCAGGCTCGCTGGAGTCTCTGATCCAGAGAAGAAGCGCAAGATCATCGGCAACACCTTCATCGATATCTTCCAGGACGAGGCAAAGAGGATCGCAGCAGCAGCTGAAAACACTGAACGCGCTGGCAAGATCGAGTGGTTCCTACAGGGCACGCTCTACCCAGATGTCATCGAATCGATTTCCTTCAAGGGCCCGAGCGCAACGATCAAGACGCACCACAACGTTGGAGGCCTGCCTGAGAAGATGGACCTTAAGCTAATTGAGCCCCTGCGCGAACTGTTCAAGGACGAAGTGCGTGCTCTCGGCACTGAGATGGGTATCCCGGACGACCTGGTCTGGCGTCATCCATTCCCTGGTCCCGGCATCGCTATCCGTATTATCGGCGAAGTCACCCCAGACCGAGTGCGTATTGCACAAGAGGCCGACAAGATCTGGATCTCCGAGATCAAGGAAGCTGAGTACTACCGCGCCATCTCGCAGGCTTATGCCGCAGTACTCGGTGTGAAGGCTGTGGCCGTTGTGGGTGACCAGCGTCTGCATGGCGAGATCATTCATCTCCGCGCTGTACAGACGACGGACTTTATGACCGCCGATGCCTTTGAAGATTTCAGCCTGAAGTGGCTGAAGCGAGTCTCGGGTCGTATTGCGAACGAGGTATCAGGTGTTGCAAGAGTAGTGTACGAAACGACTAGCAAGCCTCCCGCCACGATCGAGCTGGAGTAGGACGCTGTTGATTGCATGAGTTGTTATATAGCAAGGCGTTAAGGAGATAGATTCGAGAGGACCATGATACCCAGAGACAAATGAAGTGCTGTTTGATGAATCTTATATTCATGCAGAGTGAACGACGGTCTGTTGAATTTTTCGATGCAGCAATATTGGGATGTCTTGACAGTTTCTAGCACAGTGAATCGAGTACGAATGGAGATAAACTGTAGTTAATCGTGATCGCGTGGACTCCAAGACGATTAAACTGCAAATGCAAAAGTCCGTGCCTTGCATGTGATGCCAGTATGATGACGGAGGAAGGTGCGCCCCACATGCTTTCTCTCTCGACGTCATGAACCAGCAATTCATCGATTCAAATTGAACAGGTCTCGTGTCTGTTTCTTCTGCACAAACAACAGCAAAACTCTACAGCAAAATCATCGAAGACAACAACCAAATCATCCACAACCACTCAAATCAACCACAATGACTAGCAACGTCGGAAACCGCGCCCTTTACGAGGACGGCGACCAGGTAAACATCTTGTCTTAAGCAAGCCTTCTCATCGTGCTAACATCCTCTCAGAAGAACGTCCCACAGAGTGAGCGTGAGCAGCCTGACCGCTTCAAGGAAGGCCAGCCCAACTCTCACAAGGCACTCGACTCCAAGGACGAGCGATCCATTGCCAACAAGCTCGCGCGGGAGGAGAAGCGAGAGAACGAGCCCGAGGGTGAGAACAGCGAGGAGGCCCGGGAGTCCAAAATCGACTCGACGCTGCCAGTAAGTATTTCCACTTACATCTCACACTTCTGTCGAAGACTAATCAATGTCAAGGCCCGCATGCACGGCAACGAGCCATCGAAAGGCGCCAAGATCGACCAGCAGCTGAAGGAGGAAGAGGAGGCAGAGCTCAAGAAGAAGGGTGCCTTTGGTCCAAAGTAGGAGGATGATACCAACAATGCTTTTGCAAAGCGTTCGGCGTGTGGCTGGGTAGGGAAGGGGCTTTTGGAGTTTGCATCGGCACAAAAGGAACCGTGAGCATGTGCATATGACCTGCAACCAAAATGAGATACTCAAAAGAAGGGTATCAACCAGTTTATGATATCCCAGGCTGACCAGCAACCTTCCACGTTCAACTTCCACACGCTCATGCTTTCGATGATGACGCCCTCTTCATTCGTTCCCCCATACGTCCGGCAGAATGACAGTCGAGGGTATCATTTTGATCGCAAACCACTCCCTGCTATTCCTATACCGATTATGCCAGTTCAACGCCTTACTCGCATCCCGACTCGAAAAAATCGTACACCCACTCTCCAAGTCCGTCAACACCGGCAGTCTCGCCCCACACTCCAAAAACGCCAAATCCCACTCAAACGTCGCCGTATCAATCACATGAATCCGCACCTCCTCCCTCCGCCGCCGAAACCTGCGATCAAACTCATCGGACGCCCAGCTCACATCATCCGTGACGCTCACGAACAACGGCGGATCATTCCCATCCCCATCGGCGGTGGTAGGCGTAAAGCGATGGGACCAGTCGATTTGGTTGTCGAGATTCTCCGTGTTGACGATACTCGTCCAGTAGCTCCAGTGGCCCCACAGCTGCGCGCCGGTGTCGAAGTCGTTCTTGTGGTTCACCCGCGTCAGCGAGGTGCTGTCGGTGACGCGCCAGAAATAGCGGGGTTTTGGCGGGGCGGTGAAGGCGTAGACGGTCATGTTGGCGTGGAGGTGCAGGACGGGTTTGGCGTCTCTGTTGCTGCCGCTGCTGGGGAGGGGCTGCTTGTGGAAGCAGTCGAGCTTGAGGAACATGGTCGATGAGGTCAGCTGGAGAGGGTTTTATGAATGGGCTGCTACATCTGGCTTTTCCTTGGCGCTGTGTGGTGAGAGTTTGTCTGTCGATGGGAGATTGAGGAGGGGATGGATGGGAGGGATTGGAGTGAGCTTGGGGTTTGCTTCCTTGTAAGAGGACAGGGTTGGGGGTTTGAGGTGGTGGTTATGCTTTATTAGACGTGGGCGGTGCTGGAGTGGGTATGTGATATGTGTGGGATGTAAAGTAGGAGAAGCGGTGTCCTGTGTCTACGACTATGTTGGCGATGTGATGAGCACGAAGAGTGAGACTAGTCTATCGATATGTGAGTGAATGATGGATATCGTTGTGTCTCACAAATACCCACATGTGGACTTGTGGCCTTCACGCACCCCCAGCCACACATCCGCACCTCACTCAAACCAACATCAACTCGTCGCGTGACAAACAAGACATCGAACCCCAGCAAATCCCAGCTGCCTAAGCAATCAAACCGTCAAGTCAGCGAACATGCGCACCTACATCCATCAACCTCGATGAAATAGACCACCTCGCACCGAAAGCGCCTCACCACCACCACGCGTTCTCTCCGCCTGGTGCGATGAAACCGCACAACCATGGGCCAAGGATACTCATCTATCGCGCTCCCGGCCGGTCCTAGTGCGATAGAGACCGCAGAGCTCACAGACCTGACGTTCGAGCGGCCCTTGGGAGGCGCCCGGTTTCTGAGGACCGTCCGAGCCAGGCACCAGAATGGCGTCGTTGTGGCCAAAGTGGCCATGAAAGCCAACGCTTCCGTGTCCTTCAAACAATACGCCAAAGCACTGCGCCAGGAACGACAGAATCTGAGAGATATTCCGAACGTTCTACCTTACTCGCGGATTCGCGAGACGAGTACGCTGGGAGTTCTTGTGCGGCAGTTTGTCCACTCGTCACTGTATGACCGCATCAGCATCCGGCCGTTTCTGGAGGATATCGAGAAGAAATGGATCGCTTTTCAGCTTCTGTGTGCTGTGCGCGACTGTCACGCTCGAGGCGTCTTTCATGGAGATATCAAGTCGGAGGATGTTGTGGTCACGTCGTGGGGCTGGATCTACCTGACGGATTTTGCGTCCTCGTTCAAGCCTGTCTATCTACCTGAGGACAATCCTGCGGACTTCTCCTTCTACTACGACACATCGGCTCGAAGGACTTGCTACCTTGCGCCTGAGCGATTCCTCGCAGCGGGAGAGCAACCGAGTGAGGGGAATGTGGTTCAGTGGAATATGGATATCTTCAGCTTGGGCTGTGTCTTGGCGGAGCTGTTCACTGAGGTGCCAACCTTCACGCTCAGTCAGCTTTTCCGCTATCGCAAAGGCGAATACGATCCTACGGTCTCGTTGCTGAACAAAGTCGATGATGACCATGTGCGGTCTCTGATCAGCAGTATGATCAGACTGGATCCGACTGAGCGTTGGCATGCGAGCGACTATCTGGACGAGTACAAGGGGAAGGCGTTTCCCCTGTACTTCTACAACCACCTTCACACTCTCATGCAAGAGATTACGGATCCTGCTTCCGGTCGTAGATCTATCGTTGCTGGCGAGACAAACAATGGCTACGCAGATGATCGCATTGACAGGATCTATAGTGACTTCGAGATGCTCTCAGTGTCTCTGGGATACCAAGACACGCAATCCGATGAGGCTTCTGCGCCGGCTAAGCCTGCATACCTGAGAGGACTGTTCCCGCTTCAGGTGGACCTCCCGAACAGCCGGCATACTGCTCACGCTGCGCATCCCAGCAGTGGCGAGAACGGCACCTTCATTCTCCTCAACGTCATCACCGCTTCACTACGAAGTTCAGCAAGGGCTTCATCGAAAGTTAGAGCTTGCGAGCTACTGCTGGCCTTTGCAGAACGTCTGCCCGACGAGGCCAAGCTTGATCGCATTCTGCCCTACATCATGCCTCTCCTTGAAGACAAGAATGAGATGGTTCTGATCGCGGCCCTGCGAACAATGACCCAGCTACTGGCTCTCGTGACTGTGGTCTCCCCCGTAAACTCATTCCTGTTCACGCAGTACATCTTCCCCAGACTCCAGGTCTTTGTCAAAACTGATCCGTTCGAATCATATGCTCTGGTACGAGCGACGTATGCAGCATGTCTGGCAAGCCTGGCAGAGACGGCGACCCGCTTCTTGGACATCATGCAAGCCCTTCGCGCGGAAGGCTCGCTTCCATCTGCGGATAAAGGAGTGGATGCTGATGCGGACAATGTCATCGCGAGTGATGATGCGTTTGACGAAGCTCGACTCGGAATGTTGGAGCAGTTCGAAGCGCAGACCAAGGTCTTCCTCACAGACGAGGACAAGACCGTCCGCCGCGCATTTCTACTCTCTGTCTCAAGCCTCTGCGTGTTTCTGGGCGAGACAAGAGCAGCGGATGTGATCCTCAGCCATTTGAACACATACCTCAATGATCCCGACTGGATGCTGAAGTGTGCGTTCTTCAGGACGATAGTCGGTGTGGCCATCTACATTGGGAGTGCTAATCTTGAAGAATTCATCTTGCCGCTTATGCTGCAGGCCCTAGCCGACCCCCAGGAGTTCGTAGTTGAGCAGGCCTTACGCTCCCTTGCGACAATGGCGGAGATGGGTTTGCTGCAACGGGCGAAGACTTGGGAACTGATCGACACTGTCGCACGGTTCGAGATACATCCTAACTTGTGGATCAAAGAAGCTGCTTCCCACTTCATCTCGGCGGCGACCACGTTCTTGTCCATGGCTGACATCCGCATTCTCGTGGCGCCGCTGATTGAACCCTACCTGAAGGTACCCGTCAGTACTCTCGACGAATCTGAACTGCTTGATGCATTGAAGAAACCATTGCCTCGGATTGTGCTCGACCTGGCTGTGCAATGGGCTGGAAGAGTGGAGAAGAGTTCGTTCTGGAAAGCCGCGAGAGAATCAACGCAGCTTTCTCATCTATCAGCCGGCCATATGCCTCCGCAATCGTCCGTTGCTGGCCTTGGACCCAAGGCTCTGGCGAGGACGCCAAAGACTGACGAAGATGAACAGTGGCTAGGCCGTCTACGCAATGCCGGAATGCATCAAGAAGACGAGATGAAACTGTTGGCGTTTCGGGAATACATCTGGCGTGCCGCGAGGCGGACGAAAAGAGATCAAGGCGGAGAGAACTTCAGCACTTACGATGAGATTGTGAAGTTGACGAAGTGGAAGGTCACTCCTCAGACGGTAATTTTTGACAACGACGTGCGAGCTTATGAGCAACACGTCCAAAATCAGAACCGGACAATTGCTGAAGCAATTGAGGAGGCGTCGAATAATGCGGCGGCGGCAAGATCAAAGAGCGTCGCGATGAACGGAACTGGCGATGATGTGAATGTCGCGGACGGACGTCAGATATCTCAGGCTTCGGCGATACAGCAACCACGACGGCTGTCTGGGCTGCGGGCTAAGGGCTCCGGTAGCCTGTCATCGTCGCCGAGCTCTGGCATCGGGCTGCTTGGTAAAGATGTCGACCAAGCACTACGACAAAAGGGCAATGCTGCTGGTCTGATGACGGGCGCCGACCTACGAAGCAAAGCCCACGCTGCGGTCGCCACGGACGATGCCACAGCCATTGGGAGATTGAACCTGCCATGGACTGGAAGCCGTCATGAGTCGCCCGCGCCAAATTCATCCGAGCCCCGACGAGGCCTTGAGCGAGCGGCAAGCAATCGTGCTGTGCACAACTACGCCGGCAATGACCCAACTGTTCTGAGGCTTCTTGATGCCGTCTATGTCGACAGCTTTCCCGTGGATGCTGCCGACTTTGGACCGCTCATACAACCGTGCACTGGAATCGTGCCCAGCAACGCGAGTCAAGCAACTTCTGGACCTTGGAGACCGCAAGGTCAGCTGCTTGGAATTCTAGGAGAGCATACTGCCGCTGTCACTCGTGTGCTTCCAGCCCCGGACCACGTCTTCTTCCTTACAGCGTCTGACGATGGTACTGTCAAAGTGTGGGATTCTGCACGACTGGAGCGCAATGTTACACACCGCTCTCGCCAGACTTACCGGCTTGGCGAGGGAGTGAAAGTTACCAGCTTGTGCTTCATTGAAGCAACACATTCCTTTGTATGCACAGGCTCTGATGGAAGTGTTCATGTAGTGAGGGTGGATGTTGCTGAATCAAATTCAGTCACTCGATATGGCAAGCTGCGTCTTGTCAGGGACTGGCAGATACTCACGAACAACACATCTGGCGAATTTGCTGTCTGGACCGAGCACTACCGAGGGGATTCTGCAAGCACGCTGGTCATGGCGACGAATCTGGGGCGTATCCTGGCGCTTGATCTGAGGCACATGGCTTTGCTCTGGGATCTTCACAATCCCGCTCACCACGGCACTCCGACGTCTTTCTGCATGAGTCGACGGCATGACTGGCTGCTCGTGGGAACTTCACACGGCGTGCTGGACCTTTGGGACATTCGCTTCCGATTGAGGTTGCGGTCGTGGACGTTTTCGAATGCGGCGCCCATTACGAGGGTGCAGCTCTCACCAGGACGAAAGACGTCCAAGCGCAATAGATTTTGCATTACAGGAGGTACTGCACCCGGTGACATCTCCATCTGGGACGCGGAAAAGGCCGTCTGCTACGAAGTATATCGTCCAGCTCACGCCCATAGCAAGGAGCGACTTCACGCTCGAGAATACGAACTCAAGAATATGGAAGACGAAAAAGCCGAAGCACCACTCGGACGAGTCGCAGGCTCTGTCGGCGTCGAAGCCGCCAAGCTCGAGAAAGACAGCGGCCTCCCCAAACTCAGTAGCTGCTCCTTCTTCGGCTCCCAGCCCTCCACCAAAGACCCCGACGCAAACCACATCTTCGCCCTCACCGGCGGGCCCGACAACAAGGTCCGCTTCTGGGACTGCGACCGCCTCGACGGCTGCCGCCTCATCAGCGGCGGCAGCACGCCCGACGAAAAACCCGCGTACACCATCAGCCAGCTCTCGCAAGACACCAAAGTCGTCTCCGAGAAGCCCTCCGAAGGCGCGCAACCCACGACGGGACTCGTGGAGTCGAATAAAGTCGCCCCGAACACTTCTGCGAAACGTGCTGCCACAACGATGGGGGCGGCGGCGGGTGGTTCTGCGCGGCCGCCGTCGAGGTATGAGACAATTCGGTTGAGCGCGCAGAATCTTGCGAGTAGGCATTTGGATTTGATCACGGATGTGGCGTTGTTGGAGCGACCTTTTGGAATGGTGTTGAGCGCGGATCGGGGTGGGAAGGTTTTTGTGTATCAGTGAGTTGAGTAGATAGATAGAGGGTAGCAGATGGGTATGGATGATTTTGGGAATGTGAGACAGGCAAGCGTCTTGGGGTGTGTTGGTGCTGGTGCGTTCTGTGCGTGAAGTGTGGTTGTTTACTAGTGTTTCTTTGATCCTCAATGGAGGCGGACATCGATAGAGGCATGCTTATACCCTTCATGAGTGAATGTAAGGTTAATCATTTCTCAGACATGATGCTGCTGGCGACTTCTACATCCAACTCAACAATGCTCGACGCCAGGTCAAAGAAAGGCAGTCGATACATAAACCCAGCCTCATCTCCGAATTGAACTTCTGGCCAGCAGCAGAAACGAAAAAGTTGGCATCCAAAGACCAAAGATGTCAAACAACAACTCCAACAAAAACTCCAACAACAACGACAACGCCAACGGAAAGATCACCAATCCCCTCTACCTCCCACCCTCAGACCGCCCCGTCATCGATCCACAGCTCGAGGAAACTGTTCCAAGCGCCGGACAGCGTCCTCAGTACCCTGCTGTCGAGCCGCCCTCTCTCCCTGGAACGGCATACCAGCTGGGTGGAGAGCATGGTCGCTTGCCTGGTGCTCAGCAGCCAGACAGCCAGCTAAACACTTCCCAGCGATCAGCAGCCAACCAGCATGACCGTTTCGCCAGTGTCCAGCAGCAGGATGCCCAAGCGGTGGCTTCTTATAGATCGCCGTATCAGCCGCTGGGAGTGGGAGAAGGTGGTGGGTTTGCGGGTGGTTCTCAGATTGCAGGGAGTGGGGATTCGAGGCGGGGTGGTGAGCGGGTGGAAGGGGCTGAAGATGGAGGAGCGCAGGGTTCGGATGTTCAGCGAGCAGAGCCAGAGGTCGAGAAGCGTCAACCTGAGAGAGAGAATCTCAACGCAGCCGTAAGTCCCCTCCCCTCCCCTCCCCTGATCCCGAATACTAACGAACACCCCCTCAGCAACAAAGCCTCCACCTCGCCACTACGACATACGCCCAAGAACCGGAGGATCCCCTCAACACGGCGGGGGAGATGATGGATCAGATGGAGAGGGAGAAGGAGAAGGAGAGTGATGGGAAGGGAGGTGACGTGCCGGTTGCGTTAGCGGATGCGGCTGGGAAGAGAATGGATTTGGGGAGGTGTAGGTATTTGAGGTGTCGGATGAAGGATGGGGTGCATGAGGTTTGGTGTATTGGGGCGTGGAAGAGGGAGGGGGAGAAGGATGGGCAGAACGAGCAGAACGAGGAGGGACAGGGGAATGAGTAGGCAGAGGGTGGGAAGAGCGTAAGGAGAAACTAGGAAGTGGGAGGCTATGGTGAACAGAGGGAGGATGATGCTCCATGGACAATGCTATGCAGTGGGATGCTATTGGGTTGAGATCAGGCTGTGTCATGAGAGTGATCGTAGTCAATGGATTCTGTCTTCGTTGCGCTGTCGGGTCGGTTCACCCACATTGTGCCGTTTTCTCGAATGTGTGGTGATTATGTGCTCATCGTATCGTCGGGTCAGACCATCCACCCCGGGATGACTCTGCCATGTCGAAGTGATATCGTTGGTGGAAGTAGTTGTCTGGAGAGGTGAAGTCGGGAACGGACACCCACATACCGATCGATGCCCCTGAGAAAGCTTGAACGCCTTCGGGAGCAGCCTTTTGCTCCGCCGAAGCACAACTCGAACGTGGCCCTTAAACGCTAATAAAAATATTGAACAAGACCTCCCACCAAAGCGAACCACCACCGCCCAATTGCCCTGCCCCGCCTCCACACACCTCTCCGATCCTCACAACTGACAGCACTGGTGGTATAACACCCCTCCTCTGCGCGCACCCGAGACAGCGGCCGCTCATCGCCCTCAAAAAGGAAAACACACCCAAAACTCACGCCCTACTTGACTTTCACCATGGTCGTTGGATCTGTGCTCGTGACCGGGTACGTCGGATACCCGCACTGACTCTTCCTCTAACGCTTGGACTGATAAGACCTCGCCAGCGGCACCGGCTACATTGGCTCCTTCACCGCCCTCGCCCTGCTCGAGGCCGACTACAAGGTCGTCATCGTCGACAACCTCTACAACTCCTCCGACGAGGTCCTCAACCGCCTCGAGCTCATCAGCGGGAAGCGGCCGCAGTACTACCAGTGCGACATCACCGATGAGAAGAAGCTGGATCAGGTGTTCGATGAGCACCCGGACATTGACAATGTGATTCACTTCGCCGCGCTCAAGGCCGTGGGCGAGTCGGGGGAGATCCCTTTGGCGTATTACAACGTCAATGTGTATGGCACGCTGTGTCTGCTGCGGTCGATGCAGAAGCACAATGTCACCAATATCGTCTTCTCCTCGTCCGCGACGGTCTATGGCGATGCGACCAGGTTCCCGAACATGATTCCTATCCCTGAGGAGTGTCCCCTGGGCCCCACGAACCCTTACGGTAACACGAAGTTCACTGTCGAGACGATGATTACGGACTACGTCAACTCTGAAAGAGCCAAGGCGCAGAAAGAGGGCAAGAGCGGGGATGCGTTCAATGCGGCATTGCTGCGATACTTCAACCCTGCTGGAAGCCACCCGAGCGGGATCATGGGTGAGGATCCTCAGGGCGTGCCATACAACTTGCTGCCATTGTTGGCGCAGGTCGCGGTGGGCAAGAGGGAGAAGCTGTTGGTGTTCGGTGACGGTAGGATGGAACGAGACATTGAAGGGGGAAAGGTCATACTAACGTCTTGCAGACTACAAGTCCAAGGACGGCACCGCAATTCGCGACTACATCCACATCCTCGACCTCGCAGAAGGCCACCTCGTCGCCCTCAACCACCTCCGCTCGCAGCACCCCGGTGTCCGCGCCTGGAACCTGGGTACCGGCAAGGGCAGCACCGTCTTCGACATGATCAAGGCCTTCAGCACCGCCGTGGGCCGCGACCTGCCATACCAAGTCGTCGGCCGAAGAGCAGGTGACGTGCTCGACCTGACCGCAAACCCAACCCGAGCGAACAAGGAGCTGGGCTGGAAGGCGAAGCTCACACTCGAGGACGCTTGCGCTGATCTGTGGAGGTGGACGGAGAACAACCCACAGGGTTACCGACAGCAGCCGCCCAAGGAGTTCATCGAGGCGCTGAAGAGCAAGAAGCAATAGACTCTCGCTCAGAATTGTGAGTCAACATTTCGGTTGGTAGTTGCATTGGGTGAGGGGCGGTCATTCTGCATGGGATTAAGTTGGAAATAAAATACCCAAAGTGCCTTTCGGGCGCTTCTTGAGAAAAGCCCAGAATGGACCATTTGGTTTCTTCTGAATTTGCAATCAAATGAAGGTGTGCTAGTTGGCGCTGCGAATATCAGTCCCCACATTCTCCTCCTTCCAACCCTTGTCTTTGGCTTGCTTGTTGAAAGCTCCAGCGTCTTTGTTCGTGTTAGTCTTCACCATCGGCTACTATAGCCTGCACACCTCGTCTCCACCCATTGGCATGCATAGTCACCCACAAAGCCATCATTATGGCTTCCAGACCCCTCTCGGACTGTGGCACTTACTGTAAGTGCTATGAGCAAAATTCCGCTCATCCCACTGCATTCCGCAGGGTCAAGATTGTGCATTTCGCACATCTAAAGTCTCGAAAATCACGAGGCTAAAGGCTCGAAAATTCGAGCCTCCGACCGGTCTGGTCGTGTCCCCCCTAGCGAGGACGAACCTCACTCACCGGCGACAGCAGGCGTCTTGCCCTCTTTCAAGGGGGCGAAGACCTGTTGCCATAATTCGCTGTTCTCGCCGAGGGTGTAGCTCAGCTCCACTTGATGCATGCCTGCTTCGGCGCCGCCGGCGAGGTTCTCGAGTTGGGAGATGACGTGGTCGAGACCGAGCGCTTTTCCTACGGCTTGGGTGCCGCTTGCTTCGGTGTTTACGTGCACGATGTGGATGTGGAAGTGGTAGTACGTTGGTTGGTAGTGGATGTAGAATTTCAGCATGTCTGTCTCGACTTCGCCGCCGGGGTAGAGCGTTGTTGTGGTGGCTGCGAGAGTCGAGCGCAGGTGGCGAAGCCAGGGGACGTGGGATTTCTTCAGGTCGCGGACGGACCAGATGTCTCGGCGCTGGACCAGGGCGAGGAGATGCAAGGAACTCAGGGTCTTGCGGTCCCAGTTCAGATCCGGCAGGAGAAGAAAATCATCATCCGCTTTGGCTTCCTTGGAACGGAACAGGACGTTCTCCTGCTCAGCTTTCCCATCGAGGATATTGAAGACCCAGTTCAGACGGCCCTCCTCTCGACAGAGCTGCATATACGGACGGATATACGTGCTGTAAATCGAAGGCGTCTCAAGGACCACTCTCGCCTGCTGGAAAGAATACTTCCGAATATGCTTCTCCGTGCACGGATAAATCAGATTAATCTTCAGATCCGCGGGCGTGGGCTCATCGACCGTGTTCTCGGACATGCTGTTCGCGAGGCACCAGCGGTAGATGTCGTTCTCGCCGAGGTTCTTCACGTGCGACATCAAGCGCGAGAAGGATTGCAGGTAGGCATTGTCGGTTGAGAAGGCGCCGCGTTCGGCCAGTAGCAGTGCGGGTTTGTCGGAGATGGTTCCTTGGAGGATGATGCGGCAGCCTTGCTGCGTGGTGTTGAGGAGCTTTTGGAATTTGAAGCGCGTGATGAGGCTGTTGGCGGTGGTGTCGTCTGCCATTGTCGGGGGTTGGGGTGTTATTTGGGGAGGGATGGGAATTTGAGGTGAGGTTTGAAGTTTGGTGAGTTTGAGTTTGCGCTAGTCTGGAAGTGGTAGCGACAGCAATGGGTCGGGTGAGATTCCATGTCTTGGCTCTCGCTGTATTTCTCCTCTATCAACTCCGTCTCAATTTCTTCAGTTCTTTCGCAATCAAGCGGGACAGGCCACAACAATGGAGTCGCCCATTGACGCACTCGACCACAACCCGGCGGCTACAGTATGCAACTGCTGCAGCTGCGGCCACTCAGTATGCAGCTAAGCCCCACGAGACAGATAAAGACGGGATCCTGCGCCGACGATGGGGTGTTCGATCTGAAAGATGGCGTCTTGTCCGCAGTCTTTGGCTACAATCTTTCTCCGGTCACAATCCCTGTATTGCCAGGTTGAACAACGATGGATCCTCTCTCGGCTTTGGGTGCTGCAGCATCTATCGTGCAGTTCGTAGACGTTGCATCACGGCTGGCCGCCTCTGGATATGACGCCTACAAGTCTGCCTCAGGAGCGATTCAAGAGAACATCGAGATCGAGACGACGACACTTGAACTCAAGAGCTTCAGCGATAATCTCCTAAAACAAAACCAAACCCTAGAGCTTCAGCTTCACCAGCAACAAGATGGAGACACTAAAGCCATGATCAACATGACTGAAAGATGCCATGCTGTTGCCGACAGACTACTAAAGGTCCTAGACGACCTGAAGGTGGAAGGGACTGGCCGAATGCGACCTGTCAGGGCCGGACGGCAAGCGATCCGGGCAGCATCCAAATCCGCACAGATTGAAAGCATGGAGAGCTCGCTCACAAAAATTCAGGCTCTGCTGCATGCGCATCTATTGAGTAGCATTCGTAATACACAAGCATCGTCGAGCAACTCGTTCGAGGGCCTGGCGGCGAGGACCAAAACAATGCAGGAAGAGAGTATCGCTGATCTCCGCGCTTCGAATAAAGCGCTCATACGCGCTCTTCGACAACAGGAAAAGGATATGGAGATATTCAGGGATGTTCTCAAGAAAAGTCAGCTCCCAGAGGTTCACAGCAGTTCGCGGATTGACGCTTCAATGGGAGAGATCGCGAGAACATTAGACAAGACACGGCAAAGAGCCAGCTTGGTCGAGAAGCAATTACGTGTTCTCGGTAGTCTTCAGTTTCCGGAGATGCACATGCGACACTCTGCAATTCCAGAGGCATACAGAGGGACTCTTTCTTGGATTTACGACAAAAATGCAACAAAGGTTCGATCCTGGCTACAAAGCTTAGATGGACTATTTTGGATCAATGGCAAAGCTGGCAGTGGCAAATCGACACTGATGAAATTCATGAGCGACAACAGAACGACCAGAGAAGTGCTAGAAATCTAGGCCGGGAAGCAAAGGACGTTGGTCACGGCATCCTTCTACTTCTGGAACGCTGGCTCTCCGATGCAAAAGACGCAGCAAGGCCTCGTCCAGAGTCTGCTTTTTCAGATCATGAGAAAGTTTCCGCATCTCATCGCTGAAGCTGTGCCTAAGAGATGGGCAGCAGGCGAAGCATTCTCTCGCCATCCTGACCCGTGGAGCCATTGCGAGCTGTCAGATGCACTCACGTTCATACTATCCCATAACGACATGAATGCTCGCTTCTGCTTCTTCATTGACGGCCTGAATGAGTACACAGACGATCATTATGAGCTTGTCCAGTATTTGCAACTTCTTGTGGCATCCAAAGTGGTGAAGTTGTGTGTTTCAAGTCGACCTTGGAACGCTTTTACTTCGGCCTTTGGCAACATCGAGGACCGCACGCTGGTGCTTCAAACCCTGACTCGCTCCGATATGCGAGACTACATGAAAGGCATGCTGGAGGGGGATCCACGGTTCATGAAGCTCGCCCAAGCGGACGATCGAGCTCATGATTTGACCACCGAGATACAAAAGAGAGCTCAAGGCGTCTTCCTCTGGGTCTTTCTCGTCGTACGATCGCTGCTTAGAGGACTCACTGAACAAGACGACATTCCGATGCTCCAGAAGCGACTTCGCCAACTTCCAACTGACCTGGAACACTTCTTTCAGCTCATCCTGGACTCGATCGACAGCGTCTATCAAGAGTGTACGGCACGCGCTCTACTGATCGTCTTCGAATCAGGCCAGCCCCTGTCCATGATGGCGTTCTGGTATCTTGACACCGACCTTGAAAAGCCAGACTTTGCACTCAAGCTCGATATCAAGCCCCTACCGAAGGAATCTGACGATCGATATCCCATGATCGTGGCTGCACGTGTCAATAAGTGGTGTCGAGATCTGCTCGAAGTAGTCTGGACTCCGACTGATGACAGCGGTGAGGACATAGTACAGCTGTTCAAGGTGGACTTCCTGCACCGCACTATGCGGGACTTCCTCATGTTACCAGGAACGTACAGGATACCTTGGTAGAGCGCGCAGGTCCGGACTTCAATGCCTCACTCGCAATTTGCCGACTGTACCTAGCCCTAGCAAAATCGGTGGACCCGGCTCATGGCGACGATGACGATAGTGACGATGATGACTATGAAGCCTTACAGCCTTTTCAACGCATCTGCGATGTTATAATGCGTGCAGCAGCGACCTACGAGATCAAATGCAACGAAACACCGTTTAGGCTGCTGGAAGAGCTCAGGCGTGTTGGACAACATTATCATCAGTGGGGAGCACCGTGGAGTTCGGACGACGATGACAGCGAGACCTCCATCGAAAATACTGACTTCCTCTCACTTGCGAAAGCGCACGGGCTGAAGCTGTACTTGAGGCGGCTGGTGAGGCTACAGCAGGGTATCGATGATCCCGGGGAGTCTGGGCTACAGGCAACGGCAGGTGCTGGGTCCCTGCTAATGCCTCCTGCGAGAACGCATCGCATCAGTGTCTCTAGCCGCGGATCATCGGTATTGCGCCTACCAAATGCCGCCGCAAAGGACGGTGCGACAGATGATGGAACACAGAAAGGCGAGAAGCGCCGCTCCTGGCGAATGAAGTTCAAACAGCTTTGGTGCAACACGTAAACAATATTGCTCGCCTAAACGCAATATGGTTGTCGGGAGAGCTGGGTGTCTGGAAGGACTCATAAACCAAGAAATCCTCCCCCAATGACAACCCGATCGGGCCTGATGATCCAATTGCGACCAGGCTGTCATTTCCCTAGGCAAAGACCTTTGCCGCTTCCTTCTCCTCGATGATTGATCTGAGGACTTTCTCATTCCTCGGCTTGAAGTACACCTGATATCGATGGGGCATTGTCACCAGAGATGTAGGGTCGCTCGAGCCTCGCACAGGATGCACATCTACGTCGCCGTGGCTGACAATCTCGAAGCAGCTGAGCATCCGCATGAAGGCGAGGTAGAGCTCTCGGTTTGCGAGGAGCGAGCCAGCGCACATTCGGTATCCAAGGCCGTAGGTGAATAATGGGGCGTCAGGCTGCTCTAGCCAGCGCTCTGGTCTGAACTCCTCTACGTCTGGACCCCATACGTTTGAGTCCATGTTGCAGGCCCATGCATTGAGGTAGATCGTTGTGCCGGCTGGGATGAGTTTGCCTTGATAGGTGATGTCCCGGACTGTCGCTCTCGGAAGGGCGAGACGGAGGACGGTGTAGTACCTGGACCGCAGTTAATATGTTGCTCCAGCTCCAGCCAGGACGCTTCTTGTTCATACCTCAAGCACTCCTTCACCAAAGCCATAACATAAGCACACTCCATATCATCCTCTTCATCACAAAGCATCCTCTCCTCACCATATATCTTCCTAATCTCCCCAATCGCCTTCCTCTGCACATCCGGCCGCTGCCCCAACAACGCAATCGCCCACTGCATCAGCGTCGTCACCGTATCCAACCCGCCACTCAACATCGTCAAACTGATACTTGTCAACTCCTCCTTGTTCAACTTCGCCTCCTTATCCAGAATCACATTCGCCTGGATACACGGCTTGTGCGTGCCCTTCTCCATCCGATCATCCAAGTCTTTATTCAACTTTGTGAGGTATACATCCCTTCGCCTCCGCATCTCAGCCGCTTTCCGCGTGCCGAAACTGAAGGGGTTGAGTCGCAACAACGGAATATAATCCTGTAAATTCCCCGTCGTGCTCCGGAACCTCGAAATCTCCTCCTCGACCTCGGTGATTTCGTGAAAGAGCGCGTTCTCGCTATCGCCCATGCGCGTGCCCCAGTTGAGCGTCAAAGACAAGCTAAGTGAGAGACGCTGAATCAACGGCATCGGATCCACAGCTTTCCGGCCAGCGTCGCCATACTTGAAGGCCTCCCTCGCGAACGCGAGGGTCTCGATATCGAGGTGCTGGACATACGTCGCGACGCTGGGTTTGTTCAACGCCGACGCAGCGCCTTTCCTCCGTCGCTTCAGACTCTCGGAGAACGGACTCGTCCCGATCGTCGTCCCTGCTGTGTTGGAGAGGACTTTATGGAACGTGTAGAAGATGGGGCGGGAGCTCAGGGCCTGGGAGTTCTGGCCGAAGACCGCTTTGGCTGCGTCGGCGGAGTTGACGACGATGACGGGGATGTTGCCTAGTTGGATCTGGTAGACGGCGCCGTGGGTTTTGGTCCATTGCCGGTATTTTTCGGCGGCGTTGAGGCGGATGTCGGCGATGTTGCCGATGAGGGGGAGGCCGCGGGGGCCGGGGAAGGAGGGGAGGCGGGCTTTGGAGCGGAGGATCTCGTTGCTGAGGAGGTAGAGGATGGGGATTAGGAAGAGGAGGATGAGAGAGGTACGAGCTGTGTGTTGGAGAAGCTGCTCTTGGGCGAATTCGAGAGTTGATGAGATCATTTTGACTGATCAGAGAAAAGGGACTAGGACTCACTGGATATGTCGACATTCTGAGACGGCATATATACCTCACACAGAGGAGGCTCGCAACAGTGAAATGCAGCACCCTCCACAACAACGAAACGCGGGGAATTGGGGTTCTTTGAATGCTTTCCGCAGCGGCTTGCGTTCCTCTGACGGGAGCTCAGCGCAACGACGGAGCTGTATCACGCGCGGCCAAATTCCGCTGTATGGTGTGGCGACATGTGAAGCAGTCAGCCGCGCCGGGAATACCAAACACTCGCAAAGAACAAGATATACGTCCAGTCGTCCACGAATCTATGCTCATCTACTCATGATGAAGTGAACTCTCTGTTCTTGATGACACCTTCTTCCGCAAGACTCTCCAGTTCGGCGTCTGCTACACCAAACCTCTTCAACACCTCAATGGTATTCTCGCCGTGCAGTGGAGGTTGCGAGCGAATGGTAGCCTTGGTCTGGCTGAACTTGATTGCAGGTCCTGTATCGCTGTCAGAGGTGGTTCTTCTACATGATTGTAAACGTACCCAGAATCTTGATCTTGCCGTCCTTCGCAGAGTCCAGGGCAATCTCCTGCACCATATCTCGGGCTTCGGTTTGCGGATGATCAAAGACTTTCTCCATGGTATTAATGGGCGCGTAGGGCATGCCGCTGCCATCGAACGCAGCAACCCATTCGTCGCAAGTCTTGGTGGCAAATTGCTCATTCAAGATCTTGAAGAGCGCTTCTCGGTTGTTGACTCTGTCGCCATTGGTCTTGAACCTCGCATCCTCTGTCAGCTCAGGGACTCCTAACAGCTTGACCAGGTTGACGAATTGCTTGTCGTTGGTCGCACCACAGACAAAGTACAGGTCCTTGGTCTTGAACGCATCGTAAGGCACGACACTGGGATGTTGAGTTCCCCATCGTTCAGCTTCCACCCCAAGATTGAGCCACGATAAAGCAACGTTCGTCAAAAGAGCGACCTGCGTCTCGTACAAAGATCCGTCAATCTTCTGTCCTTCGCCTGTACGTTCTCGAGCGTACAATGCTGCCATGATGGCGCCGTGCATGTATAGCCCAGTCGACATGTCGGTCAAGCCAAGCCCAGGACGAACAGGCCCTCTCCCTCTTTCTCCAGTCAGATGGAGAAGACCAGCTTCGGCTGCGGCGATCATGTCGTATCCTGCACGGTGTTCAAATGGACCACCAGCACCATAGCCAGAGGTACTCGCAAGGATGATGCGTTTATTGATCTTCCGCAAGTCTTGGTATCCGAGCTTTAGCCTCTCCATGTTTCCTGGTCGTAGATTCTCGACGCTGCAGCAAGGTCAGGTACTGCTTCGAAGATTGAGCTTCAACGGCTTACACCACGTCTGCGTCCTTGACCATTTCCAGAAAGACCTCCCGTCCTCGCTGATGTTTCAGATTCAATGCCACCGACTTCTTGTTGCGGTTGACTGCGGAGAAATAATTCGACATTGGTCCAACTCCGGGCTTCCACATCTTGTCCTCTCCGGCGATCGTCCAGTATCTGGTATCGTCCTTGGAAATCTTGTCAGTCTGAGGTCTTGGTTTCAAGTGATATCACTCACGCCACGATCGGGATCCTCAATCTTGATGACTTCTGCTCCATAGTCGGCAAGAATTTGGGTGCAATACGGAGCCTGTTGCTGTCAGTCTTGCTCAGCCCAAAGTGATCTTCAACCAAAACATACAGCAAGTACTCGAGAAAGATCCAAAACCTTTACTCCAGTCAGAGGTCCATCAGCTTGAACATTCGTCGTTGAATAGCATCGTTGACGAGCGATCCGGATTGCCGTGTCATTGAAGTTTGAAGAGCGCGTCTGGCCAAGCAGCAGCTGCCACCTTCTCGCCGCCATCGCACCAACTTTGGCCTTGACACTCCATCTTCGAACATCGACTTTGTAGCTGCGTACAGCTCCCAATGGTTTCCGAGGTCGCTGCTGATTGGCACAGTGGAAGGAGGAGAAGGAGAGGAGTATTCCCGTACCCCACCCGAAGAATCGGAAACAGAATTCAGGATGGCTACGCGTACATTTGAGCATGTCAACATTCACTTCCACTGTCATGAGCGGTTCCACTTTCATCAATTTGCATGAAATATCATCGGCCTCTATGAGGAGGCAACCAACGAGTTGAGATGGCGTCAAGACTAACATGTCAGTTGCTCAGAACGAACGGCAGCCGACACCTGTCGAAAGGCATCAATTTTGTACGACATAAGTCCGTTTCTTCAGGTTCCCATGTCAGGATTATGGAAGTTGGTCCTCGCGATGGTCTGCAGAACATCAAACAGAAAGTCTACACATCCGTCAAAATCGAGTTGATCCGGCGGCTGGCTGATACTGGACTGCGTCACATCGAAGCGACTTCTTTCGTGTCACCGAAATGGATCCCGCAATTGGCGGACAGCAAGGAGGTGATGAAAGAGGCCATTGCCATCGCAGAGCCTAAAGGGATTTCACTTCCAGTTCTAGCACCGAACGTAAAAGGTCTTGAGCGAGCGGCAGAGAACAATGCGAAAGAAGTTGTTGTTTTCGCGTCAGCGTCCGAAGGCTTCAGCTGGAAAAACACGAATTGTTCTGTTGAGGATGCCTTGAAGAGGGCAGAAGATATCGTAGCACAGGCGAAGCTACAGGGTGTCCAAGCAAGGGGGGTGATCTCATGTGTGGTGGCCTGCCCATACGACGGGCCAACAGACCCAGCCAAAGTTCTTGAGGTTGCTCGACGCTTCCTGGAAATGGGCTGCTACGAAGTTGGCCTTGGAGAGACCATCGGCGTGGGGACTACTTACGACATTGAACGACTTCTCAAAGTCTTATTAACGGAGATTCCAGCTGAGAAATTGGCAGGCCACTACCATGATACCTACGGACAAGCAATTGCGAACGTGGCGAAGTCATTCGACATGGGAATACGAGCATTCGACAGCAGTGTTGCCGGTCTGGGAGGTTGTCCTTACGCCAAAGGCGCTAAAGGCAACTTAGCCTCGGAAGATATGGTGTATTTCTTCGACAGAGCGGGAGTCAAGACTGGCGTGGATCTAAACGTACTTGCTGAGACCGGAGACTGGATATCGCAGGTGCTGGCCATCCCCAACAACAGTCGAGCTGGTTCAGCAATCGCAGCAAAATCCAAATCTGCCTCAGAGACCAATGTAAAGACGCCAAAGGCCGGTGATGATATAACGAACTGGGATCTAATCTCAGATAAAGGAGATTACTTGGTCCACAGATTCGGCAGCGCAGTCAGAATCACACTTAGCAGGCCGAAGAATGGTAACGCATTGACAACAGCCATGGTCGACGGCATCACCAGCTTATTCAAAGATTTGGCACGCGACCAGAGCGTCTTCCACATCTTGCTCGAAGCTGAAGGCAAATTCTTCTGCACCGGAATGGATCTCAGCTCGGGAGGAACGACTGCCTCTACTGATCCCGAGGAAAAGGCTGCGTATTACAAGAAGGTTGAAGACCTATATGCTGCGATCGACAACGCTCCTCAGGCCACGATTGCTGTGGTCAATGGTCCTTGTTATGGCGGAGGTGTCGGGCTTGCTTTCATATGTGATATTCGATTGATGTCGTCTAAGGCCAAATTTACCATGACTGAGATCAAACTCGGACTCTCGCCTGCCATCATCTCTCGGTATATGGTCCGTGAATGGGGTATTCCATTCGCTCGCGAGGCTATGCTCACTGGTCGAGAGGTCAAGCCAGACGAGCTGCGCAGGATAGGTGCAATCCATGGTCTTGCCGAGAATGAGAGTGACCTCTCTACAATGACTGCAGCATGTCTCGACAATCTCAGCAAATGCGCGCCTCGATCTGCTGCGGTCTGCAAACAGCTGGTCAGACTCGGCTGGACTGATCCGACTGGACCGGAGCAACAGGACTTTGTCATGGAGACTTTTAAGAAAATGATGCAGCCTGGATCGGAAGGCGAGTTTGGCACAGATCAATTCCGCAAAAAGATTAAGAATATTGATTGGGCAAAATTTTGGAGCGGAAAGGGAGATCAAGTGCCGCAGTAAGAGCACAAAGCTTGGGTTGATTCGTTTCAATTGATCTAATATGATCTTGGGAGTCCGAGAACTCGTTCACCAATGTAGTTCAGAATCATCTCCCGGCTGACAGGGGCCAGTCTAGGGAGCATTGCCTCTCTGAAGTAACGCTCGACATGGTATTCTTTGGCATAGCCCATGCCTCCATGTGTGAGCACTGCCCGCTCAGCAGCCTCGAATGCTGCATCTGCCGCCAGGTACTTGCAAGCATTGGCATACTCACCAGTCTGGTACCCATCATCATACATGCGCGCTGCTTGGTACGTTATCAGACGTGCTGCCTCGAGCTTCATCCACGAATCGGCCAGAGGATGAGCTATTCCTTGGTTCTTGCCAATTGGACGGCCGAAAACAACCCGCTCCTGAGCATAGATTGCTGCTCTTCGAATCGAAGCAAAGCCCAGACCCAACGCCTCCGCAGCGATGAGGACTCTTTCAGCATTCATTCCGGCCATGATCTGCTTGAAGCCGTTGCCTTCGTCTCCGATCAGATCCTCTTTTGGAACTTGCCAGTCGTCAAAGAACAAGATGTTGCTATCCACTGCAGCGCGGCCCATTTTCTCGATCTCGGTAACCTGAACCTTTGATCGATCCAAGTCCGTGTAGAACAACGAGAGCCCTTGCGTTGGCTTTTGCACTTGGTCGAGAGGTGTTGTCCGGACGAGAAGCAGGATCTTCTCTGCCGTTTGCGCCGTGGATGTCCAGATCTTTGACCCAGTCACCGAATAGGATTGGCCGTCCGGGGTCTTCGTGGCCAGCGACTGCAGTTTGAGTGTATCTAAGCCAGTGTTTGGCTCAGTGACACCAAAGCAAGCACGCTCCTTTCCTGCAATCAAAGGTACCAGCCATCGTTTCTTCTGTTCCTCCGTGGCAAACTTGACCACAGGTTCCAGGCCAAAAATATTCATATGGACCGAAGATGCAGCTGCCATGCCGCCACCAGATTCGGACAGAGTTTGCATCATGACCGCTGCTTCAGAGATCCCTAGGCTCGACCCACCATACTCCTCTGGCATGCAAATACCTAGCCAGCCATCCTTGGCCAGCTGCTGGTGAAGGTCTAGTGAGAACTCATGGTTACTGTCTAGCTTGTGCCAGTACTCGTCCGGATAGTCTGCGCAGATCTTGGCGATGGATTCTCGGACGGTCTTTTGCGATTCTGTCCAGTCGATGTCGTTGGACTGCAAATATTCTGTTGCTTGCCCGTGTACATATCTTCTGGACAATATTGGGCTATTCTTGAGGACATTGCTGGACAATGCTGACTTTCGAACTGCTTGGGACTGTCTCTGGTTAAGATCGATTTTCGAGTTGATGTTAAACGCAACTTACAAGACCTCCCTGGACGTATCGACGTACCGCAAACATACTGCAGCACTGGAGATGCCGTTGCCAACATCAGAGGGCCACGAGATCAATTCGTGATCGTCTTCTGGCGATTGCTTTTACTGAACGTTCACATGCCTTTTCCCGATACTACCGCGGCCACAAGGACAACGGTCATTTTTCGGTTCTCTAGACCCGATCAACCATCGATATCGGCCGTGACGCTTGCATTCGGTAATTGGGTAATGCAGTTGTGGTCGTCTAGGAGTGAGGTCCTCTCCCCCGCACGCGGCAACATTCACCCATTTAGAGTTGGAGTGCGCATTTCCGACGAACACTATTTCCGCCTATCACGTGGGACCACAGGTGCGAACTCGGAGTGTGCCTCAGGCATGACACTATGCTATGCCGAGGGCCAGTCGAATCCTACTCGACAGTTACACAATGTCGGTGGTGGACAGTACTGCTACGTTTGTATTACAATGTCAAAGCCTGGTCGATCAGAAGGCGAGGCTGTAACGGCCAAAGCCGAACATGTTACGAAATCAGCTTTGGCTACTGTGGGGAACCAGATCTTGCCGTTCGTCATTGGTGGAGGGTCTGGTATAGTTGCGACGACATGTCTACAACCTATTGTATGTTAGTGCTCTCACATGCTTGGGAGGGGAGAAACTGCTCGCCCTATTGTCCTGTCGCACAGACGCAGCTATGATCGAACACAACGAGAAGCCTTGCTAACGGACTTCAACAGGATATGGTCAAAGTGCGACTACAACTTCTTGGCGAAGGTTCAAAGGGAGCCAAAGCTGTAACACCTTTACAAGCAGCACGTATGGTCGTCGCCGAAGGAGGTTTCGTCGGCCTATACAACGGCATTTCCGCTGCTTGGCTTCGACAGGCTACCTATGCCACCTTGCGCCTCGGATTCTTCGATCGATTCTTGGAATTTTTCAGGACCCGGGCCCAGAGCCAAGGACGAGAGGTCAACTTCGGCGAACGTGCTGCAGCATCGTTGGGAGGTGGAGGTCTAGCAGCGGCACTGGCCAATCCTGCAGAGGTTGGCTTGATTCGAATGCAATCGGACGGGATGAAGCCTCCAGCAGAAAGAGCGAACTACCGGTCCGTTCTGGACGCCTTGACTAGGATCGCAAAGAGCGAGGGTATCTTTGCACTCTGGCAGGGATCCTACCCAACTGTCATCCGTGCTATGGCAACCAACTTCGGTCAGCTTGCGTTCTTCTCAGAATCCAAGGCTCAGCTGGAGAAACATACTTCACTCTCCGATCGGAATAGGACCTTTGCGGCCTCAGGAATCGCGGGTTTCTTTGCGGCCTTCTTCAGCCTGCCGTTCGACTTCTTGAAGACAAGGCTGCAACGGGGAGGCGGCGCTTACAAGGGAGTGTTCGACTGTGCCACCAGAGTCGCCAGAGAAGAAGGTTTACTGCGATTTTACCGTGGCTTTGGAACATACGTCCTGCGCATAGCTCCGCACACCATAATAACCCTCATCGTGGCAGACAACTTGAAGGCCGTCTTCATGCCGTCGTCGGAATTGTGACATGGAACAAGCGGGGGGTCCCGAGGGTGTGAAGCCGGGGCGGCGGGGGCGGGGCCGGGACGGAAGCGGGGTTCACGACGAGACACCTTGTCGGGACCACCATCGGAGGTGCGAACTAGCCTAGCTACCCTCCTCGTTTCGGTCAAAGTAGAATGTATGCAACTGCTATCTCTCCGGCTTTCGACAAGCGACTGTGCTGCTTCTTGCACTCTAAGCTGCTTAGAAGGCTTAGCAGTAGCGGGGATGATTGTTCAACTTTAAGCGGAATACTGAGGGTATGGTTCAAATGCTATATGGCTAGCATGAATGATATACATTACCATAAAACATGTCATATGCCTGTACTTCTCCATCAAAATTTGATTGACAATTCATGGTCCTCGGCAATTAGGGTCAATGCAAGGATCATCATCAGCCGACCGACCATCTTCGCTCCTTCGAGAGTCGTCGGGTTTGACACGGAGTTCATCTCGATAACATCAACATTCATCAATTTGTTCCAGCGTTTTGTTTCGTTTGGTCCAGCCTTCACTTTTCCAACATGGCTGATCCAAGCAGATATGATTTCCCAGCAATCCAGACGACTTTTCCAGCTCCTTTTGTCGCGCATGTAGAAATCAACAGGCCGAAGAACTACAACTCATTCAGCCCGGAGTGAGTACGTCTGAAACAGTCGTACACAAAGGAAATCACGCTAACGGACGATATAGCGTATTTTCCAGCCTTGCTCGTGTCTTTGATCGTCTCTCAGAGGACGAGAATGTACGATGCATACTATTGTCGGGCGTTGGCAAGCACTTTTCTGCAGGTCTAGATGTACGTCCATTGTGACCTTCTGTTATCTGTTATTTTGGCTCACAGCGTACAGGTCAAATCTGCTTCAACCTCGGGGCCAGTATCACAAACTACGGAAGGTGAAGACATTGCTCGAAGAACATGGAAAATCCGACGGCACATGTACGGTTATCAAGACGGTATTAATGCTGTCGAGAGATGCGAGAAGCGTGAGTATCTCATTGCCATCGTATGGGATTAGGCCTCAGCTGATCGAGTCTCGAAGCCGTGATTGTTTGCTGTCACGGAGTTGCTTACGGAGCTGCCATCGATCTCGCTCTTGCAGCTGACATCAGATATTGCTCCAAAGACGTGAGATTTTCGATCAAAGAAGTTGACGTGGGCCTCGCTGCGGACGTTGGAACACTCACTCGCTTACCAAAGATCGGAATCTCATACTCATGGGCGAAAGAAATAGTGTACACAGCGAGAGATTTCACCGCGGAAGAGGCTGAGCGCGTTGGATTTGTCTCCAAGGTCTTCGAGACCAAAGATGATTTAATCAAGACTGGTTTCGAACTTGCAAACTTCATTGCGACGAAAAGCCCTGTAGCGGTTCAAAGCTCAAAGGCACTGTTCGACTTCTCAAGAGACCGAACAGTGCAAGACGGCCTGTTGTATACGGCCGCCTGGAATTCACCGATGGTGCAGTCTGACGACGTCAAGAAAGCTATGATGAGTGGCGTACGCAAGACGAAGTCGACATTCGAGAAGCTCTAGGTATGTAAGAGCCAACAATTGGAAATTCGAAACCTTCACTGCTCCATGTCGGGAGCCAGACGCTTCCATAAATCGCACCGCTGAGCCTGCAATCTTGGCACAGTCTCCATCTTGGTGCCGCCCAGCACAAATTTCAGTCTCTCGTTTCCCCTAGGCCCCCATGGCTGCCAATACGGAGTGGATGGCAGTCGATAGGGGTTCGGATCCAATGCCTTGACAAAGCTGATGTAATAGGACATGACGATCGGAACCATGGGATGATTGACCTGTCCCTCTGCATACGAGCAAGAAGTGCAATAGACGGAGGCGGGACCGAAGATCGCTGGCATCTCGATTGTGTGAGGTACTGGATTGCCGTCGGCAGTACCGTTCGGCTCGGGGACAGCGTACTCATAGCTCCAGACTTTCCAGGGCGATGTGTATACTGCTTCTGAGTTGGCCATCTCATTGCCTGCGCAGGTGAACGTCGCATCCCCTAGAGGTAAGGTCAGAAGATCTCTCTTCTGCTCATTCTTGTAACAAGAGCTTACCATACGCATCAGCAGCCGGGCCGAACCACGCCGGACGATCCCCTCTGATAGGCGTTAGCGGATAGCTGGCATTGATTTCCCTCAGATCTCTTTGAGTCAGTCCTGGGTAGTTGTCCTTGAAGAACTGGAGGAACTCTGCGTTAGAAGTGGCGTTTGGTGCGAAAGAAGCTCCTTCCGTTGAATCATCACCGACGAAGGTAGGCACTTTCACAATTTGGCCTCGCGTATATCAGCAACAAATATCACCCAGATAAGACAATAAACTCACCACGCTCGAACTGATCATACATCAAATCCTTGTTGATGTCGCCGTCAATTACCGGTAGCCAGTAGAAAAGGGGAGTGTTTTTTCCACCTGGAAAAGGAGACATGACGTTGCCAACTGACAGCGTTGCAGTATCTTTCGAACGCAGACAGTTCATGACGTTACTTGTGTTCGTACCGCAGCCAACGGCTTCAGCAAAGCGATCAAACTGGAACTCCATCTCTGGAACGGTGCGCTCGGTTGGGAAGAAGGGCGACGTGCTCATTGTTCCCACAAAAAGATGGTCATCTCTGCCACCCGCCCAGGTCAAGTGGTGGGCAACGGAGCCAGCACCTGCTGAATCACCTAGAATGCAAGTCAGAAGGGCCTTTCAGATTGACGACAGCAAGGAACGTGCCATGCAGAACCACATGATTAGGATCGCCGCCAAACAGATGGATGTACTTCTGGACCCATTCCAAAGCCTTTCGCTGATCCAACAGCCTGGCGTTGAGGTCACCATCTTGGCGAACCTTCTCAGAAGCCAGGAAACCGTACGCGCCGACTCGATAATTGACGTTGACCATGATGATGCTGTGGTTAGATGCAGCAATGACATCGTTCCCCAGGTAGTTGGCATTCGACAGCCCGGAGTACCCTCCCCCCGAAAGGAAGAACCACACTGGCAACTTCGAATTCGTAGTCGCATTTGAAGGTGCGAAGACATTGATGAAGAGGCAGTCTTCGCTATTAACAGGAAAGAGATACCCAACATATGGACACGTTGGGCCGAAACTCGTCGCCGGCTGAACAGTTCCGTTGTACTTGGGGTCGACTGGAGCTCGAAAACGAAGATCTCCAAGAGGCGGTGCAGCAAATCTCATTCCAAGATACTCGTTGATGCCACCGTCCACAGTCGCTCCTTGATACTTGCTGTATCCCAGGTCAATCGTGAGAGGTATGGGCTGTCCATGATCGTGTCCGGGCTTGCCAGGCCATGGTTTCCAAGGAGGCGCAGCATAAGCTGACGAGATGATCAATGGTAAGAGACTCAACATACGCCAAGATCGCATCTTGTTTCTTGAAAGCACTTGAGCCTGCGTCTTTGCCTCCCAAGCATCGTGGCTTATACTTGGCTGGCAATGCCATGGTTCTCGTTCCTATGCCTTGCCGGAATGCCGTGTACATGATCGGGGCCTCAATTCTGCCTGCATCGAAACCGCAACACATTGACTACAGGTATTGAGACGGTGTAGTTACATCCGGAGGCCCGTAGAAGGAACATCTAAATGCGAGAGCAGTGAGTGATCCTCATTGGCTAGAGCGCCCCACATGAATGAATGATCACCTCCACCTCGGTTCCTTCAGGCTTCATACCACCTCCTCGCATGCATATGCGGTCTCTGACTTACCCAATTTTCATCCACTTCCGGATTATCGATTACCGAAAAGGGAGCTCACGACTTACATCTGTAGGTCACGCATCACTGAAGCTTTAGCTATCTCATGTACCTGCATGAGCGCGGCACTCAGATTAGCCTTGGCGCAGACAGTGTGTCTGCCTGTGCCTCATTACTAAAACTTTTGGATGAGTACGAGGCCCAGATCAAGGCAAGCGTGTGGAGAAGTGTGAGTGGGATTCTGGAGTGCGGCCGCCGCATATCTCTGATCATGGAGAAGTGGAGGAAGGCGGAGTTGAGGGGAAATATTGCAGATGGAAGCTCGCGAGACTGCAGAAGGTTAATTCTATTCGCGAGCTCCAACGGTCACACGAGGGATCTTGTTCCTGAAGCAGCTAACGATGGGCATGTTGAGCGAGTTCGGATCGATAAGAAGACTGCCTTGTGCCAGGATGTTGAGATTTCCTCGAGAATCACGTACCTCTGGCTCGCCATGGAACTCCTCCTCATCCTTGCTGCAATTGCAGCCTTCTGTCAAACGACTGTCAATGCTCAGTATGGGAGGAAGCAGTTTCCAGGACAGCCTCCATATCGGCCATTCCCACCTTATCGCTCTTGGCCACACAAACGCCCTTCTCCGCCTCCACCCACGAACAAGCAGCCAGTCTACCCACAGCTCAAGACTACGCCTCAAATTCTTGGTCTGGCCAACGATCCAGCCCTTGACCGTGATTCATGTGGCTCAATGACCTTCCTCGACAGGACATTCTGGACATGCCGTGACACTCAGCTCTTCTATCCAAACGGAAGCGTCATGATCAGCCCACTCATTACGAGCACTGCAAGCTGGTCAGACTTCAATCGATTCGGTGCTCCTGCGCTTCAACAGCTGCCTCCTGGTGCAGACCCGATCAACAGCACAGTCTTGAAATTGTATGGCAAGAACACTATCAATCAGGCATTCTACCCGATCCTGCCCAACTACTGCGATCCACCAGCGGGCAACTGTTCAGATGGAACAAGATATGCTTTGTGTAAGTCTGAGAATGAATCTTTGCCCACGTTAATAGCTCACGTATCAACAGGGCCTGATCTCCCGCCGATGATAACCTCCTCGGGCCGGGGAGGCGTGACTGGATACACCTGGATCAGAACTTCTCACATTCGCTCTGATTTGAGCACTGTAACAGACAACCCCAATGCCATCTTATACAAGGTCACGTATCAGGGCAGTTCTTTTGGCAACAAAAACGCCCTCCCAAAAGTATCAGTTGTTGGTGAGTCTCGAAGACAGAAGCCGTTGATGACATCCGCAGAACCCATTGGCTGATTGTGGTTGTTGTAGATGAATTTTTCTGGAAAGAGGGAGAAATCACATTCGGAAACTACGGAAACGTTGTCAAGGACGGGATAGCCTACCTTTATGGACTAGCAGAGGGCATCACTTCACTCGCCAAAGTGCCCGCAAACCAGGTCGAAAACAAGGCTGCCTACCAATACTGGGTTGATGGCAAATGGACGAGGACCATGCCCGCGATTGGACAAGAAGGCATCAACATTACCAACTCCAACACCGGTGGTGGTCAAGGAACATACTACTTTTCTGAGCAGTGGAACAGTTATGTGTGGGTGAGTAAACCTAAAGAACAGAAGTCTTTCGTCCGATCGGAGACAGTCTATGCTGTCAATAGCATTGCTGCGGCGTTGGAATGAGCCTTCTTTCCAACTCCACGAGGTCTAACATTGTATAGGTCGGTGGCCCCGTTACCCCAGGGTCGGACATGTACATTACTACCGCTCCTGATCCAACAGGCCCCTGGATCACGCCTCAGCACTTCTTCACTGGCATCAACGGCAACTACTTCTTGAGTGCGTACTCGATCCAGGCACACCCCGGCCTAGCTGCCAGCTCCAGGGACAACGACCTTTACGTCACGTACACCAAGAACGATTTGGATGCTGAAGGAATCAATGTGTACACATCACCACTGGTCTACATCCAGTGGAAATAGAGTGTCGATATATAAATCCATGGCTAGGCAGCTCTGAACATTCATTCCAGAGATTGGTCTTCCCAGAAAACTAGACATCTGACCTCAATGCTCTGCCTCGGTGGCCCACTGTCCCTGTCCGAGGTAAATGCTGTGTGTGGTGTTGCTCTCGCTCTGCCATCTTTCTTCGAGTCGTAGCACTTGATCAAAAGTGACTCGTCTGGCTCCAGCTCGGAAGCATAGTACCACCTATGCGAAGGATTGGCAAGCAGGTGCCATGTCTCGAAAGTGCCGCCCTTGCTGACATCCTCGTATGTACCGCTTCCTTTGGAAGGTAGCTGCGCTCGTACTGGGTATAGGTCTTCCTCGGGCACAGTACGTGCGTCGCAGAAAGCTAGTTGCTCGCGGCGGACCGTCTGCTGGATTGGACGCCAGACGTTGATGATAGCCCAGCGGGAGTTCGACAGTCTTGCGGCTTCTTCGGCAGGCAGGTTGTCGCGGAGCACTTCAGCTGCTCCATCGTAAGACTGGTCTAAACCATTTCAGCAAGATGAGGCTGCTAATAGGTCGCTAATATCAACATACCGACGTGAATGAACATTGCCGAAGCCATTGTGGACTGCGTCGCCTTATCCACAAGATCCTTGCCCGCTTCGACAGCGCTCGCCCACGTTTGCTTACGGATGATATGACTGAAGACATGGACACGACTCGCTCCAGTACTAATGGTGATTCAGTTCAGATCGACCAGTCTATCGTTTCAGCGTCACCTACGCTTTCTTCAACAACTCAGCGGTATCATCATACACCTTCGTCTTCACGAAATCGGGATCGCTGAGATCTTGGTCCAGACTCGAATGCTGCACAAGCTGAAAGCCTTGCTTGTCGAGTTGGATCTCCTCTGAGGCTTCTCGGAGGTCAAATATGTCTACATCGTGAGGCTCATGCTTCCGTCGATAGTTGCCGGCGGTGCCAGGGTAGAATATCTTCGTGCCGCCTTTCTCAGGAGTTAGGTAGTAGTTGAGAGTGGTGTGGACCGTGTTGGGTGGCAGGACTGATCCCATGATCGTTTTATACTTGAGGTGTTGCAGGGCAGAGAGAGAGACGGGTGAGAGTCGAAGAGCAATAACCTAATATATGTCGAGCTGAGCCCTGCACTAAAAGGGCATTCCTTCCGTGACGGGGATTTTCCTGCGGCAACTGTAAGAACTTGTCCCTTAACTGTTTCAAAAGGTAGGGCTCGCGGTAAACGATGAGCGTCGCAAGCAAGTCTTCCTTTGCAGCTTTGCTTAGTTTATGTCATTACGGTGCTTACGTCTCGACGGAGGATCAGATCCGAATCCGGAAGGCAAGGACGAGATTTGTTCCTTATCTTGACCGCACTTTATACTCAGTATGGTCTATGAACGAAGCACTATGAGTTTGCAAAATAGCGCTACAAGCCTAACAACAGGGTGTGGGTAATAGCGTGCACTGTGCTCGTCCGTCGAAAGTTAGGGACCAACATCGTTCGCAGCCCAATAATTGGAGCTGAAGTCCGTCAGAGTTCACCTTGCACAGCATTGTCAGATTCTGGGTCCCACAGCTTGGTCCACGTAATACCATATTTGAGGTCATTGCTTCGCTGGAATATGTTCTCGAGGGCGTCGACAGATGATCTTCGCCAAAGTTGAAGTCAGCATTGACATTCCTCTCAGCTCCTTGCGGCTGTCATCTTATCCAGTCAGCGACGCACCATTTTCATGGCCAAGTCTATCGAAGTAAGAGTAGATACTAGTCGCCAGCAATCACGATACGTATGGAAGTGCCAATTGAATAACGATCACGAGTACATGGCCTGCAAGACGATCTTCATACTCAAGCCTGCGAACTTGGCCATAAGAGCAGGTTCGACAACGACTAATTACTCATGCTTCGTATTATCAGAACTCAGTATGAAGGTAAGAGAAATATGTCTTTATTGCTTCAGTGGGTGACATCACACTGCAATGCACGCTACAGTCGCTTGATGGCCGCTGCAGATGTGTTGCATGGCGAAAGCGAAGAATTACGAGATTCACTCGGCCAATAACAGACTATGCTCTTAGAGTATGAGGTAGAGGCGTTTATCGCATTAGGAAGGCACGTGTCTCACTTTCGCAACAGCTTTCACATGCGCGGTCCGTGCGCACTAGTCCGTGCCCCTGCAACGTCCGTGCTGCCGCACTTCTAATTCTTTCCCCGTCGCAATCATCCACCCCAACTCATCGACTAGCACCAAAAATCATGGCCCCGATGCAGAGCAAGCCCCCTTTGCTCACGCTTCCACGTATGTTAACAGCAAGTGTGTTGTGCACAGAGACGGCTGCTGATTTCTCACAGGCGTACTTCGCGACATCATTTACGAGTATGCGCTCAAAACTGATGTGACTGTCGAATTCCAAAGAACAGGATTGTACAATGAGGCCCCGCTCGTCAACACTCCCGGTCTCCCACTGGTGTGCAAGCAACTCCATCGCGAATCGATCCAGCTCTACTACATGTATAGCAAGTTCATACTACGCATAAACATGGACATATTCAACTGGTTGAGACGCCTCCCGATTCGGTACAGGCAGCTGCTTCGGTGTGTGCGTTTGATCCAAGATGCCCCTCTTTGGTACTCCCTTGACCCAAGTCTGCTTGGTGTTGGCATGCACGACATACTTCGGAACGGCTACTTGGCACGGAGACTTGCGGCTGAAGGCATCATTCTGGGGGAAGGAGTGGTGAGCGCTTGGTATGAGGAGATCAGGAGTGATTATGACGATATCACGAGAGACCGCATGAACTGAGCGATTGGAGGAAGACACTCAAGATGGCGGCCACAGACACACTGCAAGCGGCGAGGGGAAGGCACAGTAATCCTGGTATCGGGATTCTAGGTTGAGGACAGAAGTACCCAGCTTTTGGCGAGTGCTCTCCGCTGAGAGTTTGAAGTGTTGCTCGAGAAGGTTAGGAAAATAGTGCATCGGTGAGCGCTTCTATCAGGAGTGATCGATTTACTTCAGATGATGAGGATGATGTTGGGAGGAATGGCAGGAGGCTCGATATTGAACTCGAATACCCTCTCCATTCTGTTCAAAGTACCAAATTTCATTTCCATTACTCGCGAGAGGTCTAAGCAACCTGCGGTACGATCGAGATCTGAGAGATCGGACGGATGGTGATGCTCGCAGTTGAACTTTCAGGGGGACGGGGAGGATACATGTGACGTGAGCTTGTGGCTTTCCATTGTCTGAGGCCGCTTGCATAATTTGCCCGCTCAATCAGCAAGCACATCAAAGGGGTTCTTAGACGCGGAGCGTGTCTTGCCCGGTGGATCGACCTCATCCTCATCGCTCTCATCCTTCTCGTGTCCGCTGACTAGATCATCATCCTCGTCACCAGCCCTGCGCTTGTCACCCAGACCGAGATCGGCAATTCTTATCCTAGTAAAGGCTGCAGTTCACGTTAGTTCTATCCCGTCTCCAGAAAGTAACACACATACTAGGCGCGCCATTCGCGATCCACTCGTTCACCAGGAAGTCGCCATCCCTCCACACCTCCTTCACAATAGCGTCCTCCTCATCCTTGTACTCGACATTCGTAAAGAGATACCGAGGAAACACAGGCGCACCAACGACTGCAGTGGCAAGGGTCCACATCGCCTCGGCGTCCCAATAGGCCATGCAAACAGCCCGACGCCACAGCTCGATTGGATTTTTGCGAGCGGTCTTGTAGTATGTGCGCATCATGAGAACGTGGGCGTGGGGAAGGGAGCTCAGCCAGTCGAGCCAAATGTCTTCACGTCCTTCGCCGGCGTGCACCATGAAGATGACGTCGGTGTAGTAGCGGCGTGCGGCGACATCGCGAGTAGCGCGGCTCAGCTGGATTTGAGGCGGCGGTTTGTAGGTTCTATCGATCGTAGCTGTGCCATAGGGAGTAAGGACCAGGTCGAAGATCTCATCGTAGAGTTCTTGCGGCAGTTACTGAGGTTCTGTTTCAGTCGGAGGATCTCATGGTCTGGAGAAAGTGCCATGTTGTTGGATCGAGCGTGGAAGTGCTGGAGATGGTGGTGTGTTGGATGAAAGGAGGTGGCAGAGAGGCAAAGCGTTAAGTATTCTGGCAAGTTTGATGGAACAAGCCACAAGTGAGGATACTCTTCACTTGTAAGAAATTCACCTGCTCAAGGCAGGCTCCAGGTTCTTCACTGACGTTCTAGTAGCGCCGTTGGATGCATTCGCTGCTGCATTCTACCCGTCAAGCTGGCGTAGTCCGGAGATGGCGTAGTCTCGCTCAAAGTTGATCGCACGGCCTCGCAAACCATCACTGCGGTTCCCGGAAGAACAAGCTCTGAACAATGTTTTGGATTGCTTATGAGGACGGATTGCGATTCATAGCGATGACTCCACTTTCAGCGAAACAAGCCTGACAAGGAGGGCGGTTGGAGATCGAAGGACAATTGAACACACCATGGCCAACTTCAGCTCACGTGTCTTTCCCTATCCGGAAATGAACGTCAGATGTTCCTCAAGCCCGCTTCCTAGGCATGAAAGTATTCCTCTTCGATCTCCTCAAGATTCGTGGTTTGCCTCCAATAAAGGCGAAGCTCAAGACACTCGTCAACAAACACACTGCCGCCAAGACAATGTTCATATTGCCATATCCAATGGCCTGTCTCAGCTCGCCAGCCAGTTCGGGACCCACTGCCAATCCAAAGCTGAAGACCATGTTGCTCAGGCCGTAGAGCTGCGCGTAGGGTCCACTGTCGCCAAACAGGTCTGGATTAACCTCGTAGTATTTCTGCACCACTGCTCCAGCCTCGACTATTGATGGAGCTCCTATACCCGCGAGACCCATTCCGCAGAGTGCTAGAAGGACAGCGTAGACGATGATCTGGTCTTTGCCACCTTCGTGAGGTATCCTTAGCAAGATAAGGACGGGCACGAGGAAGCCGTATGCAATGACGGCAACTGGTTTTGTGCCATACCGATCAACGCACCAGCCAAAGACGGGTCCAAGTATCAAGTCGAAGACTCCAAGAGGCAGGAAAAGCAGACCAGATTTCAGTGAGTCGAATCCGAAGAGGTCACTAGCGACTGTCGGAATTGTGGCGTCGAAAGATCCAAGCAGAACGGCTTGAACGAGCGCGACGAGCAAAGCTGTCAACAGCATGGGGTCGCCGAGGCATCTGAGGATGGGCAAAGCTTTCGAGAGACCTGACATGTTCTCTGGCTGAGGCAGCTTATAGTAAGAATCCTCTGGAGTCTTGCCACCAAGCAGTGGCTCTTCTTCAGATCCATGGACTGAGCCGTTTTGCTGTTGAGCCTCGTGATCCTGGTTTTGCTCGGATTCTTCACGCTCTCGAGCCTCGCGTTCATGGGCAGCAGTCAGGTCACTAACCGTACTCGGGTCATCCACTTCGTACTTGAGTGCGGTCTTCTTCTCGATGACCATGATTCGCATGAGGAAGTCGACAATCAGAATTGCTGCGCCAATGCCAAAGACGCCTTCGTAGCCGGTCTTTTCGTACAACACGCCACCCAACGTGGGGGCGGCGAGACTTCCAACTGAAATGAAGCTAAATATCTGGGTGGAGTGTCAGCACCAAAAACACTCTGCCTCCCGAAGAGTACGCACCGTCCCAATAGTCTTCCCAAGATTCTCCGGCCCAACAGTCTCCAAACACAACGCAAGCCCAATAGTCCACACAAAACCCGCACTGATCCCCTGCAAAATCCTCGCAACCACAAGCACAGGCACCGTCTTGCCCAGGAACAACAACACCGTAGCGGCCAACAAACTGGCCAACCCAAACAAAAACGGCGCCTGCCTCGTGCTCACTTTATCCGCGATAATCCCCGCCGCCGGGCTGAACACTACACTGGCAGCCGCATAAGCCGCCAACAGGCCGGAAACATGGCTTTGCACTTGGTCTTTGGGGAGGCCGACGCGGTCCTGGAGCATATATGGGAGGACCGGGACGATCAGGCCGTAGAGAAAGAGGTCAGTGAAGAGGCCGATGGCGACGGTCGAGACGATGAAGAGGGTGTTGGACCGCCATTTCAGTCCCGCTGGTTTGATGGAGTAGTCGGCTTTGATTTGGAGGGTGTTGAGGAGTTTGGTCCAGGCGGATGGCATGACCTCGTGCTTCTTCTGAAAGGACTGACGGATTTAGTGAGGCGAGATGAGATTCCCTCACTGATGTGTTAAAGTGATGGTGTTGGCTGCAGTGTGCTGCAAGTGAGAAATTCACAGACGTCATCCGCCGCAGGTACGGTGAAACTTTATTTGACAGCACTCGCGAGGGCGAGCCATTCTCAGGTAATACTTACGAGTGTGCAATAAGCGAGTATTACGGCGAGAGAATGCGACATCGAAGATGTAGTCATGCAGACTGAAACTCGTTGTGATTGAGGCAGAAATAGAAGTCGGATCAGCGGAGAAAAGCCGAGGCATCAATTCAGGCATCAACACTTCCTACCACATGTCTGCCAATTGATCGGACTTTACAACCTGTGATTCTTGCTGGCAGACCAGAACGAGTGGACGAAAGGTACAGAAGAACAGCAAGCTCGTACCTCCGTGGGTGTTCGTCTTTCCTGAAGTCGCTTACTCATTCTTGTCCATGGCCACATCCCGCCACATGGACGACATCAAGCACGATATACTGCCATTGCCCAGCACATTTGCAATAAACATGAAAAGAAGGACTCACTGTGTCGTTGAATTTCTCCAGTCCCACTAGCCCTTGACTTGTCGTAGCTTGCACATCAACGGCTTCTTCTCCCACAAGATGTGCGTTCTCTGATCCAGCCACGTTTCCGCCGGATTGATAAGCTCAATATCGAAGTTGAGGATGAGGCTAGCGAGCAAGAAACGCATCTCATGATAGGCCAGGCTCTGGACATGCATGGTCAGCAAGTCGAAGTCTGCGTACAGAGGCAATCTGCTGTTCACCTTTCCTAGGCAATTTTGAGGGCCGACAGAGAAGGGCTCTACTGCATCAAGATGGTCATTTTGATATTTGGCGTCATTGAGCCAGCGTTCGGGGTGGAATTCTTGAGGGTCTTTGAAGTGTCTTGGCGAGTGGAAAGTTGCTAGAGGATGGACGCCCACTACAACATCACCAGGTACGAAATGACCGCAGATGGACACGCCGCCAGACTGTGTCTTCCTTGGTAGTGTGCTTGGGGCTTACGAGGAGTCGTTAGCACTTCCATAAAAGGGACAAAAGCTTTGCGTGCACGTACTGGCGGATATATGCGAAGGCTTTCTTGAATCACAGCGTGCATCTACTTCAACTGAGCTAGACTCTCGAAAGTCATGTCCTTGATGCTCCTAAAGCTGCTACGTACTTCTGCTTTCAAATCATTAAGTATTCCTCCATGCTTTGAGAGGTGTAGTAGATAGGTCATTCTGCACAGGGCTGTTGCGGTTGTTTCACTGCTTGTATTTGTCTCTTTAGCGTTCGCTAATGTATGGGGGTCTAGTAGGACTCACCAGCAATCATGAACAGCACAGAGTTGGAGCGATATTCATCCCTCGACAACCCTTCGCCGCCTTCAGTCTCTGAGATCCTCGACCAAAGATCAGGATGATACGGCGTTCTTGCAAGCCTAGCATCCATTCGAGTTGAGCAGTACTGGAAATTCTCTCGCTGCATGAGTCGCACTTTCCTGCTTTCGAACAAAAATTTCCGCACAATCCAGTCGGTAAAGACGGACAACTGGCGTATGCCTCTCCAGAAACTGCCGGCTTTGAATCCTCCAAAGATTGTCCTCACCCAGGGGGATAGCTCGCCGGTTTCGAGCATTTTCAAGTCCTCGCCGAATGTGAGGTCCCCTGTGAGGAATGAGTAACGTTCGCCAGTGACTCTTATCTGATGACTTGCCCATGATGTCGAACGTAGTACAGTTTAGATATGTCATCATGTCAATTGGAGTGCGGGCCTTGTCAGACAGCTTGCTGGCCATCTTCTCCGCCCAAGACCTGATGATGAGCTCCAAATCCCGAAGAGACCGATCACTGAAGCTTTGCGACAGAATCTTCCTTTGCTTTGTGTGGGTGCCAAAGTCAGCACTCGAAAGGTCTGGACACCCATTGACTCCGACAACATAAAACATGGGATCTTTGTACGGACGATCATCTTGCTTCCTGGATCCGTAGATCGCTGTCCATGCTTCGGCGCCCCCGTTGAACGAGACTTAGTTTGGGTTTACGCGGACGATCGGTCCATACCTTTCGTGAAGTGCCACGCGAGTAACGGCCTCTAGACCCATGATGCTGGTATAGATTCCGGGTAGTTTGCTGAGCGCTCGGTGACGTGGGCCCGGGAAGTGGCTGAGCGGGCCGAAGAATGCGGTCTTCAAGACGCTGGTGATGTAAAAGACAACGGCCGATATCGTAATGAGGGCCACGGTACCTGGCAGTGTGTACATGTCGGATTCGTGATGCTGCGACATCGTCAAAGGATGTCAGTCACATTAGTATATAATGGTTGCGACTAAAGGTGAGCAAGAGAGAAGAGGAATTCTCGCGACTACGAGGGTCACTTTCGGTCTGTTGAACAAAAGCATTCGAAGCTGAACAGCAAAGGAGGCAACTGCTCAAGAGAACGGAAGCTGCCACTTTTGCCGAGAGCTTGAATCACCGACATCTGCTTACAGAAATCAGGATTTCGTTGCATATACAGGTTCGAGTCATACATCCAGAGGTGCTGTAAGATGTGTTGGAGCCATTGCTGACTGATGAACATTGCATGTCACTCTTGAGAGTCGGCCGTGTGGTATTCGTCGTCCTCATATCTGGTTTCTGATGCTTTCAAGGTCTCGCTGACCTGATGGTCGGGCTGCGAACAGATTCTTCATCTCATTGGGACGGCCATAGTAGACAGGACGTCGTTGCATGCATCTCATATGCATCGGGCGAAGTGACGAAATCGTAAAGGTGAGGTCTGTGTGGGAGTCGGAGCGTCGGCAAGCCTTCGCTAAGTGAGCCAATGACACACGATTAGCGGAAGCAGGTCCGTCTTGCATCCTACTTCATCTTCACCACGCGACAACTTCTACTCCTCGAACCAACACACGTCGCATTGACTGCCACACTGCCAGCAGCGCACCGAGCCTCACGAGCTCAAGCATATCGCCGAAATGGCGGGCGAAGACAACCCACCCAACGCAACGTTCGTACATTGCACATCGTACGAACCAGCGTGAGGGCGGGACAGGACAGCTAACCGTGACTACAGACTCTACGTACGCCGCGCACCCACCGCGCCCAATCGCATATGAAACTGACACCTCGATCTAGGTCAACAATCTGAATGAGAGCTTCAAACAGCCCTTTGTCGTTGAGCAGCTGCGCGAGATCTTTGGCGAATTCGGCGAAATCATCGAGATCGTCGCGAAGAAGAACTACTGGGCTCGTGGACAGGCCTTCATTGTGTTCAGCTCGGCAGAAGAGGCGGCAGATGCTCTGGAGGCGCTGAATGAGTTCGAGGTGCTTGGAAAGCCGCTGCATGTCGCCTATGCGAAGACTCGGAGTGATGCGACGGTGAAGAGGGAGGATGATGAGGCGGGATTCGAACAACACAAGAAGCATCGCATGGCGGAGAAGGGTGAGTTAGAGACACACAGCACACCTTTGGGCAATGCTGACACGGCATACAGAGCGCAAGCAGGAGCAACGCCTCGCTCAAGCCAATGCGAAGTCCGGCAAGCGTGCTGCGCCCGATGCAATCACAGAGCGCCCCGTCAAGGCCTCGAAGCCGGGTGGTACTACCGCAGGCGCCATGGCCGACGAGTACCTCCCACCAAACAAGGTCCTGCTACTTCGCGATCTGCCAGAGGATTACGGCAAGGAGCAAATCCAAGCCATCTTCCAGCGCTACCCTGGCTTCAAGGAAGTGCGAACGGTCCCTGGCCGCAAGGGTATTGCGTTTGCCGAGTACGAAGATGAGACTGGTGCTATTGCTGCTAAGGAGGCCATGAACGGCGTCACGCTGGGAGAGAATACCATCCGCGTTACGTACCAGAAGCAGTAGAGTATGGCTTCTGCTGCAACTCGAATGAAGCTTTGGGTTGCTGGATAATAAAGAAACATGAGATATCCCATTCAAGGCACCCCCTGGAATTTTTGCTCGTCTGGCCCTTGTTCTCCTTCGTATACCATCTCCAGCATCAATGTCAGTCCATATACTCGCCGCGCTGCTTGTACTGCTCCTTCGGATTGACCATATAGTTCGTCCAGAAACGCAAGGGGTTGCGATCCCTGTCGAATCTAGACATGGAAAGATGCAGTTCATCGAACCTACGGCCTTCGTCCTCTTCGCTTTCATCCTCACCATCTTCTTGAACATCGTTTCTCTGAGCCTCAGGAGGGATGCCTCGACCCATTTCGGCCTGTTTCTTTGCAAATAGCTGGAAGAACCCAGAGCCATCGAAGTCGATAAGCTGCTGCTGCGAGAAAGGCACTCCGAACGGGTCTTCGTCGTCCCAGAAGTAGAACAAGACTGCCTCCTCGACAAAGACTTCGCGTAGCTTGGTACATGGTTGAGTTGATCTGAAAGTGTGGCTGATTGCGTCCGCCACCACGTCCCGCTGGCACCACCAAGGCTCTATGTCCACACCGGGCCACTCATTTATTTCGTCGAGGACGTATCCCATGATCCGGTCTTGAAATGCACTGAAGCCGTATTTCTCTCCCAATGCGTAGCACTCTATGACCATTTGATAGGTATTATCGAGGAGAGGCTCTACGAGGACGAGTGGCAGACTTTCCTCCTCGAGCCAATACAGGAGCACACGCCAAGTGTTCAGCTGGTCGTCTGGGAACCGGAAGAGAGGCACGTGGCCGCTCTGGAGCAGCTGGCGGAAGTAGCTTGACTGAGTTTCCAGGACTTCCCGTTCGATGATGTAGGGGGTGTTTTCGTTCGCGACATAGATGCTGACGTAGGACTGCAGTCTCCTACATTGAGTTAGTCTGTGCTCGCCAGTGTAATCAGAAACCTGTATGGTATACCTTGTGACGTTGACCAGTTCTTCGTAGTGCGTCTCCCCCCAGTTCGACTGGCGGCTCATGGTTGCGGTTCTTGGTTGATGCTGAGTGTGTGTAGAAAAGAAAGCAAGATCAAGAGTTGAACGGAGCGGAAAGGGGCTTTTATCAATGGTTGAAGCCGGGTTTGGCACATGAATAGACAAGAATGCTAGAATCATGTGTCTTGTATTGTGGGTTTCATGTGCTCACTGCTTGCATGTGACAGCAACCTTAATGTAGCTTATTCGCTCTCCCGTGTCTGAGTTCTGCCCATTTGCTTGAACTGAGCGACCTCGTACTTCTCCACTGGGCCCACCATGTACTTCTTCCAGAAGTACTTGGTCATGCACTCCTCCTCGTCGAACCTGCTCGTCTTCGGATAAGCGCTGTTCGCCCACTTATCAGCAAAGAGGCCGATAAAGCCGAGTCCTTCGAGCGCAGAGATGTCGCTCGGGTCCATGAACATTCCAAAAAAACTGTTCGTTCTTCTAACTCCCCAGCACTGCTTCCTCGACCAGCAATTCGCGAAGCATCGACCATTCGGGACTCGCCTCGAAAGCCAACAACATAGTGTCCGCGTCGAGCCAGTCTCGACCATCGTCGTAATCGTCGGCAGCCTCAAGAAGAACCAGCATGACCTCGTCTTCGAAGGCCATCAGGTCATACCGCTCCCCGAGAGTGTAGCACTTGACAATGAGCTGAAGGTCGGGCACCTTGTCGTCGGTCATCATGTCCTCCCGCAGCCGCTGCTCGACTAGCCAGTGTAGATACGTATGCCACGCAACAACACTGTCCGCTGTGAAATTGAAAACCTGTTGGCGGTTTTGTATGCGTGTTGCAAAGTATTCCGACTGCCCCTCAAGAACGGTTTTGGGCATGAGATATGGATTCAATGAGTTGTCCGAGGTGATGATTTTGATGAAAGAGTCCGCCTGTAGTTTCCTGGAAATGTGGTCAATAGACGTGATGCTGTACAGACGGAATCCAAACTCACTCCATGAGGTCATGAACCTCACCTTCGGCGGATGTGCTCATGGCTGGTCCTGCGAGATATGGAGTATTGGATTGCAGAGATTTTAGGCAGGCCGAAGCTGATGTGGCAGGAAAGCTATCCGCAATTGAACCAATACAGTTATTAGCCGGAAGCGACGCTTGTAAGTGAAGTCACATGTCTGCACATGACCCTCGATCGTCTCGACGTCTCATGTTAGGCTGTGCCACAACATGTGAATACAAAGCTGCGATTTCATGTGACGGCTTTCCCAGAGATCCATCCTCAACTTCGTTCTTGACCTCATTCATTGCAGTCGGTCAGAAGATCGGGATGGAGCTGCTTCGACCCTGTTATGCCGCTGCCGTATTCCTCAATTTTCCACAGCATCCCGAGCCAAGGTCGTGTCGATGAGGCTCAAGGTATGAAGAAAAGCTGAAGTTGTAAGGTTTCAGGAGCTTCACCAGTCGCTCGTATGCCGTAGAATGTCATCTCCAGATGTTCCGACTATCGGTTAGTCCTTTTTGGTGCCCATGTGCATGTAATGCTTTGACTTCTGCAGCCTTGTTTCTATTTTTAGGGCGGCGAGCAACCGACGTTTACGCGCCGCCCCTTGCAAAGTGTTCGCATAGTGGCTCAAGTGTGAGAAGATTCAGTGACAGACATTGCCATGGAGTTATCTTCATGTTGCCATGAGCGACAGATAATTCTTCTCATGCCGGGGTGCAGGGACAAGAACAGCAGCACCTGCATGCCGCCCGCTCCTGCATGAACGTTGTTCTGCGCTGAGCTTCTTCTCTCGACTTTCCCAGCCACCGATCTGGACTTATCAATCCACTGGAAAGATTTGCTCTAATGACATGTCTTGCTCAGCAATGAATGTTTTTCATTGAAAGATGACCGTTCTTTGATATTGCTGCTGCCAATATGTCGCCGCCACAGGTTGGTTGTCGAGCCTCAAAAACTCTCAAGGCGCCGAACCGAGCTGAATGCAACAATCTATCTCCAGCCCGCTTTTGGGGGAGAGATCCGAACATGCGTACGCCTCGGCGGCTATAACCTACGACTGTGTCCACTATCTCTGTTTCTTTTCAGCTGGCACCAACAGAAAGAACCAGTGCCCGCTTCCTTTCTATTGTCCACGAATCGCCGCCTCGCTGGAAGGTCTGACCACAACAACCTATGTTCGTTGCATGGTGGACAACCCACAAGGACCCCTTACAGTCAACCTCACGGCAACCTACAATAAGTATACTCAGCCAGCTTTTCTTGGGCGCAATGCAACAACTCTCCCCAGTCTCCTTTGGGCAGAATCGGTTATCTCGAATTGGTGGATGAGTCTTGTCACCACATTCGAAGCCGCCAACGATGCCTTGGAACGACCTACATACAAAGGACGGCTCGCGATCTCGCCTAACTCAAACACCCTTCCAACCTCTGCGGATGACATCAAATCGCTAGACATGCTCAACGGCAACGCTTACTTCGTCCCGTTCTTGGACAAAGGCATCATCGACGCTTTCTGGTACACACCGACCGCCAACATCAGCGTGCTAGCAAGCATGACAACCATGAATGCATCGTTTCCAGCCTCTTGGGAGCCGGCCGACTACCTGGCGAAGGGTCTATACTACACCGTGCTCACGGACCTTGGGCAAACCGATTCTCACGGCACAAACATCTTCGCCAACTCAGACCTCCTGGCCTACTTCACGAAGAACTTCACTTCCATCGTCGCTACTGGCGAAAAGGAGATCGCACGGGCAACACCATACGGAGACCTCCCGTCCGTCCCATTTGATCCCACAAGTGCGGAAGCATCAACTTTGCGAATCGACCCGTCAGTCCTCGCAACAGAGTATCTTTGCCAGGTTCCGCAGCTGAAACCGAGCGGATCGCTCATCATCGCGGTCTTGATCGCGGATATCGTCTTGCTCAAGACTATTTGGCAGCTATACAAGCTCGTGGTAGACTGGACTTTACAGAGGCATCACCCGGACATGAAGCTATGCGAAGGGTGTCTCGCTCGGCACGAGAAGATGGACGATCTATCGACTGTCGAGAGCAAGCTGCAAATTTCGAGCCCTCGTGGGCAATACCAGAAGATACACGTTAGTGAACGCAGCTCCGTATTCGAGGAATAAATGGCCTGAACTGTGCCAGACCAGAGTGCATGCCTCTTCTTCGCTCATGCAATATTCCGCCCGCCTCGATTCCCATCCAATACGCATCCCTCCCCAAAATCCCCAAACGGCAGTCCACAACGAAAACCTGCATGCAGCAGCTCGACCCGATAGCCTAACCAGGTAGGCACGGATAGGGCGTGGGAAAAAAGTGGGGAAACATCCATGCGTCTGGCCGGGTCGACCTCTTCATTTATTACTTGCCAACACCTATCCACAAGACACAGAAACCATCCTGAGCTCCTTTGCTCAAGTCATCACCATGGCCGCCGCAGAAAAAGCCTACAACGAAGCGCAAGAGCGCTTCATCGCGCAGAACCCGAAAAGCAAAGCGATTCACGAGAGGGCGACGGAATCCCTGCCAGGTACGTGACATCTCTATCGTTCCTGTACACCATTACATTATTTGTACACTAACATTGCAACTCAAAAACAGGAGGCAACACCCGCTCCGTGCTCTTCTACGACCCCTTCCCGCTCTCAATCACCTCCGCTCAAAACGCCACTCTCCACGACGCAGACGGACATTCATACATCGACCTCCTCGGCGAGTATACCGCCGGACTGTACGGCCACTCCGAGCCAGTGATCACACAGGCAATCATCGAAACGACCAAGAAAGGCCTCAATTTCGGCTCGCACCACGAAGATGAAGGCCGTCTCGCCGCGCTCGTCAAGCAGCGTTTCCCAAGCATGGAACTGCTGAGGTTCACGAATTCCGGCACGGAAGCGAATCTGATGGCGATCGCTGCGGCGAAGATCGCTACGGGGAAGAAGAAGATTGTTGTTTTCGCTAATGGGTATCATGGAGGGACGTTCTTGTTTGCGGCCGGGAAGAATAGTCCCATCAATGTGCCGCATGAGTATTTGATTGCGACGTATAATGATCTGGAGTCGGTGCATGCTTTGATCCGTGAGCCCGAGAATGCGAGGGATGTTGCTGCGATCATTGTTGAGCCGATGATGGGGTCTGGCGGTTGTATTCCAGCTGATGAAGGTTTCCTAGAGGGACTGAGGAAGGCGGCAGATGAGAGCGGTGCTGTTCTCATATACGACGAGGTGATGACTTCGCGTATGCACAGTGGCGGTGGCATTCAGTCGCAGTTACCGGTGGACATGAGGCCCGACTTGACGACTTTGGGTAAATATATTGGCGGTGGCATGTCGTTCGGTTTGTGGCCCTCCCTCGTCTCATGTGGGTGCAGCTGACCTATTTCAGGCGCATTTGGCGGCAAGCGAAGCATCATGGACATCTTTGACCCTCGCCGCCCAGACTCCATCAAGCACGCAGGCACCTTCAATAACAACGTCCTGACCATGGCGGCAGGGCGAGCTGGTCTCGAGCAGGTTTTCACACCTGATCGAGCTCAGCAGCTTCATGCTATCGGCGACAAGCTTCGCAAACGCCTGCAGGAAATCGGCCGCGGGACGCTGATGAAGGTGACTGGTGTTGGCTCGATCATGTGTTTCCAGTTTACTCAAAGCTCACTTGACAGGATCAAGTCACACAACGACATTGCCGACTCTGATGCGACATTGTCCGGGCTGCTGCACCTCTTTCTGCTACAACGAGGTTTCTACATTGCCAGGCGTGGGTTCATGGCGCTCAGCTTGGCGCTGACTGAATCGGATCTTGATGGGTCTGCCAAGGCCGTGGAAGACTTCGTGGTAGAGCATCGACAGCTGCTGGCGGATTCGTCTGGTAGCGCCAAGCTCTAATTATGAAATTGATAGTGCGGAATGCTGTCGTTATCTCAAGTCAAGTTTTGCTTTGCCCAAGCAACTTCTGCGACCAGAGCCTCCATCTGTGGGACAAGCTCCGGAATGCGAAAGGGTTTGGTGACAACTTGGTCCATGCCAGCATCGATGGCAATAGAGATCTGCTCATTTCGCGCATTGGCAGTCACTGCAATGACTGGAACATGGCCAGTGATTTTGCCGCTGAGTTGCCTCTCGCGAATGTGCTTTACACACGTCAGCCCGTCCATCGTAGGCATCTCGAGGTCCAGTAAGATTACATGCAACATTGTGTCTGAGGAACAGAATGTCGACTTCTCCAGGAAGTCCAAACATTCGCCGCCGTGGTTTGCGACATGCACGACACAACCCGCTCTCCTCAGCTGCTGCGACATGACCTTCTGGTTGACCAGATTGTCCTCTACTATGAGTACATGCATCTCAGTTTTGTGCGCGCCGTTGGTGGTCGGTGTAGGGACTTTCAGCTGCTGGGCCGTGGAGCTCTGGTCAGATTGCGGCTCGAATACTTCGCATATTGCCTCGCTCTCCTTCGTTTCGTGTCCCATTTGGTTGCTGACATTTTGGAGAACAGCGCTGCCTCGTCTACTGAAAGCCACCGGGCTGGCGGATGTGCTCGCAAAGCGAGTGACAGGCGGCCGCCTCGCCATCCTTGGAGAATCTGGTATCCACCGCTTCGCTTTGACGTAAAATGTGAAGACAGTTCTCTTTCCCTTCTCGCTCGCAACACCAATCTGCCCGCCTTGGAGCTCACACAGCTCACGAGAGATGAAGAGGCCGAGTCCACTACCACCATATTGCTTGTACGTTTTTGGCGAGGCCTGCGAGAAGCGTTGAAAGAGGACTTTCATCTCGTCCTCGCTCAACCCACGACCAGTGTCATAGACGGCAATCTGTAAGTATATATCCTCACCTTCGCCCCACTCGATGGCTGGAGTCCGTGCATGCCGCGCATGTCTGACGGGGACGAAGCTGATACCGTGATGCTTGCCGGAAGGAGCCTGGTAGGAGGCTCCCAAACAGACCTTGATTCTGCGTTCCGTGCTGTATTGCGTGAACTTGATCGAATTCGTCAAGAGATTGATGACGACTTGAAGCAGGCGGCTGGGGTCCAGAATAACCCAGTCAACACCTAATTCCTCGTAGGATGGCTCGATACAAAGTTGAGCATCGATGCCGGCTCGCGCAATCTCCGCCTCGTACATTTTCAATGCTTTCGTGACAAGCATGGGTGGTTGCACTTTCTCAGGTGAAATAACCAGCAGACTTGCGTCGAGTTTTGATAGCGTCAGAATGTCGTCCACAATGCGCTTTTGGTGCTGAGCACACAGAATGATCGTTTGAGCAGCATCGACGATCTCTTCCACCGTGCGTGCGGACAATGAGATCTCCTCATCGCGAAGACTCGACCCCGGTCCAGCAGCGTCAAGCGTCGACACGATCGAGTCTGCGCTTTGCAAGATAGCGCTCAGCGGATTGCGCAATTCGTGGGATGTCATATCGATGAAGTTTTCAGTCTGTCGTTTATTCTCTAGAGCGTCTTCAAGCCGTTGCGAGAGCAGTTGTTCGGAAAATTTCCGATGAGATATGTCTGTCAGCCATCCCTGAATGGTCGAGACTGAGCCATCTGCTTCGATCTCTGGGAAGGCAGTGGCCAACAGCCAACTTTCGCCTGACATCTCTTGGCCAGATTTGTCTGTCGACTTCCACGGCTTCTTCGAGCGATATTCGATTGTAATGGGAACCTTCTGTTCTTTGAGCACATCCCATGTTTCGATAAACCGATCAAGATCCTCTTCATGGACTTGCTCCTTCCATGCCGATCCTTCGGGCCTTTTGACAACGCTATCATCGGGAGGAAGGCCAAGCATGTCGAGATATGTATCATTGACGTATAAAGCCCTTCCTTCAGAGTCGAGCAGGAACATTCCAGTGGGAGAAGTCGCTGCCAGACGAGAGAACTTGGCCTCACTCCTCTCTGCCTTGAGAGTAGTCAGCTTCAGTTGTTGTGCCAACGCATTGTTAATATCGTCGGAAATCTTCTGCGTTCGACGATACTCCTCGGGCAAAGAGATCAAAGCTGCTGCCTTCTCAATGAACTCGATGGTGATCTGCAAGTACAGCTTGTACTCGGCGTTGATAGGAGCGCGGGGACACAGGCCTGTCACAAGGATGGCGAGTACCTCGCCTCCCGTAGTTGTTGACTTGATAGGGGAAATAATGGCTTTGCGCAACGAATCTCCGAATCCTCGACCAGGAACACCAGTGGCGAGTGATTCTGGTAGCGTGCCGTCTTCGGTGGAGACCATGATGGGACGGCCTCCTTTCCAAGCCTGTAAGCATGATGAAACCAGCCCTGGACCAGTCTCAATGTGCTCCAACAGTGCAAAGGTCTCCACCGCATCCTGGTGGTCGCTGCCCAGACCTACTGTGCCCGCTAGAACGGTCTTCTTATGTGGAGCGTTCGATTGAGACTCTGTTGATATGGACTCAGTTTCGTTCGTCTCAGGTACATCATCGACCACTGCGTAGAGCATTGCGAACGGTATGTCCACACTGGAAGACCCCAGGCTTTCAAGAACGGCGCTCCACAATTGGGGTAGCGTGCTCGCAGTCTCGATGTACTCAGTAAGAGAGCTTACAGCATTACGCCGACGCTCACCAGTCACACTTGTGGTCACCTCCGTGATTTCATCCAGGGCCCCCATCGCGTGGCCATCCAGACTGAGTACAGGTAGAAGGGTGAAGTCCCAGTAGGTCTCTTCGAGAAACCCATTCCTCTCGATCGACATGAGCGCACGCTCAACCTTGAGTGTTTCCCCTCGATAGGCAGTGCCGATCAAAGGCTCAATCTCGGGCCAGGCTTCAGAAAACGCAACTGAGGTGTGCTGTCCCATGCATTCCGGATGCTTTTTGCCAAAAAGCTGTACGCAAGCTTCATTGTAAAAGAATACCCAATGATCACCCCATACCAAAATACGTGGATTTGGATTGACCATGATAGCCATCACGTACTGGCGTAGCTGCATCGGCCAGGAATCCATTGGGCCTACTGCAGTGGAAGCCCAATCGACACTCCTCACGAAGTCCGTCCATGGAGATACGCTGGGGGTGTCGCTCCTTGTCCAATCCAGACATCGTTTCGAGGGCTCATATTCCGAGTCAAGAGCATCGCCGTTGACGTGACCATTCTGCTTCGACGGCACATCTCCGTTCGAGTATCCGTTACTATGCACCTTGACTCCTTGAGCGTTGAGCTCGAACGGACGCTGATCGATAATGTGTGCCCTGCCAACGACTGCAGTGGCGATGCAGTAATTCTTTGAAACTCTTGTCTGCCATCTTGCGCCAGATAAATGTCGGTTGTGAAGATCCCTGTCTAGTGCGAGGGTCCGCTTGAGGGCGCCTTGGAGATCCTCCAGCTCTTTCTCGGGACTTGGAAGGGTTTGGAACGCTTCGTTGCAGTAGACCGTCTCGCACTGCTCGCTCTCATGCGCCGGCACGCGCAAGATGGTGGTAGGGCTGTTGTCGACGCTGAGGAAATCGGCGAGGGCGCGTAGTTCGAGCGGCAGGTCCAGCAGGCTGCTTCCCAGTCTCTCATCCATTCTCGCGAGCGACAAAAGGCTCGATTCGCATGGCGCAAAAGCGCAAGGCTGCAGGCAAGTGAATGAGTCTGGGTGGGCGAGGGGGAGACGTCGTTGAAGGTTGCGCGGGATCGACCTTCCTTCCACAGCGAGCCGCTGCCACGCTGCCGCCGAACGCCTTCTAGACTCGGATCAGTCATCAAGTCAGGCACGGTCCATCAATATTTGATTGGGTTTTGATGCATCATCGACACCAGCAACACGTCAACTTTGACGGGACTCTGCGGTGTCCAGAACGGCACCTCCTGGACGAGAGACATCAACATTCCCCATATTCCAATGAGTTGGTTGGATCTGCGAGATGGCCGCGGCTGCCGGACAGATTATAACACGACGTGCGAGATGGCCTTGACATGGCCCATCGAGCCGTCCCACTCTCTTGGCAATGGATGATAATCGAGTCGCAATACGAATGCGATAGTCGTCGACGACGAAAGAGTGCATAGAAAGAAGTATGAGGACAGGTACACCTCGTGCCGTACCTGGGAAGCGCGCGCCCGGTGGAGCTCGAGATCTTGGCCGAGCTCTTACCTGTAAGAACTCCACCTCTGACTCGAGGATGACTACACTGTATCTGCCATGGGAAGACATCTCGTGAGCACAGAGACCCCTGACCCTTCTGAGAGCTGGAACACACTATGGCAGACAGACCAAAGCCAAAGATCAACAAGAGTCGATGTAACACTCCCACCCAAAGCTTACGCCACCAGATATGCTAATAATCAATCGTTAGCGGGCTGTAGTGCGTGCAAGAAGAAACGTATGAAATGTGATGAGACTTTGCCTCAATGCAGGAACTGCGTTCGTCGGAAACTGCAGTGCCCGGGTTACGAGCGACAGCTGAAGTGGTCGACCAAATATGAACGATTGCGCACTTCCAGGTCATCGAAGGAATCACAGGCCAATACCAAGCCTGTATTTGAGAAGACACTGGATGAAGCTGCTGCTGTCCTTGACCCAAAAGCGAGAGATTCAGAATGGACGAGTTTACAGAAGATTGTTCCGTCGAAAGGCCAGGATCCTGAGCGACGAATGGAGACTGCAAGCGTTTTGCCACCAGAGCCTGACCTGGACCAGGTCACTTCTTGTGAAGGCCAAATCGAGGTTCAGTTGCCGATACTTGAAGAAGACCGAAGACGCTTGAAAACTCATAACCATACCATTCTCGAGAGCATTGAGCAAGTCGATGCCTACGCGGATGTTAGCCCCAACGATGCCAGCACAGTCGAGCGCGTGGAGGTGCCAAAGATGGATCCGGCCTATCTGCAGTACATCTGGGAATACGTCTCCGACAACGATGATCATGCCGACAAGCTTGTGGCTCACTACTTTGACGTGATCTGTCAAGTCATGTCTTGCTTCGACTCGGCAAGTAATCCGTACCGGACTGCCATTCCACAGTCGCTCTCAGTGTCTCCGCATATCTTTGACTGCTTAATGACCATGTCCGCTGCCCACATGGCTAATTACCTCAACGAATACACTGTGGCGACGCTGAGATATCAGACGAAAGCAATGAGTAGTTTGCAAGAGGAGATGGCGAGTCTGGCGCTCACTGAACTTGCAACGGCCACTAGCTCCAAGAGCAGGTATCAGTTGCTCCTAGGTACTATCATACTTGGAATGACTTCGGTATGTTTCCTACATGATGAGCAATGATCTTGTAGCATTGACCTCTCTTTAGGCTTGGCACGATCCTACCGCATATTCACTGTCACACCTTAAAGGAGCTCGATCACTCTTCCAAGCTTGGTCCGCAGAGCAGAATCTTATTACTCAAGATGGCACACCCACTATTTTGAATCGCGAGCAGAGCTTCCTCGTCGGGTCCATGGCTTACTGGGAATGTCTCGCCTCCATCCTCATCGATCAATCACTGCAGAAGCTTGACTACCTGAAGCCTTTCTCCGAGCTTGCGGATGGTCAGCCAATTTATCCCAACTCCTGGACGGGCGTCTCGACACCGACCTTCATCTTCCTCGCCCAAGTAGGTGTACTCTTACGCCAGAAACGAGTTCTCGAGAAGCTCGTCCAGATCGACCGCGGCTGCCCGCTTGCAACCGGAAACAACTCTGGAATCCTCGCAGATGCTCGTCAAATACACGATCAGGTCCTCAACTATAACCTCCCTTCCATCGACTCAATGGAAGAAACGGGCGACCCAAACACCCCACTAAGCCATCTCTGCGACGTCGCAAAAGTTTACAGATTCGTGATCCTCCTCGAACTCTACCAAGCTTTTCCTACACTCCTGGAGTCAAATGCAGATCCTACACCCGCGGAACCACGAGCGAGAGAAACCATCTTCGACCTCGCCACCAGCGCCCTAACAATCCTCTCCAACATTCCCCGAACCTCAGGCGTCTTCACAGTCCTAAGCCTCGCCTACATTTCAGCTGGCAGCGCCGTTCAACTCGCCATGGCAGGTTCCAAAGCGGACACTACCGTACCGGGACGACTTGATCTCGACGCCGAACTAAACGAAGTTCGCCACAGCAAGACCGCCGTGCAATGGTGGCGTGACAATCTACGACAGCAAATCATCCACAGCCATAAGCGTCTTGGCATAGCTTCGCTTGGACGAGGTGCGAAGTTGGTGCAGGAGGTGTGGAATCGATCTGATCTGCAGGCGGAGATGGCTATAGGGCCCGATTCCGCTCCACACGTGCATTGGCTTGATGTCATGATTGAGCTTCGACTTGAGACACTATATGGATGAAACTCGCTCTACCTAAACACCGGGTTGATATATGCTCAATGGTTCCCACTAACGCTGGCCTTCTCCATCTCGAGAGCCTCCGCCACACGAAGTGCGCTCCTTCTACCCTGCTCAATCGCCCCATCAACAAAGCCCCGCCACCCATCCGACCAATCCGCACTAGCCATGTGAACTCTCTGGTGCGGCTTCTGCAACTCATCAAAATACTTCGTCGTCTGCCCTGGCGCGGCACAGAACCACGTCCCTTGCGCAAAAGGATCTTTCGCCCAGTGATGCGTCAGATAGCCACGAACAGAAGCATCCGACTTGAGCTGCTGGAAAGCCGAGATGACTCGCATGTCATCGCTGGGATCCGGAAGATGGCCGCTGTACCCGAACGCCACGCAGTGTGTTCCGTCGGGCTGGTCGGATTGCGTGCCATTGTGGTCCGTCATGGCGGTGAGAAAGTCATTGTCGCAGTCATCGACGGCACCCGAGCCCCACCCTGGTTGGACTTGGTCGATATGGAAATGGTACTTGGTGCCTCTGTTGATATGGCCTGCCTCGAACGCTTCTTGTCGAAGAACACTCATTGGAGGATCGAACTCGACATCTTTGAGACAGTTGCTGTCGATCGTCAGTATGTGAGTCGTAAAGCAGCCACAATAGCACTCACAGAGGAATAGTGCACACAACTCGGCGTGCGGAGATCACCTCTCCAGCGTCCACGCAAACTTTCACCTCATCTCGACTCTGCTCGATCCTCTTGACGCAAGTACCAAATAAGCGATCTCCATTATACTCCGCAAGAACCCTCCTCGCCAAACCCGTCATCCCACCCTCTCCAATCTTAAACGACCCCACCGCCGCCCCAAACCCATCCATCGTATACCCAGACAACGCCCACCACTCCAGCACAGACGTAAACGCCAGCTGCTCCCCAGGCGCTAATCCAACAGACTCAAAGGTAACCTCGATGAGATCTTTGTCCTCATCCGACCAATCCAACTGCTCCAACCGACCGCGTATACTCAAATGATCGTACTTCTTCCATGGCTGGGCTCCCGCTCGAGAGGGGTCGTGCGGGAAAGGCATCAATTCGTGGGCGGTCTGGCCGTCGATTGTGAAGAACTCGGCGATTAGACGGGTTTGTTTCTCTGCGAAGGTTGGCAGGTCGACGGCTTCAGCGGGCTTCGTGGAGCCACGCGGCCTTTGGAATATATTTTCGAGGGCGACGCTGCCGGAGATGGTCTTCAGTGAGGTATGTAGACCGTAGCGCGAGATCTCGCTGTAGACGTGGGGTTGGGCCCTTCGTGTGTCAGTACTCCTCAATATCGAACATGTTTGCTGTGGTGAACTACCAGTGCACCCAAGTCCCGCCCATCTCGTATTCCTCACCCCAAGCTTTGGCTGTCCAGGTCCGGCCACCAATTCTATGGCGGGCTTCGAGGAGTAGGACACTCAGATTTGTGGTTTGGGAGAGATCTCGAGCGGCGACAAGGCCTGCGAATCCTGCGCCGATGACGATGACATCGTATGAGGACTTTATGCGAGGGCTACCGGATGTAACAGCGTCGGTGGTCAGGCCATCATAGTGGCCTTCGCTGCGGGTATAGATATGGCCTTCAGTTGTACGAGACATGTCGTTTGCTGTTCGGTCTTCTGCTATAGTCCACGAACACAGCTCCGCACCTCGTCTATCGTTTACCCCTTATACCCATACTTCCTCACATTTTTACCCCATGCAGTCTAGACGACGCTCAATTCTTTGCCCAGAACACTGCCCTCGTCTCTTCACGAGCTTTCCCGAGCCCCTTGTCGCAGCCTTGCGGCACTTTTTGCCCTAACTCGGTATCGCTTCGGGGCCCGCGGGCCCGTTGTCTTGAGCACATGGCTCGGCTAAGGTAGAGAGAGTGCCAGCGGCGTGGGGGTGGGATGAGAGCGAGGCGGATTCGTATGGAGCACCTGTGACATGCTTCTATGGGGTCTGCAGGGCCCTCTCGAGGTCATGATCTGGAGCATCTGGGTCTCAGCGGATGGCGCTGGTCTTGGCAGGCTCCAGTGGTGTTCCATCGTATGAAGACATCGAGAATAGGGACATCTATCTCCCACTGTGACTGTAGCTCTCTTCTTTGGTGGTGCTCGAGGATCTGGACTATGGTTGCGTTTACTCGTTGTGCGTCTCGCCGTCGACAAGCTTTCTCTGGATTGGGTTCAAATGTCGGACTTCGCAGGTCGGGAGAGCGCATTCAAGACCCCTGAGACTCTCGAATTTCGGCCTTTTGGCCTCAGCGAGCCTTGGAGCTTGGCCGAGCGGTGCTCGACATGAAGTTGCTGCCGTCACCGATGCAGCTTTTGGTGGTGTGTTTCTTCGGGCTTGAGATCAGGCTGCAGTTGTACTGGAACAAGTGGAGTCGTCTATTCGCATGAATTGTTTGAATTTCTTGCAGTGCGTTTCAAAGGTGCAGCAGAAATGGCGGCGCTGTCCTGATGGCAGGAGGTAACAACTGCCTCAGGCTCACCTCCCCTCAGGCTAGTAGGGTTGTTGGGGTAGCATAAACTGGTGGGATTTCTGGCTTCATGGTGGCGATGTGCTTGGAAAAGCAGCACAACACATTTTCAGACGTTCATGCTTTTTGTATAGACTTATATGAATTATTAAATAATACCGTATGAGTTTTACGGCTATTGTATATCTCTATGTCGAGTAATGCTACTTTTCTCACTTTGGCGGCTCGGATTCTAGCTTGAACAGAAAAGTGACCATGCGTCCGCTTGTAGACACCACTACTGTTATGAACATGGACGTAGATCATACCAAAATTTCGTTCATGGGCAGTATAGGAGCCCAGAGGCCACACAGCGACGTCTATACCATCCCATACTTTTGCTGATATGCGTACCTACCGTCGCCAGACTGGCCAAGGCTGCCTCGAGACCTTCTAGGGAGACTGCCGCTGCTGCCGGAATGACAGAATCCCCATCCAGTCTTCAACAAGCGGAAGCGATATGAGTGAGTGTAGAAAGAGTACATTCTCATTGCATTCATCACTTGTATTCTTGCCATACTAATCTGCCTCGCCTTCCTCGCAGCTGCGCGGATAAGGCAAGCTTGCCAAGCCGAGCTGCAACAGTGCTCTCCCAGATTTCTGCCCCATCCCAAAGCCATATACCATGACACTCGAGCAGCACTCGTTGGCGTGATCGAGGTCAGAGTCGGAGAGATGGTTGTTTCGAAATTCATTCACTTGGAGCGGAAGCGCCCGCAAGCTTCGGCCCGGAAAGCCGATCGATCGGGCCGAGTGATAGCCGACTTCACCCTTCCCCTTTCGAACGAGCGATATTCGAGCACACTTCTGGCAGTCGCTCAATATATGTGAAAATTGACATTGCTATCAATTCTCAACACGATAGATGTGACGCAATGTTTTGCGCAGGTTCGCGCTGACTGCAATGCGCACAATTGGCGTTGCGGATTAACTTTTCCACGGGAAGGCTTTAGGGGAAGCCGTGCGGCCCTGCGTCCGAGCGCTCTCAAGCCCGCATAACTGCTTTGGGATGGAATTTCCAGCTTGGTTGCTTGCTGCTGCTGTCGCCGCCGAGGCCGCTTCTGGTGATCTCGTCTTGCGTCGTGAGAAACAGGTGAGGAAGCATGAAACCGGTCGTTGTCTCTGTCGTTCTGACGTATGCCACGCCGCTGATCTGTACTACTGACAGTTTTTTGCTGCATCTTTTCCGAGAATATGCACGAAAATCTGCCTGCTTTGATTCAGAAGAAAAGCTTCTCGCTCACGCAAGGCGCGCGCATGGACAATGCCGTGCTGCGCGCAGAGAAACAACCGTAGGCTCAACTGACTTACATATAGCGCTGAAATTCATTTTGGCTGCCAATGCGCTCATGATGTGCTGTAAACAGTACTTGAATTCGCGCAAAATGAGCAAAGTGAGTGATCGTACGATGCAACGGGCCTTTTGCACTGCTCGACTGCATACATGTGAGTCTGGCAGGCTGCTTGATGTGAGAAATCTCGACAGTACGCAGGTGAGTCACAGTTACCAGCCTGAGACATCCGGCTGTCGCGCTGAAGCGGCTTGCGTGATCCAGATAGAGTTCGACGTACCAATGTGCGCCGGAATTCACAGCCTGAAACGGCTGAGAGCCCCGCTGAAACAGCTTGCGTGATCTGGATAGACTTCGCCGTATCAATACGTCCCAAACTCCAGAGCAGGCTCGCTGAACATCGCCCGGAGCCTGGCCTCGACCTACGCTTACTCTACACCCAGCCTTGTTGGACGATCTCCCCGCACCCAAACAATGTACCCCTCTGCGGTATGCAGCGGAAGTCGTGTTCGTCGTGTTTCTGCGAGCGGGCGAGGAGTTCTGCGTGATAAGAGCGCTTCGCGCGCAGAGTTTTCAACATAAATATTCGCTCCTCTCCCTCTTCTCTTTCTCTTCCTTTCTTCAACTGACAACTGTGCTAGGTGAGTGAAGCACAATCTTCTCACTCCCCTTTGCACTCACCCTCCCCTCCCTACCCCTTCACTCACCCTCGTCCCTCCTCATCATCATCACACTCACCTCACCCGCTGTTCACATTGACTGACGTTGTCTCAGGTACTTGCTCGTGGCGACTTCTTACAACAAACTCAACAACCAAGCTTCATCCAACATGTTTTGCTTGCCGATTACCCGCCTTCTCCACAAGGTGAAGCGAGCTTTGCGCTTGAAGCGCAAGGGCCGGAACATGTCGAAGTTCACGGACCCTCTCGGTAGGGTGTGGGAAGTGCGCGAGTACTGATGGGTGGTGGAAAGAAAAATCTCCTTGTCTGTTTTCCCAGTTGTACTGGAGGGTGAACCGTAAGACCGCATTTATGCGCAGGGGATGCCTCTGGGAGAACTGGGAGTCACTGTCCCTCCGACACCGAAACGTAAGACTCAACGAGCAGTGGAGCGTGTAGGTTGGGGCAGGGGCAGCTCGCTGACGATCCACGGGCTTCACGCGCCAGCGAGTGTGAGTAGCCTCTCTGAGGTGAAACCAACAGTGGATCTTGTGTATGTTAGAGTAGATAGATCTTGTATGCAACAGACTTGTTCCCTTCCTTCCACCAGATTGATCACTTCGCCCCGCTGTCCGTCTTCACCTCATCGTCGCTGCCAGGCTTCCGCCACCGCCCGCTGTGGCGCTGTCTGCCAGGTGCCGCTGCCATGTCTCCTCGTGGCCATGAAGCAATATTCGCGCAGTTGATATGTGTTCGGCATCTCGTTCTCATCATCATTGCCGCTGTAGACTTCGTCCCTTGTGAGAGTCTGTGTCTGGGGCATCGCGAAATTCGCTCGCGTAGGAGGTGCCAGGCTGCGATCTCACGCCGCGCAAACGTGCAACGTGATGGTGAGTATTTCGCGTGTATTCAAGGATTGTGTATGGCTCGAAGATGGCTGTGATGCGATATCATGCTTGTCCTTACCTGCGCCGCCGCTGCCTCGTAGGCGGCCTCAGCGTGGCAGGCATGCCCATGCGGCGGCGTGCGCCCATGCGCTCTTACCACCTCGATTGCCATCACCCCGCACAGTGGCATGTTCATCTAGTGGCACTCACGTTAGTCATATTGCACGATGAGACAGTCAATTGTCCTGGCGGACTGATCGCGCCGTCACGCGCGCTCGCGCTCGAGCGCATGTCCCGCGACCACGACACACCAAAGGACCTACACCTTCAGCCGTACCGCGACATCACCACTGCCATTTCCACAAGCGCAAGGCCACCGGGCTTCAATCTCACAGACCCAGTCAGCAGGCTGCGAGTGGGCGATACAAGGCAAGGCTCCAGGGCGACGTGAACTGACTACCACCGCGGCGCCCTCGGAACAGCACCAGTCTCCTCCTCACTACCACGCGGCGATTTGAGAGATAGTACATGGCTTCATGCGCCGCGTGCGCTGATACACACTATGCGAACATACACGATGCCTCGTTGCCTCGACGAATATGCGTCACGTGACTGTCAAGACCCACGCCAGTAGCACATCACGTTCACATCGACGGCGACATACAACGAGGCGATATGAACAGTATCCTCTATATATGAGCACACATGGAAGAGACAGCTAAAGCAAGAGAAGTTTAAAGGCTTGGTCAGTCGTTCCAAGGAGAGAGGAAGATAGGAGTATCGCGATGAGCCTCATAAGGCTGAGCCTGGCATCTTCTTACATGTGCATATCGTTGCGCCTTACCGACTCACTAAAAGGTCAAAGACCGCCTTTCATCCCGTAGTCGACAGCAACCAGCGACTCTGGCAGCCGGAAGAGTCTCGCGTCACCCCTCTTCTCTCCTCTAATCATGGTTCACTCCACGTAGTGCATTACTGACGAGACCACTGTTGCAGGCAGAACGGCTGAGAAGACTACATCATGCACCCACTTCTCCGAGAAGGAGTACAAGGAACTATCGTCAAACAACAGTAGACCTTGTTGCAGAAGCTCGACGAGATCCTGGGCGGCAACCAAAAGATCCCGAGTCGGCAGGATGAGCATGTGCGCCTATTAGGGTATCGAGCGCATCAGTCCATAACGATGGACCCGAGAGACGCAGCGTCGGCGACGCTGCTCGAGCACGGTCTGTTCCCAGAGCGCGACATTCCCTCAGATGCTTCAAGACTCTGCGATGTATCACCTTGCCTGCATAACACCGTGACGGTGACGAGACTACGACACGGACGATACTAATTCAACCCTCCATGATATGACTGCGTTCGAAGCCATTACCATCACTCGTCTCATGGCTGAAAGGAAAGAGAAGCAGGCGTCAAGATGGGAGAATACGAGTCTATACCCAGGAAATTGACGAGGAGTCGGCCACTCATGGGCGTAACTCCGGGTTTGACAAGCTCATCGAGGAAGAGAGATACCCGGGGAGAGCCAAACCGCGTGCCATGCCGCGATCAAATGGGATTTGCCTCTGAGCACACCCGGACCAAACCTTTCGTGTTTCATCCCTCGAACGAGACGGGATACTCAATAACTTGCTGGCAAGGGTTCGGTCATGGGATACTGACAGCTTATCCCGATTCTGCCTCAGGAGAGCCAGAACCAGTCACAGCCACAAATCCTTGAAAAGGTACAAAGATCGAGAGACTGCAAAACAATTCGATTTGACTCTATCGGGTATATATCTGTCACGGATGCAGCACAGACACCCATGTAGAACCCCCCCTCGCTTGGATTTCGAGCCTGGCACCCTCTTGCAAGCTCGAAGTACGCCTTCATAACACCTTCACGCTCTCGTCAACAGTAGAATTCTCATATTTCTCCTCCAGCACCGAGTCTGCAGGAGACCGTGGCCTCACTTCCCTCAACGCCCGAAACCCGCCTCGAATGCTGTCCGCCTCGAAGCCCTTGGCACGCAGCACACTCGTTGCCACACGAGCAGTATCACCATTGTAGCAGACACAGAGCAACTTCTTCCCTGCAAATTGAGACTGCAGGTATGACTGCGAGAAGAGCGATTCCAGCTCGCACCACTGCTTGTCCAATAGCTCGGCTTCAAAGAATGGACTCCTTGACCCAGAGTCCAGGGTTTTCAGTGAGATGTTGATCGACGGGGTTAAGCTGTCTTGAAGATTGTCTTGCTGTCTCCGAAGATCGACAACAAGAGTGTTCTCTTTCAACGGGACGGCATCTGAGGGAGGGAGCTCCCACGCCTCATCGTAGCGATGGAGATCGACTTTGGTGAGATGCTATATTTCTGTCAGCAATGCGTCCAACTCCAAGATGATTTTCTGGGCTTACCTCGTTGGTGATTGGTGGGAAAGCTTCTGGCCCGAGTTTCGAGAAGTACTCGTTGATGTATTGATAGGGGAAATCACAGCACAAGAAGACGCAATGGACCAACCCGTCAGCCTCCGCCATCTGCTGGAGCGTACCGGCGGCTTTTCTCTTCTCCAGCAAGCTGTAAAGGCCTTGGAGATTGAACCCTGAGGAAGGGCCGCAGAGGATGCCATTCCGACACAGCCGTAGCGAGAGAGTGTAGGAGTCATGAGATCCGACATGCTCAATGTGGTCGACGGACTGCCTCCACGGGAATTCGACAGGTGCGAGGAGGGAATATGATCTTGGGCCAGGAACACGATCACCCGGTGCGGTGCAGACGCTGCCAAACATCGTCAGCAGGCGAGACAGAACAGAGGATTCAGTCAGGCTTACCCTAGCCTGAAACAAGATGGCTTTGCAGTGGCGAAATAGTGCCCAAGTCCAGTCGCCTACAGGAAGCATCATCAGGACTGCACAAATTCATCGCCGCTAAATCTCGACCTACCGTTCCACTGGTCCCCATTCCAACAGCAAGCACGCTGATTTCTGGCAGTTGCTTCATGATCTGAGGCCCAGTCCACTTCACATGGGCTTGCCAATTTGCATCGTTTTCATACTGATTTGGATTGACGGTTGACTTGGATTCCATGGCTTGGCTGCGAGCCCATTGGATACCACCGCGTTCGTCAGTTGGCTCTGGCTGTGATGGGCCTCCGAATAACGTTCTGCTCGTGGTCAGTCGCACAGAATTATCCAGAAGGACCTCTTACGAACGTACAGGTTTAATCCAAAGAACTGCATGAGTTTGAGCTTTGCCTCGCTGGTCTTATTGGAAAGATATGCATGCGTGTTGTCGATACCGTGGAAGACCCTGGCTACGAGAGACATCGATATCACTGTCGAGCCTGAGCTGTACTCGACAATTTTGTCGGTCTCCTCTGGCACCACTTCTTTCGCCAACAAGTTCATTGCCGGCATACATTTAACGTTATTACAAGGATGCGAAGACATCATCTTTGCGTAGATGCGAACTCCATCTTCGTAAAAGGGATTGAGGTCCGGGGAGCTGATCTCGACCAGCGGCAGCGGTGGTGCACAATCTGGATCGAAGTATTGCTTCAATGCATCGGGTCCTGAGTAAGATTAGTTCGGAGTCTGATATGGTTTTCTGACGCCTCACCTCTGTAGACGTTTCGCGGGTTGACATTTGAGATCTTGTGCTTGTTGTTCACACTTGAAGTTGAAGTCAAATCCGGCATGTTGGAAAGGAACTGTGTCATTGTCAAATGAGAGACGTTGGTGCAAGCTTCCGCTGCGAGACCCTCTGAGTATATGAACCTCACTCTCATTCATCACGGGTGATGTTCACTGCATGGGTGGGAGAATAATTTGCCTGCAGGCTGACGAACATGGCAAGTCCAACTCTGGAGCACGGACTTTGATGGTCAACATGCAACGCTGTACAATGTCGAATACACCACATGCAGGGCAGCTCTCCACACCGTCGATGCCGCCATGAAGGATCATCAAAGTCCGTGGAAAAGGCTGAATGCGTGTGTGGAGGTCACACTGACGGATCAACCGCCAACTCCCCTATTTCGGTCACATTGCCGGTCAAGTCTGCATATAATAGAACACATTTTACGTACATGGCTGTGCATTTTTTGAGTGCTTGCGGCATGCAATCACTGTAATGGTTCCCAGCTATAAGCCTTGGCAAGCATGCCCAGACATGGGTGAGGACCTTGATGAGCAAGTTTGCTCACTTTGACCTGCACGATCGTCACCTTGCTTCAAAAACTTTCATCGAGCCATTCAAACCCTATGCTAATAGCGTGGAAGTGACGTGCTGCTAGAGCGTTTCATGAGGCTCGTTGTGGAGATGGTTCTAATGGTATGTGGTAACAGGATGGTGCACCTCGGGCTCTTCGAACAAGGCCGGAGGCCTTCGGGGTCGCTCATCCCATGTCGGTGAGAGTTAGGCCCTCTGTGCTGTGTCTTGTTGAGCTTCGTCGCACAGCTGACTTGAATGGGTGACCGAATGGGACATTATTCGTCATCGCTGAGGACACTGGCAAAAAACGCTCGTCTTGGTGTTTTCCCACTGCATATTAACATGACCACTTTAAATCTGTGACGATCAACTCTTTCTCTGATTGCCATATCTAAGACGACATCATCATGGATCGCGACGCTCGTATGGAAGATGAAAAGCGGGCGAACCAGTCTCAGACGGGGTCAGAGAACAGCCTCGAGAGTGAACGGAAACCGTACGAGTTCAACGAACAAACAAACTACGTTCCAACGTCCACGATCATAACGGCATGTCAGAGAGCTGGATTCCATACGAGCTTCGACTGACGAATTACAGATATTTCTTGCTTGCTCTGCTGTCGACTTTCTGGCACTTATCGACCAGACCACCCTGGCAGCCAGTTTGACGATTGTGAGCAACGCCTTGAATGCAGGAGATGAGCAGGCATGGATTGCAAGCGCCTACTTCGTGTGAGTACTGTTCCTACCAGGTGCGGATTGACAAGATAGTAGTTGACGAGCAAACAGTACCTCAACTTGCTTCCAATTACTCTACGGAATGCTGAGTGATGTGCTCGCACGAAAGTTCGTCTTACTGATCGGACTCGGAATCTTCTTCATCGGGTCGTTGGGAGCATCTTTGTCTCAGACATCAATCCAGTTGATCGTCTTTAGAGCTCTCACGGGAGGTCAGTAGGAATTTCACAGCGACTGATTTCGCGGCTGACACTTTCAAAGTTGCGGGCGGTGGCCTGGTCACCGTTGCTCAGATGATTGTCTCTGACATCGTACCTCTGAGAGAAAGAGGAAAGTATCAGGGCATTCTTGTGAGTCCCTCTTTTGCAAGTATATCGTATCGCGGCTGACATTGCCGTAGGGTGCAGTAGTCGCGCTTGCTCATGCCATCGGTCCCCTTGTTGGCGGTGCACTCGCTGCGTCTGACCCGTCAGGCTGGCGTTGGATTTTCAGAATGAACATGCCTCTTACAGTGTTGACAACTTGCTGTGCAATCTGGCTGATGCCATTGAAGAAAGTGGAGGGCGATTGGAAACTGTGAGTGATAGCTCACATAGTCTACCGGTTGCGTATGCTGACGATATTACAGCAAGCTGAAAGCAATCGACTGGATTGGTGCCCTTCTCTCTCTTGGCGGCACGACTGTGCTTGTCCTGGGTCTCACATGGGGAGGAGCTCAGAAGCCCTGGAATTCAGCTGCTGTAATTGCTTCCATCGTGGTCGGCTTCTTCGTTTCCGTTGCGTTCGTACTTTGGCAGTGGAAAGGAACAAAACACCCTCTTGTGCCTCGTGAGTATCGAATCTACTCCTTGACAGCCTGTACTAACACTCTCAGTGCACATATTCAAGTCTAAGATTGTGAACGGGGCTTGTCTTACCATGGCTGTTAATGGTATGTTGGCGCTCGATGCCAAATCATGACCAAACTATGCTGACTGACTCGAAGGATGGAACTTCCTCGTCCAAGTGTACTACATCCCTTCCTTTTACCAGCTGGTCTACGACTACTCGGCTGTAAAGTCAGCATCCTTACTTCTGCCCATCACCCTGATGCAGACTGCGGCCAGCACACTCTCCGGGCTTGTCGTACACTGGACTGGCCGCTACAGAGAAGCCATACTCTTCGGGTGGGCTTGCTGGGCAATTGGCCTTGGTCTTTTCTCGACTCTGTCCGGTCACTCAGACCTTGGCAAGCAAGTCGGCTATGCTTTGCTGACGGGTGTTGGTGTTGGCTGTACGTTGCAGCCGGCACTAGTTGCTATCCAGGCGGGTGTGGAGAGACGGCAGATGGCTGTTGTCACTTCCTTTCGAAAGTGAGTGTCGATGATGCTTTGGCGAAAGAAACGTACTGATTGTCGACAAGCTTCGCCAGAAACTTCGGTGGCACAATCGGCCTCGCAGTTGCAGGGACTATCCTGTGAGTATTTGTTCCTTCGTCACCATTGCTGCCAATGCTAATAACGTTGTGCAGAAACAACCTCGTCAGAAACTCAGTCACCTCTCTCAACATCGATCCCAACGACACAGCAATAATCTTAAAATCTCCAGAAGCATACTTCTCTAGCCATTCAGGGGCCGAGGCGGATCGGATCCAACAAGCAATCATTCCAGCTTACCGTAAGGGTTTTCGAATCATATTCCTTATTGGTGCTGCGTTGGCCGCGGTAGCTTTCGTCGTTGCCTTCTTCCTCATGCCACAGATCGAGCTGGATAGGGCTGATGACCAGAAGCTTAAGGAGGAGGGAAAGCGCTGGAAGGAGGATAATAAGGCGTAGCATAGAACATGGTTGGTGTGCAATTATCCAGTCATCTAGATACATTGGCAATGTAGATTCATTGCCTTTACCCGCCGGTGGTGTTTGAGTGGGCCAAATAGTGGGCGGCAGTTCAACCAGAATCTGATGAATCAGCCCGTACAAAGACAATGTCTGCTCTGTTCCTGTTGAAGCCTCCGAAATGTCTTCAAAATAGTGGTCACGAGATGGGAGCTCGTCCATTTGCTCGTTATTCGGCCAATGCCGGCCTCATGATTCCACCTTGAACGTCCCTACCTGCTGTCGTTCGTCTGTGACATATCATTTTCTTCTCAATGCAACAAAATCGCTTTGTTGCTGCCAGGAAGAAGTTCGAAGTGCAAGAGGCTGATTCATACCGGATGTCTGCCTGAGGCGTCATAAAGCCTTGGCAATCACATGAAAATTGCATATCACATATTGCAACGGTACACTGCTGACGCATGAGACGTAGTTGCCTTCGTCCAAGATATTATGCTCGAGCAACTCTGCTGATTTTTCAAGCGGTGCAGTTCACTCGCTCAATGACAGCGACTTCGAGCTCCTTTTCTGCTCTCGCTGCGCCCTCGGGGTCTTGTAATGCGTGTGGAACCAATTGATCGCCAAAGAGTTCGTCCATTTGTTCCAGAGTACGGCCCTAGATATGAGGTTAGACAGTATCGAGAGCTTTAAAGCTCGGGGGCATACCTTGGTCTCTGGGTAGAAGGATATATAGCAGCACATTGACACCAGATTCAGAGCAAAGAAGAGGTAGAAATAGCGGAAGCCAATTGCCGTCAGAGCTTGCGGGCTGAACTGCGCAAAGACAAGGTTTACCAGCCAGTTCGTAAAAGTTGAACAAGCATTGCCAAGGGCTCTGACTTCGACAGGAAAGATCTCGGCTGGGTAGCTAAGAAAATGTCAGCAATCTCAACCTTTCGAGAAGTCTTCATGTATGCTTACACCCATGAGATGATGCCAAGTGGCGTGTAGAAGAGAGAAAAGACGAAGTTCATAGCCACCATAGCTCTGAGTTGGTTGTGGTTGTCCGGGTTCAAGTGTTGTGACATGGCCGCATTGGCAACCAGTGCCGCCGCCAGACCAGCAGCTGAGACGATGAGTGGCTTGATACGACCGACCTTGTCCACCAGAAGCAGTCCGATGGTACAGTATACAACAGAGAGTGCTCCGCTGATACCTATGATCATCAGAGAGGTTTGAGTGGAGATGTTGAGTATCTCATAAATTCGGGGACCATAGTAATCTGCAATACGATATTAGTGGACAGGGCGGCTGCTTTCGGTGTTGCTGGAACGTACTGATGACATTGATACCAGACAATGGACCAAATGCTTGAATACCGCACCCAAGGAGTAGCCGTTTGAACCAGGACCGCTTCGTGAAAATGGTCGTCCATGAAGTCTGATTGTGGAGGCGATCGGCGGCAATAACGTCTTGAATCTCACGTAGTTCAAGCTCAATGTGTTCGGTTGATGAGCCACTTCGAAGTTTGCAGAGAGCAGCATGAGCGTCCTCGATCCTATCTTTCTCCATAAGCCATCTCGGCGACTCTTGTAAGAACCAGATGCCGCCGAGCAGTATAAGAGGCGGGGTGCATTGGAAAGCCAAAGGGAAACGCCATTGGACCGAAGTGGATGTGAAAGAGAGTCCATAACCCAGCCATTGAGCTACAAGGAAGCCCCAAGATAGAAACCATTGGAGTAGTCCAGATTGTAATCCTCGGTACTTGGCCTCGGAAAGCTCAGCAGCATATAGTGGAATGGTACTAGTGAGCATACCAACAGCCATGCCTGCGATGAAACGACCGATCATCAACATCGACATGGCCACGGCGCCGCCTTGAAGTGCACCTCCGAGGACAGAGATAACTGAGCCAACTGCTATTGTATATTTGCGGCCTAACTTGTCTGCGAAGAGCATGTTGATGATTGTGCCGAGCACGGCGCCTCCTTGAAAGCAGGAGACGATTCCACCAGTAACTTCATCGGAAGGATTGCTGAAGTAGTCGACAAAATGAGGTTGAGCGATGGTCGAGGTGATGATGCCAGAGTCATAGCCGAAGAGAAAGCCTGGAAGAGGTCAGAATTCAATAAGGTGTCAGAGACTCAAGCGTGTTATCGTCTTACCTCCTATGGCGAGAAAGGCGCTGGAGAAGAGAGTTGTCGCCTTCCCCATCGTGTATTTCTGGTATGATTCCTAGCTTGGAGAGAACCTGGGGCAGGAGTGTGGAGTCTCCACGAGCAGACTGCAGCTACTTAATGCCATCTCCATGCTGCTGGAATGGATACGCGGTAGGGGCACATGGCCTTTCTCGTGGCGCTTAGATCCATTGCTTTGACCTGAGAAGGTTGGTGTCCTCGGTTCATCTCGCGGTAATCTAGCCCGATGCTAAGGCGCAGGCATTTGCCAATGTCTGGGCCGTTGGTTCAAGCGTTGGAGGTGAAGTCGATGAGGAAGGATCAAACCACGGCTTCTGGCTTCGGCAAATATAATTGCGCCTCTGGCTGGATACCGTTCACTTTCCCAAGAAACTGTGTGACATCGCGATATCTGGACCCGATCGAAAGGATTTCAGAGAGAACAAGACCAATGTGGCGAAAGTATAGCGGTATATACACCTGCCGAGGACCGAAGAAGCCCTAAGCGCCACCGCCCCCTGATCCCCTCACTTCTCTTTCCTCTGTTTGACCCAGCAACAACCGAACCACCTACACAGCATGGCGATTCGAACCCACTGCAATGATGCAAATTCAAGAGCCATTGCAAAATGCACGTTGAGGAGCTTGCGGTAAAGATGAACACTTTGGACGTCGACAAGAGGCTAAAGAGCTGCTTCTCGATGCAAAACAAACAAGCAGGTCAGCCTTTTTTCAAAGACTCAACATTGCCCACGCAATGTGAGAGACGTGCACGAAACATGTGCTGTGCCATAATTGGAAGAGTCACTGCCGTGGCGATGTGCCATACGTCTGGGCACTGATCCTGGTCTATCTCGGCATGTGATGACCCGAGAGTCCACAACCCGAGCACTGTCTTCTACATGTCGTTTGCAGGAAACCATTGACCAACATCAAGCGAATGAATTTGCCAATGGAGGTTGTCAATTGTGGTATTCACGGTTTCCATGAGGTGCTTGGCATCGACATTGATGAGATATCCTTCCACTGGAGTCTGGAGAGCCAGGAACCCGACGCTGTACAAGAAGCATACCAGATTGTTCTCATCAAGGGGCTGGAATTTGATCTAAGCACTGGATCTGTGGCTTGGGACACCGGCCGGGTAGCCTCTCCTGCACAGCGGAATATTCCCTGCAGACCGAAAGATGGGCTTGACTCAACATGCAACTACTGGTGGCGAGTATCGGCGTGGAATCAGCGAGGAGAGGTGTTTCATTCGCGGCCCAACTACTTTTTCACGGCGTACAGCAAATCACGGCATCTGCCGCCATGGAGCATGAATCAGACGTACATGCCGCATACTAGCCTGATATTTCGAACATGGTTCGAAGACGAATTGAATCGATGGAAAGGAGTCTGGGTAAGTTCTGTCCACCTCGAAATGATTGCGAGTCTGACTAACTATAAGAGTAGCTGGGCGATGGTGGCGACAAACCTCTCTACCTTCGCAAGACATTTAGTCTGGAAAGGATACCTTCTCGGGCAATCGCTTTTGCATCTGGTCTGGGCCACTTTAATCTTTCAGTTAACGGGGAACCACCTTCTGACCATGTCTTGGATCCTGGTTGGACCAACTATCACCGCACCGTCCAGTTCGTTGGCTATGATCTCACACCACATCTTGCAGAAGGTACCAACGCTATTGGAGCACATGTAGGGAATGGGTTCTATGCGGGCGACCAAGGCGATCGTTTCTTTTGGCCAAACTACGAAGACCAAACGTATGTGCGTCATGGCAATGAGCTGTGTTTCTTCTGCGAACTTCATTTCTTTTACGACGATGGTACCCACGATGTCGTACTTTCTGGCCCAGACTGGAAAACTCGCCAAAGCGCAACTTCTCTGGCCAACATCTATGCCTCTGAGACTCACGATAGGATGGCATATCCACTGGGGTGGGATACGTCCGCCTTTGACGATTCGCAATGGGTGGCAGCAAAACCAGTGACTGGACCACGAGGAGAGTTGAGATATCAACATCAACCGCCCGTGGTGCTGCACGAAACATTCCATCCCATCTCGACAAAGACGCTGAAGCCCGGTATCGTGGCATTCGACCTGGGCCAGAACTCATCCATAATGCCTAAGATATCAATCAAGGGTGATGCGGGATCTGAAGTCATAATTCGGTACGCTGAGACTGTCGACGACCAAGGATTCGTCTTAATGCCGGATCCACTTTTCAAGGAATTCGAGACGCACGTGTATTCGAAGATCGTTCTAGCTGGCACTGGTGACTTTGAGGTCTGGCAGCCTGACTTTTCCTTCACCAGTGCTCGGTACATTCAAGTCGAAGGCGTGTCGCTCGAGGCAGGTCAAAGTCTCCCTCTCATAGAATCTGCAGTTGGACAACATGTCTCATCTGCTGCTCGTTGCTTGGGATCAGTGAGGACCGACAGAGACGATGTCAACCAGCTCATCAACGCATGCTACTGGACCTACTCGAGTAATCTCTTCAGCTATCATACGGACTGCCCGCAGATTGAGAAGTTTGGTTGGCTCGAAGTCACCCACCTGCTTTTTCCAGCAACACAGTACGTACGAGACATCGAGGCGCTGCACAGCAAGATATTGGAAGATATCCTTGATGCTCAGGAACCATCAGGTTTCATCCCAAACATGGCCCCAGACACTCGCTTCATGTGCGGGCCGATGAGAAACTGCATCACCTGGAGTTGTGCGGTCTGCTTTATTCCCGATCTCCTCAAGAAGTACTACGGCGTCACGCACATGATCAAGAAAGTGTACCCCTCCGCCGTGCGGTTTGTGGAGTATATGCAGTCATGGGAGCGAAAAGGCGGGCTCATCATGCACGGTCTGGGCGACTGGGGCAGAGACATTGCATTCGGCAACCTACAAGCCAACATCGAGACGGCAGTATACCACAAATGTGTCAAATGCCTGGAGATGATGGCGATAGAGCTTGGGAAGGCCGGTGATGCCGAGCGGTTCAAGACTTGGGCAGCAGAGATCTACAGCGTCTACAACGACCACTTGCTTGTGACGAATGACCCCGAACATCCCCAAAGCTACTACACATCTCTCGATGACCACCCAAGAAGAGATCGACATGCGGTTGCCCAGGCGATTGCTTTACAGTTTGGAATGGTCCCTGCGGAGCACATTGCAGACGTACAGAAGACGTTCCTAGCAGATGTGGCCGACGGCGTGATGCGATCTGGTGAGATTGGGTTACGTTACCTTTTCATTACCCTGGATGATCTTCGCCGGCCCGACTTGGTATTGAAAATGGCGCGGCAGGAAGATCATCCTTCCTATATGCGCTTTCTACGACGAGGCGAAACGACTTTGCTAGAGTTCTGGCAGGACGACTGCCGTTCAAAATGCCACGATATGCTTGGAACAATATACGAATGGTTCTATGCTGCAGTCCTGGGTATCAAGCCCATCGAAGACGCATATAGAACGTTCTCAATCCGGCCACCGTATGAAAGCGAGTTCGACGAAGTCCAGGGGAATGTGGACTGTCCTTATGGGCAAATCAAAGTCCATTTCCGCCGTGAGAGGGATGCTGGCAAAGTCCTGCTGGATCTGGTAGTGCCTGTGAGTACTACGGCGACTCTAGAGCTCCCAGACCTCCATGTTGCTGTTTTGCTCGAGCCTTGGAAAGGGCCAAAACTGGAGCTAGGCAGCAATGAGCGTAGGGTCAAGATTAGCCATGGAAAATACATTGTCACGATGGAGGGCGTGTAGTGTCAAAAGCTACGGCAATGACCTTGAAGTCTGATTACAACGGCCAGATCAGCATGTCGATGAGATTCCCGTTCTTCCTATCTCAAGCAATCATACTATTGCAAATTGACATCCCCAGCCTCCAAGGCTCTGGTTCTCACTTCAAGTCGTGAAGCTGCGCCGACGAAGCCGTACCATCGTCTTTGCACTTGGTATAAGGCCTTCGCCGATCACTGTGTACTCTGGCTTTGCCTTTAGCGGTTCGATATCATAGGTCATGAGTAGGTGCCCGAGCATTAGCTTGATAGAGTTGACTGCGAAGAATCTTCCGGGACACGCATGCTTTCCCAGGCCGAAAGAAAGGAACCGGTCAGACACTTGAGACGCGCTGAGCTGCTTGCTCACTTCGCCGCGTTGGGCTTCTCGCCAGTATCGCAGCGGATCGTATTCATCGACTCCTGCTCCGCCAATGTTCACATCTCGCTGCATGCCGCTCACCACGCTCTGTACATGTGTTCCCTTCGGTAAGTGGAGCCCATCCGGAGTTGTGAGCCCACTCGGTGCGACTACTTCTCGCAGAAGACCTTGAGCACCCATGGGGTTATGTCTTAGCGTCTCGCGGATGACAGAGTCAGTCTTCATCATATGGCGAGCCGCAGATCCGTCCTCCATTATCAAAGGCATATACTGGTCTGCCTCTTCTCGCAGTTGGACGATGAGGGCAGTGGCATCGACGTGTGAGACCATGTCGCACAGGATCAATGCAAACACGGTGCTAGTGGTGCCTGTGGCGAAGACGTTGAAGAAGAGCATCTTGCCAGCGATGTTGCCGGGTTCCAGTTCTCGAGGGTTGTCCTTCGCGGCGTTGGCATTGATGATCCACTGCAGCATATCGTTCGGCTCCTTTTCCTTTTGTACGTTCTCAAGACTGTTGCCTAAGGTCTTGTCGTGTTTGAGCACCCCTAGTCGTTGTCGAATTCTCGGCCGGATGAAGCGTACCGCCCGCCACTGTACCAACTTGGTCGGCAACGCCACAAATTGCATAAACAGAGGCTTCAACGATTTCGGAATGAGGAATCGCATGATCAACGTGCAGGTTCCAAATGCCGTCGTCCAGCGTGTAACGTCCGTCTCATATGCTTCGGAGCGACAGAGTGGAAGGCCTACAAACATCCTGTTTGTTGCTCTGAATGAGATCTTCGCGCACAAGTTCGAAGCAGACACTTTATGATATTCCGTCCCAGACCCCAGTTCCTCGTCGAATGCATGTTTTATCTCGTCCAAGATATGATGTGAAAGCTTGATGTGCTGCCTCGTCATGTCCCGCCGAAGGACGGTGAAGTCTCGAACGGACGAGGCTGTTGGTCCGTGGACGAGCCACTGCAAACCCATAGTATCGTCCAAGACCTTGTTGGAGCTGAGTACATTCTCCGGTTGTCTCGCCACCCAGTCAGAATGAGAAGGCGGTAGTACCACGGCATTCCAGTGGAGTCCAGGTATGATGAAAGCTTTTCCATGCTTGCCATACTTCTCGTATCCTTCCTCGACAGCTGCGCGGCCAACAGCCATCTCACGGAGACAGGCTCGAAGCTTTGGGAACCATTTCTTATTCTGCAGGCCTGCCCATGGGATGTTTTTGGGCGCTTGGTGGATGCGAATCAATGCGGCGGGAATGACGATCAGTGAAGCCGCGGCGACCAGGCTGAGGGCGGCTGCCAGGAGAACGCCAACGAGCCAATAGACAATAAATGATATCCCATGCAGCAGGTGTAATCGCGAAACGGCCTCAAAGTAATCCATTTTCATGTCCTTGTGCTTTGAATTATCAACATCAACAAAGTAATGGTCAAATAAGTGGTTTGTACTCTTCTCGCGTGAACGAGCCTCGCGTTCGCAATTCTCGTTTAGCATTCATCAGATCAATATGAGCTATCAGCGAACTACACTCAGCCACAATGCTAGTGCGAGAATGCGAGACGGTTCTCAAAATGCGACTTGGCGAGAGGTCCTTCCGAAGAGCCCCCATCATCATCTCGAGGGCTCCGTAGGAGGCTTTTTCGAAGGTCGTGTTCTGTCCTGCAAGTGGTTTTGTGAATGTAAAAGAGGAAGGCATATCTACCCCCGAAGACTACAATGAAACACATTGGATCTGAACCCCTCAGCTACAGTCAAACTGTACATCTTCCATGGAAACGGCCAAAAGTTCTGTTGGTAGAGAGTGATGCTCTTGAGACTTTTTGAGGCTCGGAACTGGACTCGAGTGTGATGAAATGTTCTAGCCAAGGTGAACTCCAGAAGCAGAATGAACACGGTTGGAAATCAGGCTTTCAGCCTGATGAAATGACATCGACAAGGACAGTGGTTCTGAAAGGAGTGACGAGTGCGACGAGCGATATAAGCATTCTAACCGATAATCGGCTTGGTTGTGATTGGATACGCACGTGCAATGGCTCGCAAATTCAACCGGTTCTACTCCTCAGCTTAGGCCGAAGCCCCTCCCCCGACCCGCTTGGACGTCGTAGCGGTGGGTAAGATCTGGACGGCACAACGATTGCCCGGCAAAGGTTCTCTATACCCTAACTCCATTCTAAAAATGAAGCCAAAACATACAGCAACAGCGTTATCGGTCAGTTTAGAGGCTGCTGTCAGTGAGTACAAATGATCGGAAGGAAGCACAATTCGGGCGAACAAACCCCATAGAGACTGCAGACACTCAAAGCATTATTAGAACAAAATGGTGAGTCTTCCAAAGACACAAAAGGCACTGGTGCAAGAACAATATGGCAAGCCGTTGGCCGCCAAGACCGTGCCCGTACCTGAACCAACCTCCGGTGCCGTTGTCGTCAAAGTAATCTACGCCCCGATCATCAGCTACATGAAGAAGGTCTACAATGGCGAACGAAAGTACCGATATGTCAACCCTCTCGTCCCGGGGACAAGTGCCTTCGGGAAAGTCGTCGCAATTGGACCAGACGCTCTGCTCCTGAAAGAAGGAGATCTGGTCTATGTCGACTGCTATATTCGAGGCCGCGATGATCACGATGCCGGATTCCTTCTTGGCTTATCTGAAGGCGGCGGGCAAGCAAGTCGAAGGCTCATGCAACACTGGATCAACGGGACTTTTGCAGAATACGTCAAGGCTCCTCTCGAAAACGTCTTCAAAGTGGACGAACAGAGGCTGTGCGGATCGCCAAGCCAAGGCGGGCTTGGATTCAAGATGGAGCAGCTGTCTTGGTGGATGGCGGCGTTGGTTCCTTATGGAGGTCTGAGAAGCATTGACTTACAGGCGGGAGAGACCGTCATCGTGACTCCAGCGACCGGAAACTTTGGTTCGGCTGCTGTTCTCGTCGCCTTGGCCATGGGAGCAGGCAAAGTCATTGCCGTAGGTCGAAATGCCGAGGCTTTGTCGAAGTTGAAAGCCAGGGATAAAAGGATCGAGACGGTGCAAACGACCGGGGATCTGAAGACGGAAATGGAAGCTATCCAGGCTTTCGGCAAGGCTGACGTGCATTTTGACATTTCTCCAGCAGTGAGCGAGGGCTCGACGTATCTTCGTGCTGCCATCCAGAGCTTGAGGTAAGTTTCCATAATGATTGATTGTCGCTTAACTTCGTTACTGACCATTGCTAGACATTCTGGTCGAGTCTCTTTGATGGGAGGCTTCGCCGATAGCGTAACGACCTGACCTTGAAAGGTAAATGGATGTACACAAGGGAGGACAACATTGCGTTTATGAAGCTATTGTCCTCTGGAGCTCTGAATATCAAGGACATTGTGAATGTCCATGGCGTCTTTGGGCTTGAAGACTGGGAAAAGGGGTTTGACTTGGCTTGGGATAATGGTAGGCTTGGTGATCTTGTCTTGTTCGCGCCAAGTGGAGATCGGGAGGTATGAGCAGGTGCAATGAGCGATATGGGTTGAGCATGGCAGTTCAGCAAAGTCTATAGCAGGCTGGGGCTACTTTTGCTTATGCGGAGTTAGAAACGTAGCAAGTGGCACAGCTGGAGAGCATGGAAAACACTCATCTGGAGAGTGATGAGGAGGCTATGAAGAAAGCTCTGTGTCTGCAGCACTGGTCTCCCAGTTGACTTACTTGGACGGGCTCGTCACACAACCATCGTCAGCTTCGCTTTCGTCTATGACGTCCTCATTTTCTTCAACGATCATGTTCGAAACTGCTGTGCGCTTCCGACGTTTGGAAATGTACTTTCGATGAGACGGCAGATGAGAAAAATCAGGTACACGAGGTTTGGAACAGAGCGGTGGCAGAATCAGAGAGTGAATCGTTTCCATATTCGTGCTGTGTAGCTGTACTCATATACATTGCTCCATCATCAGCCGTTCAGTGCAGCATTACATGACTGTTCTCTCATCCATGTCCGTCATTACTGTACGTCATATCAAAAGTTATTCATGAATCGAAATGGAAGGCCGTTGGTAGGCAAGGAGCAAAGCCCCTATTCTTCAGACAGGTCTCCCTATCTAGAAGAAGAGAGCACCAGCAATCAAAGCGATGACACCAGCACCGCTGCTGGCCATCTTGCCCGCGCCGCCGGTGTATGGCTGGACGGATGGCGAAGCGCTGGCCGAAGCGACCGGCTGGCTACCCTCAGCGACTGGCTGGCTCTGAGCTGGACTGCTAGCTGGTGGCTGAGCAGCGCCAGTTGGCACTTGGACCTGGCCCTAATTCGATCGTTAGCATTGCATTGGACCCGAAAGCTCGATGTTCAACTTACATCGCTGATCTGGGTGATGACACGGCCGGTCGTGGCTGGTGGTTGCTCAGGAGAGACGGGGGTGGTGACAGCTGGAGGAGGCTGCTCAACGCTTGGCTGCTGGGCTGGAGGCTGCGCAGGCTGGCTTGGAGCAGGAACGTAGGTTGCTGGTGGTGCAGGCTTTACAGAGGTGTACACTGAAGTCTGGACAACTGGGATGGACACAGTCGATGGGCCAGCAACTGGGTATGTTGTGCCGCCAGTGGTGATCGTAGTTGCGCTTGGGCAATATGTGGTGTACACGGAGGAGATCTCCGTCGTGATATAAACCGTTTCAGGCTTAGGATAAACGGTAGTGGGCACAGCTGGCTTTGTCAGATATTTGGTAGTGATTACTGGAACCGACGCGGTCGTGGTCTTGACATATGTGAGTGTGGTAGGAACAGAAACCACGGTTGTAGTGCTGCCCTAAAGAGAGGAGCTGTGTTAGCAAAGGCGTCTGAAACCTGAAGCAGAGCGCTTCTCTCTTGTTGGTATACGAACAATTGTGTGTGTTCCAGGAGGGCAGTAGGTGGTGATTACTGTAGTTTGCTGTAAAATTGTCAGAGCATATTCGTAAGTCATCTTTCAGGGGTAACCCATACCTCGGTGGTCGAGTAATATGTTGTTGGCTTGACAGGCTTGGTAAGAGTACATGGGCAGTTCTCGAAGGTGACAGTCTGTTCGCTAGCAGTTAGCATCCTTCATTGAACAAAAGGATCTGCGGCACTCACAGTTGGCTTCGTCACGGTGATCGTGGAAGTGCCATGGCTGATGACCGTGGGAACCGGGCAATAAGTAGTGAACGAGGAAACCGTCTCAGTTGTATAAGACGTGACATTCCACACTGGAGTGTAGATAGATGGCTTTGGAGACCAGACAGGCTTCTCCGAAGTGGTGGATGGCTTCTCGTAGGTCCAGGTGGGCTTCTGGGGGTACCACGTTGGGGTGGGGAGAGAAGCGACTGGAGTGGTGATGGTGCACTCGCCAACGTCTGTAACGGTGACAGTTTGAGCACTTGTAACTGTGATCGTCTGCCGAATCGTTAGTAAAGGCGATCCAGCCGGTCGTTTAGTGGGCATGTCTCCATACCTTGTCGTTGTACACGAGGGTCGTGGGGCTAGGGCAATAAGTCTCGAACGATGTAACGATGGCAGTCACAGTGGGCTCTGTGACGCTCTTAACTGGAGTAGTGATGCTGTAGAGCGTCAGTCAATAGGTCCTCTTCCCAGGTGGGCAGAATGGAGCAAGCGGGCAAAGCCAGCCGCATTCTTCGGAGGCACGTACGTGCATGGACAATCGGTGATGGTGACGGTAGAAGACGACGTCACGGTCCATGTTTTAGAGCCGTGGCTATAAGTTCCAGGTGTAGGGCAGACCTTTGATCGTTAGCAAAGGGCAATGCATCGCCGACAAGGCTAGGGGGTCCCTCATTACCGTAGTGAAGCTCGAAACGATAGCTGTGACGGTCGGGCCAGTCTCAGTAGTCGCAGGCGCAGTCGTAGTAGCCGGCACGGTTGAGTTCCAGTTGGAGAACGAACCATAGCCGTAGCCCTTGTTGGCCGCAGCAACGCCCAGCAGGGCAGCGAAAGACGCAACGGTCGATTTCATGTTGAGCGAAGGTCGGGATTGAATCAAAAGAGAGTGTTTCAAGACAAGGGTGCTGCGAAAGGAGACGGAAAAGAGGAAGAAGAGCAGCCCTGTCTATATACGATGTGCTGGCTCTCGAGCGAGCGAACCGTCTGGGCCCGAATGCATCCTGCGATCGAGCATTTCATGGCGTTTTTGCTGCGTCAGGCATCTTTCTCCTTGGCGGGTGGAGCATGTGTTGTTCCTGAACAGTCAATGTGGATACTATGGAGCGATAAAGCCTATTCGTTTTTGTGGAGCATATACGACAGCAGAGCGATGTGAGAGGTTGGATAGCTCGAGCTGTTTTCCTCGTGTGACTCCTGCACGCTTGTCAGAAGTTTCTATGCAATGCAGCCGACAGGGATGAAGCGACTACACGCCGTGGTGTATAGTACCTCGCTTGCGCTCCGGACTTTGCTCCTGGCCGTCAGGCTGTGATCTACGGGAGTCTTGATGTGACTGCCTTGTCGGACGCCGTTGTTTGCCGTTGATACGATGACGTCCAAGCACGAACGTTTCTTGATTGTCTTATCGGTTCCCAGGGTTGGTCTCGCGAGCAGCTGCAGCTGTTGGCAAAAATACGAACTGCTGCATGTTAAAGTTTTCAAGCGCATCCCAAATGCAGGAACCCGAGTTGTCTGACATCCAATCGAATGGGCCCGAGCGGAGCCTGGTCGTACCTACTGCAGGAACGACGCGAACAATGCGGCTCAACTGAGACGTGATGTCATGGTCACCCAACAGTACGCCCACCAATGGACGCGGACGTCGGATGCTGTTCCTCCTCCAGGCGATGGTGTTTTGTTTGGTCCGCGGAGTTCGCCTTGGCCTCTTCGGGTCTTCCTGGTTCACGGCCAGCCACATCCGCGGAAGCGATACAGCGAGGCGCAAATTCTTACGTGAGATGCTCGATCTGTTGCATGTGACAAACGCCGTTCGGCAACCAACATGTGGCTGGCACGTTGCGAGCAGCACCGACGTTGAAATGGCAACCGTGTGGCGCTTTAATAAGCACTCGCAACGTTCTCTCTGGCCTTGGCAATGTCTTCAACTACTCTTCATCATATCCAGTGCTGCTGTGTTGATGGCTCTCGTGTCCCAAGGCGATGGCGGGCTGAAAAGACACTCTGTTCTTGATCGCGACGAACCGTCTCTGCCTGAGGCCGGATCTGTGCAGCGAACTATCATCCAAAAAGACTACTTCGTTGCTCTTGGCAAAGAGGCCACCATAAGGTCGATGGGCTCTGGTCCGATGTCTTCGGTTCATGTCGGATGGCGAATAAGTGAACGAATTCGCGCCACAACTGACACCGGAGTCTTGCTTTTCATTTGGAAGCCTCTTATGCTGTTCGCTTTCTCGCGAGGTCATTTTCCGGCTCCGTTCCATGGATAAAGAGCAAGCTCTGAGCAACAGAACTCGAGTTGGGGACTCTCGACAGCCAACAGATGATCACCAAGATGTTCTGATCACCGCTGTGTCTCCGGGAGATCTCGTTAAGCAATACTGGCCTCAGACGCGGGAGAAAAGCAAGCCCGGCATCTTGATTATTTGTCCTCAACGACGTAACATTGGTCACCTGCCCATTTGAAGGTTGAGTGATCTTTGGCAAGAACGCTGCCCCCCAGACAGCCCTCTTGTCCAGCCTGGAAGTTATCTGGGACATTGGTGAGCCGATTGCTTGGTCTGTTTTGTCTTCGACCACCACATTACCACGATACAATGAAGCCAGCCCAGAGTCGGGTCATAAACCGCCCGCAAACATGACGGTCTGTCCCCAAGCAATCTTATGTACGGACGAAAGGAAAAGCGTCACTGGTCGTCGTTGGCGCTGCTTTTTTGGAGAATACTCAACTGATCACTAATCACAGACTACGCTCAAGCCTTAATAGATCACCAGCCCTCGGCCATGCCTCTCTGCAATGAGAAGTATCAAAGGTCCTGCAGCACCGGCAATTCAGGATGCAAATCAGCAAAGTCGTAATCTTTGGCGGAACAGGCGCACAGGCTGGGCCAATGGTTCGTGGTAAGGAGTGACATTGGAGCTGATTACTGGTAGCTTCACTAACTAGCGCCACTCTGAAAGCTCTCTCTAAGACGAAACAATTCAAAGTGACAGTCCCTACACGAGATGTGAACTCTTCAGCAGCACAAGCATTGACAGAGCTTCCAAATACCACTCTGCTCGAAGCCACATACACGACTGAAGAAGGGCTCCGAGCATCGTTCGCCGGCCAGGACGCCTGCTACTTCATCATCAACTCGTTTGATATCAGAGAAGCAGATGAATATTTTTGGACCATTCGAGCATACGAGATTGCCGCCCAGAGTGGACTGAAGCTATTCGTGTACAGCGGAGCCCAGAATCGACTGAAGGACCATGGCTATGACGAGAAGTATCGCAACAGCCATAATATGGTGAAGGGCCATCTTTGCGACTGGCTGAAGAACCAGGACGATAAAGTTTTACCCTTTTGCGTGCTTTATGGAGGCGTCTACATGCAGATGCTGGGGTACACGAATCTCCCGATCTATTATTATACAATCTGACTGATGTGTCGAATAGGAGTCTACTTTGTCCGCTCAAACAGGATGACATTTACGTCTTTGCAGCACCAGTCCATGAATCAAGCATCATTCCACTGACCCCACTGGAGAACTATGGAACGACGGCAGCATGGATCTTCCAAAATCCAGCCAAAGCGAAAGGACGCATGATCGACGCAGGCGCAATCCCCAGCACGTGGCCTCAGATCGTTGACGCCTTCAAAAAAACCACCGACAAAGAGGCTCGTTTCCTGCCAGTCACGCAAGACCAATGGTTCGCAGGTGCAGTAAGCAAAGGGATCGATCCAGAAGCGAAACTACCTCGTGGCGTTCAACAGGATGACCCGGCGACGTTTACATTTCGGAAGACGTTTGGTGCGTGGTGGAATATCTGGCAGGACAATACGAGGGAGTATGAGCATAAAATTCGATCGGGCGAGCATGCCGAGCCGGGTGTGCAAGGTAGGATCGCGAGCCTGGAGGAATGGATGGAGAAGACTGAGTATCAGGGAGAGTATAAGGAGCCAACGAAGATGAGGCGGGACATGGCCACGAACTGAGGGTTTCAATCTTGGAGACAGCTATAATGGCACATAACAGTACTCCAGTATCTCCAAGTTGGCAAATGGCGACCAGGCCAGGACGAAACTATTGGTCCACACTTTTCTTACAATTCTGCTATTGCATTTCCCCTCTGTTCTCAATGGAGCAGCAGTTGAGAAGGCCCCTCGAAGTTCGAGCTCGATGGCCAACACTGACAGCCTCTCATAAAGCGATCCTCGTCTCCATAGACATCAACTCCTCAATCGTGGGCAAGCTCCCCGAATTCGACCTCATCGGCAGACTCCATCTCTTCACCTAACAACTTGTCAGCACATTTCCGTACCCAAACCGAGTGACAGACGTTCAAACCCATTTACGAAGCCACTTCCCAAACATCTCCCCCGATATAGCGTCCAGTGAAGCCAACGTTGGACTAGCTTTCTCACTCTCCGTCGTATCCAGCGGGACCTGCATGTCCGATTCAACCAGACTTCTATAGAACGACAATAGCTTCCCGGCAGGATTCTCGGCGGACGCCTTGTCCTCGCATTCAGACAATAGATCCACCCACTCGTATGACGGCACGACCTTCCACACGCCAAGATAAGGTTGCATCGAAGGAAGTAAGGCGTCCCAAGTCGTCTTTTTGGGATTCACGGCGTGATACACGAGCGCTTGATCCGGAGTATGTTTCAGCCGTTCGGACATGTTCTGCATGAATTCTGCTACGATTGTGGCGGCCAAGTCTATTGGAATCCAGTCTACGACGTCGAAACTGCCCAGTGTCGCTGGTAACACGCCCAGGTATTTGGAGGAGATGACGAGGCTGGAAAGCCATTCGTGCTTCTGCCACCTACCATTCCCTGAGACAGGACCTGCTATTTGTCCAACTCTTACGATTGCGCAAGGGACATTAGCCTCCTGAGCGGCGGTCGCGAGGATCCTCTCACTGACGAGTTTGGACTGACCATACCCGCTCTCAGGGCCCGCCACCGACCAGTCGTCTATGATGCTCTCGGGTACAGTTCGTTCGGCATCGTCGCTGTCTGGCGGATCGTATGCCGAAACAGCTCCAATCGAGGATATGAACATTATCATCGCGCCATGCGTTGAGCGAGCCGAGAAGTCAACAAGTTGGCGAACTCCACAGATATGAGGCCGCTCGAAATGCTGGACCGGCAGGTTGAAGTTGACTTCCCACGCATTGTGGATGATGTGGGTGACTTCCTTCAGCAGATCCTTGTACAGGAGGGTCTCCAATCCGAGGTACTGTTTCGAGAAGTCGGCTGTAGCGAACGTCAATGTAGTACCTCTTAGCTCGGTCGACAAGCCCTTGGTGCTGAGCGAACGAAGCTGAATCTTCTCAGCGTTCTCCTTTCGATTCAAACAGATGATATGTGCCACTGTCTCATCACGCAGTAGCGTATCAAGCAGATACGTCCCGAAAGAACCAGTGGAACCAGTGATCATTACCACTTTACGTTTCTCATCGTACGGAAGTGGATCCCTGGCGGTGATTGGCATGTCTGATGCATACTTGTCGAATAGTTCCTGCATGATGTGATATTGATCGACTTCAGGTTCTCCGCCGGATATGTAGTGGGCGAGCGATGCAGCCGACGGAAAGTCGTAGACCATCTTAGCATCAAGAGGACGCTGATCTCCATGAAACATGACCAACTTGCGGAGACTACGAAGAATGGCGGTCACGCCGAGTGAGTCCAGCCCAGCGGCGAAGAAGTCATCAGCGGGTTGCAGTCGCATCCCGGAAGATCGCTCTACTATGTCCAGGATCTGTTGCGTTAACAGCTGCTCGTCCAGGTCCTCGCTCTGCATCACAGAGTCACTCCTCCGACTCGATCCTCGCGGCTCGGCCGAGTAAAGGGCTTCTAGATCGCTCTTGTAAAGACTCAGAGCCGCTTTACGCTGCACGGTGCCCTTCCCAGCTCTTGGAAGTGGCCGATCGGGATCAGTGACCAGGATCATCTCTTTGAGAATCCGTGCATGCTGTAAACTGTCCGAATTGACTTGCTTGATGTGAGGCCAGATCCTCTCAATCACGTCATTAGAAGAGACGGAGTCCCCAGGTACTGTTTGCGGCTCAACGAGTAAAGCTGAATGCGCCTTCCCATCACCACATACCAGCGCCGTCTTGACACTAGGGTTGCCATTCAGAGCATCTTCCATTGACGTTGGATTGAACTTCTCTCCAGTCGAGTAGACAATGATGTCGTCTGTCCGCCCCTGCCACATCCACAGATCCGGTTTTGTCGGATGCTGGCTGAACAAGTCCTTGGTAGTGTACTCGTCGAGCTCCGGAAACGTGAAGAACGACACCTGAAAGTCCTTGTAGGCCTCATTCCGGACAAAGTACAGCTCGTAGAGACCGTCCGCATAAGGCCGCATCTCAATCCCAATCATGGGAGAGAACCTGACGTACTGCCAGTCTTGCTGACGGACGAGTTCACACGGAAGAATACCCGTCTCTGACATGCCGATGAAGTTCAGCAAATGACACTGCCGAGTAATGAGATCGCCCGCTACCCTCGGAAGTGGCCCGCCTCCATATGCGACGGCCCCAACTTGTGAGAAGGTCTTGAGGAGCTTCAGATCTGACGCCATGTCTGCCAAGATTGACGGCGATGTGACAAGTACATCGATATTCGCATGCTCCAGAATGTTGCTGACGATATCCGCAGTTAAGGGTCCAGGGCTCGCCGGAGGGAACACAACAAAGATGTTGTTCTGCAAAGCTGCGATGACGAGGTTGAGGGCCGCCGCATGGAATAGAGGCATTGCCACCAAGATCGTCTTGTCCTCCCAAAAGGTGAAGTGAATGCTGCCATGTCCCAGCTCGGGTGCCCGTCTCCAGTGCTGCATCGCCGTGGCGTTCCCATGCTTGAGCATGACCGGCTTTGGGGTACCTGTACTTCCAGAGGTGTGAAGTCCCACCAAAGGCTCCAGTCTAAAGTCTGTCTCCACTGACGGCGTCCACAGATACGGCTTGACTGTCCCAGAGAGAAAGAAATGCAGGCCAGGAATCTCCACGACATCCAGACCAAGCCTTTCGATGACTGGCCGCATGGTGTCGTAGAATGGGCTTTTTCGCGGAAGCAACAGTGTGGAACATTGGTATTCCTCGAACACTGAGCAATGGGCAGCGATGTCGTTGCGTGGTGAGGGAAAGAAAGCAAGACGTTCCGATTTCACAGCGCCCAACATGTAAAATAGATAACGAACATCGGAAGCCGGTGCCATGACCGCAATGGTCCTAGGCAATGCGTCTTTCCCGAACTGTTCGTCCAGCCAGCGTGCTGCTTCATCTGCTGCGTTTGCCAGCTGGCTCAGCGTGATGAGCCTGCTGGTATACTTGCCATTGATGGCTGTGAGAACTTCTGCGAAGACACGGTCCGGGGCGCGGTCAGCAACGGCATCGATGAAGGTCGGCAAGGGCAAATCCGGTAGATCTTCGACGTTTGTGGTATGGGTAGACTCTGCGATAGATGACATGTTAGTTTGAATGGCGTTGAATGAGATAGAGGTAGGTTGAGATACACGGTTGAGCCAGAGGTCTCGAAGAGGGTCGGATGATCGGATTGTCGCGACAAGGTTTCCATGTCGCAGGGCTTGACAGCCAGCACTCCAGGCATGGTGCATGCTGTCCATGCATCTGAGTGAGGAGTGCGCAAGGATAAGCAGATTGAGGTCAAGCATAGGCTCATGTAGCTCGGCTAGTCCGATTGTCTCGACCAAACAGTACGTCAAGGTCTGTAATACTCTCAATTCAACCGAACAAATTGCAAATATCCAGGCCCAAACTTTCTCTTGATTAATAGTACGTAGTCGCAAGCGTATGTCGGCCTCTCCTTCGAACTAGCGAAGAGCATAGTCTGGTCCTTGTTCGGTGTTAACCACAATTCGAACATGGGCGTGACGATTCGCATGGATTTCCGTGTGTGAGGGATTGGCTCGCAAAGCTAGGAGTCAGCATCGTCGTTCGCGACCAGAGGGAGTGGATGTGGTACCTCAACGCAGTCAGCATCCTCGACCGCCGTCAGCGCAAGGCAGTATGTATTCAGCTACGCAGGAGCTTTATCAGCCGCAGAACACATGTTCCTTCTCAAGTCGGTTAGCGTTGCGATTTAAGCTTCGAACCGACGTGAAGCCAAGGACGACGTCAAGTGAATGCAAAGGTCGCCAAGCCGTGCTCCTCTCGACATATTGAAGATTTGCAATCGAATACATCAACGCGTTGAATTCATTGTCAGGTACTGTCGTGTACAATCAATTCGACACCACTCCGGCGCCTGTATACCTCAGCCCAAAATCAAGGAGAGTGAGGCCGCTCCTGCTGGCTCTAATCGTCAACGTCTCTGGGATCATGCTGTCCCCAAAACTTCCTGTATTCATCCATAGTCTGTGTAGTAAACTCCTCTGGCCAGGTGATCGGAGCAAGAGGGCTGTCAGTCTTCTCAAACAAGGCCAGCTTTTTGGCTGTGGCTGGCTTCGACTTGTTGATACTGTAGACTTTCACGCGGTGGGCACTCGACGTTACGTGAAGGCCCCAGTTCCACGCCGCTCGGACGTTTAAAGGCTGGGTGTTGAGTGAGTTGTCCCAAGTCCGGCAGACGATCTCGATCCAGCCCTCGACGTCGCATGGTAGGTCTATCTCCCAGATACGCCAAGCGAATTTGTGCTTCTTGGACATGTTCTCAAGTGGTACAGGGTACCAGCTAAAGCCCCCGTCCGCGCTGAGCTCTACCTGTTGTGAGAAACTGTTTTAGCATATGTTCCAGGATTGGGTATGGGCGGCTTCTGCCATTAACAGGACTTACGCGTTCCGGCCAACGACCTCCACCAGAATACGCCCATCCTTCACAGTGGATGCTGCCGTTGTGAATGACAGCCTGCGTCTGCCATGGCGACATGATGGCGGAGCTCACTGGCATTTCCTGAATCTGAATTCCATCGGTGGGAACTTGGTTGTGCTTGCCAACCTGCTGATTGAAGTAGAGGTACTCCTTGCTCTGCACTGGAGCCTCACTCGGATGCTCAATGGCTTTGACGCGGTACAGCCATTTGACGCCTCGGGCACCGATGTAGCCCAGCACCATCACCCGAAGTGGGAAGCCATGGATAGCGGGCAGACGTTCGCCGTTCATCTCCCAGCACAGCAAGACTTCATTGGTTTTGACCTTACTCCATGGAACGCTGACGACGTAGTTCATGGCTTCGTTGTTCTTGAAATAGGTGTCAGCACCGTAAAACTCAAGATGTTTGGCGCCGTCTTTGAGACCACCACAAGCTTTGATGACTTTCTTCAAGCTGATGCCGACATATTCGGCGTTGCCAATCGCTCCCTCAGCCCACGGAGCTTGAGGCACCTCATCTCCTTGACCAGCATAAAGTGAGATTTGCTCGATACGACGGGTGCCGGAACACTGCATCGTGATCATCTTCCTGATGCGAGGGAATCTGCTTTCGTCCATGATATCCTTCATGTTGAAGCTCTGAGGGCTGTTGACTAGACCATCGACGTCGAACGTAAACTTGTCCTCATCGATGAGGGGTATGCCTCCATGGTTCCTGACGAAATGCAAATTATTTGGCGTGACGGCTTTGGCAGTTGTGAGCCGTTTCGGTGGTTCTCTATGGATTTAAGGTGTTAATTTGGCAAACAGACAGTTAATCAAGGGATGTACTGACCCATTGTAGGGAAACTGAAGTAGATGGAGCATCTCTGGGTGCTTCTCCTTTAGTACAGTGTTCCAGCTACTATCAGGCTCATCTTTGAGTCCACCTGCGATGGCATGGTGCCACTTCTTGAAATTGGTGCCTGGAAGAACGGGATTGCTGTCGGGAATAGGGCCCATCTGGTATTCCGGGTTCTTGGTTGGTATTCTCTCCAGTATCTTGTGGGCTTTCACTTTCTTTTCGGGGTACGCTTCCCATTCGACATATCTAAAAACACAAATCAGCAAAGACGATCAGAAAAGAAATGCCATTGGCATACCCTTTCCAGCCTTTTCTCTCTTCTTTGAACTCTTCATCTTTGTTCGACACCATATCGAGAGAGCCACCTTCTGTCCATGGTGTAGGCTCTTCTCTTGGAAGAATCTCGACAGTGACCTTCCCGGTCTGGTCGAGAAAGGGTATCTTGGCACCATGGAGACCCTGCTCTATCTTCCATTCGTCTGGTCTATTTGTCGTCTCCAGTGGCCTCGAGTCGCTCACATTTATACCTGGAGCCATGCCTGTGTCTTTGATTCAGGAAAGCTGTTTGTGAACAAACCTTTGACTTGTAAAGTTGAGGACGAAGAGAAGTGGTGTCTTGCTCAGATCCGCCTCTTCAACTCTGAAGAGCTCTTATCGACGTCCGTAGCTTCCGCCATGAGATCAAGATCACGTACAACCCGTTGCCATTGATGACTACCCCTGGTAGTGCGTCGACATCGAGATTTTGTGGTTCCACCAATGAGCTGTACGGGACTGCTTTAGGCGTCGGGGCCGAGCATGGATTCAGTGGTAGATGCACCGCAGAACACTGGAATACCTGTTTGTCGACTGTTTAGGTTCTTGGAACCATGATGCGGCAGGAAGCTTACGCAGAGATCCATCCGTAAGCAGGAGGTCGGGGTGGTTGGGGAGGGAAACCAGCTTTTGATAGTGTAGGCACAACAGCTGCACGACTTTTGCAGCACTTTTCTTGAAATGCTGCATAAATTCCATGCCGCGAATTGGAACGTCTCGAATTCTGCTGAGCTCCGCAGTGTGCATGTCTGACGGAAGATGAACGCAATGCTTGGATAAGCTGCATCGCTTGTTTCACAGCAAGGTTGAGCTCGAGCTCAATCCCTGCCGATAGATCCATCCTGGTTGTTGTGGAGTCCGAAAGTGCCTCAAGAATCTGGACTCCTGCCCAACAGCAGTCTCACAATATGCGCGTGAAGGCTTCGCAGTTGATTTCAAGTCGTCTATCCAGTGCTGTCGGAAACCACCGGCTGACTTCAATCAAGACAGGCTGGGTTTGTAGCAGCGCTCCATCTTCTTTCGTTTTCATTGACAAAGGGCACCAGCATCGAGCTTTCAGCACAACCAGTGCCCTGGCAATGCAGCAGATAGACGCACCTCTCACCCGCTGTGCAACGTTCTTGGTCCTCTGCATCGGGGATTCACAAGATGCTGTCCAGAACATACAAAACAGTCTTGCGGGCGTCAGTGGTCTTATCAAGAATGTGTCTTCCCGAGACAATAAAGCCCGTTTCGCTTGTACAACTGGAATTGGCAGTGACGCCTGGGGTCGTCTAACGGAACACCCGAAGCCAAAGGAGCTTCGAACTCTGCCCGTACTGAAGGGCAAGAAGCACAGCGCCGTTTCGACGCCTGGCGACTTGCTTTTCCACATTCGCGCCGACCGACAAGATATGTGTTTCGAGTTTGAAAGGCAGCTCATGGAATCCTTTGGCGACGCAGTAACAAAGGCGGACGTAACGATCGGCTTCAGATACTTCGATGCTCGGGACTTGCTGGGCTTTGTGGATGGTACCGCAAACCCTGTTGGTGCCGACCTGGCAGAAGCGACGTTTGTGACTGCAGAAGATGATGCTTCATCTATTGATGGGAGCTATGTCGTCGTCCAAAAGTACCTGCACGATCTTGCCTCGTGGAAGAAGCTCACTGTAGAGCAGCAGGAAGCGGTGGTGGGCCGTACGAAACTCGAGAACATCGAGCTTGACGACGCAGACTCGGGACAAAAAGCCCACAAGACTCTCGCCACCATTGAAGATGAACATGGCGTAGAGCACGATATTCTTCGAGACAATATGCCATTCGGCTCGCCTGCCTCTGGCGAATATGGAACGTACTTCATTGGATACTCCCGCAAGCTTTGGGTGACGGAGAAGATGCTGGAAAGAATGTTCGTGGGAGATCCTCCTGGGCTGCATGATCGTATCCTGGATTACTCCAAACCTGTGACCGGCACGACGTTTTTCGCACCCAGTGCTCAGTTCCTCAACGGTCTTGCCTCATAATGCCGGAGCTGACTGCTACGGCAGGATTTGGCGGCTTTGAGGCTATATCCTTACACTGTAGAATGACGAACACTTGTGAGGGCCGTTTTGAGTCTTGTCGACAACAACTGGGCAGTCCATCTAGCTGGCCATTGTCCGTAGACGCCAGTGCACCTTCCTGCGGTGTACTCTCCTTGCCGGATGTCGGTGTTTCTGATAAAAGGTCATCATTTGGGCTGATCCGGCTCGCCAGTCTGGAAGAAGTCCTTTGTTGGCTTGTGCATTGTGAAGGAAAAGAAGTTCAGAAGGCTGAAAAGGAGATGGGTGACGTAGAATGTAGTCTGCCAGGGGCAATCCCGAGCACGGACGGTAGATGAAACATTCCTCCCATTCCAACCATCCATGTTCAACATTCTTCCATACTTTCCGACTATGGCACCACCAAGACCATCAGCAGCAGGCTTTGTGTCGTCCATCGTACGCCATCCTCGTCGATTCAGCATCATGGCTGACGAGCCACGCAAGAAAATGAAATCGACTCCGACCCGCCCGACCAGCCAAGTCCTCGTTTGGCGCGCACATGCTGCAGCGTGAAGACACAACAAGCGGCTGCCACAATCCAGAAAAAGGAATCAGACCGAGACGATGCCACAACTTCAATACCAACAAGACCATTGGCCTGTCAAGAGCGAAATTCTTATCGTTCAAACCCGAGCAAACACCCATACCCAAGCATGGATCTCAACGCGTGAACCTTGGCATAAATCACGACATCAGCGCTGTCAATAGCTGGCCAGAGAGGTCTCGACGGCTTCTGTATGCCACTCTTTCGCACCGCCAAGTGGTTTTGCCAATGCAGCAAAGAGATTTTCGCAGCTCGAGGGCTTGGAAGCGCGATGCCCCTACAGACAAAGACGAAGCCACTCCATGCTTGGTGGATGGCGTGCGAATTCGAGAGCCGCCATGTGGCCGACACATGGAAAGGTGTTGACTGCATAAGAACCATGCTAGAACCATTCATTCCTTCCCGGGAAACGCATTAGACTTTTTGGTTTTTGGTAACCTCTAATCATGGCTACCACAAAGACGGATTCGGACGTCAAGGTCAGCTCCAATGAGCCTTCCACCCCTTCGCTGCGCTCGAGCGAACTGGTTCAAGGCGACTACGGCAGCGATTCGAATCATGTGTTCTCTGACCCCGCTGTGGCCGACTATTGGAGAAAGGTCTACGAAAACGCCCAGTACGAAGGCCGACACCGTTTCGATCCAGAGATTACCTGGTCTGCTGATGAAGAGAAGAGGTTGAAGCGAAAGGTAAGGACGTCCTCGTATGGTCGAAGGAGATGTATTGACGTCTGTTCCAGGTGGACTTGAGAGTCATGACATGGTGCTGGCTTATGTTCTTGTCCCTTGATCTCAACCGTCGTAACATCAATCGAGGTACGTACAAGCAAGACTGTTTGCTCGAGACTGAGACATTGACTGTCAACAGCAATCTCGGACGACTTGCTACCAGAGCTCGGCATGAACACCAACGACTTCAACTACGGCCAGACCATCTTCCTGGTATCCTTCCTCGCAGCCGAACTTCCATCTGGTCTCATCTCCAAGAAAGTCGGCCCTGATCGATGGATTCCATTCATCATTTTCGGTTGGTCGGTCGTCTCTGCTTCCCAAGCCGGTCTCTCAAGCAAAGCTGGATATTATGTCTGCCGTTGCCTGCTGGGCTTGCTTATGGGTGGTTTCATCCCAGACACTGTCCTGTACATCACGTACTGGTACAAGAGCAAGGAGTTGCCAATCCGCCTTTCCTGGTTCTGGACCGTCCTCAGCACTTGCAACATCTTGGGCTCCTTCCTCGCCGCAGGTATTCTCCAAATGAGAGGCCTCCAGGGTATGGCTGGCTGGAGATGGCTCTTCCTTATCGAAGGCGTCATCACCGCCTGCGTGGGAATTGCATCCTGGGGCTTGATGCCTCCGAGTATCACGCAGACCAAGGGCTGGATACGTGGAAAGAAGGGATGGTTCACCGAGCGTGAAGAGAAGATTCTCGTCAACCGTCTGTTGAGAGATAGCCCCGACAAAGGTGACATGAACAACCGCCAAGCCGTCAACCTCCCCCGTCTTTGGAGTGCCATCAAGGATTTCGATCTTTGGCCCCTGTACCTGGTCGGTTTGACCAACTACATTCCACCCAGCCCGCCATCCAACTACCTCAGCTACATCTTGCGCCAGATGGGATTCAGCACGTTGAATGCCAACCTCTTAACGATTCCCTCGCAGTTTTTGTTCGGTGTGAATGTAAGCCGTCCTCGTCCTCGTCCATACTGTTCAAGCACACTGACTAACGTCCGTCCAGCTCCTCATCGTATCCTGGGTCTCCGAGAAGATTGGCGAGCGAGCGATTATATCAAGCCTGGCCAACATCTGGATCTTGCCGTGGCTGGCGGCACTTGTTGCCCTGGGGGCTTCAGCGAGCGACTGGGTGCGTTATGCTCTGCTGACCGGCCTCTTGTCTTACCCCTACTGCCACGCCATTCTGGTTGCTTGGAACTCGAAGAACTCCAACTCGGTGCGTACTCGTGCTGTCTCTGCCGCTCTCTACAACATGTTCGTCCAAGCGGGCAACATCATCGGGAGCAACATTTACCGCGACGAGGACCGACCTTACTACCTCCGAGGCAACAAAATCTTGCTGGGAATTTGCTGCTTCAACATTGTGCTGCTCGTGTTCGTCAAGTACTATTATATCACTCGGAACAAGAGACGGGAGGCGGCGTGGGAGAAGCTGACGGGCGAGGAGAAGGTCGACTATGTCCGCAACACGAAGGACGAGGGAGCGAAGAGGCTGGATTTCAGGTTTTCTCATTGATCCAGGCAGATGATATAGATGTATATAGAGGCGAAGTTGGATGAGGGGCAGGAGGTGGCGTTTGGTAGCGATCGACAAGCTGCCGAGGCCGAGGCAGGTACAGGACAACGCCTTTTGGTCAAAGTTTAATAAAATCGTTGACCAGTCCTGAGTGGCTGGACGCGCTTGCGTGCAAGCGGAGTACACGTCCTCGTCGTCCTTCTCTACCGCCATCTACTACCTCACGCGACCCTTTCCCATCAGTATCGCATCGCTGTACTAGCCGTTCAGCAGCACTATGCGGTGATATTGACCAAAGCAACTATCTGGCTTCCCTCTCACCATGGCCGCCGAACCTCTCCTCACGGAGAAAGCGCCCCTCAAGATGGACAACACCCTGCTCCGTAACCTCTTCTGGTCCTTCCTGGACCTGCTCAAACCCGAATTCCTCCAGAAACGCAAAGCCCCCTCCGGCCCACGCACAGGCAGCAAAACCGCCTGGCTCGACGGCCTGCGCGGCGGCGCTGCACTGATGGTCTGCTTCATGCATCTAACAGTCTACACGCACCAGGACCTGGAACTCTGCTACGGGGCCAAAGTCAGTGAATCCGAATACAACACGAGTCCTGCCGCGCTGCCGATTATAAGATTACCATTTACTGGAGGCCATTATTCCGTGGTGCTGTTTTTCTGTATCTCCGGGTATGTGATTCCCAGACGGCTGGTCGGGATGCTGCACCAGGGACGAAGGGAGGAGTTTGTGGAGAGCATGAACTCGGCCATGTTTCGACGGCCGTTGAGGTTGTTTTTGCCGGTCGTCTGGAGCACGCTGATTCTGTGGATGATTTGGCATACGACTGGTGTTGTGGTGCCGTTCCCGCCGCACCAGAGCAACGGCTTCAGGGAGTTCTTTGCTTGGATCGTGGATATGGGGAAGTTTGTGTACTTTTTCCGTGTGGGACTGCTCTTCTCGTGGTACAACTTCCATACCTGGACGATTCCGGTAGAATTTCGAGGGTCCATGTTCATCTTTGTGTGGCTGTTCGTCATGCATAGTCTCCCCACGAAACGACGAGTGCTGCTCACGGGAGGCATGGTGCTCTACCTTGCTCTGCTATCACCCGGTGCCTGGTATGCCTGCTTCTTCTGGGGCATGTTCGTCAGCGAACTCGACATCCTTCGCGACGAAGGCAGCTCAATCCAATTCTTCTGGGACGGAGCCTTCAAATGGCTGCGAGAGCGCAAGGAACTTCGCATGGTTTTCTACCACTTCGTCTTCTTCTGCGGCTTGTACCTCGCCTCACAACCATCGTCAGATCAGATGGGCAAGGAAGAAGTCATGGCCAATTGCCCTGGATGGAAGACTCTGCGCTTGCTAATCCCCCCAGCTTACGACGACAACACGAACCAAACGTACCGATGGTACTACCTCTTCTGGGCCGCGGCCTTCACCCTCGTTTCAGTCAAGGAGATTCCCTGGCTGCGATGGATCTTCGAGAGTAGTCCCGCACAATGTGAGTCAATATCAACGCCCCAAACTCACCCCCCATTCTAATCGCATGTATACAGACCTCGGCCGCCACTCCTTCGCCCTCTACCTAATCCACGGCCCCATGATCGGCCTCCTGTCCGAACGCCTCTTCTTCCTCACCGGAACAAAAGGCCACAACGTCACCCCCGAAGCCATCCAGAAATTCGGCCACTTGCAAGACCTCTGGAAAAACGCCGCCTGGTGGCCGCTTCCGGAAGGAGGCCCCAAAGCCCTCGAGCCGAACTTCTTGGCCTGCGTGGCGATTAGCATCCCGGTCATGTTGTATGTGGCGGAGATTGGGACCAAGGCGTTCGATACGCCGAGTGTAAGGGTGTCGAATTGGGCTTGGGCCAAGTTTAAGGCGATGAGGTAGATGCATGGGTTGGACTGATAGGCATGTTGCATTCAGGGTGTACAATTTTGGCTGGGGGATTAATCATGTGTAGATATGCTTGCAAATAGACGGCTGGCATGGTTGGAGTACGACAGGATCCAGATATCTGGCGATGTAGTTTGATCATCATCAGTCGAGAAGAAAGTCACTGTCTTCCATTGCAATCTGATCAACTTGTTTGAAAGCAGGCAACGCACGAGAGATGAGACTGGAGGGGGCACTGTAAGAGAATGGGGGGTATCGCCAACATTCGTAGTGTCGCCAATTTCCAAAAAGAACAGCATAGCCGGCAATGATCCTTCAATGGGACTTCAACGCAATAGAACAAGACGTTGGTGGCGCCATCTGTACTCCCAAACGCCGTACATCATCGGTCACATGCCCTGAAGCGCGTCGATGGTCCTCCAAACGCCCAACACCTCCCAGCATCGTCTCATATCACAGTACAGCTCTTCATTTACATGTCTTCGACGGCGCAGTTTGGATGCACAACGTACAGCGTCTTGCCGTCTTGTTGTTGCTCGTCGCCCTCAGGCTCGCCGTTCTCGTTCACGAGGCCTTCGCCACGGATCTGCATGAGGACATTGTCCTGTCGAGATGTCAGCACACCGTCATTCCACTACGATTTGGTTCAGTTGACTCACCTTCACCATGCGCTTCAGCACCTTCTTCGCCAGCGTTCGCTGATGCTCCATATCTTCCTGGCTTTGCAGCTCATCCTCCTTTTGTTCAAGGAACCAGACCAAAAGATCCTCTTCTTCAACACCGTCCTCGGCAGTATTCTGATCGTCGTTTACCCGTCGAAGAAGCATATTGTGGATCTTCATGTAGTCGTCGTACTTGATCTGGGTTCGCGGTCGAGCAGGTGCTGGGGTCTGCGATGCTCGTGCTTCATTCTCCTCGTTAGTATCCATCTGCTCGTTTTCTTGTTGCGTGGCACCAGTTTCAGCATCATCCGGAGCAGCAGCCTCTTCTTCCTCTTCGAACTCCACGTCATCCTTCTCCACGCTGATGATGCTTTGTTGCAGCAGTTTGAAGGCCTCGTCGACGAACTCGGGTGTCACTTCGTCAACGCAGTTGGCTTTTGCGATGGCTTCGCTCAATCGAATCAACGATTCCAGCTGACGGACAGTGATGCGGTAAGAGTTTCGTCCAATGCCACCCTGAGCGTCGTCCGACCGCAGTTCCTTGTACTTTTGCACCAGGAAAGTTCTGGCTTGCTCGGTGAAGACAGGTTGGAACAGGCGAGCGAACCGAATGTATCGTTGTAACTGCTCCGTGCTGAACTCTGGTTGAACGGCTTCGTCCTTAAGCTGGTGGATACCAACAATGTGCTTGGCGAGATGCTCGTCCACCTGTTCGTTGCACTCGTCGAGAACAACAAAGAAGAGATCGAAACGTGACATAATGGGTGCGCTCATGTTGATGTTGGCTCGCAGAGTAGTCTTGCGGTTGTACCGACCACCGACAGGGTTGGCTGCAGCAAGGATACTCGTTCGCGCATTCAATGTCGCTTGAATGCCGGCCTTTGCAATGGAGATGGTCTGCTGTTCCATAGCTTCGTGAATGGCGACCTGATCGGCGATGTCCATCTTGTCGAACTCGTCAATCGCGCAGATGCCGTTGTCCGCCAGCATCAGCGCACCAGCCTCAATGGTGAACTCACCCGTCTCCTCATCTTTGACCACAGCTGCCGTCAGACCAGCGGCGGAAGAAGCTTTTCCAGAGGTGTAGACTGCACGAGGCAGGAATGAGCAGATGTACTTCAAGAACTGGGACTTGCTGGTACTGGGATCACCAACAATGCAGATGTTGATGTCACCACGAAGGGCCATGCCTTCAGGAGTAACTTTGCTGACACCGCCCATGAGTTGGAGGAGAAGTCCCTTCTTGACGACTGTGTGGCCGTACACCATCGGCGCCAGTGAATCGACCAACCGCATGAAGATGTTGGGTTGCTGAACCATATGCCGAAGGTCGTCGATCTCAGCAGGTGTGAGCGTGTCGAGGTAGTCTTGTTGTGCCTGGTCACCGCTTGTCTCTGCGGTATCGACGTTCTGGCCGAGGGAGCTCAAGATAGACTGGCCAGCCACGCCTTTGAGGTTCTGGTTCGCACTCTGTCCTTGAGTAGAAGCATCAGGGGTGACCATATTTGCGAGGAAGGCCAGCTTGTAGGTGAGATCTCGCACGCCCAGCGCTTTGAGACCGCTCACGCCACTGCCACCAACGTCGCTACCGCGTGGTGCTTGTGAATCACGGACGGCCTGTACTCGCGAGCCTGGTACTCGAAACTGGCTGATATCTGGCACGACAATAAGGGTGCCAGTAAAGATGCACTTCTCACCGGCTTTTGCTCGTTCAACCATCTCTCCTCGCAGGATGACATCCATTGTTCGTGGCATGCTTCCAGTGGGAATCTCTGAACTGTTTTCTTGAATTCGAACTTTCTGCCAATCGATGAATGTGCTCTGACGAATGTCCAGCCGCCATCCTTGTCGGTTCATGCAAGTCGCGTTGGGGCATTGCGTGGGCTCAGAGTATTTGAAGATCTGCTCAACATCAGGTACGACACTGTTGCAAGCCTCGCAGATGAAAGTCGCCAGATGCAATTCCGGCCGCACTTCTGACGTCCTCGTGACTGTGCCAGATATCGAGACGAGATGTCCAATGCGTTCTGTTCGCAGTTGCCGCACTCTTGAAACCAATGGCAGATTGTAGAATGCAAGAGCGAAGATCTTGTCCGTCTGCTGATTTGGTGTCTTGCTGTTCAGTGTCTCCTCTTCACTCAAACTCTGCGTTGCCAGGGAAGTATCTGTTCTGGCGGTTGTGGAGCCGGGTTGTCTGTGCTCTCGGTAGTATTGAGGCTCGAACTTGGCGATGAGATTATTCAAAGCGCGCACCATGTAAGGGTGAAAGCGGTAAAAGTCGTCCTGGATGGCATTGGCCAGAATTCCTCCGTGGTCCATGAGGTGGGTGAAGTCGACGTAGAGGGTGGAGAGCTTGAACTGGCACAGGCCGTGGATCTGGGCAATGTAGTATTTGTCGGTGGTTACTGCGCTGGAAGTGGGTGCCGATGCGGAGGGTTCTTCTGTGAAGCTACGCCACTGTCAGTGTCACCATTTTGCATGATGCGTTCTGCCTACTGTTCCAAAAACCGCTCAAACTGAATCCCCAGCGTCTCTGCGGTCGCGTCGACGACTCTGGGAACATCCTGAGTACCGGCTGCTTGGCGCCGCATGCCTCTTCTACCAACAATCTCATCGTCTGGAAAACCCTCGACGTCGCTGTGCATTGCCGGCGTGCTGACTGAGGGCGGACCCCTGGGACGAGACGATGAGCGGCCTGTTCTCCTTCTTCCGGGCGTGGCATCGCTGCGAGGGTCGGTTGGGCCATTGTCGGTGCTCATCACCGCGTCTACCAGCGAAGACATGTTGGCGGTGTAGAGAAGGGGGGGTGTTGTGGTGGTGGAGTGGTGGTGGAGTGAAGTGGGAGCAGGCGTTGTTCAAAGTGGGATGGAAAGCGCGTAGAGTGGAAAGCGCGACGCGTGAGTCTGGCGTACCCCACACGTGACTGCCATCGATGCTGACTACGCATTCGGCTTTGTTCCTGAATATCGACCCATAATTTCTGGTCCACCACATAAACTCGCCCCTTGACCACACTCTGCTCCTATACCACCGCCAAAATGAGTGCGACAACGACGGTAACGGAGACGGCCTCTTCCGCCTCCAACATCCTCCGCCTCTTCCCCGAGATCAACACTTCTCTCGCCTCGCAGACCCAATCCTCCGCAACTCAAGATGCCGACCTGGCTGGTTACGACGAGGAGCAGATCCGGCTGATGGACGAAGTCTGCATTGTTCTGGACGAGAACGATGCGCCGATTGGTAGCGCCAGCAAGAAAGTCTGCCATCTCATGGAGAACATCAACAAGGGTCTTCTTCACCGTGCATTCTCCGTCTTCCTCTTCGATTCGAACAATCGCCTACTCTTGCAACAACGCGCGTCTGAGAAGATCACATTCCCCGATCTGTGGACCAACACCTGCTGCTCGCATCCATTGGGTATCCCGGGCGAGACGGGCGCAACCCTGGATGCGGCTATCATGGGCGTGAAGCGAGCAGCGCAGAGGAAGCTGGATCAAGAGCTGGGCATCAAGAAAGAGCAGGTGCCGATTGAGAATTTTGACTTCTTGACCCGGATACACTATCTCGCTCCTAGTGACGGCAAGTGGGGTGAGCATGAGATCGACTACATTCTCTTCATCAAGGCAGATGTTGATCTGAATGTCAACCCCAACGAGGTCCGAGCCACGAAATACGTCTCGGCGGATGAGTTGAAGGAGCAGTTCAAGGATCCAGAGTTGAAGTTCACGCCGTGGTTCAAGCTGATATGTCAGAGTATGCTGTTCGAATGGTGGGAGCATCTGGACAGTGGATTGGACAAGTACAAGGGCGAGACTAAATTGAGGCGGATGCTGTAGCGGATGAGTGAATCATTAGCAGGCGTTCGGGTGGAGTGATTGAGATACCAAAAGGTTACAGAGCCTTGCTTTTGCCAGAAATACAAACAAAACGACAGAATCTTCCACACCTCTTCAGTCGAGTTCCACGCCTACAGCCGCGCAGCTCTCCCTCCATAGCCTCTCTTCCTTCTCCTCATCAAATGCCCACTCCGCCGTCCCTGCCTTGCACACCTCTCCATCATGCGCCCCAACCTCACCCACATTCGTCAAATACTTCGCCCCATTCTCAACATCATCAAAGTGAGGACTCAGCGCCGCCCAAACCGACGTAGCAGCGCCCTGCTGCACATTCCTCCTCTCAGGGACAACCTTCTCCCTCCCGCCCATCATCTCCCAGTCTGCATCCGTCATATGCTTGGACAGATCTGTGGCAACGGGTCCCGGGCAGATCGAAAGCCCAATAACCCCATCTTGTGCGTACCGGCGAGTCAGCGCATTGGCGACGTACATATTCGCCGTCTTGCTTTGCCCGTAAGCTTGCCATTTGTTGTACTTTGCTTCGTCAGCCCGCCAATTCATGTCGTCGAAGCGGATGGGCGACATGCGGTGAGCGCCTGAGGAGAGGAAGATCACTCTTTTCGTCTTGGCCGTCTTTTCGTGATTGAGAAGAGCTGGTTTTACGAGCTGGAAGAAGAGGAAGTGCGCCATGTGGTTGGTGCCTATTTGCGCCTCGAAGCCGTCGTGGGTGAATGAGAGGGGGCAGGCCATGATGCCGGCGTTGAGAATGAGGGTTGAGATTGAATGGGTTTGTTCGAGGAGGGAGTTGGCAGCTATGCGTACACTTTCAAGGGAGTCAAGATGCATCTCAATGGTGGCAGGCTTGGGAGGCTTGTCGTTGGCTGTCTCGGGGTATGCTTCACTGTTCGCAACGATTCCATCGATGGCTTTGCTCAGTTTGGGTATATCTCGTGCTGTCAGGATGAGTATGGCTCCAGTCTCGTAAAGAACTCGTGCTGTTTCGAGGCCGAGTCCACTGGAGGCGCCGGTGATGACCACGGTACGACCTTGCATGGATTCGAAGGCCTTGAGGCCCTGGACGACTTGCATGGCGCTTGGTCGAGCGTCTCCAGGGCCTTTGGGGTTTTGATGCACGTCGGCATATGGCTGGTATGGTGATGTTGGAACTCCCATTGTGGTCCTCCTTTGTCAGGCGTGTAGTTGTATCTGAATGGGTGGAGTCTGATGGTTGAAGATTGATGCCCGGTGGGTGAGTGATGGGCCGTTTGATACTGCATCACAAGACGCTCCTTGGTAGCTGCCTTATATATTCGATCGCAACATAGTGGCATTGCATACCGTACCGACGCACGAGGGTCCAGCATTGCATGTGAATTTATCTCCATTCCGAAATTCCGAGCTTCCATGACGACGAGGCTGTTGTACACAAGAAGAGTATGGGTTTCCGGCTTCAGCCTTTCCCTAGGTATGACGGCAACGTCAAGCTTGCGGTTGGAAGTGCATGCCCAGATACATTTATTCTCTTGAGACAGGAGCCCGAGTCTATCTGAGGGGTTCTAGAGCTCCTGGTGCTCACCCACTGGCTGCCGTCTGGCACATCTCTTCATTCTCCTCCGCATCTGCCATAAGGTTTGTCCACAGCCGCGTATGAGTTCATCTTCTTGCTCTGTTCATGAGCCTGCCGCCTCCCACCTGCCACGAGTGGCTCAATCGGCCACTCCATCCACGTCGAGTGAAGGACAGGCGGCATGTGATGGGCACCCGAGGGGCAAATGTTGAGTCCCTCGTTCCCGCCGAGCCTTCGAGGAGAGATTCAGAGAGCTGGTTGAAGGGGAAGTGCGCTATGTGGTCGAGTCTCGAGACGTCGTGGGCATGACGCCAGCGAGGATGGGATTAGTTCGGTCGAGGAGGGTTGCGGCGGCGGAACGAACGCTTGCGAGGGACTCGAGGTGAATGTCGATGATGGTATCTATATGGGCGACAACGTCGGCGACCGCTTCTGCTTCGTCCAGGGAAGTCCTATGCGGCGGGGAAGAGCGTCGGACGTCACGCTTTCCTTCCCAGTCAGGTTGCGGCGTCGGCGTCGGCGAGGACCACAGCTTGGCGTCACCTGGAAGGAATGAAGATTCATGCGACTCAAGCACCTGTTCTGCGTTCCAGGCGTCCAGCCATTCATCAAGTCTGCACTCTCGCACGAACATCATGAGCTGCGCATCTCCACAAGGTTGATATATGGGCGGCTGAACGTCCGCGTCGAAGAGGCCTTTAGCTCGCGCGATCCTTGTCTGTTGCGGTCTTGCAGCAAGAGTTGTCGTTCTTGTAGTCTATACGATTTCATGAGCTGCTACAGCAGGCTACTCGATAGCGTCCAATTCGCGATTATTTTCGCAACCCTCGGAGAAGATAAAGTTCTCCGCATGACCCTTGAACAAAGGAACGCAAGCCGCTCAAGATGGTGTTACAAGTTGGGCAATGTACAACTAAAACCAATGCGCAACATGCGCATTCAAAAATAACGAATATTTCATCGGGTGCCGAGGTGTGGAGACTGCCATTTTGCGCGATCTACTGCAGATAAGCGCTTCGACTGATCCTCCAAATGCAGATCAGGATGGCTGTCGCCTTGGCGAAACTCATCTAAGTTTGCTCGTGGGCTTCCCACAACAAGACCCATACTCGATACTCTTGCCTGCATGGGGTTGTAAATCACCATCCATCGCCGGTCCCACATGGTCGAATCTCGGCATGGATCTTTGCGAGATCTGCCAATGTATCCGACCAAGGTCCCTTACTTCCACTGCGTTTTCGAGCCTCTTTCAACACCATGAAAGTCTGCGCAATTTGCGTAAGTCTGCCACTGAGTGCAAACTGTGCAGGCTGTTACTGGTCGTCCTCTCAAGCACGAACGGCTGGCCTGCGCCAGAGGACCAAACCGAGACTTCGTTTGGACAAGACCTCACTTCAAAAGACAGAGAATCAGCTGCAATCACCCTGCAAAAGCCGAATGGATGTGTGAAGGACATTGGATGGATTCCTGAGTCTGCGAAGGACACCTTTGTACACTTGGAAGTGAAATGTGGCAACAACCGCGCAGGACTACTGCAAGCCTTCGCTGACCCGAATCATCCTCGTTCTGTGCCGCCTGAGATCGCTGGACGAAGAATTTACGATCCTGCTTCTGTCCACAGCATTAGAACCGTTCAGAACTGGCTTGCAAGTTGCTCCAATAGCCACTCTTGCGGTCCACAGCAAGGTCCTCTAGAAGCAGTCGCTAAACCTACGTCCAGCATCTATGCTGCAACGCGATCTACGCCAAAGCGCATCTTGGATCTCAATGCCGACGGCAGATGGAGCGCTATTCGTTTGATCGAAGGGATGAACCGCGAAGGTGTATACATTGCTTTGAGTCACCATTGGGGTGAATCGAGGCACTTCACCACCACGAAGTCGACCATACTGAAACACATGACAAGAATCGAAATCGGATCACTTCCTAAAACCTTTCGTCATGCCGTAAAGATCACAAGGGCTCTAGGTGTGCGATATCTTTGGATTGACTCCATCTGCATAGTACAAGACGACAGTGATGACTGGCAGCGGGAGTCTGCTGTGATGGACCTCATTTACTGTTGTGCACATCTGACTATAGCCGCGTCTTCTGCGGATAGCGATGATTCTGGAATTCTGGACACGCGACAAAAGCCATCCGGTAAAGCAGTGGAGCTTGAATACCTCTCCGAAGATCAGAACGTCAAAAGATGGTGGATTACTGAGTCCACAACCCTGAGCAACAGAGCCAGCGACAACATCGATGAAGATGTTAACAACAGTGCTTTGCACTCTCGAGCTTGGGCCCTTCAAGAGCGTCTGCTCTCTCCAAGGATCGTTCATTATGGCAAGCATCAACTAATCTGGGTAAGTTCTATCTACAAGTGCCACCACGTCTGCTTATCTGACTAGGACTTTAGGAATGTAATAAGTACACTCAGTGTGAGAATGGCTATCTTTGTGGCCCAAATCTCTCTCGACCCGGTCATCGATTGAGTGGCTTACATGGCAATTGGTATAAGCCTAATGACTGGGGTGGAGCTGAGGTTATCAATCTTTCTATGTATTGGAGGATGGAAGTCTTGACGCATTTCTCTGGCCTTTGTCTTACGTTCGAATCGGATCGGCTCCCCTCATTGTCTGGTTTGATTGCACACTTACGCAGAACTACAGGGCAAAACTGCTTTGCGGGCATCTGGACATTCAGGCTTCATGAAGGTTTGATCTGGTTTGTTGCGCGGGAACGAGATCGGCCTGGGCCTGAAAATTCCAGGGGCGATGCATCACTCCCCTGTTTCCCATCCTGGAGCTGGGCCTCCACGAAGCATATTATAGCATACCCTCATTTCCCTCAGCTATTCCGTAGCTGTATCGACCGATGGAAGATAACGGAATCCCTACGCCAGGGACATTCATCAACAGGTGGCGAAATGCGTGCAATAATCTTGACGGGACTTGCTAGTCAAGCGAAGATCGGCAACGAAGATCGCGACCGTACCAAATTCCATCAAGTATGGTGTATGCTATACTCGAAACAATATGGTGGCAATGGGAGAGTCAACGTATGGAGAGTGTTATACGACGAAGCGGGCAACGTCGTAGGATCCGCATTGCTCGACAAACCTTGGTCTTCCATTACGAAAGTTGTGTGTCTCCTCGTGGCATCTCCGGAAAGAGACGAGGATCAAAGGCCGGAGCCACCATTCTGCACAGCCTTTTCTCTGCTGATGGTCCCTAGAGGACGAGTAAATGGACACAAGCGTGTGGGTTTGGCTGCTGTTGATCTTCGATGGGCAGCGCAAGGAAGTAAGCGGTCCGTATATCTGTATTAAACAAGTCAGTGTATCAGAGTGATTACGTACGTCCATTGTCGAGGATGTGAGTCAAACGCGCCATTTCCACTGTTCAGAGGTGCGATGCGGGAAAGCGCTCCATCGCTATCCCTCCCACCTCTCTTTTCCCGACAGCGGCGTCGCTGACAGACTGGGCACCTAGTTTCACACTAAGCAGTTCTCAGGGTACGACGGGAAATTTGCGCCTCGAACGGATGCAGTATGATGTTGAGAATAGGCTCCGTTAGCCCTGTACCTCGCGATCCTCCGTAGCTAGCAATTTTCCAGTTCGATTCTCAAGCTGGTACCATCTTCAGGAAGAATGAGTTGGTATTCATATTTAAGCCTCCGGCCAGGCGAGATACGTCTCTTGAAGCTCTTGCCTGCAACGAACGAGTACGACCCGGTCAAATGCGAGCTCATAAATGTCTCCTTACACTCGGCACCTGCATACGAAGCTGTATCATACGAATGGTAGTCTGTTCCAGGTACGACATGGATTCAAGCACCTACTAGGATGCTGAAAATTAGCAAGACTCTGGGGCTTGCATTATTACCGCAGCAAATAAAGCATGCCAACCCCGCGGCAGGAGCCGCAAGGCGCGTTCCTAGCTTCACACGCGTTTTTATATAGAATATCGGG